AGTAGATTAGATAATAATTTTTTCTATCTTGGATTCAGTCCCATGAGCTGCGACATAGCCGTCGTACAAATTTATGAGCATCAATGATAGACAATGAACTCTGAATGTGCCGGTTAATGTCAGACCTGATCCCTCTACAGCTACTTTTGGGGTCAGTTAGCTGCCACCTTGGTGCAGAGAAGCAGCTGGAATGGAAAGGTTTTAACACTTGCTGCAGCTTTATTTCAATTTGAGGCTGAGGCTGCACACACTGTGAACCTGTTAGAAAGCTTCGGCGTTCGCAGAGCATCTGCTCAGCACCTCTGCATTCGTGTTTAACAGATGAGAGAGGTAAACGAAGCGATGTACTTGAATGAAGAATTACTATCTCAGTGAGTGTTTTGAAAGTGGGACACCATGCTGTCTTTTAGCTTTTAATTACATACCTTGAGAGGAATGCACATCTGTATTTTTTCTGCACTGCAACAAGGCCAAGGAAACACTCCAAGGTTTAAATGACAAGCCAAGGAGAGGAAAAAGTATAGTTCAGTATAGCTTCAGGGCCAAACTTTACATTTTCCAACCCACATGCCGGTGTGCAGTGGTAGTTGAGGGACTCTTAGCTGATCGTGCAGTGATGTACTGTACTTGAGGAGTTCTCAAAGCCCCAGACTCAGGCTGCAGTGTATGTGCTTTAGCTATAGGCACAGACACTCACTGTGACAGACACCTCCCTTTCTCTCCTAATCCCTTCTACACCTCTTCACCACATGACAAGAGCTACTTTCCCTATAGACACTATGTGAAGGAGCAGAGTGAAAAACAATTAAAAATGCGCCGGTGGGCGGAACAGCATCTCATTGTTTCACGTCCAGATTCTACCGTATAAAGATGATAGAATTACTTTAATGAGTTAGTCCACATTTTAACAGCAGTTTAATGTTTTTGACAGCCTGTAATGTATGAGCTACATGGGCTCTAACATATTTGATAATCTCTTCAAGGAGCCGAGTAAAAAAAAATGTAATATACCTTAATGCTAAGAAAAAACAGGTAGCTTTATGAGTGCTGTGAACCACACATACCAATACAGCCTATTTGTAGCTTTTTTGACAACCGACAGTTGTTAAATTACAGATTATCCCAGCAATCCTGACAGGGATAAAACGAGTCATACAGTCCTTGAGCACAAACATCAGAATCCCTCTCCCGGCGACTCCCTTTCTCTGAACACACGCATATAAATAGCTTCACACATGAGTGCATGCATGCTCTCACACACACATATGGGCATGGAGAGACGCAGACACAAACACACCAGCTGCTATGTGCAATAAAGAAACAAGAAGACCTACTCTATTTTACACATCCGCAGGGGGTCAATAACTCATTAGAGGCGAGGAGAGGCAGAGGCAGCAGAGGGAGATGACGTGGTTGGGGCTGTGCGGCCTGTTCACCTGAGGATATCATTGTGCCCAGAGGTCATGAGGGACGATTCATGACTTCATTAGCAGCATGTCATAAAACATACCAGGGTGTTTCCAGGCCTGAAATAGACTACCATGTGTAATTTGCCTGTTTTATTCATCTCTAACCTTTTTTCCATCTCCCTTTCTGGGATTTTTACAGCTTATCTTGTCGGCTCGTAATTTATTTCCCTTTTATCGCTTGTCATGAACTTTGCATCTCGTTGTAATGCACCATAAAAATTGAGTTTATTACGAGGTTAAACTCTGTCCCACCACCATCCCACTGTAGACATACAGAACGCTGGCCTATATGGTTTTCTTTAAAGGCGCTGAAGCAAACATTAGCGCTGCGTGTGATTCATTCCCTTCATGTTATCTCTGGCTTAAACTTATTAAATCGCTCTGATAGTTACAAATATTTTCACTTTCTCTATTGACGACCTGTGACAAATGGTGTCTGCCCCTTTTGTCTTCTTTAACAAGCCCTGGCAGGTCTCCAGAGATAGGGACTCATCTGTTTAATCATCTCAATCACTCAGCTGGACTTGACTAAATATAGAATACAGAAAACAGCTGAGTGTGAGCCACAGCACTTAACTACCGTGAGAGACTTACTGTCAATGGAGGTAAAAAGATGGCTGTGTGTGTGTGTGTGTGTGTGTCTGTCTGTGTGTTTCTGATCCTTCATTACTAAAGGACAGTCAGTATGTGTGTGTCTGTGTTTGTTTTGGGTGCATGCCTTTGCGTTGCAACACTAAGCATACTTAAGGACCTGTTTACAAAATGTATCCTGTTACACAACCTAATCCCAAAGGCTACAGCCTCACTTGAGTGGTACAAGTTCAAAAATGTCAGCCGACACAATCTGGCTGGACAGGACAGCAGCCCAAATGTGAATTAAAATCACTGTAAGCCAACAAACATAATTTAGCTGTTTTGGGAGACTAGTGCACTTATTGTTGCACCGGTTTGAACTGATGTCCACGCAAAGTACCACAAAATCACCGGATAAGTCGTTCAACCTTGTTGAGGACACATGCTAATTAATCAATCCTAAGAGTAAATCCATAAACACACAGGCGATGTAATTAAATCATCCGCCCAGCTCTGTGTCAACACAAATCATCTGAATGACCTTGGAACTTCTTGAAATACAGTGTGTACGTAAGGTATGTCGGCACCTTGACTGATGTTAATATGACCGTCCTGATACGATACGATATGAAACAATACGATACAATATGATATGATATATGATACAATACAATACGATATGATATGATACAATACACAAAATTATATGATATGATACAATACAATACAATACCTTTTGTTGACCCCTTGAGGAAATGTTTTGGACTGTAGAAGAAGAAGACTGTTGATAGAAAATAAAATCCATATGCAAACTCCAATTAAAGGAAACAATGTATTTTGCACGTTAACCATTTTAGCCAAGATTTGCTTCAAACTGCTTGGAAAAGATCACAACATTGCACAAGCTATGACAGCTTAAAAAAAATTAACTTTGGGCACTTGTGTAAACTGCAAAACCGTAGATCTGCGAATTGTGTTTGTACAATGGGACATTTTTGAAGATGAAATAGAAGAGAACTGCTGTTTTAGTTGTATAAAAATTATAAATAACTCCAGATTTCACAAACCAAAGGAAAATTGATATGTGAGGGATAAAAAAAGCTGCCATGGTTTTCCTTTTATGATGCAAATATCACTGTGTTTTGCTCCTAATACATTTTTTGACAAATTGCTGTGCTTTGCGTAAATAACAGGATATGTGTAAACTAAACAACCAGTCTGAATACCTGTCTGGGTGAAAACAGTGGCTATCTGTTCCCTGACACGCTTTACTGCTAGACTGGCATCCCGCTCAGCTGGGAGGCCTGCGTTTGGTGCCATTTGGCAACCGCTGGAATATTTAAATGCCCTGATGAATACATAGCCCCTGGGCCTGACTGCTCAAACGGAGTGTGCTCTGACATGCTCAGCATACACTAATGGGACTTCTGACAGTCCCGCGCATTCATCTTACAAAAACTCTGCATCGTGCCAGAGGCGAGTGGAGGGAGGGTGCGGATGAAGAGCTCTGGCTGAAGATCAGGGAAGCGAAAGGGCACAACAGGTCTGACCGGTGCCACATTGGATATGTACATCAGCTGTCATTTTACATCAGATAAAGCCTGATACTGTTTTCTTCCCCAAACAGCACTTGAATATTGTCAGACTACCATTCAGATAAAAGTGTGATAATAAAAAAATACCCATTATATTGGGGGGAAAATGGAGGTTGTTAACCTTTTGATTGCTTTTAACGCTGCTAGCACTACACTGTTGTTAGTGGTTATTGTCATACCATAAATTCTCCTAAAACCACTTGATTTTATGGAGGAGCCACATGGTTGTTGTATCAGATCTGTATCAGAAAATTGTGCCAATAAAATATCAGGTATATTTTAGTCTAAAAACTGATTCAGGTATAAAGAGACCTCCTATCCTTTGCTGCAAATCTACCCGTCAGAAACACCCTTTCCTTATACTTGTTGCAAATTTAGGTACACTGCCTCTGAAAAGAGCAACAGCTGGCTTGACATTTCTAAGGAGAATGAATCTACACCTCATTTCGTTGGGGGCTAGGACTCCAAGTTAATGGTCAAAGAAACGGTCCATTTTCTCGAAGCTCAGCAGCTGTGTGTGCTTAAGCACGACTCTGACCCCCTGGAGTGCTTAACTAAAGCTAGAGAAGATTTACAGCAACGGGACCACTGTGTAAAACATGCCAGGAAACTGTAGCAGGCACGCACACCGAGGCACGACAAAGTGACATCTGCGGAGCTGTTGAAAGCTCTGCTGCTGCTGCTGCTGCTGTCCATGGTGCTGAAACAAAAAAACAGAGAAACAGGCTGCACCAGGTTGAGCGAGATTGTGCTCTGTATGCCCTAATAAGTACCTCCAAAGCCAGATATGGTCCACGCTGTATCAAATGCCTTACAGTGCGCGCAGCTGCTTTTAATCCCCTTTTGAGATGTCAATGTTGTGTTATAGAGCACAAGAGACATTTCATTGATTATGGTTATTTTGGAAAATGTCAGTGCGGCGGTGAAGTCCAATGATGTTGACCTTTTAAAGCTGTGTAACTCCGCTCAACGGCAGCACAGAAACGATGCAATCCAGGAAACATTATCGATCAAGATTTGTTGCAGATCTTAAATCTTGATATTTACTTCTCATAAAAATCTATTCGAGTTCAAATATTGTGATCAATAGATTTTGTCCGAACTAAGCGCATATAGCTTTCCTTTTGTAAGTTTAATAGGCACACAGACAAAAACTCTCCAGACGGATTGGAATTAGATTAATGTCTTTTAACCTCAACAAAATGAAAACTTAAAAAAAGATCTTTTCAGAGATATTGTATGATATCATTTCTATCGTGTGCAGTATAATCTATAAGGTTGATATTGTACATCGGGATCAAACACACAAACATACGCGTTAACTTGAGCTTTTGGAGATGCCGCCTACTTAGAGCACCGTTACGCATTGATTAGTCCATCTACAGTGAGGCAGCAGCGGAATTTCTGGGTGCAGATAGGACCACTCCTCTCTGCATATGATTTTTTTCTCTCCCTCTCTTTCTCTCTCTCCTCTCTCTCCACAGTCGGGGCTCAGTGGTGGTGAGGAGGGGGGAGGGTGGTCTTGCAGTCGACGAGAGGAACAGGAGTTTATTGAGGAGTAGCTGCAACGAGAGAGAGAAAAAAAACGCATGCAACTGAGCGCCGCTGCCTTGCGGATGGAGAGGAGAGAGACAGGGAGCAAGATCGTGCTCGGACGAAAAGACCACTTTGTGCGGAGAAACTGCTGCCTGAATTGTTTAACTTGTTGATGCGACGTATTTCTGCCGTTTTACCTCTATCGTGTGGCTGCAGTGACTGATAGATGGGAGGCGGAATCGCAAGTATTCTCTCCGTGGGTGCAGTTTAAAGAGCAACCTTCTCTAAGGTGGGTGGTTTTTCCCCTTTACTTCAATTTCCATTCAAAGAAATCTATTCCCGCTTGTTGATAGGTGACGCTTTTTAGACATCCAATTCATATTCTGCCGCAAAGTGGCTTCCATAACTGAGGGAAAGGCTGGAGAGTGATACTCAACAGTGCTATGCGCAGTGTCAGTAGAACTAAAAGGGTTTGTGTGTTTTCTATCACAATCTGTTAAGCCTAGGTGCCTCAAAACCTGGACCCTCATTGTCTCTTTGTGCTCTTCTTCTTCTTCTCCTGCAGATGCGATTCATCTCTGAGCCATAGCACTGTGAGAACCGGACAAGGGTTGTACTGAACACTACAGGTCAGCATGGCAGCAGGTGTAGCGGCATGGCTCCCGTTCGCCAGAGCGGCGGCCATAGGATGGATGCCCGTGGCGAGCACCCCGATGCCCATCCCTCCCCAAGAAAAGAGGAAAGCCCAAGACGGACTCATCATCCTCAACGTGAGCGGGACCAAGTTTCAAACGTGGCGGACGACTTTGGAGAGGTACCCGGACACTTTGCTGGGGAGCACGGAGAGAGACTTCTTCTTCCACGAGGAGACGAATGAGTACTTTTTTGATCGTGACCCTGACATATTTAGACATATCCTGAATTTTTACCGCACGGGGAAACTACACTACCCGCGGCAAGAATGCATATCCGCGTACGACGAGGAGCTGGCTTTCTTCGGTATAATCCCCGAGATCATTGGAGACTGCTGTTATGAGGAGTACAAGGACCGAAGGCGCGAAAATGCGGAGAGGCTCCAAGACGACGAGGAGATGGACATGAACAATGACGTCACGCCGGTAAACTTGACGTACCGGGAGTTCTTGTGGCGGGCTTTTGAAAACCCTCACACCAGCACCGTAGCCCTGGTCTTCTACTATGTCACCGGCTTCTTCATCGCCATATCGGTGATGGCCAACGTGGTGGAGACGGTGCCCTGCGGGACGCTGCCCAATAGATCGAAGGAGATCTCCTGTGGGGACCGGTATGCGCTCGCTTTCTTTTGTTTGGACACCGCGTGCGTCATGATATTCACTGTCGAGTATCTTCTGCGTCTCATTGCAGCTCCCAGCCGCTACAAGTTCATGAAAAGTGTGATGAGCGTCATTGACGTGGTCGCCATCATGCCTTACTACATCGGTCTGGTCATGACCGACAATGACCAGGTGAGCGGCGCTTTCGTCACGCTCAGAGTCTTCCGGGTCTTTCGGATTTTCAAGTTCTCCCGGCACTCCGCGGGGCTGCGCATCCTGGGCTACACCTTGAAGAGCTGCGCCTCTGAGCTGGGCTTCCTTCTCTTCTCCCTCACCATGGCCATCATTATCTTTGCCACGGTCATGTTTTATGCGGAAAAAGGCTCCACAGCCAGCAAGTTCACCAGTATCCCTGCTGCGTTTTGGTACACTATTGTCACCATGACAACACTGGGGTAGGTGGCTTCATGAAGTCCATACAACCTGTAAAGCTTGTCGTAAATCACACTTTTATTTGTTTTACTGCTTTGGTTTTTCTAATACATTAATTTAATTACAGTAGTTGTACATACTGATAAGGATTCCTGATATTTTAAGTTCTTAGAGGGGAGCAAAGTTAGCGTCATGAGCAGCAAAGAGGCCAAGAAGTATAATTTTTGGCTGTTGTTTGAACAAGCCTAATTGGTAGGGGGCCACAGGTGCGCTTTTATTGGGCATTTCAACGGCCTCCAGCGTTTTTCAGCCAATAAAAGGGCAGGAAGATTCGGCTTCTCAGTGGCGCGTGTGCACCATTCACTGCCATGTTCACTGCCTATCAATGAGCCTGCACTACACAAGCAGCCTTTGAGGTTGGGCCTCCTCCCTGCCTGTTTTAAAGGGTCCCTATTTGATGCGCTCTTTTGGAAAGGTTACAGCTATAGACAGACATATTCTGGCCAACGAGTGGGGGGAGTTTTAAAAATTCATCTCTAAGGACCAGACAGAAAAGCACCAAATTCACTGGCTAAACTCAGACATGGGGGTATTCATTAAATTAGGAGGAAGAAACACACACACCTTTCATCATCCTCACTTTACTGCCTCTCATCCGTGCTCTCTTTCCTTTCTTTAAATGAGCTACTGTAAATATTTGAGTCCTAATTTCATGCTCATGAACAACCTCAGCTGTACTTTGTGCTGATGTGGCATAAAATAATTAAACATGGTTAAGACGATTACATCAAATTAATATGTATTGATGAGCTCACTCAGCCGCTCAGATGCTGCTCTTGGCTTATTATTAGTATTGTTATTATTTCCGCTTTTCATTCCAGCTCAGCATTCTGGGCTTGAGCGCTTTCCAAGGTGCTGAAAAGTTGGTTCAGTCAGTCCAGTATAGCTTCTATTACATTTACAGTATTTGAAATATTAAAAGCGAATGTGGATATCATAATGCATTTTATTGTTTCCTATTGAATTCGATGCCTTGTGTTCTGCATTCGCATCTGTGCAAACAAGGTTAAGCAGCTAATGTTAGTCCTCATGCCCTCCTCTTCACAGATGACACATAAATGAGGTCCTGCTGAAATAGTGTCTTTATTTCGAGTCAAAACATCACACATCAAACATTGCAAAACAAATTCCCTCTGGCTGTGTGTAGTTGGTGCGTGTGCTTCTCTGTTTCTGCATGTGTGTTTGTGTATGATTATATGTGCATATATATGTGCACTTATGTTGTAGGGATACGCTGTGAATATAGAGCTTAATGCTTACTCTTCTGCATCAACTTTGGTTAAGCATGAATTTCTTATGCTTCATACAAACAAACTGAGTCATATTCTTGACTTTCCATGTGTTTGGTACCCCTCCTCTTGTTTGTCTGCCTTCATATCTGCATTGATGCAGCCTCTCTGCACCTGTTTCAGTTCTGCAGGCAACATATGGTTCATCACTATTTCTGTGATTATTGATTTTATTTGTTTTAATAATGGAAACTGACCTTCTCTTTCGCACCACACTGCAGAGTTATTAGATTTCCTGTCTTATTAGTGGCAAAAGAAACTTCCCTCAGTACTCATTCAATACCAGTCGAAACCACCAATCACCCGCAAAATGACCAGTCAGGGCATAATAATTAGCAATGTATATGATCTGGAGGTTGAAGCAGCCACCTTAAACCTAATGCCTTCCATTTGGATTTAAAGCAAGTCTAAAGGATGATTTGTGTGAGAGAATACATTATTTATCTTTTGGAGGCAACAAAGATATTGCTGCATTCAGCTTGGAATCCCTTTTTTGTGTTGCTTAAGATGGATTAGAAAAAGATGTTCTGCTGCAGGAGAACAAAAGTGAACCGTCCTTGTTAATGGGGACGTTTCTGTCACTCTATTGTGAACCATGACAGCCTGGCTGACAGATTTGCAACCTAAACTGAAGCCTTGCAGTGGTGCAGAATGCTGCAGAGTGGACCACCGGAGGAGAGGCTGAATACCCATCACTGAGAGACAAAGTCATCTCCTCCTCAGGATCCATCATTGTTCTCAGGTGTGCTTTTAAAAATCATACTTCACACAAGCAGTGGAGTCGATGCTTTGCTGTCATAGCACACCGAACATTGTTCATGTTGTTGTGCTTTCGTCCTGCAACCTTCACATTCTCATCTGATCTGAGAAACACGCTATTCTGGTTGTCTCGGATCCCAGCATGCAGAAAAATTAACCCCATTCCACAAATAGTTATTTGAGTCGCTTTAGAAAAGGGTTGTCTTTTTCTTGGCTTGCAAATAAGCTCTTTAAAGACCAGCTTGGCGCTTCTGACTGAAACCTCAATTTGAGGCGTTTGAAAGCGTTTGATTTCAGTGTGATAGTCAATGATGCTTTTTCCGGCATGGTATCATGATGCGTTTCCACTACATATATTTTCAATTTCCCTGCCTCGCACCCTGTGGAAGTAAAGACAGAGGCATTCGTTCCCTCCCCTGCTGATGGCCCATTGATTGTGCTTAAGCAGACGTGCAGACATTGGGGGAGCAGGGGCTCCTGTTCAGAGGCACTTGGCAGGCAGCCTGAATGACAAGGAAGGGTGCCTGGAGACCAGCGGAGAATCAATAGCTCTGTGCAGCTGCGTGTCACACCTCTATGTGTCTCCTGCTCTGTGCCACCAAACACAGGACGAGACCCACTTATCCCTCCTTATTTATTGAGGCTAATCTCTGTGGCTTTTTTCACCAGCAAAGTGGACGCTGCCTCTGTCAGAATGCTGCCATTAAGAGGTTTAAGAATTGAGTGACTGGGTGTAAAATGTGCGAGTTTATCTGTGGCATTGTGTTTTGCAACATTTTTGAAAACTGCACAAACATCGGGGAGTATAATTTAGCTAGTCGATCCAATATTGTGCATTTGAGGTAGCGATAGGCTCCAATTTAAAGATAGTATTGCACTTTATTAGGGTGGAATCAGATGCTGCGGTGTTTTCTTGCTCTTGTTTTCTCCTGATGATCCTCACAGTCAGGGTGAATTAGCAGCAGAGGGAGTTTTTGGTGCTTCAGATCTTTTAAGTGATTTAAGGTGTAATGGAGTGCACTGCTGAGAGCAGCTGTGAAAACGGTGGAAGTCAAGCGCAACCCACAAGGGAAAGGAGTGGAGAGGACAAGGTTTAGTCTGGCGTGGAGACACACACATTCCACTGGACACAAGCACACATTATTACCTTTGAGAGACATTAAGACCTCAGACACTAACGCACACTCTTGTCTCTTGTTCCTCTTATCAATATCCTGCTCTCAACGCCTGCCTCTCTAGGTGATGCTACGAGGAGTTATCATTCTAATTACTGATTTGCCGTGACATCTACACGGTGCATTGTACTCAGAGCAACACACACGGCTGTAGATTGCACTCACTCAACAGATGCAGAATTTATCACCATGTCGTTTGTCAGTGCTTTAGCTCCACCCACCAAATACGTCTGGAAAGGCTTGACAAGTGAGCCCTATAAACCTCTCTGGTTAGGATTTATAAGACAGAGGAGGCAAGGTTAACAGACAAGAGGGTCACTGTAGGGCCCATAAACTAGCACAAGTATAACCATTATCATCCTCGTGACTTTTGACACCTCCAGCCCGTGGCAATCACAGCGAACAATGCAAAGCGTCGCCTGCATGGATCGCTGAGACTCAGATCAAAGCTTTTTGAAGTCCAGACCCTTCACTTGCATGTCAGATGTAATTGAAATACACAGGAACAATCTGGAGGGCCTGTACTGTATCCGTACCCAAGAGATAACAAACGCATTCTTGATGATGTGGTACTCGTATGGGGGGATAAGTGAGCCAGCCCCTGGCAGGCATTGCAGGGGATTTTCACTCCTTTTTATACCTCGACTGAGCATGACAGTCAGCCAGAACATTTGGTGTGTTTGATTATGAAACGCGATGGGTGTAATTTTTGTGTTCACCGGAATACATTACACCACTTGGCATTGTGTATGTTATGCACATTATGAGAATCAGCAATTCATTACGAGAGATGTGATGTATGACTGTGTGAAGCAGAAGTGGCTGCTGTGAGATGTGTAGGCTGCCATTAGCCTGCAGGCTTGCAGCGCCCCTCCAGGTGCTTTATTGGTGAGGAGAGGTGATGCTAATACGAGGCTGGTATAATGGTCCTGAAGTGACAGGTGACTTAATGAGGGGAACCTGGCACTGAAATGTGTTCAGTGTGAGTTCCTGTCTGCCCATGCAAATGACTGTGAAATGGAGGAGTGAGAGTGAGGGCTGGAAACAAGCAGCCTTCTTCTTCAGAGGAGATTAAGATCATTATGAAAGACAGAAACTGTGTGAAAAAAAAAAAATGATGTTTTTATTCCTGCTAAATTGAAAATATGCAAGCCTGGCATTTTCTTTATTCCCTTTGTTTTCATCACAGCGAAACAGTTTCACACTGGCAGCCCGAGATTTAGAAAGGGTGGTGTGGAGGTGTGAGCTGAATGATTGATTAACATTTTATGGGCTGTCATATACTGCTGATTTATGACATCATATTTATGTACTTGAGAAACTTCATAGGCTTTTATTTGCACCTAAATTACACTTTAATGCTGCTATTTTTTATTGAATTATACAATGTCGAAGAGGAAATGTATTTGTGGTCAGCGAACCCTGAAGTGAAAACAGATCATGGCCAGCTGCTAGGTTGATGTGAGGATACTGTGTGTGTGAACTGACTCTTAAAGCAGGCATGCGTCACTGCAGATGGTCAGATTGATAAATAATCTATATGGCAAGGACAAAATGGCTGTCCCTCTTTTTGATTCGATTTCTTTGACATCTCCAGTCTTCCAGGCAGCGCCAATAACACTCATTCCACACACTGGGTTTTCATTAATTCACTTTGAATGTGCTGCATTAAGCAGGGAAATAGACTAGCATGTTCTGCACTTGGGCCCAGGTAACGTGGTATGAGGACATAAAATATGGCATCAGTGTTTTTCTCCACTGCTCAGCATTTTTTATCTTGTGCTTTGTATTGCAGGCAACAAACAAGATTAATGGAATTTCCCAGAACAAGATTAAAGTTAGTCTGAATGAATGCAGCATCACTGCTTTAGGAAATAAGGAGATATGTGAGAAAACACATCACCTCGATTTCATTGTTGTTAGAAAGCATTTGCTCTGCCTGACTCCACTTCCATCCAATCTAACAGCCCAGAAACCCTGAGCCAGCTCCAGTCGAAGAATACAATGAGGAAATGTTGAATTCTTTTCGACTGTGTCCTATCCTGGAAGTTGATATGTTGTAAAAGATATCAGATGTAGAGTGCATGATGAGATCAAATAGTGTGAAAATGATAAAGCTGGGCCCAACAGCTATCTCCTCCTATAGCACTGCATGGCCTATTTACATACTCAGCATTTACATACAGATGGAAACTGCTTGTCTGGTCATGGAGATTGGTATGCAGACACACATAATGCCTCCTCATCACTTTGTTGAGATGTATCCAACAGTATTCAGAATGGATTCTTTTCACTTCAGTCTTCTAATTTACATTGTGATTTGAATAAAATCCTTGTAGGTGTAATGTCTGGATTACAGTAAATGTTTTCTATAGAAAAGAAAACACGATTTTAGGATCATCCACCTGATGTAAAGCTGGTAATCTAAACATTAAGCCCTACTTTATCGGATACTGTCATTAGTTGATTAAAGTTGATTAGAAAAGCAGCTCTCTCTCTAGGCCGGGGGATGCACTCTGGATGGAGGAAGAACAAAAAGCAGCATTGAATTTAATCAAATATAGAACAATATCAGGGCCAGAGTCATCTGTGTTGATGTGAGACCTTAAGTTTTCATAAAGGGCAAGACAAACCTTTACCTCATGTACAAAATGACCAACCGTCAGTATTGATAAAGGAGATTGATGTTACTATCATTAATTCTGGGGGTGCACAGTACTGATTTTTTTAGCCAATAGCAGTAATCTGCTCCCGGAATTAACGCTGACCAATGTACAGTGTATTTTTTAACACTTTTGCATTTTGTGCTAATGCTAGCCTTGGCTACAGGTGCTGCATATTTCCTCACTATTGAATCTAGTGAGCATTGTGTGGCTATCTTGTAGCAGTGGGCAACTCAGCATTACCTGCTGACTGTAACAGCAGGATGAACTGCTTTTTTAGGGCGGCATTACATTACATTACATCAGACATGGGTTTTAACAACGGCATGATCACAAATGGAGGAACAGAGAAAAGAATTGACCACATCTTTGTGATGAAGTGTTGTAAAGGGTTACATGAGTCTACCATCCCACTGAGCATTTTTTTGGTCTAAAAGAGGTCTAATCGACGTCTAAAGGCAGCCCAGATGACTGGTCTAAAATCAGACTACCACAGGTCTAAAAATGAAAGATTTTAGACGTCTAAATTTAGACCAAGTTTAGACCAAGTCTAAATCTGAGCTATAGCTATACTACACTGTATATTGCTCAATGGCTATCATAATTATATTGGTTAAGTACTTGGAGATCAGTTATGCAACTCACAGTTGCTTTTTGAAATAAATAGTAATTGAATAATGTGTTAAAGTGCAACGTCTAAATTCTGTCTAATCTAGACGGAATCTAGACGGTTGAAAAAACAACTAGACATCTGATAGCCGTCTATTGCTCAGTGGGATATGTTAGTCACAGTAACCAATTTCCATGGAGTTATAAATACTTATCTGCATGCTTTTTCTTTTATTTTTATATGTATTGATTTATTAATGCACCTAGATAGTAGTGGTTACTTGCACCTTCTTGATTAGCTCACTGTTTAATAAGAGAACACACAGACACTAAAGGTAAAAGTGGAAAACTAATCTCTTCTGAGAAGCTAGCGTTCAAATGTGCACATGTGAAAGGGATGGTTACCTTCTATGGTTTGTCGTTTGGTCTCTACATCTTTGCTGTGATGATGAATTTTCAGGTGCGTAAAATAGTAATTGCTGTTAAAACTTGAGGACTTCTTGTCTCATCTTGGTATACAGTACTTGTCGCTGCTCTGCTGACACATTGAAAGCATACACTCAAAGGGTCATGATCGTTTCTCATTCATTTTCATTTCCTTTTTCTTTCCCTGTAAGGTTTCTTTTCGTCTCTTCCATGTCACTGCTGTAGGGGTCTTGATTTTCTAGTGGTACACTTCCTGTGCCAAAACAAAAAGGTTATTTTTAAACCACAGATTTTGTACTGATTGAAAAGCAAGATATGAAGTTTTACAGTGATTAGAGGTGCTTGGAGGCACTTTTAGTTTTCTTGGACACGGCCAGGGTAACCTTGAGCTAGATTACGTTAAACAGCACTTGCTTTATTTTACACAAGAAGGCACATGTTTACATTCGCTAAATTGCTGAAGTGTCACAATTGAACTATACTCTTAGACTTTATCAAACTAGTCTTTTCAGCTGAGCTCTCTCAGACACTGAACGACTGTTACTGTAGGAAGATCTCAACACTGTTCCAATGGTTTTTCTGATCCTCCTTTTGTGTCAGCTGATGTTAGTACAGTCAGATCTCACTATGAGTACAACGTTTTCACACTCTGCAAACATTAAAATAGTCAAGAACAGCTATTGAAAGTTTCCTCACTCACTTGTTTAAAATATTATGGTGAGGGTTTTTCTGCAAGGTCAGAGAGCCAATTAATAACTCCACTTTGTGTGCAAACAACAGAGGAATGAAATGATACCCATAATTCCCACATGGTCACATTAGCAATGTGAGAAAATTCTCTGTAATGAATTGTAGACTAAACATATGCGAGTCACCGGCCTTGCACTTGTTACTGTAGTGCAACACTGGGGCTAATCAGCATACAAACAACAGGCTGTAGTTTGTTGTCATGACAAGCTGCAGCATTTTAATGTCAGCTCTGAACATTAAACTGCTTCCTGCTCTGGCATGTAACAAGTACTGGACGCAGGGGGAACAGTTGTTCTTTTATTTTTAGATGCCCTATCACTTTGGCAAACATGGGCTGGCACTCATTATCAACTATTTCCAAGACCCTAATCAGTTTTTGCATCTTTTCTGACTTAAAAATCAGGCTATTAAGCTCAGACGTAGAAACAAGAAGTTTTAAGGAAGGTTATGATAGTCCCTGTGAGGAGTTCAGGGAGGTTTATTTTGCTCTTTGCACAGCTCATTCCTTTCAGGTGCACGGCGGGATGGCATAGCACAATAGCACAATTTCTTGAAATGGTGCCAACTTTTATAATGCCAGAGCGTGAGTATCCCTCCTCCTGACATTTGTCTCTTTATCAAAAATGCCCCTCAGCTAACAAGCCAACATCTGTGATCAGCAGAGATTCTGAGATTATCGCTAACAGCAATCATCCGTCTGCTCTGTGAACAAAACAGCAGAGAATTCAAAGAGCCATGTAACTTCTGCTGGCCGACACCTCGTCTGAAGAGTGATGGGATAACAGTACAGATACAGCTTTAAAAAGAAAGTTATGCTGTTTTTAAAGCCTCTCAGCAAAACATAAACTAGGCTGAAATGAGAGAAATCCATTACCTTGACAGTCAGCCCACATCCCAAAGCCCCTGCAGTTTAACACCATGTCGCATACATTTATTTCACAAACTTTTTATGGTGAGGTAATGTGTAATGTTCACAGGAGTTACTGTCTTAGATCATGTGAGAGTGTTGAAATCAATAGCAGCTTTCATCCACCAGAGACTAACAGAAGGCCTAGTTCGTCTTTAGAGTCAGAGAGAAATGAGGAAACTTTGACGCACATATATTAATTGAAAGCTGGTTTACGGCCCATTCATAATACCCGAACGTGAGCAGCTTCATGGCAGAGTCATGAATATTGATTCAACCCATTTGTCAGCTTTAAGCTTCAGCTTCCCCGCTCATGAACCATCTTATTTTTCGTTGGAGCTGAGGAATCGTGCCAGTTTGCAGCGCCATGATACCACAGTAAAAGCTCCTTATGATCAATACTTATCCCCCTTGAATGAGATTCACAGTGCCCGCTGTAAAGGCAGAATACAGATCTCTGTATTGCGACTAGTGTGGAGCTGCCCACACTCTTCACTGTTAACCCAGTTTCATTGTCGAGTCTTTGCCACGGGCCCCATAGATTATTAGTTTCTGTATGCACAGTGAATGATAAGAGGCTATGTCCCATTTGAGTTTAGGTATAAAGAGCTTCCTCTCGTCTGCCTGGCAGGGAGGTCCTGCTGAGATGAGGGATGTCAGCCTGTCACCCTGACGCATGGCAGCTGTTTCCTGCCTGGCCCAGCTTCTATAAATAGCCAAATATATCACCTAATGTAGGCCATTTGGTCAAACAGAAACCAAACGGGGCGTGTGCGGCATGTGGGGCTATACTTCTGTGTTTCACCTCCAACTGATTTCTCACGCACGAGTGTGAAATGGCACACCATCGCTGTCTTAATATCATCCTCTTCTTTATCTGTCCCCATGCTGTCTCAGGTGGATTGATGACATAATAAGTGGCCATCACACAGGACTATTATTCTTTGTCAAGTTCAGACCTTCATATTCTTTCAGCTGATCATTTCAGCTGATCCAAAGCAAAAGCAATCCTTGTGTTTAAAGATTATGAATATTTCACGGAATATATATTATTAACATTCAACCATTTGCTGTTGATATAGTTTCGGTTATAGGCTACTTGATGTATTTTGATTGACTCAATGAAACAGCTCTGCATTCACTCCCAGCTTGTGGAGATAGCCTCGGTTTCAGTTTCTTTGTGATTTTTAAAATGTGTGTTGGAAAATTGTTAGCTCTTTCAATCACATTTAACAATATAATGCAATTGAATTACAATAATTGATGGTCTTCAAGAGTTACCACTGTGTTAAATCAACACTTCCCAACCACAGTCTCTACAAGCATGGAGCATTAAATCTCCACAAAAGGGAATGGTGATGATGCTTTTATCGTGCCCACCCGCAATAAATTCAGGGAAAGTCACATGACAGTTTGAAGGCAGCACATATCAGGACCTGTCTAACATCTGTATTTCAGAGTAAATTACTACCCCCCAGGGACGAAACACTGTATTTTCCTGGTTTCTACACAAACCCAGTAGCTACCTGGTGTCACAAATAACTGTCTCTGTTGTCTGAAGGCCAGTCTGTCCAACTTCTCAATGTATTCCCATAAATTTTACATTGATATTTATGGTGTTGACGTCTGACTGCTTACTGACTTTAGTGATGATCTGACTTTATTTTACCACCACGATGAGGTTGAGATTAGCTGTGTTAAGTGAGATTTGGCGCTCACATTTATGTCCCCCTCAGGTTGACTTCTATCAACTTTAGTGATCTATTAACATTTCATTTCTCACCATCAGGTCAAATAATTAAATTTTCCACTCTTTGGTTCAATTCTACTAAACTAATGTCAGTCCCATTAATCTCAGCTGTGCTCTTTGTTGAGTGCTAATTAGTTATTATGAGCTACCAAAACACTCAGGTAGTTCAGCTTTGTCTTTATACCATACTCAGTCCATCATAATGAACATGTTAAATGTGTATAGATGTTAATCTTGAATACTGAAGTTGTAGTTGGAGTGCACTTCATTAAAGATCTGAGTGCCTCTTCCACCAACCAGTGGGGGAACCAGTTACCAACAAGCCAAGTGAGGTACAAGGGATATGTTTGTGTCGCGCTATGTTGGACATGTGATACTAAGAGGTAGATAAGATTCTGTTATTTCCATATAACTGAAAAAATATGTCAATTGAAACAAATTGAAATCATTAGCTTAGGGCTGGGCGATAAAACGATAATGATATATATCAAAAATTAATTTCCTTCGATATCGATATGAAACATGGTCAATATCCTTTTCGATAGCCATCATTCTGTCATGTTTTGGTAGACTTTACGAACAGTCAATAAAAAGAGGAGTTGCTCCAGGTCCGCTCCGCGCCAAACCGAGCATTCAGTCCGCTTTCTCTAGCGCAACGCCTTACGACAAAACATCGAAGAGACACAAAGACCTCACAGATGCAGAAGCTTATTGCATTGCAAAAGACATACTACCAATAAACACTGTTAAATTTCATTTATGAGTAACAGGCAACATTTAAGGCGACAAGTGAATTTTTTATATCATGATATATATCGATATTTACTGATATGAAAAAAATATATTTGGACAAACTTTTTCCCATATCGCTCAGCCCTACATTAGCTTGTACTTCTACATGAGGTATTTGACAAACGTTGTCCCATCCATACTTGTTTTATCTGTTCATTGTGTTCTCCCTCTCTTTGGCTCTGTGGAATTGAAAAAGTTAGCTTGATTCTTATTTGTTCATAGTTTATCAGAAAGTGGTGCTTTGTACAATTCTTTTGGGAAATACATATTGATAATAAAAGAAAAAAAAACAAAACAAGGTGTAAACTCTTTGTTTCTATAAGGGGTCAGAGGGACACAGAGTTAAAAGTCCAGAATAGCAGGCTACAGCGAAGTCATGCTAACAGCTTGATGAACCAATAACTATCACACCTGGGAGTGAAATTTAAAAAAACACGTCTATTGTGGAAAAAATTGAAGTAGAGCACTGCTTTGACTAAAAAGTAAAATCCTCTGTCTTTTATTCGAACCGTCAGACCAACACATGATTACACATTTCTAATGTCTTTTACTGCGTTTGATAATTCATGGTCAGGAGTAGAAATGGACTGACATTCTTAACAAGATAACGAGCAGCTATCTCATTCTCATGAACCTAGTATTATGGATTGTCGTATCTCTTGGGGTGGGTGTATCTTCACACCTCTAGTATTAAAGTTTTGAGTGTATTTATGGCTACACTGAAATCAGACTCAAAGAGGTAAGTTAGGCCGACAGCTAAGGAGGCCACACTGGGTGAGCATATTGAAGCTGGAATTAAGAAAGAAAAACGGCAAATGCTGAGCACATCCTGTCAGTGGCGTCTGGTTGGATTTCATTGACATAAAAATGATGACAATTACACCCTTTCTTCAGAAGGAGACAGGCGAGAGCTTCTGTGGATTGATATGTTTGTCTAGGTGTTATTGAAGCGCGGGTTCAGCTCCCACCTGGAGAATTCTTCGTCTGTGTGTCTGCATGAGTCTCGCTCAGGAGCATCTTGGCTGCTTAAGGACTGCATTTCCGTGTGGGGATTTTAGCTTCTTTTTCAAGGTATTAGTGAAAAAAAACGTAAACAGTTGATTATTATTTGTATTTCTCCCCTTAGCCAATTGTCCATAATCCCTGTAGAGGAGCTTAAGAGTTAGATTTCTGGCATGCATGGCCTTATCTTTACATAACTGCCTCACACAAATGGAGTGTGTCTCATTTTGACTAAGCCACACATTTGGGCCGAAAGGCAAAGACGATTGAGTGAGTTGAGCAAAGAGGAAAGCCACATGAACAGTTAGCGTTAACAAAGCAGGACACTGCAATCAATTCCAGGGCCAGGATACTTATTTTCTTGCGCACACTGACATGCGAGGTAACACACACACACACACACACACACACGAACACACACACACATCACATCATTTACATTCCTGGTGTATCTACCAGACGCACATGTGGGGATGTTGGATCCTCTGGTCCTCGTTGTCCTCTAGAGGTCACAGGGGAGACGGATCCACCATCAGCCTCTCTAATGTGACATTCAATTACCTCCAAAGGTGAAGTGATCTTATTCGGGTCCACAATCAATTTTGCATGGACATTGCTGCAGTGTGCTCTTTCAGGCTCCTCTGCACAATTTTGTGTACACACATGTCGGGGACGGAAAAACAAGCCGCGTCGCTGTTACGTTCGACTCCCATCGTCTTTTCTACGAAATGGCATCCATCAAAGTTAATGGGCTGTAATCATCACCACAAATACACTGTCACACGTCCCACTGCTCGCTCCCGAGTATTCAACTCCCAGTCAATGGGATGTAAAGAGTGACAAGCTCCAGGAACACAATTTCCCATGTCATTAACGAACTTTGAGCAAGAAATGAAAGAGAATCAGAAAAACTTCGCCATTTTTCAGTCCAAAAATAAAAAATCGTGTCTGTTTGCTCAACATCTCTGGGAACCGCGGAGGAGAAACATTCATCAGAACTGCATGTGACATACAGTCAATAGTACTGACGCCGTGTTTTAGACAGCCATCAACGTTGTCGTCTTGTGAAATAATTCTTATTAAAGTATGTCACTCGTGCTGACAGATCCGTCGTGTGGTAGATAGATTAATTTTCCATTTAGCCAATCCTGCCAGCTTGATATCAGAGTTCAGGGTGTACTGTATATCTACTTATCTCTAGGCTGAAAGCTGCTGGACCTCTGATTATACACAAGCGCACACACACGCACACACACAGACTACTCTTTCAGTGCCTAGTATGGCAGCGCTCCAAGAAGACTGTCCCTGATGCATTTGAGTGTTTGATAGGATGTTTTAGCTGTAGCATCCCCACAAGACAATTTGTAGACCTCAACAGATGGAGAAGTCCAATTAGAAAACAGCCGAACGAATGGGAGCAATGGGAGAAGAGCGTTCCAACTCTTCCCCTCTCCCTCAGGATAGAGCAGCTAATCTTAGAGTACAGGTACAAAAACCAACATCACTACTGTTTCAGAGAAAAAAAACATTTAAAAGGAGAGAGAAATAAAAGCTAGAAGGCAAGCGGGGGGAAAAAGGCCCTGTGATTTGATTTCTGAACACTACACGAGCAGAAAGGAAAGCGCTGAATTTGATACAGCTTGCTCTCACTCGACATATACAGTATGTATAAATATCTCCTTCTGTTGTCTGATTCTTCAAGGGCAGACATCCCACAAAGCAATTGCCTTGCCATCAGCCAAGACCCCAAAAAAAAAGAAAGGAGAAGGAATGAAAAAGTGCTTAAATATAGCAAACCCTCCTGGGATGGTGGGAGGGAGGGCGTGCTGTAGTGTGATTAAAATGAATAACCTTCATTCAGTCATGATTGTTAACGGTACGGTCTGTACTGGAGCCAAAACTCCGCCTGTCCTCACAGTGTTAACATCGTTATTCATCAGCAGGCCTGTCCTCTGCATTGACAAAGATGCTCAAGTTCTAAATAATGGGCGTAGTGTCATTAAGTACACATAATTTCTCCCAATGGCCCAGGGTCAGTTTAATTCAGGCCTTAACCACTCCTGCTGTGAAAGCAGACATAGCAATAAACCTGTTGATGACTGATAGATTGCGTAGACGAAAAGACCAATTTTCATGGGTAAAATGACCTTTCAGTGGTGTTGTTGTTGTTCCGCCCATGGCCCTCAGTTATTATTTTTTGTGTCTTTTTTTGATTTGACAGGAGAAGTGTCGTGGAGCGAAATGGAAAAAGTAATGATGTCCCCCCCCCGCCCCCCGTGCGCATGAAGCAGTGCGGTTGCAGGTTGGGAGATGGTGGATACGACTGCAGCAAGTAGCAGCTCTGCTTTGCCCTCGGGGGCCAGTCAGCAGCTGTTAGAAGAGATGCGGCTCTTCTTCAATGCTTCCCTCAAGGTTCTCGCTGGTTCCTGGTTCTCGCTGTTATCTGGGCGCGCTGCTGTCGCCAGTCTGGCTCCTGTCCACACTCTCTAAGAGAGCGCTTAGTGCATTTTTACACTTCAGCACTCTTTCTGTCTCATCCCAATCTCCGTTATTCCCCTCAGTTTCGCTGTGAGATTTTTGAAGTACTCCTTTGAACTCGCAGCTGTTTTTTTTTTTTTTTTTTAAACGGCTTGAATTAGGATGTCGATGTTTCTCTCAAAGACCGTCCCTGAGAAATTTAAATCACTTCTGGATCTGTTTGACTAATTATATGCAGCACTTTCTGTTTAGATGTGTATACCTACAGTATCCCAGGGGAAATATTTACTACAGTGCGTGTTACTGCAGTTTTGTTTGTACAGGAAGAAAATTCAGAGATTAGGGACTGCAGCTGTTTTTGTGTAAAAGCTGATATAGACATTTTGAAGTTGCAACTCAAACAGAATCTCAAAGTTTTCAGTGGTTGAGCAGGAGGAAAAATCAATCTTACCCAGAAAATATGTATTATCCAGAGACTTTTTTCCTTTCCTCCAGTTCTGGAGCTTTATTTGGCCTAAAAGGCGTTAAGTCTCGAGTCTTAGCTTTTGTTCTAACAGCAGCACAGTCAAAGACCGCATAATTAGGCTTTCATAATTAGCCTCTTAATCTTGAGAATTCTTCTGGTCCATGAAAATAGTATTCTGTCCAAACACTCTTAGTTAAATGTCCGAATACACGCTTTTCTGAAGCTCCTAGTCCACATGTCAGCAGATGGGGCTCAGTGGGCTCAGTTGTCAGAGAGAAAGATTGATCTGTGAAGATGTGAGCTCTGTTGTAATGATAACAGTAAAAAACAAGACTTTCCAGTGTCTTCAATAATAGGAAATGCTTCACAACTTTGGAAATTGAATAACCTTTTGGTTTGACCTATTGGTTCAAGCATTAGACTTGTGAGGGTGATGGGCATTTTCAATTATTTTATGACATTTACATTGAATAGTTTAAACTCTTAACAGGTTGAAGGGATACTCCAGAGATTTATTAATGTATTTCCATGAAGCTGTGAGAGACTGTTTACAAGCGACAACATTTTAAGAGCAAAGGACAAGGAATCTTGACTTTTACTCCGTTGTGTGGATGCATTGGATTTTAAACCCCCAAAATACAACCGAAAAGCATTTTTTCAAACTCTGTATGAGTGATGAAAGCAGATTTTCTTTCAAACTACATTTCTAGTTTATAACTCAGGATTTGTGTCATGGCTTTGACATGACCAGGAGTTATTTCTCACACTTGAAAAAGTTTCTGCAGAGCCAATGAAGACCTTATATATCTGTTTCTGTAAGCTTAGTTGTTCTCCTTAGGCTGAGGATATACAGTATGTGTAGAGTTGGTCCGGTTCTGTTGAAGAAAATAAAAAATCGATAGTCAAAAAACCACAAGTAAATACAGTTTTAAATGTCTGCTGGCCAGAGCTAACATCTTTAAACCGCTAACATGTCAGTGTAGATTTACTGTGGGTTCAGTGTTACCAGGAACAGAGATTCACTGAACCTAGAATCTGGTGACACTGCCTCTAAGAAAAGCTGATTTTCAGATCCTGTAGCTCGTGGATGCACACGCTGCAGACTCAGAGTTAAGGGGCCATTTGGTGGAGGGAGCTGATATCCAGCGGCTGCTCTGTGTGGAATCGCACATCAAAGTTAATCTTTCACCGTCTGCTCTGGTGCCGCCGAGCACTAATCTGCTGTCAGTGTGATGAGGCTCCTGGACCAGTTCCCCTTTCCCAACACACAGGCACTAATCCACGAGACCTTTCACGTTTTTCCTCTTCCCGATCACCTGACTGCACAACAAAAGGGCACGGGGGTCACTCTGAAATCACATCGTCTGAGTGCTGGTTGACAATTTGCATTGATCCCTGTGTACAGTATGTTCCAGTCAGAGGCCAGTTTGCTCTGTTGACCAGCATCCTGATTGGGCTACTTATCCGTGCTTGATGGAGCGACCACATCTTGTGACAGGCAACAAAACAAAACAGAACAGCCGACGCAAACACTACAAATTCTAACGCCGTTGCTAGAGCTTATAATTTCTTCTGCCGTTTCTTTATTTTTCCACTTTTAACCCCCTCCAGGCCATCGCGCCAGAGGTGAGGGAACTCTCAGTTTGCTCGATCAAAGGTTTCTGTGTTGAAGCAAATGTCACTGCTCTCTTGCCCACATGCTGATTAAACCGTGATGAATACAGAATGAGCTCATTTGCATAATCGCTTGAGTGTCTGATGATTTCATTTTATTATCACGTTTCTCTTATAATCCATGGCTGCGGCACCCCATCAAGCTCCCAGCCCCTCTTTCATGTTCCTTTGCCCTCCCCATTCAGCCACAAAGCAGTGTAATTGCATTATCAAAGCATTAGACTGACGTGGAAGGAATGTATTTCAAGCTCCTTTATTTCTTGGGTAACACATAGAAGGCTGGGCAGAAATCTAAACATGGCATGATGAGTTCGATTTATAAGTACAAGAGTGTTTCATCATGACCTGGATGATCAGAGACGAACATTATTCAGACCCCCTCTTGAATATGAAAAATGCAGTTTCCATATTTATGTGTCAGCAGGAGAGCATACTACTTTATCAGGTTCTTCACCCTACTAGTAATACAGATGGGCCAATCATTTAGCAATTAAAAGAAACGTCCGCAAGGATAGTTGTTATCATGACGAAGATTTGGAGTTCGGCGGTGACTTGGCATAATAGCAGAGAAATAGGACTGCTTTTTTGCATAGGACAGCAGTTGTTTCTCAAGTGTCAGCAGGTATAGACTGAGAGACTGGAGAAGAGCCGGAGAAAAGAAAAATGTCAAGCAGGGCTGTGCTAGCACTGCATGATAATAGAAAAGGAGGAGGGGAGGAAAAAGAAAGAGAATGAAGCGTTTCATCTTCGACTCATAGTTAGAGGCAGGCAGGTCCGGGCTGAGGAAGGGTGAGTCAAAGTCAGGAATGGAAGAGCGGTTGAGAGGAAAGCTTTTTATCATCCCTGACTCTTAAGAAGATCTCCCAAATGAGAGAGGGCGTGCATGCTAATGTCAGAGCAGCAGTGATAACTAGCCGCCTGGTTTCGCAGGGTGAGGGTTAAGCTGGGATTTGGAGGGCTGAGGGAATACATGTTTGATATGTGAGCGAGGAAGAGACGAGGTGCCTTTGCCAGAGCCATACGTGACGGATTATTCTATATGGTTTATCAGTGTCTGCATGGCTGAAAGAGAGGAATTGTACTGGCCTTTGCTGGTTCCGTGTCGTTCCTGAGACTCCAGGGTGAACGTTCAGTTGGAGGATCAAAGCCACATTGACACCGCTTCAACACCAAGTCTTCATTTACAATGCATTAACACCAGTGAGGATGTAGCCATGTGCGCCATGGCTGTTTCCTTGAACTTAACATGGTAACCTTCAGCTCTGCGCACAATCCTGCAGAGACTTAACCTCGGTTGGATTGTGGCAAGCATACAAAACAATCTCCTACATCTGCCCCACACTTCATTTTGCCGCATTTCGAACATCCTCTTCTAAAGCCATCTTGTCTGTGCATGTTTGCCCGCTGAGTCGGAGATGTTCACCTATCTCAAAGTTGTCCTTCCCTGTGGCTATTGTTCGCAGTTACTCATACTCGAGTGCTCTGTTTCTCCTACCACACGCATTACAGCAGGCAGTGCGGTCCTCTGGCTCCCTCCTATCTCTGCCTCTCTATCTCCCCATTATGTTGTGTAGTTCTGCCAGCCTCCCCTTCTTCCTCTTATCACCTGCAGTGGAAATCGGGCTAATCCCAGCGCCTGTGGGATTCCCCCCTCTCTCTATAATGATGTATATCTGAGGGGATAGCATCAGAGCAGAGTCCTATCAGCCCACACACTCCTAATCCCATCAGTCTTTGCTGTCCAAACCCAGGAGAGGCTGCATTTTGGATGTTGTGCTCCCGGGTTGAAGCCGGAGAAACAGCGCAGAACATCAGGAATGATACGTGGCGTTTAGGGATCATGTTGGAGATCATGTTCATTTATTGTGCCTCTGACTTTGAAACCTTTGTGCGATATCTCCCAGAGGATTGCATTACAGCGGTACAAGCTGAAGCTGTGCCACTGCTTTAAAAGATTCTTGCAGGGTGTTTGCCACCAGCGATGCTGCCAGTCTCCTTGGCATAAGAAAGATAGTACTCAACAGTCTGTTCACGATGGAGAGGAACACAGAATGTGCTGAATATTTGAACACACTGACCGAAACATAAAAGAGATTTACATTTGGTTCATCAATTAATAATAAAACACAAGAGTTTTAAATAGTGACAAGCTCACCAGCGCTTGTTTATCGGTGAATGCGGCAAACAAAGATTGCTGCATTTCTCTCCTCTCACTCGACGGTCAGATTCACGATGCCCATTGGCACAGAAAAGAACGATCCTATAGCCTTTCTTGTTTTTATGAACTAAATTTTTTATGAGGCCTCAGACATAACCACCCTCAAGACCTCAACTGCAGTGCTCCATAAATTTCACTGTCTTCACGAACGCACACCAGAAAATGAATCTCTTCTTGTCACTCATGTTAGTATGCCTCTATGACATGCAGGCGCGATAATCCATTTTCTTGAGATTCCGAATTCATAGTTGTATGAGCATGATGGAGTTCAGGAGGGAAAATTACATTTTTTTTGGTACATCTATTATTTAACTGTCAGCAAGGATGAATATTGTGCTCTTTCAGCCTTGCGGAGAAGGTACAGAGAGCTGAATTGTCGTGGAGCATTGCTCCATTTGCTCCTTGTCACGGCTTGTAAAAAATGGAGTCTTTCTCGGTTGGTCAGTGTAAGGCTTCATCACTTCTGTGTCAAATCTTCAGATAAGATTTTAATGTTGTGTCCACTCTGACATTCTTTGATCCTCTGCCGCAGCTTCACAATTCACATCAGGCCTGCAGGAGATGTCATCAGTTTTAGGATATGTGAAACTTCCTGACATTGCCACCGTCCCTCCTCAGTTTTAATGCCTCGCTCTGTCATTTCAAACTTTTGATGGGTACAGTAGGTGACAGTATCTGGTTTCAGGTTAATTGAAAGGTTTTGGTCTCACAGCTTTGGAGGGCTTGTCTGTGCTGCACAAACCATTGATGTGTGAAACCGAGCATGTGAAATTACCCCAGGAGGCACTGATAGGGAGCCTGGTGTGCAATGGAAAGGCTGGTGAAGGTCAAACAGAAAATGATGCATTCAAGGAATTATCAAAGACATGCTGAGGATGCAGAGAGCATGTTTGGAATTCACCAATCTCCTCTTTTTGAAATGATAAAAAATGCTAATGCTTTGACGGACTACAAGTGGTTGACCTTGACATTTTTCCTTCAATTTAGCACTTTTTTTCATCAAACGTGTGTCTTATTTTAGATACTGAGTATTTCAAAGAAAGTTCACCGCGACTACCCACCACTGACTGTGTAATTAGATTAAATGGATGTAGCCACCATGACATTAACCATTAAAGATCTGACTGCTTTTAAAAGCCAGGTGTCTCCAATGATTGCTGCTGCCACATCGATATGCTGGAACAAAAACAGTTCAGAGGAAAAAAGGGTTGGCAAACCGATTTTTAAAGTTTACAAAATCAGAGGAATTTTTCAGTCCTAGTTTTGCATTATGTGCAAAAAACTCCCCAAAAACCCTTCACTCAAAAAACACTGCAGAAGTTCAGTTGCCAGTTTAGCTAGGGTGACCATATTCTGACTTCCCAAAAAGAGGACACGACTTTTCAGAAGTCAGAATATGGGGGGGCAGAGTCATGGAGTCGCACCAGGTTAATTTTGAGAGTTTTTCGGGTCGGATCGAGAGTCTTTTATGCGCTTCTAACTCTGTCAGTGCATGTGACACAAAATTGAAACTTATGTACAAAACCACGTACATTTGAAGGATTTTATAAACTTTTACGGACAAAGCCAGACAGTGCCCAAAAAAGAGGACATAAAAGAGGACGTATGGTCACCCTAGTTTAGCCACTGGTTTCTCAACAACATAAAGGAAACACTGATTTTTGGAATTTGGATGCCGACATGTCAGTTTTATGGAGCCAGAAGTGAGAACATTTAAAAAAGAGTGGGTGGAGCTAAGTAGGAGGGAGGAGTTGGAAAATACTTAAGTAGACTCTCTCTAAAGATGGCACCTGTAGCTGGTCAAAAACTACCATTATGTTCGGTACCAAAACATTCTGTTTATGGCGACAGCTGACTGCAGCTGTTTGTAAATCAGACTAAAGTGAACATCTTCCAAGTTTGGATAGAAAAAATTCCCACATTAGCAAAGCTGAGATAGTAAGTTCAGTCACACCACTGGCTGTGCAATCACAGAACCCATTGGCAGTCATCGTCTGTCATTGAGTGGTGAAAAGAGGCGATTTATGACTCTGGAAATGGATGCCAACTTTTTGGTAATTCTGGTGTAGCCAGCAGTTACAAAAACAACTCCCAGCCATGACTCTACTCCAAGCTGTGTTTACGCCTGCAACGCAAGTGCTGTCATTTCTTGGTCCATTAGATTCCCCGGGATAGCACCCATTCGTGTGTTTTAAGTACCAGGAGGTCTCAGTTCAACAGTAGACACACAGATGCTTCGCTCTGCCTTAGTTTAGCAGTATGAACCTGAGAAAGAACCCCTTTTTAATGGTCTTAGTTTGTCCAAATAACAGATAAAACTGCAGCCTCTGTCAGGTCTGTCATCAACAAGCAATATAAACCACTTCTAAAATGATTGTTTGTTGAGCTAAAGTTAGCTTAATCATTTCTGATAAACCTGAGGTAGTAAACCTAACTACTGGTTGGCTTTCGTAGCTCAGCATTGAGCAGATTTGTTGTTCAATTTGTACATTTTAGTTAAGAACGGTCTACGAGCATGATACGATATCTCTTTATAATAAATCAGCATGAGATTACTGCCAGTGGGAGTTAAGATGTCATTACAACGTACGAGTTTTGCCTGCTTTTACTCTCCGTGTAGACTGTTTTTCTTGCTTACACAAATTCCTGCTGGAGCGTGATTAATCGGTAGCACTCAACCACGAATGGATTACTTAGAAAAAATCAGAACACTTCTCATGCTGAAAATCCAGCCCCTCCTGTACGTCTATATTTTTATGTCAAACCAGAAAACAGAGATTGTTCACTGTTCCTCTGTTCTGATGTGAGAGCTGCATCCTGCTGTCAATGTCAGGAACCCCACCCCAGGACTTATTAAAAATCAAACCCTTTTTTTTCCACACTGCAAATCAAAAGGATATTTCAGGGTTGCTGTAGTGAGGTTGTATGAGTTACATGCTTCTAGTTACATTTTAGCCACAGTGGATGTCAGTTATAGTTCTGCTCCTCACCTCGGTTTTATGCTAGGTAAGTCAAGTTCCTCTGCAAACGGGGTCAAGACTGTCCAGTGAATTAGGTTTTGTGTGAGACCATGGTTCAAGTGTCGACTTCTCTTTAGGAGTTTTTTTTACACTTTGTCAGCAGGAAACGCAAATGTTTGTGCATTTTTTTTGTAGACGCAACACGCGTGCTCATCTGCACGGATCAACTAATCAGGTCGATGATGTACAAGTCACTGACATATTATGAATTTCAATACTTTTGCATTTCAGTTCTCGATAACTTTAAGCACCAAATTCCTATGACTGTTTGGTATTGGCTGTAGAGTTAGTTGTCTTAGCTCAGTCATCCTCTTTAACTGCTAACATGGTGTGTTCTCAGTGGTCGTTAAATTGTGATTATGAAGTTTTTAGCCAAAATCACGTTACCTCTGCAGAGCTCCAGTAGATCATTAGCAACTCGCCTCTGAGTCGTGGGCGGAGACAGCGCTGCTCTGCACACTCCTTTTCATGCTAACTTGTAGCTTAATGTTGCCGAGCAGCAGAGGAGGCAGATAATATAGAAGCTATTCAGCTCTTGGACACTAATGTCTTTGTGGGCATGATGAAAGCTAATATCATATTTAGCTTTCTTACAAGCATTGCAATCCACAACCACACACACTTTTTCCCACGATTGTCCTCTCTACTTCTTGAGGTCTGGCCTGCAGAGTGGGGTACCAGGGGCGGAGCTTGGATTTATGGTATATCTGGTATATCTGGTGTCCTTATATGGTACTTACAGGCTGTTGACTCACGTTTGGAGCCAGCTCCAAGTGGCCAATAGAGAAACAGTTTTTGCACATTAGTTCCAGTTCTTAGCCCTCGACAAAAACCACACAAGTTAATATTGTAAGCAGAAAATGTTCCTTTGTGCACACTATAGGCAAGAAATGCAGGACATTAAGCAAATAATGGGGAGAAAAATTAAGATTTGATTTAATTTAATTTGATATTCAGATTAACAGATTGCAGACCTCTTAGAAATTATTGGCATGAAACAATGTGGATAGATTGTGCGGGAGATAGGACGGTGCGCTTAATTCATCTTGATCCTTATCAGATGATGAATCAAAATGGTTAATGTATTAATCAAATTAGTTTCATTCCAGTGCCTACTATTGAAGTATCAAAGTGGAGTAGATCAAAGTGCGTTTTGATGAGATTCAGTGTCTTTACCATGACGGATTGAATGGAAACGCACCACTCAGTCCTGAGAGTTTTTTTTTTCATTGAAACACTTTGACCTTGAATGCTCAGGGGAATAACATGCTGTGATGCCATTTAAGTGCCATTCATTCCTCATTGCTTCTATTATTGCTATTCGCTCCTGTTACTTCTGCAGGGGTTGAGTTAGTGTCAGGAAGTGGAAGCTTGAAGTAACATGACAGAGGTGCCAGCGAATGCTGGGGTTTTAACGCTGTCGACAAAGCTCTCTGCGCTGAAAGATCTCCCACAATCCTTCTTGGATCCTAATTGTCAGCGGTGCTAAGCTGTTGGCGCTGATCTCCACTGGCTTGTCAGTCTGTTGGACAGCAGGACTTACTTTAGACCTCTATGGTAACATAAGAAACTAGAGTCTGCGTTCACTTGAAAGGTTTTTTTTTTTCCTGTAAGTGTTTCCTTTCTCCTGCCAACATCCGAACGCTTAAATAAGTTGTCGCATTTGAGAGGAGCAGACACAGTGGCAGAAACAAACAGAAGAGGTCAGATATCCTAAAATTAGGCCCATTGTAGCTGAAAAGATTTCATTCCAGTTTGATTGATTTACAAAAAGAAGGACCTGCCCTTTCCCTGAGAGGAGAAATAAACAAATGACGTGTCTGTAAAGTCATACAGATATCTTGTTTGTTTTTTTGCCCCCCTCTCGCTTCCCACTAACCAGATGGCAGTCAGATTTCAGACACAGGGTTCTGGAAGACAATCAAGGAACAAGATTGCTTTTTTAGGAAGGAGGATTGGTTTAACTAGATGTCAAATTAAAGGCCTTCACACGCACACACACAAACAAACAAACAAATCAGTGTGTGTGTTTTTGTGGCTGTCTGTGTGTGTGTCCCTGCGTGTCTGTGTCTTTGAGTGTTGGCACGAGCTGTGAGGTGGTGAGGTGTTGTACAGATATCTGTCTGCGAACACCTCCTGATGGAATAGTGCACCATTTTTAAGGTGAAGCGCACAAACTTTGCCATGCAGGTTGACACAGGGACTCATGAATGTTTGATTGGTCTATTATCCAGAGCAGGCGGGGACATTCATCCCCTGCTTCTGGATTTCAAATATTCCTTTAAACCCGGCATCTCTCCTACAGTGTCCACGCCGAATCCCGGTTTTCTCCCTCTCTGTATCTCTCATTCTCACTCTCTCCCTCTCTCTGCATGCAGGGCTTCATCTGCAATGCTGTCATCTCACTGTAGGACAATTCTACACAATGCGTTGTTTTTAAGAGCGCTGCAAGAGCAAGCACGGTGAGCATGGTTTCAGGTGGGTGAAACCAGGGAATTGATACTCAGTCATCCCGACACTCCTCTTCCTCCTCTGTGGGGTGGATAAAGATCTGGCCATCCATCTTCGTGTCTCACTCGTGTCAGCTCTGGGTAGCGAACGTGGCTACCTGTTAGTGAGAGACAACAAGAACAAAGCAGAAACATTACTTTAATCTCTGGCTGCTGCTAATTCCTACCTCTGCCGTCATCCAGGAGGCAGAGCTTTGTGTATCCCAGTCCCTCCCTCATGAACAATCCATCACTGTTAGTGCTTCTCTCCAGAGTGCGCTCTCTCCCTCCTCTGTTTTTTTTTTTTCCCACTATGCTTTGCTTTCAAAAGACGATGCTCCCTCAAAGAACTGCAATACATTTTATTCCACAGTTGGCTCTTCAGGCTCATTTTCACATCTAGCAGCATCTCGACTCGACCTGCAAGAATAAAACACATCGAAGAGCTTTTATTTATGTGAGAGAATGCCACGGTGCATTTTTGTGTAGACCTCTGAAAAGGCTTTCAAAAGCACATCCCCAATCTATAATTGACACCTACTGTCAGGCTCGGTCTGTGATTACACAGGAAAATGACTTGACCTGTAATGAACTGTAAAACTAATGACATCTGTGTGAGATTACTCATCTTGAAAGCAAACTGTTGTACATGAAGCCCCATCAAGCGTGATATTAAAATGTCCACTTTTACATCTTTCTGCCCAGGCTCTGTCGAAGCCCTGACTGTTGGGCCCAACGTGATGGAAACCTGAGGCTAATGACTCAAGCAGACGGCCGTGGGCATTAGACAACTTCATTTATGAAATAGTCAACCTCCCGTGTAGCGATACATTCACATTAGCCCGCCTCACTTGAGAGACGCGCGGCTGTCACAGCCACTGAGCAATGCTGATGTCCTCTCCTACCTGCATTCATCTTCCTCTCAGGAGCTAATGGTCTTCTCAGGTCATTTGCGCATTTGGCTCTCGATCATTTGTCTCTCCCACCTGCAACCCTGTGGATAGCTGGTCCTCAATAGCACACAGTGGCATGTTTAGAAGACAAGGAAACACAAATGCTCTGATTTATCCTTTTCCAATTCTTCTCTTCCTCCTTCACTTCCTCTCTTCACCTCAGTGCCGCCTGTTGCCTCAAGCGCCCGCAGAGGGCGAATCATACAGGTTAGGCTCAAATGATTTGTTGCTGTAATTTGCAGGTTTTTGCCGACCACTATTAATAGCCGGGGAGAAACCAGTCCGCCTTCTAATTATTAAATGTTGTCACATGATATTTACCAAACTGTGTGGGGGCCAGTGTTGTAGCTCAGTCACTAAATCAAGTCTTGAGTCGTCAGTGTTCAAGTCGACTCCAGACAGAGTTACCGAAGAAGAATCTAGTCTAAATTGAGTCCCTCTCTCTGAAATTGTCTTTGGTCTAGTCCTTATCATTTCTATCATGATTAATTAGAAGCAGAGCTGCTGTTCACTCCACATCATTGACTGTAGGACCCTGAGGTGACTGTGTGGGATCTTTTTGATGTTTGGAAAAAACATTTATGAGCATTAGATTCATGCTGGTTCTGTCAGTGTGTCTAAAGATTTATGTTTGTGGGTGCATCCCGATCAGCTGACTCTGAGGTTGTCTCTGTCCTCACCTTGATGGTTGTTTTACCGATCATACATGATGCGCTTCTCTTGCTTGGCTTGCATATTAAACCTAGACTGTACATGCTACGGTCAGCTTGGTTCCGCCTTCCACCAGCGTACGGATTTGAAGCCAAAAAGCTCTCGGTATTTCTGGGTTTTTCCTCCATTTCCTAAAACCAACATTGCGCAGTAGTGTTGTACGCTTTCGGCAGGAGAGTCGCCGAGAGTCGCTGTGATGACGCTCGGCTCTAACAGTGTCCATGGCTCCATAGGGATTGCTGGAGGAGGCGGGTTTTATGACCGATACTGCAGCCCGTCACCAGGGGGTGCTGTTCTCAGGGTGGCTTCACCCAGTGAGGAGGCAGACAGAGTTCATTCTTTATACAGTCTACGGTATTAAGGCATCCTTTTAGAAACTGTCGCTGAATTAGACAGCCAGCTGCTCCAAACTGAATAAATTAACAGGGCTTTATACAAAAAGAAATTAAACAAAGCCCTTGTCTCCGTCTTTCAAGTCTTAATTCAGGCAATGTGAGTCATCAGCGCTCAAGTCTGTGAATCCTTGATATCAAGAAAATCAAGTCCTGGACTCGAGAGCTACTTGTAGTCGTGTTTCCTGGTAAAAGTGATATTTGGTTATCTCAGTTCGCCGTACTGCTTACAACAGCTCGTATCCTACAAATGTTCTTGAACCCAAACCTTTTAATTACTAAGAGCTGATCTTGTTGAAGACCAAGATGAAGTATCTTTGTTATATTTTATTTCATTAACAGGAACAATTCTGTCTTTAAGTGGGCTGATGGCAATTCAGAGCCCACTTAGCAAATTTCTGAGTGCGATCCCACCAGAAGGAGTATGTGCGGTTTGGTGGCCAGGGTCAATATTCCCATGAAATCTGATCAGTCAACCCAGATGTCACCTCATAACCTGATACTATGATGGGCTTTTTATCTTGTCAGAACTGGGACAATAACAGGCTAGCAGCCGCTTGCTTTTCATTTTGATGTAACACACTTCTTTGTTGGTGTCTTTGACTGTGACTTTTCTGACTTCTCTTGAGTCCTCAAAGAATGAAGTTAAGAGGATTTATGTCGCCACTCTGTCCTGTCTCTTTTAAAGCTCTACATTTACCCATGATTATAGCAGTAGTATGATACTTTGTTGATTGTTGTTTGGGTAGATCACACAGCTTTCAACTATAATGAACAAATCTTAATCACAGAGTCTTCTCTATGGACTTCTCTGTAAAACCAGCGTCACTGAAAGATTCGTTGCTTGTGACTTTTTTAGGAAAACAGTAAGTACAGTCGTCAGATGAGTTTGTGAATCTGCTGTCCCTTCATTTATAGGCCAAAAAACCCAACTACGATATGACCTCTTTTTCACATGGCTGGCTGCTCAGACTGGACCAACCAAAATAGTTTGAACAAGGGAAATTCTGACATGGTGTTAAATGTCACATGATAAAGAATGATCATTCGCTCATAAGGTGAAGCACATCTATGATATAAACCCTGCAGTTTCTCATTACAAGCGTTTTATCTGGTCCAAGGGGAAGAGCTCCCACCTTTAAGTAATTGCGGTTGGATGTGTCTACTAATGTAAAGAAAGTGAGATCATGCCGACAGTTTGATTTTAGCTTTACCTTACGCACAGACAGGTCCGACTGCCTGAAAGAAGACAGGCGCATTAATCTCCTTAATGGGGATGATTCAGACCCCATCTGACTTATGCACAACCATTAATCTATTCATGCTGAATGCAGCCTGTTCAACATTTAAAAGATGTTGAAAAATTACCTGCCTGTGCTTAGATACACTGACGAGATCTGTGTTGTGCATGGATCCAAAACATGAACTGTTTTCAAGTGTTTTCACTGTCCTTATTTCTGCATTCAATATTTAAGCCGTATTATGATCCAAAAGAAAAAAGAAAACAAAACACAAAAGTGGCCCAAAGACTTAAAGTGATCCTCCAGGGCTCGGCGTCACGCTGTTCCTTTCCCTTTTCGCTTTTACTCGATGTGATACCACTCGCTGTATCTTTCACAAGCTGTTTGGCTAACAGAGGTCGCAGGGGATATGTAGCCCGTTTGGTCACGACGTGAAAGCATTAGCCGGTGCCAGCAGGTGTGTAATTATATATGAAACAGCGTTTCAAAAGAGGAACATCATGATGGCATGCAGAAAGTAGGCCAGCAAGAAGAGACTTCACAAAAGTCCTATTTATTCCTCACCCACTTCAGATGTGTGACTTGCTATTTGAAGTTGTGAAATAATCCAAGGTCACTGTAACTATTTCAAGACAAGTAAAAATAACATGAATCACACAACAACTTAACATGATAAAACAAGCCTCCAGAGCTGATCCTTTGAGAGGACTGGCTTCTTTTCTTGTCTTGTTTGCACAGTGAGCTCACTGTCATCTGTTTTTCTGTGTTCCAGGTACGGTGACATGGTGCCAAAAACCATCGTGGGGAAGGTGTTTGGGTCCATATGCTCTCTGAGTGGGGTGCTGGTCATCGCCTTGCCTGTCCCTGTCATAGTGTCAAACTTCAGCCGTATCTACCACCAGAGCCAGCGGGCAGAGAAACGACGAGCCCAGAGGGTACTGACTCACCCCCTCCCTGTTTCCTCTCTTCCTTCCTTTCGCTCTGTCTCTTCCTTTTTTTTTTTTTTTTGGCTTCTATCAGCCTCTCCCCTCTGTCCTCTTCTTATCCACACGTAACAGCATGACAGGGCAAACACTACCCTGCAGAATATTAATCTTTTATTGTGTTTCTGTGTATTTGGGGGGGGCTAAACCCTCTTGAGTATATTTCAGAGGGAGATGGAAATAAGAGAGGGAATGACAATGACTGAACAAATGATCTTTAGAGTATAGTGTCAGCAGCTTTTCAATTGCAATATGTTCATTTCTTCCTGAAAAGTGTTTGCCAAGGCAGATTTTTCTCTAATGGTACATTTAAGCATAGCCTGTCCCTGCTAAATACTGTGGTTGCCAGAGGGAGACATAGCCAATTAGAGTGACAGACAAACCGTCAGAGGCTAAAACAGAGGTCTGTTTGTTCAAACAGAAAACTCGACTTGCTAGAATCCGTGCTGCGAAGATTCGAGGCACTAATGCCTATATGCGCTACAAACAAAACGGGCTCCTGATCGACTCGCTGGAGGAGGTAAACGGGGACCAAGCGGCGGCTCGGGGGCTGACTGACTGACTGGGGCCTCGCTGACGCTTGCATGCCGCTCTGCTCGGGGGGGCCATGCCACCTCACACACGGGAGGGAGGGAGGGAGGGAGGGGGGCTTCTCATGCTACTGTAACACAGGGGGGCTGCTGTCATTCCAGTGCTTCAGTGTGATCGTCCTCTCTCTCTTACATCACACCTCTCAGCCCCGGCATTGACATGCTTCGTCGACACTCTCTCTCCGTCCATACAGCAGGAGGGGGCCAGGCAGGCACACTCGCCGTCTGGTGGAGCACGGCCATCTCAATCACACTGACTCATGACCAAGCTCTGCATGTCTGTCCAACAGGGTTTGGAGGGGAAGAGGGGGAACCAAAGGCTTACCGGACAGTAGGTCGCCTGCGGAGACTGTCTGCACAGCCTGCATCTCCTCTGAACTCTGTTTTTGATCTGCTGTGTGTGTTCGGTGTGTTATTTCTAGAGCATCCAGGTTGTAGTGCAGACTAACACGACATACCTTCCATCCCAGAGCCGTGCAGAGCCTCATCAAAGTGTGTAGTGTTGTTGTGGTTCGGAACCTGTGCTGTGTTTGGTGCAATCTGTTCGATCTGTGTCTAGGTGTGCCACTGCTGTTACATTGAAACGAGCTCAGTTTCTAATTTGACTTTTCTGGTCCTTCTTACTAAATCAGCGAAAGAAATGACAAAACGAATTCTATCAGTGAAACATGCCGTAATGAGCTACCGACTATGCACCCTGAAAAATGTCCTCACCTCACTAGGTTCTCAGTAGATTGGCTGCCGTGCTACAGATCAGCATTTCAACCGTCAATGCTTTGCCTACATTACTAGCTGTTTGCCTGAGACTCAGTTCCTGTGCAGAGTCTGAACCTGCTCATCGACACTGTTGTTTTCTCCCACTTTGTGTGTTCCAAGGCCTCCAAGGAGGCAGGACAAGCCCTCGTGGGGAAGAGCCCCAGCCCACCATTCGAGAGCCAACATCATCACCTGCTGCACTGCCTGGAGAAGACCACGGTAAAATCCCTTTATTTCCCCCCAATACTTCAAAGCTGCGTCCACTGGAAAACACACAGTCGCTCCGGTGTCTTTCATTCTTACTTTCTCTGTAACGGATTAAAATAGCTCCCAGGAAAAAATAGTTCCTTTCATGTAAAATTGCATCTGCGCTGTCTCATCAGTAGTGCCAGGCTGGTACAGTGAGTTACAAATAGAAACAAAGTGAGTTTTTTCATCCGTGCTCAAACTGTACCATCATTTTATATGCAGCATGAGTTAAAAATAGCTGCAAATGGGGCTGGGAAATGTTGAATCCCTTATCCATGAACATGCTAAAGATAACATGACTCTGCCAGCCAGCGACATTACTCCTCCCAAACAAACCAGCATACTTAATTTTACAGTATGTATAATTCAGAGCTGTAAGAGCCTCTTTAATGCTTCGCTGTGACATGAGTTTTACACTTGCAGCTCTGTAAAGAGATGCAGACTGGCAGCAAATCAGTGTTCCTCCTCGTATATCATCCTCCCCCAGTAAAAAGCTTGCATGTAGTCTGGAAAAAGCTCCATAAAGGCTACACGCCATTTAGATGGCAGCTCACATGTTTGCATTAGGCTTCTCATACTGTGCATTATAGATGGTAAAGTGACAGGCGGAGGTAAAAGAAAGAGGCATGATTCAAAGCTATGCACAGATGCTGTGTGGTGACGCTGCCACCTGCTGGCAAAGCTTGAAACACACTTTAATCTGACCTTCAAGTCCTGTTCATTCGTCACAGGGATAACAGTTGTGAATGTTTTCACAGATGGCCCTTAATATGGACATCTGGGCCAATATATTTCTATTCCCATGATGATTCATTTTCCAATTATTAAACAATTTTGCAGTAGATTCTGTTCAGTCTGTTTAGTCTTTACTGTGAAACATCTTTAGTCATTATTTAGCAGAGCCAATCATTGATGTAATAGAGTGATTCATGAGCTGCGACCACATCTGAATCCCCGCCACTTCCCTCTGCAGAACCACGAGTTTGTGGATGAGCAGACGTTCCAGGCCAACTGCATGGAGATCTCTGTGATGAATAAGTCGGGCTCGCGCACATCCTCGCTGTCCTCGTCTCCGCACGGCCTCAGTTCGTGCTGCTCTCGACGCCACAGGAAGAAGAGCAGCTTCAGTCTGCCCAGCACCAACAACCAAGAGCTCAGCACCATCCAGATCAGAGAGAGGCCCATGGCCAACAGGTAGTCCTGCTCCTCCGACACCCAACACTCACAAAGAAGAGATCGCTGTGATTGATTTAGTTCTGTCTATGAATCCTTTGATCAAACTAAAATATGAATTTATATATTTGCATTGTTGACATTTGGAACTACTTGTGCAAATTAGGACAACTCTTATGATCTGTATCTATTGAATGATCCACTGAATGGTATGCCGAGGTGTAGTTATCTTCTAAATCCATGCACAGATAAACGGCCTATTCATTTGATTTACTTAAAATAATATTTCACTTTAATCACAAAGTTTTGACTCATAATCTCACAGGTTTAAAAACGCTCTCTGTAATTTTTGCACCCAAATAAGTTTAGCCTAGTGGAGCTGAAAGGGGCTTTTTGTGATACCACAACGTCTTCTTAGAGATCCTGTTACTCTGGTTAATCCACAGTCATATTTTTTTACTTACTTTTACTTTACTTACTTCTTGCAAAAGAAGTAGTCCCTTCTCAGTGGAAACGGTTGAACAGCTTGTTCTGTAGATCGAGCAGAGAAACTAGAAAGCTGTATCAGTGAAGAGGCGTTGCTGTAAATGATCTGATAACATGAGGGCTAAGTGGGGGAAAAGTTTCATTCTGTAAATTGATTCCCTGTTAATTTAAGTGTGAGATTTTGTCCTGTTACAATTTCTCCTTTTGCTGTATTGCAGTGTATTACATGTGGTGGAGGGGAGAGTTCTTGGGTGAAATTTCTCATGCATCTATTCAGTACATACTGATTGCACCCAACTGTCAGTGAATGCTTAAGATGTACAGTACACTCAGTCTCTGACTCTCGGCTCTTTATACATAGCCCTCTTCCCTGCAGTTTATTCTCTATAGACTCAAGGCTGCACAAGTTCCCTCTGAAAATAGAAATATCACTTTATGAGCAACAACAGTAAAAGCTTTTTTAAACTGTGTGGATTAATTGAATGTCTTTGTGTAAAACGTCCAAGAAGTTCAAGCCCCCTCTCGCCTCTTCTCATCCCATGTCATCTTTTGCAGCCGCTCCAACCTGAACGCCAAACTGGACGAGACCGTGCCCTTGAAAATCGACGAATCTTACATCACCCCCTCTATGGTCAGCCTCTCGGCCCCCGTAGTGACTTCATCAGACGGACACAGCTCCACCACCACCACTGCATACTCTCAGAGCAACATTGTCCGAGTATCTGCCTTGTAGATGTCACGCCTATCCTATCGGCTAACTGGTCTCAAGAAGAGGCACCAGCTGCTGAGGAGAGGGACCACCGAGCATCAACCTGCCATAATCTAGAGGGATTATAAGATTAGCAGAAGTCGGGGGTTTTTTGAAGTAGTGATCTCATCTATCTGATGTCAAACTCTGCATGGTATTACAGTGATGTGGATGGCTGCCTTGGGAATAAAGAACGAAACCAGCAGATCCTGCTCCTTTAAAGCACAGCAGACAGTGGAAGTGTTGGGATTGTGTCGGTTAACGTTGTTGCCTAAAAATACTGAGACAAAAACTTTATTTTTGAATATGTAATGTAGTCGTATTTGTTGTCTTCTGATTCCAAGGAGGAAAGGCAGATGTTTCAAAGCTCATTCCTGATGGCCTCTGATGACAAAGCACACATACTCATGAACAGAGGGCCATCTTTGTGAATATTGAACCAGTCAAACGACACATCTCAGACACTCACCTCACATCCACGATAGATTATTTTGAAACCCCTCCACTGACTGGTTTCTAATAGTCCCCTCACTGTTGTAAATCCAGAAAAACATTCACCCGCAGGAATGAAAACTGTTGTGAATATTCATTAACTGACTCATTAACTGGTTGATGTCATCGCTCAATGAGTAAAATATTCTCCGCATCCCCACATGTTTGTGAAATGTGCAAGTGAAAATGACAAAAATGACAAAATCTGTGTTAGCTTACATAACTTGACATTCTGATATGAATCTATGTGAAAGCCACTATCATTAATTAACAATCGATATTGAGAACTATACAGGGTACATATTAGTTAGAAATATGAGTGAGTGTTAACTAATAATAACCCTTATGTGGACTCATAAGTATTGACCTGAAACAACCACATGAAGGAGTGTAAATCATCAAATCCATCCCGTTCCTCCTGATTACGATATTCCTAAGCGAGACTTGGTAGATTTCACTGTGTTAAAAAGGCCATTTTGTACATTTTTCATACTGTAAATATCTCGGTTGGAACTTTATCAGCTGCTTTTGAAGTTGGCTCCTCTTTTCTCTAGATTTAGTTGACGATTGTTGGCATACTCTTTCTGTCTGTTTCCTGGTTGAAATAAGGATTTGCATGCTGTCATTGCAGACTTCTGTTTTATTAAAAAAAAAAGTATGTCTCTGCTTCTTGTTGGAGGTTTGTCAGTTAAAATGAGATTTATAAACGGACACCGGAGGCTGGAATGTTATGATGTAAACACTTTGCTTTTAATAAAATACAAATCTTGTCATGGAGAACATATATAAGGAGTAAGGAAAGGGAAGAAATAATCACACATTGTGCATTTGGTGCAGTGGATAGAATAAATACTGTAGCTCTACTCAAACACCCTTTAAACGGCCCTTGTCTTTTCTTTTCCTTGTTTTCTGGAACGTAATTAGCTGGATTTCATAATGTTTTTTCCAGATAACTAATGGAAGGATGGGATAATAATGAGGTAGTGCTGGAGGACGTGTAAGGACCTGGCCGGCCCAGCAGTGGGTCCAGAGTGCAGAGACTGCTCTCCTGCTGAGCTCTGTGTGCCGGCTACAGCGGTCTTTCCCAGCGTGCAGCGCCTCTGCTCTGCAGTGTTTAGGGACTGCTGAGAAGTCGGCCAGTATTAAATCTAAGATATCACAAAGACATAAAATAATAGGTCTCCTATATAACCAAATAAAATTCATCCTTTGACATGTGGGGTTCAATGCAGTTAATATTTGAACAAACTGGGCAAATGTTAACCCTCTTAATATTCAGTTAGACTCTGAATAATGAATCTGGGTATTTGGTCCAGTGTGACTTGGAGACAGCAGTGAGAATGTGATCATTTCTTACTGAATATGGATTCGACCCTGTTTTTAATTCTGCAAAACTCTGTACGAAACTGAGGGTTCACTGCTGCGTAGATTATGGGGTCACTCAGAGATGTGATGCAGGCGACAGACACCAACAAGATGTCCACGTGCTGGGTGATGATTAGCATCTAAAGACAAAATGGAAATTTTCACATGTTAGAAACCATAAAATATCATATAAAGTAATCATATAGAGCCTTCCACCCTAAGGTTTTGGATGTGGTTACATGGTATGTGGATGGGAATAAAGTTTTTTATATGATGTTTAGTTATTGCTCACATGAATGATATATATTTATCTAGGAAGATGTGCTATATCTTGAAAATACAATATACAAATATATCACATTTAAACTTGCACTTTAACTTTAAAAATGTACAAAATGATGACAATCATGGACTTAAACACGAGTTTAGAGCTTTAGATCTATAAGCAGTCCAGAAACCCTTTATACACATTTTAAAACAGAGTTATTCACCCACTTCAGACAAAACTTTATGCAACATTTTAAAACAAAACTTGCATTTTCATCTTAACTTAGACTTACCGGTGAGTTCTTGTTTTTGTGAATGACTAGATTCACCAGGATGGATGTGATCAATGGCAGCCAGAATAAAAGGAACGTTATAATTATGTAGCCGGCACGCTTTGCCATTTTGCTTTCCTTCTTCTTCTTCACCCTCTCTTTGCTCGTTTTTGAAGGCATCATGCAAACGGCACCTTCCGCCTCCACATCTTGTTTCGCAGCTTCTGTTTCAGGTACGTCGACGGAGACAGGAGGTAATGAGGACGCTTGATCTACAGTGACAACAGGCAGCGCTCTTTCTCTGTTGCTTTTCTTGGGTTGTTTTTGCTCACTCAGTAAAACAGATGTGGATCCAGGATTTTCTACCTTTGCAGGGGAGCTAAGATGGGGTCTTGTTTCTTTCATTTCAGAGGCTGCTGTGTCAGTCTTCGATCTCTCTTTGGACTGTTTGACTGTTTCCAAGCTGCTTGAGGCTTTCTCAGGTTTTGTAGTTGAGTTATTGACTCCATTAGCAGCTTCATTTGTTGATGGTTTCTCTGCAGCTTTTCTGTCACATGGGTTGGACCGCTCAGTTTTACGAGGTTTCTCCTCTGTTTCCACTTTAATCTGCAAAGAGGATTGATGTCCTGTTTCCAAGTCAGTTATCTCGAGAGCATTTGTTAGAACTTTTCTGTTGTCTGCACCAACAGGGAGTTGAGCAGTTGTTGAACCTTTGTTGGATGAATTTGGTTCAACTTGTGTCAACCCATCAGGGACACTTTTGCTCAGGTTCTGACTCTGCTCAGGGTTTCCACATCCAACTTCCACAGCTTCGGTTTCTTCTTTAGTTTGCTTTACTGCTGTTTCGTCACTTTTTGACACCAAGATGATCCCTTTGTCGAATATTTTGCGGTTGTGTGATCTCACAAGGAAAAATATGCGTGCGTAGAATCCCACGATAACGGCAAAGCAAGCTGCCCAAAGTGGAAACAATATGTAAAGTCCAAAGGTGTCATAGGAGTCTGAAGTTGTTCCTCTTGGAAGTCCTTTGCATTTCACTTGCACGGGTGAGTCCCTCACAAATGTGAGGCAAAAACCAGCCACCAGAATAGCCAAAGTCCATGTGAGAGGAATCAGAACCATGATCCTCTTTCTTCTCTGGCTGATTTTGAAGGGCTGTGCGATGGCCTGGTATCTCTCTGCACTTATACAGGCGAGTGTCAGCAGCTGGATGCAGCAGCTGAAGGAGAAAGAGGCCACCTGTGCATCACAGATCAACTCATCGGCATGTCCTCTCTCATGCACGGTGATGACGATGGTGAAGAGGAGAGGGCAGTCTATTGCACATCTCAAAATGTCGATAACTGCAAGATTCACCACCAGTGCGTTGTTCCAAGTTTGGAGGGACTTTTGGTGATAAACAGCAATGATGACAAAGATGTTCGCTGCAACCCCAACAACAGAGGTGATCAACAGAATCAGGCAGTTGGCAGCAACAAAGGCGATGTCAGTGTAGTCCTCCAAGCTGGTGTTGTTCCCAAAGTCCCATGAAGGCGAAGGCTCGACTCTCATCTCCAGGTTTAAAGAGTCAGCATTTTTAGATTTGTATGTCGGACGTGTCGAAGGAAACAAGCTTCTTTGTCTGTGATTCTCTACTGAATGGATGAACCTGTGTCTTGGACAAGTTTCACCAGAGTATCCGCCCTTTTCATTATCACTTCCCAGCAGCAGGTCACCTGGGAGTGCTCACTCTTCACATTCATTAAACACTGTGCTGTGTATTCACAGCGTAGACAACAGGGAAAAAGGAGGTTGATGTTAATTGAAAATTGGCGACGTCACTGTTCTCTCAGTCTTAATGTGAATCTTTAAAAAGCCAAATGTAATAATAGTGATTGTATGGTTTAGCACTGTGATGCTCAGGTCGTGCATATGTGTTTGAGGCGAGCAGCTGTCCATCTCATTTAATACAGGGACCTCACAAAGGTTAAAAGCTTTGCATTAAGCAGGCCAGATGGATGACTCGGGAGTTTTCTGAATTGGCTCAGAAAATAAAGGGAGCCGTGCTGCTGGATTAAAGCATGACACTGTGTAATCCTGTTTGGAGATAAAGTGTGAAATGCTCTTTGCCTCAAATGTGCAAGCTTACCAACTATGCCAAATCTAGGATTAGATCATCACAAAACATTTTCCCCCTGACCATCCTACAATTGAGACTGATCAAAAGTCAAAATAAAAGCAGAGTGGGTGAACCGTACAAAAGAAAAAAGTTGCTAAATAACAAATAATTTCTGAGAATATCTTAAAATGAGATTACTTTTCACAGAGTGGGGTTGAAGAAAACGTTTATTCAGGAGAAGATCCTTATTTGAAAAATGTACAACAAGCATGTGAAATTGGGGAACAGGACAAAGACAAAGAAATAGAAAAAAAAGAGAGCTTTCAACAAAACTTAATTAGTAGAGTTGACCTCAGTCTCTTGGAACCCCTTTGAGAAGCTGGTACTTCTATATATTATGGGAATTGTATGGTTTTATTCAGACGTAGACAGACAACTGGGGAATGACACCTGCTAGGGGCTGTGGGTTGAAGTCAGGGAGATTGTTTAAAGTCATGGTATCAGGTTTTAATGCAGACGGTAGGATTATTACGTTTTCAGTCTGATCTGAATTAGTTCACAGATAGAAGAGATCAGCTGATCATACATAGAGGGTCAAAGCAAAGACAAAAACAAAGAGAGAGAATTAGGAACACTAAAGGGACAAAGTAAATCTCATGACTTTTTGATACCCAGAATGATTTTTTTTTTGATTTTGCTAGGATTACAAGGATAGAAATTTGATTCTTTCAATGATGAGTCAAACTACTGCTTTACTAACAAACATGAACTGGCTTTAGAGAACCATGATGATGAAATAAAGTTAAGTTGAAAAATCAATAAATAGTCTTCTTTGATCATATCACCAATTATGGAGTAGTCAGTAACTTCAAAGCTTCAGCAAGTCCTCATTATTGTTGCTGCTCCCTCAAACATCCTAAACAACATTAAAGATTCTCTGTCAGCGTCCTCTTCGTTCATCTTTATACAGTGATGAACGTTAATCTTGATTCGTGGTGACCCACTGTGGCCTCAGGCGGGTTTGAATCAGGCATTAGGGACATTGTCATTATGTCATCCTTCTCTGAACCATCTAATCCTCATCTGAACTGTCTGAAGAGATTAAATAAAACGCAAGATCAAGAAGGCAGGCCAGCCAAAACAAATGAAAGCCTTCACATGTGCCCCCAAGTTTCCTGTTTTGATTTTGTTGATGTTGCAAAACAGAGCATTTCTGTGTTCCAGCCTGAGGAATAAAGATTAGGAGACCTTCACCATGTCCCTGCAGCTGAAAATAAAGTTTGCAGAGGAAGTCTGCGTTAGCACAGTTTCTTAAGATTCAATCATGTCTAGAAACTATATGGCAATCAAGTCTGGGAGGGTAGAGGAGAGAAAAGGGCAGGACTGAGACATAAACTATGAGTTATAAAATTATCCTGCATCAGAGTGAGTGTTGAGCCAGCTACTCATCATCATTCTACATTCTGTTTATCTACGTCATACTTTAATGAAGAAGAAGAGTGTGGTATTTGTCAAATTTAAATAAATGATCTGGGTATTTGTATCCAGAAAATTGGCTTGTTATATAAAAAGGTCTGCATGATCTACATTACATGACGAGAGGTCCGGTGCATTTTGTTCATCAACAAAAAACGAGGCCTAAAAAGGTCAACTGTCACTTCCTCGCAGTGTATCTCTGCAGCCCTGCCTGTATTCGGCTTGCTTTATGAAATGTATGCAAATGGATGAAGGTTACAAATGGATGCAAAATTTCATATAAAACAGTCATTTCAGCTGGGTTTGATCTCTTCTTTCATCACCTCTTTTCTCTTTGGATTGCCTCCCCACATGCACACATGCACAGACCTGCAAATATCAATGTGAAAAAGGTTACAGTTTATTGATCTTCACAAAGCACATGAATGCAACTGGAAATAAATACTTGCATTGTTCTAGAAAAATGGAGTGAATGATTACAGGGACAGCATTCAGTGTAATGTAATCCAAAAGAATACTAAAACAAACCCGTACAATCTCCTCTCACATATCCGAACAACCGGATGAGCACTGGAGGTGTACAGGTCTGAGTCCACGACAAGGCACTGATCAACACTGACAACTGTGCGTGGCAGCTCCTTGTCTTTTTTTGTCACAGGGGCAACACCTTGCTGTGGGTGTTGACGCTCCTGCTTAATGAAGTCAGCCGGCTCCTCCTGTTCAGAGGGCGCATGTTGATGCTGATGGTAGCGGTGGGTGCGTGGGGGATGTAGCGACCGCAGGACAGCACCTCCAGAGCTGCATCACGAAACTGTTGGACACAAAAACAATTCGATTCAGACTGTTTTTCCCAGCTTGAAGAGATAACATAATCCTCTACTCTTCTATGATGGTAAAGCTTGTAATATTCAGGCACCATGATGATGTAAAGAGCAGTATAGGATGTAGAGCCTCTGAATCATTTAACATTCAGGATCTACAAAGCAGGCACTTAGAGGAGAAGGCTTTGAACTTTTCATCTGACACAGTTTATAGAAAGGGCTGTAACAATAATCTGAAATTTAACAACAACAAGAAAAGAAATAAAACCTAAAATGTCAACTGAGACAAAATGCAACAAACCGAGCCCAAAACGTAATAACATTTTGACCAAAATTTAACAACTTCTTGCATTTTGGGTCAATTATTACATTTCAGATTTTATTACTTTTTTTGTATTACATTTCAGAACATCGTTACATATTGCCCACTGAGCAATAGACGGCTATTAGAGAGCTAGTTTTTTTTAAAACCTAATTTCAGCCGTCAAGATTCTGTATATATTAAGACAGAATTTAGATGTTGCACTTTAACCCATTATTTGATAACTATTTATTTCAGAAAGCAACTGTGAATCAGTCTAAACTTGGTCTTCATTTAGACGTCTAAAAAACGTTCATTTTTAGACTTGTGGTAGCCTGATTTTAGACCAGTCGTCTAGGCTTCATTTAGACGTCTATTAGACCTCTTTCAGACTAAAAAATGCTCAGTGGTGGGCTCTAACAGGGCTGTATCAAGCTAGCTATGAACAAGCTTCTAGTTATGCTGCTTTAAGCTTAGACTATCAGGGGACTTGACACATTAGTTACTTACTTTGATAGACTAACATTGGGTCTTTGTAAATAACATTACTAAGAATGCAGTCTAGTCCTGCACCCACCTAAACTTTCACAGCAGCTGCTCACCTGCTTGTTGGATAGAAAGTAGATGATGGGGTTGTACACAGGGCTGGTCTTTGCAAAGTACATTGGCATGGTAGCAACAATAGGAGGGATGTAGAGTTCTGGATCCACAACCACCACCACAGACAACGCCGTGTAGGGCAGCCAGCAGACAAAGAAAGCTATGACCATGGCCAGGACCATACTGATGGCGTGTTCATTCTCTTTCTGGCTGGATCGACCCCCCTGGAGCTCCACACTCCTGTTCAGCTACATAAAGAAAGAAAATATGACACTCGTTAAAAGCTAGTAACATCCCTGATAATCAAATAGATGAGAATGGAGGTGTAAATATCACATCTTAATGGGAGTAATAAAGATATAGAAGTAACCGTGAGAGTACCCTGTTCATGGATTTAAGCACTTTGGAGTAGCAGTAGATGATGACTGCAACAGGGACAATGAAGCACAAGAGTGTGTAGAGGATGAGATAGCTGTAGTTGCTCCATGATCTCTCCTCCCAGGCCAGAGAGCAGGAGGTCTGGACTCCCTCAGGACCGTAGGAACTCCAGCCAAATAACGGAGCCACAGCCCAGAAGAGGCAGAAGATCCAGACAAACAGAATACCGATGATGCTTCTCCGCATGCTCAACTTCAGGCCAGCTCTCGGCTTACACACCACATTGTAGCGCTCATAGGCAAGCAGGGTCAGAGTCCAGAGTGACACCAGACCTACAAAGGGGAAAATTCAAGATCGAGATCCACTTAACTGCTTCGTCAGGAGACTTCATCTGCATTTTATGATCCTCTTTGGGGAAGTTGCTCAGTTGTAAAAAGAAAAGGAAAAAATAGAGAAGACGAATGACTAAACTGCACTGAAAAAACGAAGGTTTTTGAAAGCTCTAGAAGAAGCAGTCAACCTTGAATTAAAGTTGCTTGTTTCCCAGTTCAAGGCTGAACTTCCAGCCAGAATAAGACATTTTTTTCACAAAGAATAAGACACTATTTCAAAGAAAATAGCACCAGAGAGAAATGATTGAAACACAGCGAGCAAAGCCTAAAAACAAAACCATAACAACGTGTTTAGTTTGGTTCGCCTAGTGGATTTCCCTTTGCCTTTCCTGAGGATCTCTCTCTTGCCTGACGTTAGAGCCTGCCTTAAATAAAGGTTAGCTTTACAAAAAGATAACACAAACTGAGATTGACTGAAGTTAAACCAAAATTTCTAGAATTGACCACCAGGGAAAGAATTCCAGAAGTCTTAAAAACGCAAACTGCTATCTCCAACTCAACTTACCAAAATAGTTGACGGCAAACCCCTGAAAGACGCAGGCTGCATATCCGATGAAGAAGGAGCCTTGGTAGTTGGTGATGGTGACCACCAGGGACCCACACAGGCCGATCATGAGGTCAGATATGGCGAGACTGAGGATGAAGACATTCATAGGTTGCAGTAGAGACGGATTCTTCATCATCACAGCGATGACCAGGCCGTTATTAAATACAGTCAGCACTGTGTTGATGAACATGAGGAAAGATAAGAAGCTGTAGCCCACACGGGGGAAGATGGTGGGCGCCACTGTCCCCCAGAGCGCGGGTATGTGGATAGATGGAGGGTGAGGGCCGGAGTTCCACGGCGTGCCGTTTCTGTCCATGGTGCGTCCAGGTCCGGAGGAACAAACTGCGAGGCCTGATACTGAACCCACAGACACTGTGCTCAGCCCAGGACATGAAGTCATCGATCTTATCGTTCCTGATCCCCGTTAAACCACCCGGCTTTGTTCATTTTCCAAGATCTCTGATGGTGCACCTGCCTGATAGAGACAGCCCCAAATGCTATATGGGATATTAGACCGTAACAAGATTTAGAGGGATAAATCCTCATGAACCAAGACCTTTTATTATAATGGCAATTGGAAAGGATATTAAGGAAGACATGTTCTTCCAAGAAGTAAACTTTCCTATTAACCAATATTTCTCAGTTGTGGCTTAAAGACTTCATGTAATCAGCAGTTAATCTAACCTTTTTTTAGCTCAAGTAACACACACAGACTCACCACAGACCTTTAAGCCATATACATTTTAATAAATAGAGAAATAAAAAGACATCCAGAAATAAGTCAAAGGGTCATGTTATGGTCATCATTTTTAAAGAATTCCCTTTTCCATACATTTAAAAACCCAAAGATTCCAGCTGTATTTAAAATATTCTCTTCTCCAGCACGTGAAAGCATCTCACACGTTTTCTGCAAAAAGTTTCAAACATAGCAAACCCAACGCTGCCTTGACAGATCAAATAAAAACACAGTGCTAAATATAGCAATGATGTTCTATTTTTTCCCTGACAAATATTAAACATCTCCCTCGCTCAAATGAAAGTTACAGGCTGTGGAGTGAAACTGGATCAAACTGTTACATAAAAAAAAATCTGTCTACAGAAATCTGTGGAGTGTATTACAATGTGCAGTTCAAACTGAGACGAGCTCGGCTGCTGCATAGCGAAATGAGGAAAGCCTTTCCATTATATCCTTTAGGCTGTTACAAAAATATATACATTGTTGTGAGATTAAGGCAACAAAGTTCGACATGTAAATGTGGCTTCCAAGTATACCCATTTCACTGACAATCTTACGTTTGCACTGAGGCGAAGGATAAAAGCAAAGAGTCTTAAAAGCTTGGAGCACAATTCTTAAAACAGAGATCAAAAATAGGATTGATGTATGGCTGCCCCCTATTGTTTCAACTCTGTAACTGCATTATCTTCTTCTAATTTCTCTCTATTTCTCTTAAACGCACACACAGAAACACACAACCCACCCAAAACAATCAGTGCATCAGATATTTTCATAAATCTATACGATAAATGAAAAATATAAGGTGTCCATGTTTTCTCTAAAAAACACTCGTGTGTATTGAGTCATTTGGCTGAACGCTAAATCCTCTGCCCTGCTCAAATACCCACTAAGTAACTAGTTTAAAGCTTAACAGATACAAGTTGTCATGAAATACACATATCTCAAACCCTGGCATGCACCCTTTACAATGCCATACCTGAAAAATGAAAATAACCCGAAATTTTATCCACTAAAGGAAATCCTAGTCCTTAATATCCTAATCTGACTCTGCTTTGGAGTTGTGGAGCTGTGAGGAAATGCTGGTAATACCGGCAGGACTGTGCTCAGGCCAGAAAGGGGACTCGTGCTGTAGGGGAGTGCGGCGAGGGAAGAAGGTGTGTTGGAAGTCATAGTTGAGCAGGCAGCTGATGGAGGCCATGTAGATGTCGGCAAAGCGTGAGAGTCGGCGAGAGAAATAGGTGGGGTTGTGGTACGTCCGGAAGAGACTCCCAAACTGACTGTTAAAGATGTCCTTCGTCTGTGGCCTAGAAGGAAAACACGTGGATTTGATCAACAAAATCGCTGTCATTTATCGTAACTACTCTTGATTGATCAGGTATTATCACCCCATGAACAGATGCTACTCTTCCTACTGTAGTAGGATCCTTTTTCAGTCCCCACATGATTTAATACGTGTTATTACTTTTCTCTCTTCCCACATTTCCTGTTTCTAAAATAAAGCCTCAAAAAAGGCTCCAAAAAATGACTGCCATTACCTCATTGCGTCTCTTTCTTTGATCCACTCCTCCACCACAGCCTGAGATGCTGGATCCCTGTGGACCTGTTAGAAAGGAGCACAGAGGTGTGAATCAAAACAAATGAGTTGATACACAGGAAATATAAACAGCATAAAAACAGTTCTGAATGCTTTCATTAACTCCCCTGACCTGCATCTGTTCGATGAGTCCAGTCAGCGCCTGTAACCAGGCCATCATGTGCATGTACTGCTCTGTGTTCATGATCTTGATCTCCTTCCTCAGCTCGGGGATGATGGCGCCTGTTCTCCAGCCATGCTTTAGTGTCAGATCCTGCAAGGCCAGAAAAGAAGTAGTCAGGACGATGACTCTTGAACCCAATAAAACAGAAATCAGCATGATTTAACGTTGATGCTGTGTTGCTCCAGCTTTAAATGCACTTGAACCCTTTAGGTCTCTTGTTAAGCTAAGTGCTTAAAGCAAAGTGGAGACTGACTTTTCAACCTAACTTAACCACTGTCAAGTACATTCCTCTAAATGAGTTTTTTGCTCATCCATCTATCTATCCATTTAAACATTTTGCTCTTTGGTCTTCATTTTTAATTTATATATATATATATATATATATATATATATATATATATATATATATATAGATATATAGATATACCAATTTATGGTTTTATTCAATGCGTCATTAGTGTGTTTACTTAGATAAAAGATAACAGCATTTCCTCAGTTCTTCTGTTTGCATCTATTTTTGATTGAATCCTGGAACAATCCAGTCAAGTGAGATCATTAAAAGGAAATCCTGGTTATTTGGACGCTCTGCAAGGCATAAACAAATGATCCCTGCTCCCTCCCTCCCTTCTTCACCCCCTGTATCTCCTCATTAACTCAGAGAAGCTTCAGCTCCATGTCCGCCTGGCAGTAATGATCTTATATCACAGACAGAGAGACTGTCTATAAGTGTGGTCTATGTAAACCCTATACACCATGTTCCATCTGCTGTATAATAAGCAAGTCGACATATTGGACAGCTGGCTGCCTTCGCCATGGAGAAATTAAGCCAAAGATTTAAACTGTGCGTTTCATTATCACCATTTACAGCTTATCAAACATGTGAAAATATCAAAGACGCTTTAACTCTTTGTGACACAATGTAAAAATTGACTCTGAGGCTTGTTGTGTTGTGGAAATCCGATAAGGGGGGGGGGCAGCTGTGTGAGTCTGTAGAATATAGACAGCAAAAAGCAGTGACAGTTTCTCTGTAGGTGTGATATACCAGGAGACACTGACGCTCATTAAATGCCCGTCAACCAATCCCAGTGCAGAGCAACAGCAATGTGGCTTCATGAGATGAGAATAACATCCTACAGATGGTTATTTTTAGGCTCTTTGTCACCGTTTATAATCTCACAGTGAGTAACTTCTACAAGCACATTAAGACTGATCGACTGTTGCATATTTAGATTAACTTCTTGAAACACATTTTTGTTAAACGGAGCATGATCAGAGCTGGGTTATATGTTTATAAGATCATTATCTGTAATACTACACTGTGTTTACAATGAGCCCTCTGTTGTAAATATGCCTGAATGCTACATACTGCCAAGTCACTGTAGATGTGGTCGCCAAAGTAGAGCACTTTGGATCCCCTCCAGCCGGTCAGTCTCAGGAACTCATAAAGATTTCCCTGCAACATGAATACAAACAAGCACACTTAAAAAACCTCAATCATGACTTTTATTGGCTGTGAAACTGATTAAAATCTAGTGTGTCATGGCAGCTTTCTGATACACCACCTGTTTGTAGATCTGCCCCTTTTCCAACCTGTGGATCCGGTCCCACAGAAGAGTACCTTTGTCTGTCACACGCCTGAAAGGCCTGAGGAAAAACAGACAGAGGTGTATCTTATCTACGTGTAATAGTGTCAGCTCTTTAACAAACATACACCTCACAAACAGTGTAACAGCTCTATTTATAAATGCTGCATGAGTGGCCCAGTGAGGCCCTCTGTTGGACTAAAGAGACACAACAAGGACCGACACACTTACTTTCTCCTGTCATTAAAGAAACCAGGTTTATCTGCTTGAACAATCACAACATCAAACAGGTCCCTCCAGTCCTTCCCCACGATGTAGCTCATCCCTCGGTCTCTGAGCAGGACAAAGATTTCAAGCATTAGTAAGTCAGCAACATTTCAGAGCTCATCATGAGGGCACATCACTACATCAGCAAAAACATCAACATGTTAAGAGCTATGTCAGTACGAATTTGCATTTGATTCAATTAAATTGCCGAGTGAGACACTATCAAGCTCCTACATGCTATTTCATAAAGGACAGTTAATGTGCTCATGCAACTCCCTGTGAGTTCAGCAAAAATCACAGCAAGCAGAAAGAAAATTAAAGTCCGCCTGCATCCAGCAAACTGTTAATGCTTCAGCGTTTTCACCTGGAAGTTCTAATAAACTGCAAATATTATAAAGTACAACTTTTTTGCAGGAGTGAAAAACTGTGACATGCACCCAGCTCCCATTGATAGAGAAGGAAAATAATGATGTAAGGAAAAAAAAAAACAGCGGGACACTTGGAGGCATTTTTTGCTATTAATTGTTTGGACAGTTATAGACAGGCATGTTATGTGGAGAGGAGAAAGTGAGGGCAGAAGGTCAGGGGTCATAACCACAACTGCTGCGACAAGGACTATAACATCAGTGCAAGGGGCAGCGATGAACTGTTTAGCCAACCGAGGCCTCAGTAGTGAATAGATTTAATAAAAATCCATCGAGTTTGAAGAATTTAGATCCAAGAAGCTGCAAATTTTCAGTGTGCTGACAAACTCTTTGATTCTGTTTCCCTAAAGATATGTCTCTTTGACACTGATTTTAATCAATAGTGTCATTATAAGGACGGGTTGATCACAGTGGGCTTTTATCTGTTTGGATTTTATTTGTTTATTAAATGCTGTTTATTAGGGTTAATTTGGTCAAATCTTTTTTTGCCTGTCGATTATTTCTGCTGTTTTGTGTTTCTAAAATTTCGTCTTAAACTGACTTAACTTGATTAAATTAAAGAAGTCTGTTTACTGTTGTCAGACACTTGGAGACCTATCAAGTTGGAAACACTGAAGTGATCATTTCATGCCTGGCTTTATTGGATGCTGGTTGCCCACGACTACCACAAAGTACATAAACGAATGTAAATTTAAAGCCCTTTGCTGTGTTGGTTACTCGTCTATTGACATTGTGGCATCATACAACAGCATCAATAAAATATTAGCAAAGTGCAACACTGTTTTTAATTAGTCATGCAAACAGCAGTTTGTTGGCACATACACAAAGTCAAACGGGCTGTTGGTAATGAGGAACATCTTCTTTCCTTGCTCTGACAGCTTCTTCAGGACAGCATGGCTCTGCTCACCATAACAAATGTATTTTTCTGCAAAATGAGAAAACAAAGAGGATTGACGAGGGGTGAATGATGGTAATATTATTTGCGTGATTTGCATGATTTCCTTGTTTTATATCGCAGCCTCGTTGATACTGGAGACATTTTTTCTGATGTGGTTAAAGAAATGTTGCAGATAAGTTCGGACAGAAAAACAGAAATCAGAGAAAATTACCAATATCTGCCTCCACAGCACGGTACATTATACCCTTGACGTGAACGTCTCTAATGGCTTCCTGTGAAGAAAAAAAAAAGTAAACAGCCCTCAGCCAAGAAGTCATCACATCAGTCACATGATGTTAGTATTCATCTCCAGTAGCAACACTTTGCTCTGTGTGTAAACGGCTGACTTGGAAGCACAAAGTAGGCACATGTCTGAATACAAATGAAACATGAAGAAAGCAAAACGCCGGAGTTTCGCTCTTTGGTGAGAACATTTGCAGCAAGTTTCCAGCAGGGTAACTAGTGCTTTTAAATAGTGCATGAGTAAATAGACTCGTCCTGTGCAGAGCTGCTTTTTTAGGGGGAACATTTGATGGAGGTTCATCATACATAATGATTATTTGATGTACAGAAAGTAGAGGGAAATTGAGCAAAAGGAGAAGGTTAATGCTGCATAATAAATCAGGCTTGGTGTGAGAAGAAAAGAAGAAGCAGGGTGTCCTTGAATAGATAAGAGAGGCACTTATGGAACAGTGAGTGAGTGTGAGGGCTTTTAATGACAGCAATCTGTCAAAAATGCTGCAGCGTCACACAGAGGAGACAGGACCAGCATGACAGCCGCCCTCGAAAGAGAAGAAGAAGAAGACGGCACTTATCCCCCCCCCCCCTAAAGCAGCAGAGCCACCAGAGAACACACGCAGATGGCTGGAGGCGTGCTTGTTGACTAAAATTAGACACCGGTTTTTCAGAGCTAAAATTAAGACAGCAGAGAATGACTGAACTAACACAGCACCATACAAACATACAAATAATGAACCATTTCTGAGTTTCACACATGAGAGTGATAATAAATAGAAAAAAGAAGCAAGCTTTGCAAATATTGTATAATATTGAAATATTTCACACATTATTTTATAAAGTTTGTAAAATGATTACTGATAGCTTACCTTTACATCTTTATAGAGGTGGACCGGCTCATAGTCGATATTGTGCTTCATGAAGAAATCATTAACACAGGACAGGAGGGTCATCTCAGGCAGGGAAAAAATGTCCATGAACTGCTTCATCGTGTGGCCATGAGAACTCTGCAGAAAGGAGGTTCATCTCATTTTAGAGAGTCAGATTTCATTCGATTTTTTCTGTTTGATGGCAACAAAAATGCAGGAAATGTTTACTACCTTTCCATAGAAGTCACTCATGATCTCCAGAGGTACATGACAGCCTTCATACATGGCAATCACTTCCTCATCAGAAACTGGATGAAGACCCCTAAAAAACAATTCAAAATATAAAGATGACAAAAAGTTTATTTTTTCCCTTTTTTAGGCATGTAAAACACCCTTCAAGTGATAAAAATCAACAATTATCAGAAATTAGATGTGACTAAGAGAAGATAAACCTTTATCCCATGATCCAGCTACAATAAACCACCTACATTTCAGACTGTATAAACATGTCAGCAGAAGTAAAGCCAAATTCTACAGATGTTGGGATGCCGTGTAAAACTGAGAAAAGTTATTGTTTTATGAAAAATGTATGCTCATTTTAAATTTGACGCTAGCGACAACTTTTAAAACTGTTGGGACAGAGATGACAAACACTGGAAAGTGGTGTGATGTTGAAAAAACCCCTGGAAGAACATCGACCAACTAATGAGGTTAATTTGCAAAAGGCTTGTAGCTTGACAGATTATAAACGAGGCATTTGAGGGAATAACTCTATGGTAAGGATGGGAATGGCAGACAGGGTACGAAAATTGTTAATCAATTAAAAAAATGATTTTCTTGAGCGTAACATCACAAAGAATTGAAGGATTTCATTAACGAGGGTATCCTCTCAATAATGGGGCCCTGGTCTGTTTTAAATGGACAGAAGCGACGTAGAAAACTTTCCTGCAGTCTGACAAACCAACATTTTTGAACAGTCTTTTTGGAAATCATGAACACCCCACCCTCCACTCTTCAGAGGAGACGTACTACCCAGCCTTTTAACAGCGTGCATCTCTTGTGTCAGCATCCCAGGTAGTATGGGGATGCTTAATAATAGTGCACAGCATTGTTGCTTTACACACTTGAGAAGGCACCAGAATGCTGATCAATACATTTAGGGTTTGGAGCAAGATATGCTGCCATCAGGGTGATGCTTCCCTCAGAGACCTTGCAAATTTCAGCAAGACAATGCTTCAACACATCCTGCATATACTACAACAGCATGGCTCTGTAGTAGAAGAGTCCAGGTGCTATACCGTCCTGATTTTTCACCCATTGAAGACATTTAGCACATCATGAAATAAAAAATATGAAAAACGAGAGCTTGAACCATTGAGCAGCTGAAATCCTGTTTTGGGTAAAATAGGACAATATCTCACTATCAAAAACTTGAAAACTGTCAGAAGTAATGCAACGCGATGGTAAACATGCTCCCTTTCTGACTGTTTAAAATATGTTGCTGGAATCAATTTAAAAATCTTTTTTAACAGCTGTTTTGCCATCTTTGCACCATCATAAATTAAAGAAAAGGTTTTAATGGTTCACAAATTACCATTTTATACAGCATCACAACTCTTATGGTTTCAGGGTTGGAATATGTCACTGTATATATACCTGTACACTGTTCCCAACTGGATGTAGTGAAAAGCATCTATCTTCATCAGCAGTGCCTGTTAAAAACCATCCAAACTTTACACAAGAATAATCCTCATACAGCTGACAGTGTTTGAACTGTACAAAGAAAGACCTCCTCACCTTCTGGACGTCATAGTGAAGCCCTCTCACAGCAAAATTGGGAATATACTCATACTTCCGCAGTTCCTCAGGATACTATAACAAAAGATCATTTATAGTGACAACAAACAGAGCATTGTATCATGGACAATTGTGAAAAAATTGACCACAAAAGTTTCATTTACATGTTTGGGTATTACAAATAGATGTGTCTCAATATACACAAAGAGGGTGAGGCATTTATGATCAAGTGTCACATGATCCCACCGACACAGGAAGTCAAAAATCAAGATTTTGCTAACACTGTCGAACCTCTCTTCAGGAAATGTTTTGGGGGGACATGTCACCTACCCTGTGTTTGGAGATGAGGATGTCCCGTGCAATGTTGAAGATGAGGGTGTGGAGGTTGCGGGAGTAGAAGGCCAGAGTGTAGTCATAGTCGAAGCCGTAGATCTCTATGTCTCTCAGGCTCATTTCATTGTTAGCAAAAATAGTGTCTGGATCGACTGAGTTGGTGGATATGACTGGAACCAAATCTGAGAGAATGGAAACATAAAGTTACTCTGCAGTTTTTAATATGTTTATTATGATGATATTTCTAATGAATAGAACCATTCACTGTGTAATGACACTGTCCTGTCCCCTCTGTTCAAACAAGCCTTACAACACTGGATTACCAAGTTAATTCTGACAAAAATCTATAGACAATCAAAGGTTGCCTCAGCTTTCCTTCACTGTCATGATGACATGAGCTGTCCATGTTTGAGTCCACCAAAGTACAACTGGTTCAATACAGCCTATCATGTACCATATGTGTTTGTTTTATATGAGGGCTGCTAATGTGAGGCTGGGGATATCTATGCAGTTTATTATACCGGAAACATTAGTCATAAGTGGGTTATAAGGCAGTATCAATCATCGATTACTGCAGTGCTGTATCTGATCATCTGTGTTAACAGCTCTTACCTTCAGTCTGCCTCTTGGTCTCATTGTAAATAGCCCACAGTCTCTCTGTCGTGTCCGGGCCGCCTGAAAACCTCCTACTAACAGATGCTGCGTAGTTTTTAGCTTTACACTGGCTTGTCAGGACTTGATCGACCCCATGTGATACTGCACCGAAATTCCGTTTCCATAACCGAGATGTGGGCGACCGGTGACGCCAAGTCTGTGCTACATTACAGAAAACACTCCCCCTCTGCAGACAGTCGCTGCGCCTCAGCAGAGACGACAGGGGCACAGACAAGGGCGCCATGACACCGGTAACTGGGTGGCAGCCCGTTTGTAGGTCGCGGTGGGCTCATACGCGCTCGCATGAGGTTGACAAGCTCCTCTGTAAATACCGAGACAGTCCCAAGCTGGGCGCTCTGTACGTCATTTCCGTGTATGGGAAGGTCCTAGCCGAACAGCCAATCAGAGGCCGGTGCGACAGGAGTTAAGTCGCTTTCTATATTCCACTGATTTAAAGGCAAAAGGTACGGTGGCCGAGAACCGCCATTGCTGCAAATAAAAAAAAGAAAAGAATGCTAAAAAAAAAAAAAAAAGAAAGAAAAGGAGTCACAACAGAAGTTACTGATGCAAAAAAGGAAAAGAAAGAAAGAAACTGAAGCCTGCTGCAAAAAAAAAAAAAAGAAACGGTGCAGATTTTTGAAAAAAAGTCACAACAGAAGTTATCAACACAAAAAGTGGTGATGGATTTAAAAAATAAAGTAGTTACTGCTAAAATAAAAGGATGCAAACAAAAAAGACGAGCAAAGAAGTAAGTGGAAAGGTTATTGTTTGATTTTGCTTTGTGTGCTTTTCAATGTGTCATTTGGTTAGGCCATGTAGCGCCTGAGTCAATATGAAGTTGAACTGAAGCTAACGCTACCCAGCCATCCTCCAGTTCAACTTCATATCGACTCAGGCGCTACATGACCTAACCAAATGACACATTGAAAACCACACAAAGCGAAATTAAACAATAACCTTTCCAACTTTTTTGGTGTGTGTCGTTAATTCCTGTTGTGGCCTCTTTTTTTGCATTCTTTTCTATTTGCAGCAGTGGCGGTTCCCGGCTACTGTAAATAGGTTACCTTATACATAAAATATGCACGATGTGAAAATATCACCATTTTTGATAATCTTATCCTCACACACAAGTCAAAAGAGTTTTTTTTTTTTTTTTTTTTTACTTATAAAGCCTTTAGTTTTCAAACTGGGCAATCAAAAGTCCAAAATGTAGACCAAATGTGTAAATTGGCTTCATACCTTGTGAACATTGAAGAACTTTGAAGTCTCATTGTCATAAGTACTACACACTGTATTTAATTTTTCAGTCAGTGATTATTGCCAAACTTAGTTTTCTCAGCTATCTGATACTGATCACAGGACTGAGAGCAGTGGTTTCAAGAGTATGGATGGTCTAAGATTAGACCATGAGAACTGCAACTCCCCACATTTGACCAAATTTTTCATCACACAATGCACTTCACTCAACAATCTTAAATGCACTCCCATCTAATAACAATGGGATCATGTCAAGACTAAAGTATTGTTTATTTGAAACATACTATCCATAATTTCAAGTACAAGACTTTTTTAAATTCCTTATTGCTATTTACATTTTCTTGGCTGTTCTTCTTGGCCCTCCTAAATCACAGGCCCTGGTCCCTCATTAAAATCATTGAAGTAAAAACAAACAAACAACAAAACAAAACCCCCAACTAGCTTAAGAGTACAGCATTTCTTACCAGAAGTCAAACCTTTTTTTTCTGTGTGGGTTTTTCCTGGGAAGTGATCATCACTATCTTTATTGCCAGATGCTGGTGTCCGTTAAAACAGATAAAAAGGAAAAGAAACAAACAATAGAAAATGACTTAATATTGAAACTATTTTTTCCAAATAAGATTTTTTAAAAGTGTAAGATTGAATGATTGTAATTTTCATCTTCATTTTCTACACTAATGTCTTTGTGCTTCTTCCTCTATATTGCACTCCAAAAAGAACAGGAAAGTTAAAGTGTGTTGAACTCATTGGATTAAAGAAGAAAACCATCAATAGTTATATTGTTCTGCTTATGACATCAAGCCTTTAAATTAAAAGGCTTCTGAAGGCAGATAAATTGTACACCGAATAAATAATTTGCTCCCCATTAGGGGAATAGTCAGACATTTATTATGTGTAAATTAATTCAAGTTTCATGCTTGAAGCAAAAATGTGACAAATAAATCTAATTTTGACCTGAATCACTTCCTTTTCAAAAAAGGAACATTTATTCTTTATTTTATCTGTTTTATGGTGGACATCTGTTCCCTTAATTTAGGGATTGAAAAATAGCTGAACACAGACAAAACTTGAATTGACTGATTTAAACGGTCTGTGGAAACTCAGTCTGTGTCTCAGTCACATAAGAGTAGATAAATTAGATATATTTTATTGATCTTTTATGAGGGAAAACTTATTTGTTCCAACAGATCCAGTCGGAAACTAAGGCACAGGATGAAAATGCAGATGCTATGAACAGATAGTGACAGCAACAGAACAAAATAACATTGAAGTAATAAAAATGAAACAATGTAGAAATATAGATAAAGTAGAATCAAGTAAAATAAGAGAGAAAAAAATAGTATCATGAACATGGTGTTGTTAAAGGACAGAATATTAGATATTTACTTCCTCACAATAAAATATAATAACATTTTCCCTATCAACTTGTATCTCTTGGTACCCATGCTTGTCACTTTGCATAAAGCCTGTGACCTTAGCCACAGCCCACATGACCAGGTGTACACACCCATGCTGTATGCTGAGCAAGCTGCACAGTAATGTACACACCTGTACTTAACCATTTTCTGTGATCAGTATCTAAGTATTTCCAGAATAGCACAATTTCTCATTTCCATAAATTGATAAGACAGTTTGGAAAAAACACAATAACAACAACTGATTCATTAATTTGCATTATTACTCACTAACTAAACAGTGACAAAGATGAGCAGTTCATCTAAAATGAATGAAACTTTCATCTAAAATGAATGAAACCTTCATACAAAAGACACGTTAGAGCAGACCAGGATCATACTTTATACACATGTAAAGGTAAACATGAACTCTCTCAGAGGCACACGTCTTTTTATACGTTTACAGTCACTGAAATCACAGCCATAAACAACAATGAGCTTGTACTTTTGTGAAGGCGTGTAAATGACCGTAACCTTGCGTAAGAAAATTAAACTTTAACTCCACAGTTTCATGTCGCTTTTTCACAATGAGAGGTAAATTTTAGGAAGTGATGTGCTGATTATTCATTCTTGGCCAATAGTGTCGGGCCACGATTTTAGGGTATTGACTTATGTTGAAGGATCTGATTGGACAACATGTACCGAAGACTCCGATGTGATTGGTCGAAGGTTGTGCGTGGTGCACGGTGATTGGTCGGTTGTCACGGGTTTAAGAGAGTGGGTTCATTTGGTGGCTGAAGAAGTCTGTCAGTCTCTCTTGTTAAAGCAGTGCTGCGTGCACTCATATCCCGGCTTTTGTCTTAGGAGCTGAAGACACACGTCGTCTCAAAATGAAACGGGTTTGGGTTGTAGGTCTTCTCTTCGCACTTTTAACCTTTGGTGAGTTATGAAAAAATACTGTCTCTTTTCTTTTTTATTACTCAACGGTTAAGCTAACATTAGCCAGTAAGCTAGCATTGACTTGCTTTTGCATGCCTTATCCGGAATCTGCATTCATTTACAGTTTCTAGATTAATCTCTACCTGGTCTTGGTTCAGTGGTAGAAGAAAACCTGTTATATCTGCATGCTCTTATTAGAAGTTTCTACCGGAAACACTGTATGAAAAAAGCTGTGATGTTGGCTAACACCTCGTTTTAAACCTCCTCTGTTGCAAACACGTAAACCTTTGAATGGTCAAGGATAGACCTCACGTAAATGGAAAACTGATCACGCCCTTTCTGAGCTTCAATCTCTGTGAAATGATCTCGCATGCTGCAGACTTTTCAATATACACCTGCAGAAGAGTCATGACAACTTTTGTCCCTTGGCAGCTGCCGTAAAGGCGGAGGATGAAGTGGACGTCGATGGGACGGTGGAGGAAGATCTTGGGAAGAGCAGAGACGGATCCAGAACAGATGATGAGGTGGTGCAGAGGTGGGTGTCATCTACACTGACAGAGTGCCTCTTCAGTCATCTTTGAGACAGATCAGTTATCTGCATGATGATTAGGCTCATGGACACTTGAACTTGAAATCATGACAAAAAAGTTCCTAAAATCATTATAAAAAAGAAAGAAAGCAAGTGATGCTGATGTAGTCTTTGTACGTCAGCACTCCATCAGTAGCAGGGATCTTCTGTTTTCTGATTACTGATTCATATGAGGAGAAAAAAAATGGTTTTGGTTGTTGACACCTTTTCAGCTTCAACTTTACTTTATTTTTATGGCACTTTTCAGATAAAAATGCAGTTCAAAGTGCCTCACAGAGGCTAAAAACAACAATTAACACCAATAAAACCTGAACCTCCCACCCACACACCCACTCATGGCTCCACACACACACACACACACACACACACACACACACACACACAGAGACACACACCCACCTTCACTCACCCCCACATACACACACACAGACATGACCTGACACCGTGACATTACGTGAGGGAAGGGCTACCTTTGGGAAACACTGGAGATAAAGATAAAAAATAAAATGGAAAAAAGAAAGACTAAAACCTGACGGACACCTGTGATTTGTTGTTGAGCACCTACCTGACCCCACCTGTGTGTCTGTGTGTACTCAGAGAGGAGGAGGCTATCCAGCTGGATGGATTGAATGCAGCTCAGATCAAGGAAATCAGGGAGAAGTCTGAAAAACATGTCTTTCAGGCAGAAGTCAACAGGATGATGAAGCTGATCATTAATTCTCTCTACAAGAACAAAGAGGTGAGCGATGTGATCACAAAACTGATGTGCAATCATCAGATTCTGAAAGGGTATACAGGTGGAAATTAGTGAAATTCTGAGGCTCAGTCCTGAGTCTCTGGATAAGTCTTAAGTTTTTTTTGTCAAAGGATTACAAGTTTAAATTGAACAGAGTATTATGAGTAATAAATCATTACTTCAGACACATTTTTACTTCTTTGGCACGTTTTCATTATCAGTAAAACCCAGTTTACATGTTTCAAATCTCAAAAACTGGGTTCTACTTCTATGTTCCCTGCGTTAAACCTGCTCATGCTGGCTTGGTGTGCAGACTCCTGTGTTGAAGGCTCAAATTACGATCTAATGATTCATGTTTCTGTTTCAGATCTTCCTCAGGGAGCTCATTTCCAATGCCTCAGATGCTCTGGATAAGATCCGCTTGTTGTCTTTAACCAATGAGGATGCACTGGCTGCTAACGAAGAGCTGACAATCAAAATAAAGGTATGCACTTTGTTTATTATACTGTATTGTTATTAGCGTCTAGGCTGTCCATGCAATCAGGCACTTATTAAAAAGTCAGGTGATCCGCTCCTTCTTTGAAGCAAAGTTTACAGAATGTCAGATATGATTTGAAGTCGACTGTGTTCCTGGATCCTGTTTTTATCCAGATCATTGTTTTTATTCATGTTAAAAGTTCCTTCTCTATGAGTAACCTGATGCTTGTATTCCTCTCCTCAGTCTGATAAGGAGAAGAACATGCTGCACATCACTGACACCGGTGTTGGAATGACCAAAGAGGAACTGGTGAAGAACTTGGGTACCATCGCAAAGTCCGGCACCAGCGAGTTCCTCAACAAGATGACAGAGATGCAGGCGGAGGATCAGTCAACCTCAGAGCTGATTGGTCAGTTCGGTGTGGGTTTCTACTCTGCTTTCCTCGTTGCCGACAAAGTCATTGTGACATCCAAACACAACAATGACAGCCAGCACATCTGGGAGTCAGACTCAAACCAGTTCTCCGTCATCGAGGACCCTCGTGGGGACACACTGGGTAGAGGAACCACCATCACGTGAGTTTACTTTTAAGCTTCATCCCCCTAATAACTTTTAGAAACTTTATGCTCTTTTTTTTGGTTTGAACAGTGTGTCATCCATCACTTTTGAAATTAAATCCTCCACATCTTTTTACTACACAGACTGGTCCTGAAAGAGGAGGCCTCAGACTACCTAGAGCTTGAGACAATCAAGAATCTTGTCAGGAAGTACTCTCAGTTCATCAACTTCCCCATCTATGTCTGGGCCAGCAAGGTGAATATTCAAGATACTCCTTTTTACACTTTTGCTTGAACTTGAACCCAGTGCAGTGACAGTAACAGGTAAATTAACAAATGCTGTTGCATCATCTCTGCCCCTCAAAATGACAGACTGAGACAGTTGAAGAGCCAATTGAGGAAGATGCTGAGGCAGCAGAAGAGCCAGAGAAGGAGGCCTCTGAAGATGATGTGGAGGTTGAGGAAGAGGAGGAGGACAAAGACAAGCCAAAGACAAAGAAGGTAAGAGCTTCTGTCAGGAATCATCGATCTTTACACTATCAGAGCTGTGAAAACCTCGTCTCAAGTTAACACTTTTTCTTTTGGTCATTTTCTTTAAACTCTATAAACTTAAAAGTTGATCATTTTCCATCTTGCTTGTTGTAGGTTGAGAAGACTGTGTGGGACTGGGAGCTGATGAACGACATCAAGCCCATCTGGCAGAGACCCGCCAAGGAGGTTGAGGAGGATGAGTACACAGCATTCTACAAGACCTTCTCCAAGGTGGGAGCCTGAACCCGCTTGTAGTTTGTTTGTGTATTTTCCTTGTATGACTGAACAAGTTTCATTTTATTTCCATCCATGTTGCCTTTTCCAACAGGACACAGAGGATCCTCTAGCCCACATTCACTTCATGGCTGAGGGTGAGGTTACCTTCAAGTCCATCCTGTTTGTGCCTACCTCAGCACCACGAGGCCTGTTTGACGAGTACGGATCCAAAAAGAACGACTACATCAAGGTGAGTAAAAACCGACCATTTGAATTTGTTTTTTGTGTTCATAGTGATATTCGGAAACTCATTCATGCTAGTCTCTGATTTAATGTATTGTTTCTCCACAGCTGTTTGTCAGGAGAGTTTTCATCACAGACGACTTCAATGACATGATGCCCAAGTACCTGAACTTCGTCAAGGGAGTGGTGAGGAGCTCCAGCCTTGAATAGACTTGACGCAGCTGTATTTTCATCAGCTGTTCAGTCTTTGCTCGTGTAGCTGCAACACTTTGATTAATGGAAATTTATTTTGCCAGGTTGACTCTGACGACCTTCCACTGAACGTGTCCAGAGAGACTCTGCAGCAGCACAAACTGCTCAAGGTGACTTTCACATATACAGTTTGTTAAATGCCATATTGACACCAGTTCTTTCACATTGCATCTATTAATGCCTTATTGGGGTGTTAGAATTTTATAGATCATATATTCTTCGACAAAAGCAAATTTTTAAGTAGATGCAAAACTTAAATGTGTAGCTTGTAAGGAAATGGCAAATAACAGAGCCTTTTGATGAGGAAATGGGTCAGAAAAATAAGAATTCTTTTCTTTTCCCTTTAGGTTATTCGTAAGAAGCTGGTGCGTAAGACTTTGGACATGATCAAGAAAATCGCAGAGGAACAGTACAACGAGAAGTTCTGGAAGGAGTTCGGAACCAACATCAAGCTGGGTGTCATTGAGGATCACTCCAACAGGACCCGTCTGGCCAAACTGCTCCGCTTCCAGACCTCCAACAGTGAAAAAGAACTGGCCAGCCTGGAAGACTATGTGGAGCGCATGAAGGAGAAGCAGGACAAGATCTACTTCATGGCTGGAACTAGCAGGAAGGAGGTGAATTGACTGTTTGTGTATTGTTTGTCCAGTAATAACAGAGATCAAACTGTTCATATGGTAAAGTAATTATCTTGACATTGACATATCATTGACATCTCTGTTTTCTGCAGGCTGAGTCTTCCCCCTTTGTTGAGAAGCTGCTGAAGAAGGGCTATGAAGTGATCTACCTGACAGAGCCTGTGGATGAGTACTGCATCCAGGCACTTCCCGAGTTTGATGGGAAACGCTTCCAGAACGTGGCGAAGGAGGGCATCAAATTCGATGAGAGCGACAAGGCAAAGGAGAAGAGGGAGGCTCTGGAGAAGGAGTATGAACCTCTCACCACTTGGCTGAAGGACAAGGCCCTGAAGGACAAGGTACCGAGCTGATTATTTAAAATATTCATGACTTGTAAACAGGAGGCACAGAGGTGATAAAATGTGCATTTGTCTTTGAAGTTTTGTCTGTGCCAGGAGTCAGCTGACTAAACACGCTGCTGTCATTCCCACAGATTGAGAAGGCCGTCCTCTCTCAGAGACTCACCAATTCCCCCTGCGCTCTGGTTGCCAGTCAGTACGGCTGGTCAGGAAACATGGAGAGGATTATGAAGGCACAGGCCTACCAGACAGGAAAAGACATTTCGACAAAGTGAGTCATGAGTCAGACTTCTTCTGTGTTATTCAACCTCATTATCACAGTTGCAAAATGCAAATGCAGGACTTGTTATGGCCTGTCGCATAATGGAGAATTTATGGAAATTTTCCATTTTGTCCTCTTTCAGTTATTATGCAAGCCAGAAGAAAACATTAGAAATCAACCCCAAACATCCACTTATGAAGCAGATGCTGAAAAGAGTCAATGTAAGTCCACCCACTCTCACTTCACAGTTTTCATATGATGGTAATGATTCCTCATAATGTAGTTAAACTCTAAATGCAACAGTTTAAAGTGTGTCGGCTTATCTAACTTGACATAAGCTGTTTTTTAATGTAAGGATCATACCAGTTTAACATGTGTTATATGGTTCCAGTGAAGCACTTAAAACCAAACAGAGCATTTAGCTGACAGGTTTCTTTCCCTTTATGTCCTTCAGGAAGATGCTGAGGACGAGACGGCCTCAGATCTGGCCGTGGTTCTCTTTGAGACAGCCACGCTGCGCTCAGGGTACCAGCTGGCTGACACAAAGGCTTATGGAGACAGGATAGAGCGCATGCTCCGACTCAGCATGAATGTAGATCTGGATGAAGCGGTGAGTCAAATTCAGCTGCCACGTATCACTTAGAAACATTTGCATAGGAAATGTTCTCAGTTTCAGTCCAACTCAGACTTTGAATAGTTTCCTTCTCCTACCTGATTGAAAAGTTTTTGTAACCCACTGATCTGCTTTTTTGTTTATCATTTTTAGTAGTTTTTTTGTTTGTTTTTGCACATGTAAAGCATCTCAACCTGCTGAAGATTTTATACGTTAATGTTGAAATAATGTGGTTGGTTGACAGATTGAAGAAGAGCCGGAGGAGGAGCCAGAAGAGGCAGCAGAGGATGACGACTCTGAAGATAAAGAGGAAGTTGTAGATGAGGATGATGAAGAAGAATCGGTGAGAACCCTTGATGTGTGGCATCTCAAAGATTTAGAGAAAAGACAAAAAGAATAAATCGCTTCAATTAACTTTGTTTTTTTTCCCTCCTACAGACAAAAACAGACAAAGATGAACTGTGAAGCACTGAATCAAAGTTTGTAACAACAGAGCTGGAGACAGATTTCAGTCCGCTTCCAGCTCCACCGTGGTCAACGTTATCCTGGGTGGGGTCCCTGGGTTGGGGTTTTTTAAGGCGAACATTGTTTGTTTTTGTTTGGTTTTTTTATCACATTCCTCATGACTGTAAATTTGTTAATATTTAACTGACCTGTTTATGGAAAGATGCGATCCTGTCTCTTGATCGAATAAATGTTTCCTGGAAAAAAGGACGAGTTGTGTTTGTGTGTTGCTGAAAACACTGAGGTTACTAACGTGAAGCAGTTATGAGTTGGAAGTAAGAAAACGAAATCAAATACTGTTCGTGATAACTGATCAAATCTGAGATGCTTTCAATGAAGGAAAATTAGTTCATTTACAGCTGTTTGATAGCTATATGTATAAAGCATATATGACAAAAAATCAAATCTGGTACCTGGTATCACAGATCAGGCTGGAGGGACAGACAGAGAACTCATAAAGGACAGAAAAAACACAATTTTCTGTTAAAACACAAACCCCACAGTGATCAGTGCTAACTCAGCCTAAAGACTCCCCTTCAATTTGATACTACGAAATTCAAGCTTGAACAAGCATCAGATGAGCATGATGTAATAAATAACGTTATTTAGCTCACCTCAAGAAGTTAAGCATGTTTTCTTTTCATTGGCATGACTTGAGTTTAATCTGCATCGTTGACAGCTCCTATTCTTGTCCCACGTGTTTGTTGTTTAGTTACACCTGTAAAATATGATCAGATAAGTTTGCATGGTGGCTGATCTCGACCTAAACAGGTTACTCATGTTATCCCAAGTGTGTTTGATAAAAAGCAAACTTGGATACCAGATACCAAAATGATTATTTGCTATTCATTACAAATATATAAAAAAGTGTTTTATAATCTCCAGGTATTTCAAAATAGTGGCACCTCTTAATGTTAAAGTACTCCTATAAAACAGTATTCTCCTAATGCAATGTCACATACACCACGTACTCCTTCATCTCCTGCAGACTAACATTGTCAATCACCCTGTTTTGTGTAACGGCAACAAAAAAAAAACTGTTTCTGATAGCAATCCTCCACCAACTGAACTGCTACTGGTTGCGGGAACTTAGATAGGGAAGGGTTAGGGTGTTTCCACTTTTAAATAAACTGTAAAGGAGAAATACTGGTGTGATCTCAACCGTGCATTACATAAGTATGGCCAGTAGATGGCAGAGTCACAACCATTTCAAAAATTGTCTTATTACAGTCAGGATTGTACAGACAAGGCAGCCTATAACAGCTCTATTTTTTGTGTGTAAACCTCTCTGATAGTCTGATACAGTAGCCTTGCAGTATATATAATATTCTGTACTATAATGTTGAGGAAAAGTACTGATTTTTATGTGCAACTATGATGAATATTATATTTTTGTTTATTATCACAGTCTGGTTTATTTTTCTTTACTGACCTTAAAACTTAAAAATCATTTTGTCAATTTAATTACATTTAATAACTTAAAGCAATATGCAGTTTTAAAAAAATATACATGTAACCATGTCGAGCATTAAGCAGCAACAGTATTTAGGATCTATGGTTCATAGAGCAGAGCTGATACATGGTGCATGCTCTCTACAAGCAGCTAACTCTCTGATGTCCTCTCACAGCAGACACCATGATGGAGGGTATATGGTATCTGTACAAATAAACCCCCTCTCAAGTGGCTGGTTGGAGAGTTAGCAGCAGTGTTGGTGGGATTTCATGTGAGTAAGAAAATGTTGCTCCTTCTTAACAAACACTGACAGATGTGGGCCACAGCGGGGGGAGGGGGCTCACAGCAGAGGGCTTATAGAGATGGCATGTACTGACTTTGCTTATTTGCTTGACTTTTGAAACCCGGAGTGATTCTCTGTCACAGCTAACCTTTAGGATGGTTGTCTCTTTGCTCTGTACAATCAGATTTTAATATCATTAAACCAGTCAAAACTAGAGTCGCTGCGCACGCATTTTGCAGCCAGAGCTCACCTAATGTGCCCCCTGTGTTTCTGCTCAAGATAAATGTTTGTATCTAACTTGCAGTTTTTATCTTATCCTTCCTTGTCATGGTCCTTTTTATGCTCTATTCCTTTTAGATTAGATGTACTAAGCTGCAAGTTCAATTAAGGACTGCAGAGTGAAAGTGAAAGTAAGAGTATATGTTGACAGGTCAAAGGGCACTTTAGTATTAAAACATATTTTTTTTCTTCTGTTACATCGTAAACTAGGAGCTAAATGTATTTGCTGATTACTAAAAAAACAACAACTGATCAATTCAATCAATTATCTGTCAGATTTTTTTTTCTGATTCTGAACAGGGTTGCATCCAAAGAGGAGGCCAGGGTGGCATAGGCCTCCTTGACAGCTGGTTGGCTATCCTACGTGTCAACCTCAGATCCTGACCTGTCCCTAAACAGCATTTATTCTTGAGTTACAGTTCTCTGATCTAGGAGCTAAACTGCTTCAATCGGGCCATCACACTCAGAGAGTCTTTGTCTTAAAGCCATCCTTTTCAACAACATCCTTTTTCAGTGAACCTCTCTATTTTTGACCGTTAAAAGTTCTCAAGTCCAACAGATGACTTATATGTACAGCTAAACACAACTGTGAGTGATTTCATAGTCATCATTTATCAGTGTTGAGTGTGTTACGACTGTGTGTTTTGTGTGTGTGTGTGTGTGTGTGTGTTTTCCCCCTTTTGTCTCCCCATAGCTGCCCAGGTGAAGTCACTGAGTGCTAATCATAGACTGTATATAAGACTGTATATATCTTATATACAGTCTATGGTGCTAATCAGACTCACCTGGTGCTGAGACTTAAAAGACCGAGAGCTGCCTGCAGTCTGCAGAGACATTTGGTGGGGAACTGCTGTCCTGCTGCCGCTCATTTGTGTTGTGGGTTCTTTGTGTTTAGTTTGTCATTTAGTTATTTAGTCACAATAAATCACTTGTTAAACTTTTAAAGGTGTTTGGTTAACTCAGTGGGTTAAAAGATGAGGAAAGTTGTTAGCCCCATAGGGCTGCCTTCGGGTGGGGCGTAACAAGTGAATACTGGCTGCTCTATTAATTTGATTTTTACTGGTTGAATTCCTATGCTAATTTCTGTTATTTTATACTGAGTTCTTCTCGGGTGACTTTGTTAATGCTACTGACAGGACTGTCTATTGGGCCAGTGGTTCTCAACTGGTGGGTCCTGACGCATTATGTCGGGGTCCTCCTTGGTTTTTTATTAATGTGGCCTGAATGCAGTAAAAATACTTTTTTTTTTGTCTTTATTTTGTGCAATTTGATATTTATTCACTTTTGTCCATACTGTTGTTGGGTCCTCCTCGGGTTCTACTGAATTTGCTCTAAATGCTCTCAATGTATATAAGCCAAATTTCTCATTTTGCTGGTCTCCATTTTGTGCAATTTGATATTTCTGCACAAGCAACTTCAGTAGTTGTCGTCCTCAGTTCATGTGCTCTGAAATGCACTTTACTCAATAAAAACGGCGTATTTCTGTCAAAGATTTGAGGCTTTAAAGGATTTTTTTAATAAGAAATAAATTTGCTTGGTTTGAATTTTTATAAAAGTGGGTCGAGACTTAAGGACCGTGGAAAATGTGGGTATGATAATCACTATACTAGGCTACATATCAGAGAAATGATGAGTGCTGAATATTGTATTTCACATCTTTGCATATTTGACAGGCATATTGAAGCGCCAGCTCGCTTGTCTCATGTTTGTCAGTGTAAATCTGTGTCTGACAGAAACACTGGAGGGTTCCTGTTCCTCTTCCCATCATTTGTATTTTGTGACTGCAGTCTCGCGCTCATACGCAATCCCTGGATAGGTGGTTGCCATGGTTTCCCGGGTCACATGCGTGGGTTTCCTGTAGCCAGCAGCGGCAGCAGCAGAAGATGCTTGGACCAAAAACCAAGAGCCATTTTCATTGAAGAAAAAAAAAGGAAAGATCAGTGGTAGAGGGCTTACAGAGCGGGTGTCCTTGTTAACACTCTCGTCTGCTCGTTTCGTCTTATTTCACCGAGTCATCTCTATCTTTGGCTTCTTTTCAATTCGCAGCAAAAACCGGTTTGGTCCACATTCATTGATTGAAAACAGGAATGAGTATAGAAATCCCCGAAGGACTGACGGAGCTGTTACAAAGCTTTACCGTGGAAGTGCTGAGGAACCAGCCCAGGGACTTGCTCGAGTTTGCGCTGCAGTATTTCACCCAGCTGAAGGAAAGAGAGACCAAAGAGGCCTCGTTTGGCAATGACCAAAACTCGGCCCCGAGACCTGGAAAAGCGGTCAATTTCATTGACGAAGCCATGCAGATCGATTCAGAAAACGGGGAGTCGGACGACGACGATGACGAGGAATTCATAGGTATGCCTGTAGATGTACTGTTAATCTGAAAAGGATGTGAATTTTGAGCATGCTGTCTCCGTGGGCTTCACTGGTGGAGAAAAGGGGAATCAGTGGGTGCAGCGATGCTTCAGCGCGCGCCACCTTGCATCCACCATGTCTCTGTCATTGACCAAATATGGTCACTGTGGATGAGTGAGGGTTCGTAAACGCGTCCTAGTCTTCACCCTCGTTTTGTGGAAAACAGCGATAAAGCACAGCAACAGCAGGAGAAGGAGTGTTGTGTATGCATCATGAAGTCAATGCCTTATTTTCAGTGTCAGGTGCAGGCCTGCTGGGCCCAAAATCATCATCTATCAAAAATATAACTAAGCAGACAGATTTTTGTCATGTTTCCAGATAAGAGCAATGGTTTTCACCGTTTTAAACTGTGCTCATATAGAACACAATGGCTGGTGCAGTATTACCATCAGGTGCAGCAAGTAGCATAGCAACCAGAGCTCTGACACAGCATCCCAATGAGTGCTGGGCTCTGAGATGCTTGTACTGGCACAAGAGCACCATTATACTTTATCTGTACAGTATTGAGGGGAGAGAGTTGAGCCAAAGGGTAAGTTGAGTCACCCCCTGTTGATTAGAAATGGTTAAAGAAATTGATCATGTGACCAAATATTTAGGAGCATCAATTCATGGAGTCTGTGACTTCTAAGTTTTATTAGAATTGTGTTCAGACCAAAAAAAGATCATTTTAAATCTGTTTTATACATCAGTTGAGGTATCTATGAGCTACAACATGAGGTCAAAAACCTAGAATAAAGTCCACCATTTTAGCTTAGAGGACTAATAAAGTCATAATAGTAGTTCTGGGGTAAGTTGAGCCAGTGGATCAACTGAGAAAGTAAAGGAGTCTGATGAGAGGATCAGAGTTTCAGTTCGGATTGTTGAAATGTGTTTCTTTTCAAAAATACAGCTGTGAATGTTCTGAATCACTAAAAGGCATTCTCATGGTAAAATGGCTTTTTACAAAACAGATTTTTAACAGTTATATGCAATAATAATAATAAAAATGAATTATTGTACCAGTTGAATAGCGTATAATAAATAAAAATACACGTGAATGTGAAGAAGTGGCTGTTATTTAGGGAGAGAGAAGGTGAGGGAGGGCTGGAGTGGAGAGTGGGGGGTAGTAGGGATACGACTCAACTTACCACTTTTTTTGGCATGCTATATTATCAAGACAGTTATGTTTACACTCATCTTTTTGGTTTGCAGGGATGCACAACATCTTGAAATACATGCAGATACACTAGTTAGAGACAAAACTATGATTGTCTTGATGTAGTGATCTTAAATATGAAAAATGGCTCATCTTACCCCACTCTCCCCTGTGTGTCACCATCAATGACAGATTTTAATTGAGCCTAATCTGCTTAAATGGCTGGTACTCTTGATGTGGTCACGGTGAACCTCCTATCTAATGTTTGTTTCATAACCAGCAATTATGTTGGCACATGGCACTACTTTTTAACTCATTTAAATTTGGCACAAAGGGGCAAATTCACTTCAAAGCAGCTGCACCTATTCAGGCTTCATTTACATGAATATGGAGCATAAAGCACACATGGCTGGGTGCTATACTACAACACTTTGGGCTCTATTTTCGTTCGCGCCGGTGAGGCGGCGGAGGGCGGCGAGCCCCGCGCAGTTGTATTTTCGTCTGGCGGAGCCCGGTGTAAGGCGAGTTTGGTATTTTCGTGGACTGAGTCGCACGGAGGCGAGCCGAGATCCGCCAAGCTGGGCGTGGTGGCGTGGCAGGGGGAGGTGTTGACAGAATCAGCTGGCGCAGTGACATTTTCGTGCTCGCCATTGGCGTGTAACGTGCGCTGAAAGCTCGCCGATTCAAACCTGGTCAGCTTTCAGCGCAAGGCGGAACGCAGCTGGTCCAGTAGTATTTTGGTAGACCGGCGGCGTATCGACATACGTCACTGATGCCTCACCGGCAGGTTTCCACAGTGTCAGGCAGATTTCAGTGCAATAAATAATGATCAACAACTATTAATCTGAGTCAGCACATACATTTAGATCTATATCGATATATTCTGATCTATATCTGATCTGATGAGCGCGTTTGGCACGCGTTTGGACACACAACCTGACCGAATCAATACAGCTGAAACTGCATCAAATTAAATTAAATATCTAGTAAATAAACGCACATGATGAAGTTAACAAGATATGTAATGTGTCTCCCTCCTTTTCTTTCTTCCTCTTATTTCTCGCACAGCTCGACCTGGACACGTCTCCGTGTCCTCTGTCCGTCTTCCTGCTGCTGCTGCGGCTGAACAGATGATTTGTTTCAGTGCTCAGATGCGTGATCTACTTTAAGCCGACATACGGATATTATAATATTCAGTTTTGTGAGCCAAATTTATTTTATATGCCAACATCTATGAAAGAAAGAGCCAGGCCACGGAGCGCGATGCCTCATTTACGCACAGATGGTTCCGATTTTAATGCCTTTTTGGAGTTTATGTTGTGATCTGTGCACTCAACCCACCTTTGTCACGTGAGGTTTGAATATATGCAACTTTATGTGAGTGTCTTTATTTGTGGAAAAGGGTGTTTGTCTTACCAGTGGGTCCAACATTACGCACACCAAATCCATCTGTGCTCAGATGAGAGAGTGTGGAGGACACTTGTTGAGCAGCTGCCCTCTGTCGCCATCGTGTGGCATAACTGTCTTCAGACATCTCTTGATCTCTTTGACTACTTCATGAAAATAGTAATAAGCCTCGCCTGTGGCGGATTTAAAGGCGAGGAGAGGAGCTAATGTGATTGGTGAAAACAGGTCTCGGCTGTGTTAAACCCCCTCTCCTCCCCGTCTATGATTTATGCTGCCGGGAGGAGCTGAGTTAGGGAGGGGGGATACTTACGCCGGGCTGCGCGGCTCACCAAAATACCAAAATGTGCTTGGGAACGCCTTGTCAGCGCGGCGGATCTGATTGACTCTGCGCTTGCGGCACGTCTCCGGCGAAGCACCAAAATAGAGCCCTCTGTGTCTGTGCTGTCGATGCAGAGGTGGGTTTTGTTTCAGAAAGAAAAACTTCTATAGTGATGAAATGTAGCTGTTGATACATGTTTTGTATTCTCTTGCAGCCCCGGTTATAAACAGATTCATCAGAAGAGCATCAGGTGAGTTAAGAATCAGTTTGTCAAATGAGAAAAGTTCCCCAAAGGTGCACACTTGTATTATTTTTCTACCTGTTTATTCTCGCTGTCTCTGGGTTATTGTAATAGTGTTCATTTACATCAGTCTGTAAAACCACTCGTGTCTCAAGTCTGGTTTATAATGTCAGTGAGAGATGTGGGCGGGTAGGTCAGGTCAAGCACTACTACTAATAAAAACCTCCATGAAATAATAGTACGGTTGAAGCCTCTCATGAATAACAGCTGTTTTAGGGCCAGTATCTATGATTGGCAACCTGAATGGAAAATGTGGGTAAATAATCAGTGACACTTGAGATATTTTCAGACCTTTTATCACCTCAAATGGGAAATGTAGGCCAACATCCGCTAAATAGGACACGACACTGGCAGTGGACTGAGGAAAGAGTACTTCTTTATTATCCAAACTAGACTGAATTACGCATTCAAACCAGGGTACGTACTGTATATATAACTTAGTATATATAACTAAGCATAAATCATTATATCTTTGTAGAATGGAGGTAAACTTTCCCAAATGTTGAATTAAACCCAAAGCAGGATGTCTGCTGTCTTTTGGCTTTAAAATCGAGGGTGGATGTTTCATTTATGTTCTACTATCATCATGGAATTACCCTAATGCGTCACACTACAAAAAAAATAAAAAACTTTTTAAGATTTTGAGATTTTAATAAAAAGAGTTTGCATGAAATGAAGCTGAACTAAGCCTGGGATTTAGCTTTCATAGTGGATACACGTTTTCTGCTCTGTCACTGGTGTACAACACTTCATTCTTTGGTTTTGGTGAAAAATGTTCCTCTAGTAATGTCTTTGTAAAATTTGGTTGAATTTGCTGTTGTGATTGTACAGTTTGTTCATTTTTGGATCTCTGTAATGCAGTGTGCGCTGAAGCGTTCAACCCTGATGAAGATGAGGAGGAAAAAGAGCCATTGGTAAACCAGGTTTTAACGAACAAAGATTCAAGATTGACGTTGAGGTTCATATTTAAAATCAGTAAATTGTATTTTACAATGCTGTGAATCCACTTGCAGATCACCTACCCAAAAACTGATGAGCAGAGACAGAGACTACAGGAGGCATGTAGGGACATTCTTCTGTTCAAGAATCTGGATCCTGTGAGTGAATTTTTTAAAACTCGCTTCTTTCTACCTAGTCTGGTTTGTGTTCAGCTGTCTTTGAAAATTCACAAAAGGAGCTCACATCTTAAAGCCAGCGGCTTTCTTCTACAGTTCAGTGCTCTTTGCACAATTCAAAATATGATTATTTTCCACTGGTTGGATCAGCAGGCTGAGTTAATTCTGCATGGTTGTTCCGACATGTAAAATTTGAATATTTGATGTTTTATAACTCGACAGGAGGAGATGTCTCAGGTGCTGGATGCCATGTTTGAGAAGTTCTGCACTGAAGGGGAGCACATCATTGACCAGGATGATGATGGGGACAACTTTTATGTCATTGAAAGGTGATTATTTTTTCCCCTTTCACATGAGTTACTCTGTATCTCTAAATGATCAGATCATTGATCGTCAAACAGTTTGTACACACCTTTAAAAACATGCAAATTCTCATAATCATCCATAACATCAATCTGTCCTGCTGACTAAAGATTTCTTTTATTTCTCATTCAGTGGGACTTTTAACATTTTCGTGAAGGTTGAAGGTTCAGAGAAGCTGGTAGGTTGCTATGACAACCGAGGCAGTTTTGGAGAACTGGCGCTGATGTACAACACCCCCAGGGCAGCCACAATAATTGCCACCTCACCTGGAGCTCTTTGGTGCCTAGTGAGTAAACCATTAAATCCCATGTAAGAGCACAGTTGGCTCTGCGCTCGGGTTTTTATGACATGCTGTGATGCCAGTGATGACGACTTACTGTAAATACAGCCAGGTTGTCTGCTCGAGTGTGGACCTGATATCATTGGTTAGATAATATTTACTAACTGAGATAACAGTATTTATAACCTACTGGATGAAAAAAACCATTTTACTCCTGAGAATGCGCAGAACAAATGCAGATGTAGATAGAGATATTTGTAAACAAGATACAAAAGGCACCTTTAGATGCCCATCTTTCATACCGCATAGCAGTCAGGTGTTACTTGTGTTCAGTCAGAACAGAGATAGCTGAGAGATGAATCAGAATAGCACTTGAGAGTACTCAAGATGTCATATATGATACAAAATGGGAGGGCTGCTGCTCAAACACAGTCTAGGAGGAAATATCTGAACTCTTGTATGAAAAGTTGCAGGAAAAACTGTGTTGGATGTTTATTTTCTCCTCTGTGAAACAGCATGTTTATTAAAAACTCTGAGGTTTGTGTCCTCAAACTGTGGGTGACAGACTTGTTATGTCGTCTGTGTTCAGACTGGACAGATTGCAGCTGTATCCCCTGTTGACCCCGGGAACATGTAAGATGTGTTTGAGTTTGTGAACAGGCAGCCGGTCCTCTTTAGCTAACAGTTGCTGCTGAAGGGCTTCTGAGAAAACAGCTGCCTATAGAGCGAAGCTTTAATTGGAGTCAGATTTAGGATTTAAGCTGTTTACAGTTGAGCCTATGGCTCAGGTTGACTCTACTTACTTCATAATGAAGCTAAATCTGCGCTTGCTTCGCTTGCTTGCCTGTTTCTTGATGAGGAAACATATTTTCCAAGATAAAGGTCACCTGAGACAGCGTGCATTACAGTATGTAACCATCTACCACTGCAAGCTGTCATCTTATGTGATGCTGATGGTTATTTCAGTCTAATCTGCATTCCATTACAGAAATAAAAACAGCTGAAAGATATGTCAAGATTCATGACTGCAAGCTACAGGGTGATATGTGCACATGGGTGCTGCATAAAGTAGTTGGACTTGAAACAGTTTGCTGGAGACTGTGAATACTTTTAATTCCATCTTGTATTTTAAATCTTCTTGTATTCTATGTGTTGCAGTCAAAGTTCAAGATGTTTCTTAAAACAGTAGGCTAACAATAAAATAGACTTTTTGTAGAACCCCAAAAAAAATTATCATTTTCTTCCTGTGAGAGGAAATGATCTGGTATGTCAATGACAATCGACTTGTACACAAAAAGTTGTTTGGGGTGCAGTTGTGTATGCTCTCTTGCTATGTGTGATGGACAAAGCATCACACACCCACTTTTGTCTCAAACACATTGTTCATCCTGATATCAGCAGGACACTTGGGATATCTTAGATATTCCCTGTTAGTAGCGATAAGGTTAGCGAAATGCTTGAACTTTGAAAACATTCATTTTAGTTAATGACTGTTGTACCTGGCTGAGAATAAAGCAAACTTGATGATCTGCTTCTGAAAAAGTGTTTTGGAAGTTCTTTTGAATAAACCATGTGGATAAAATGATAGTTCGTTAACAAAAGCAGACTTAATTTAATCGGTTTTATAAGAGCTGATTTCAGACAAACACAACCCAGGCTGCATCCTTCAGCTCTACCCAGTAGTGGGTGCTTATGCTACACACAAGATGTCAGTCTTAGTGTAACGCTAAGAAAATAACATTTTAGACAGTATTAACAAAATCAGATTAGCAAAGGATGATGTTTAATGGCGCACAACTGCAAGTGGTGGAAACTGGAATTATTAATACAGATAATCATGTCACTGGGATGAAGAAATTCACCAATCCAGATAAAGCTGTCAACATCATCAATTTTTGAGCTATGTAAAAAAAAAGAGAGAGAGAGAGAGAGAGAGAAAACATTTAATGATATTTAGTTTTAGCAACTTTTTGTTGACTCAAATGTATCTTAATGTTGTTGTTTTTTTGAGGAGGAAGAGGAATAACTTAACAAAAGAATCTTTCACATTTATTGACATTTTCATCCATTAAGATGTAGATAACCTTATGCCCAGCTGTGTTGTTCTGTTTTATCTGCTTCAGACAGTACTGTGTTGTAAAATGAGATACCGCTGTATACTCTGTACTTATGTAGTGACAAATTTATGACAGTTTAGAGAAAGTCTTCTTTTCTGCTTTTCTTTGCAGGATCGTCTGACATTCAGGAGGATAATTGTGAAAAACAATGCCAAGAAGAGGAAGCTGTATGAGGCGTTCATTGAAACATTACCACTGCTTACGTCATTAGAGGTAAATATTAGCTTTATCCTCCAGAAGAAAGTGCAGTTTGCGTTTACAATAAAGTGGTTGTCACACAAATATCCTTTCATCCACAGCTCTCAGAGAGGATGAAGGTGGTGGACGTGCTATCCACCAAGGTGTATGGTGATACACAACAGATCATTGCTCAGGTGACACATTTTTTCCTACATTTTCATTTACCGTAATGACAACAACTCAGTTTATTAACAAACAACATATGGCTTTATATTACAGGGTGATTTAGCAGATTGCTTTTACATTGTCGAGTCTGGCCAAGTTAGAATCACCATGAGGAGAAGCAGGGTATGTTTGCCACAGTCCAAACCCCCCTTCTTCTTGTTTTTTAGTGCTTTTGGGTGTTTTCTGCGTCTTAGTATGCTTTTCTTTCCTCTCAGACAAAAAAAGACCAGGAAGAGGAGGAGGTGTATATCGCCACATGCTCTAGGGGCCAGTATTTTGGGGAGTTGGCTCTAGTCACAAACAAGCCAAGAGCTGCATCCGCTTATGCTGTCGGGAGCGTCAAATGCTTGGGTACATTTTGTGATTTCTAAATTTTATTTGTCTGGCTTGTAAATTCCCTTGGCAGTCACATTATTTTATGTAACTCTCTGAAACTCTCCTCTCAAATGTGTCTGATCCTCCTTTTTCTTTTTTCTCAGTCTTGGATGTTAAAGCTTTTGAGAGACTGCTGGGCCCGTGTATGGACATCATGAAGAGGAACATTGCAAACTATGAGGAACAGCTAGTGACCCTGTTTGGTAGTAGCACTGAGATCGAGCAACAAAGTGCATGAGGTGACCACAATGGACCATGAATTGACAGATGGCAACAAATTTTGTCGTATTCACTTTGACAGCTTTTCTTACAAGAAATGTGAATATTCACTTCAGCATTTGTGTGTCAGGTAAATGGTTCAGATGCTGTTACGATACAGGTTCATTTTAAGAGAGTTTGCCACAGTGTGAAAGGCCAAAACAGTTGCTTAAAGCTTGTCTGAATTAGATTTCTCACTACTAAAACCTTATAAATGTAAATGTAAATTTACTTGTCATTTTCAAGTATATGATTTGTTGGCCTGTTGAACACTTGTTTACACCAGTTTTCTCTGCAGTGTTATTGCTACACCCACAGTATCAAATCGTTTGCACATTTATGAACATTTTTCTGCCAAAATCGGATGCCAAAGCTAATCTTTTTGCGAGATAGTTATGAGCAAATGTGTCACATTCTCTTGTCATTGCTTGACATGAGCTTTGACACATGCAATTTTGGATGCGGTGATCCAATGCCCAATCCTGAGAAAGTATTAACATTTTGAAAAGTGAGTCAACTGTGTTTGTACAACATCTTGTACACTTTGATCACAACAGAATGTAGTGTTCGAACCTTTTTTTTGCCTAATACACTTTTATCATCAGATTCGACCCCTACAACACACATTCATAATCCGTACATCATTACTGGTAAATGTTTGTGGCAGTTAGCCTTCTGCTATGCTTTTGCAAAAAAAAAAAAAAAAGAAAAGAAATCAAAAATAAACTCCAGAAAGTTGGTGATAGTTTTGTAAAAATTTACAACACATTGCTGTAAAATTTAAAACTTGGTATTTATTGTTATTGTATAGGCCCACCTTATTCAATAAGTTGCCTCCCTAGACTGTAGTCTTTATGGGCAGTCCCAAGACAAAGTGCTTTTCTTGTGTTTTAATGTAGGTTTTAAGTCATACTGTTGTGTGTCAGTGAAACATATTATGATTTTGACATCCATATTGCCTACCTCTGCCACCAACTTATACTGTTTGGAAACACATTATGTTGCTTCCTTAACACACGAATCTTAAGTGGGTCTTCTTTGCTCTTCTCTTCTCTCTCTCTCTCTCTCTCTCTGTTTAAAATTAATAGAGTATTATGTGTTTCAGTAAGCTGGATAAAGCTGTTTGACAATTAAATGTTCTGGATTTCCCCCACCTTTGTGCAAGGATACCTGGTCACTTTTGAAGGCAAACACAAAACTGGCGGAAAGAACAGTATGTTTCACTTTTCATGTCAATAAAGAACTTTTTTTTGTATATATATATACTTGCGTGTGACATTATTGCTTAAAACAACCCAGGAAAGGCACGCCTTTAGAGCTCTTCATTTAACAGTCATTCATTCTTCCTCTTATGTAGTATCTCGCCTTGTTGGTTCATTGTTTTAGTAGGATGTGAAGGCAAAGAGTAAATATAAAGGGAAGGAAAATAAGACAGAACCGTAAATGGGTCGTTTTTACTGTAGTTAAAACATTGTTGATAAAAAAATAACCATGTATTCTTCCTGTTATTGCCAATCAGCTGTTACAGGGTAGGAACAGGCATGTAGTTTCATCCAAAGATGTAATGATCGACAAACTTAAAGCAAGCATACCTGGTCACTTTTAAAGGCAAACACAAAACTGGCGGAAAGAACAGTATGTTTCACTTTTCATGTCAATAAAGAACTTTTTTTTGTATATTTGCATGTGACATTATTCCTTAGAACAACCCAGGAAAGGCACACATTTACAGCTCTTCTTTAACAGTCATTCATTCTTTCTCCTATGTAGTATCTCACCTTGTTGGTTCATTATTTTTGGTAGGAGGTGAAGGCAAAGATTAAATACAAGGGGAAGGAAAATAAGACAGAACCGTGAATGTGTCGTTCTCGTTGTAGTTAAAACATTGTTGATAAAAAATAACCATGTATTGTTCCTGTTATTGCCAATCAGCTGTTACTGGGTAGGAACAGGCATGTACTTTCGTCCAATGATATAATGAACAACAAACTAGGCTCCGCCTATTTCATTTTGCTCAACAGTACGAACCAATAGAATGTCCGGATTCTTGTTTTTGACATTCTCTCCAGCCAATGAGAGGCCTTCTCTAGAACGATTCATTCCCACCCCTCGAGTGAATGCCAGATAGTTTCTTGATGGCGACAGCTTTGGTAAGTGGGAAGTTGGTCAGTTTTTCAAATAAATACATTGTAAAAACAAAAATTTCGCCGTATCGTTGATCAATCCGCGGTTTAGCACTTCGCAGGTGTTGTTTCACTGGTGTTGTCATACGTTTATTCGATGTCGAATGGCAGGTTTTACTCGACATTTTTTTTTTCACAGCGAAGCTTGTTGTTTTGATCATAACTAATCAGTCCGACTGAAGTTCTACGCGTCGAAACAAGTCATTAATGTGTCGGAATCAGCACAGATGTGAAAATGTCGTTTAAGGACTTGTCGTTGTGTTTGTGTCATTCATTTTTAACGGGGCAGAGGTTGCGTCATGCCTCAACTTGTTGACATTCTTTTGTTTACAGTGTTAGACCCGACAGCCTCTGGGCTCAACTCAAGACCCTGCTGCTGCTGCTTTTTACTTGTTCCAGAATAGAAGGCCTTGCCTCGAAGTTACTATTTTCTTAACATTAAAGTACTTTCGAAACGTTTTATGAAATGCAGACTTATTTGTGAGATATCAGTGTTCGTTAAGTCGAACCAACGGCTCGTCATATCGTGCACTAGACGCTGTATGATCCGTTCTTCCTTGTTTACTAATACATTCAATATGAGAGCTATATTCTCATTTTTGACGTTTTTTTTTAAAGAAACGTCTAGAAATGACTTGTTCTTTTCAAATGATTAAAAACAACACAATTTCATCTCGTAGACTCTGTTATATCTGTGTCAGCTTCTCATTTTTTTGTGCTTATTCTTCACTTTTCTGAACGGATTTCACCAATTTTACACTCAGGCTGCGCAGTTATGAATGAATGAGCTCTCGTACGCATGCGCCAAATCCTTTTAAGTTTATAAACAAGGCCTCCACGCAGCTGGTCACATGACTTGTCCCAGAGGTATATTGTGTCGCTGTAGAGACAAAGGATTACGCTTATTGTCTTCCTTTTCTGTTATATTTATGATGAAAAATGACAGATCCGCAAATGATGATTTATCTCTCGAGGGAGTTTTAATTTGCCCTGGTATTGAATGGGAGTATCTGTATTTTATTAATATTTTATTCCATTGATTATTTCATGACACAGTATTGCACAATAACCTTACCAAGGGCCAGCTTGAAAATATATATTGTGAGAGTCAGCTTTTGTTCATATTGAGTGGCCTGTGTGTAAAACTAAAATCGCATTTGTAAATAAATCTCTGCAGAAGTGTCTCTCATTAAAAGGTTTATTTTTTTGTCTTGAAATCAGATGAAGTGCCAGGTTATGATGATGGATGGCGAGTGAACTGACCTGCAGCACATTGAATCAAAGAAAACAGTAGAGCATATTCAGAATGGATGAATCTTTTGATCCACTCAAATGTAACGAGGACCTGCCTTCCTCTCCTGGGTGCAACATGGATTATGGTAAAATCCCACACCAGGAAACACATTTTGCATTTTAGCGGTCTGAACCTAACCATATTTTAATTTTTTTGAATGCTTCTCTTTACCTCTGTCCAGATGACATGCCAGAGTTGCAGGAGGTGGAGGAGGACCAGAGGTCTCCGGGATTATTTCAGGTTGGAGCAGGAGTGTCTCACCAGGAGCTCAGCTGCTCCCCCCGCACCAACTGGCTCACCGAGCTGGCCAACATTGCCACCAGTCCTCAAAGCCCCCTGCTGAAGAATGCCCCACACAAGAGGTCTGTGCCAAAATGAGTCCAATTGAAGTCAGTTAAGTCCACGTCACCTGTACATTAGGCATAACTTAAAGTAATGTTTCATGGCGAGTTTAAAACACATTGAGCAACATAAGAACACACGAGTGTGTAATAGTCTATTTATGCAAAAATCAATGATCCAATATTGTGAAATGACTTTTAAAATTAATCAAGTTAGTCTCTGTATGTAGAGATGCATTTATACAATTATTTGAATTTTTTATTGAACTTTACCAATCCAAAGCCAGTCATCATATCTGTACTTTTCTGATGCTGTTGTACATATTGGCATATGAATCTGTCCCATACCTTTTAAAGGCCTCTAAATTAAATCAAACCAAAAATGATACTGAGCCAAACTATGTAATATGTGGTATATAAACTGTGTTACAAAGTTGTCAAAATAAAAACAGTATTTAAACCAGTGTTTTTCAACCAGTGTGCCATGACAGATAGTCGAGTGCACCCTGAGAATTTATCCAATTTCACTATATTGGTCTAAATTTTTTTAAGAATTACTTATCTGCAAATAACATTCAAGTCTTAACGGTCTGTGCTGTAATCTACAGCCCCAGGTTTCACTCTGGGTGAGTATGAATAAATTGAGAGACTATATTGTCATTGTGTGAACCTGTATCTGGGGCTACCAAGTGTCATTCAGTAACATTTTTGGTTGGTGGTGTGCCTCGTGAGTTTTTTCTATGAAAAAAAATGTACCATGGCTCAAAAAAGGTTGAAAAACACTGATTTAAACTGATGTAAAGTCATGACGTATTTTTATGTCTTACACTCAAGTATTTATCAGCTTTTTTCAGTATAGTTGGTGAAACAGGTTAGCCCTATTACTTGATGTATCCTTAATGCATTTTGAAATATCATTTTGAAATGTGATCAATTTTGAATCCCTGAAGTCACTGGCTCATTATCATCATATTATGAAAACCAAGTTATAGCTCAATCATTTACAGTAAACTTGTGATGTCTAATAGCCTCCTCCTGCTGAATCTGATCAACATTTGCAATCTTCAGATTTTAAGTTTCACTTCAGAGATTTAGACTATTACACATGTGTTATAAATAAATGTTGATATGAACTTTATCTTCATCAGATCTTCTCCAGTCCACATCTTTGGCAACAGCAACAGTTTACATTCCTACGCTCGGCCCCCGTTAGCCAGTAGTGCACCCAACCCGTCCAGAGGTCACCTCAGGGAGCGCAGGCGTGTCAGGGTAACCTTTCTCTTCAATCTCTGTCTCTGAAAGCCGGAAAATCCTTAAATTTCTCTACATTCTGTTGTAATTTCAAAAAACAATTCCATGCATAAAGCATTCTTGAATTTCATAATTTATTGATTCAAGATTTTTGTTTTAATCTTGTACAGGCCAGCAGTGAATCAGAATCAGGTGTTTTCTCAATGTCTTCATCTTTTTCTGATGATGAAGACATGGCGTGGTCTCACTCCTGGCCCTCCACAGCCTGGCATTGCTTTCTTAAAGGTGAGTACATAATGTATTATAAGATTATTAGGTGGGTTAGACATTTGTTGGTATCTGATACTTTCAAGACTGAAAAAGTTTAGATTGGCTTCCCTGAAAGTGTGACCACTGTAACTGCAGAGGCATTCAGTCCCCAAACTAGGAGTAACCAGTTCTTATACAAGATAAGCTCAGAAAATTTATTCACACTTTACCCTCGCTTCTTTGTACCCTCCATTCGAAGGTAAGAACCCCCTCTCTGCACTGGGATAATGTTACTTGAATTGTGATACTTTCATTCAGTTGGTTTACCTCCTCAAATTCTTCTAGCACAGGAGTATAATCAGGACAGATGTGTCCTCCTTTTATCAAGATGTCCAGGAGTGTCTTTTGTAGAAATTCTGACCTCAGGTGTCCAGACAGCAGTGTTGTTTATTCCAGCATTCTCTGATCAGTATCAACTCATCTGCTTATTCATCATGTCACACTGTTCTTTTCATATTCAGGAACCCGCCTGCGCTTCCACAGAGGTCCTAATGTGGAGTGGCAAGAGGCTGATGAGCTCCGGGATTCTGACGATGACTCAGATGATGAAACGGTGATGCCACTCTCCTCCTCTCTGAAGGTAAATAAAATATACAAATTAAATTTAATGATGCTGCTTTGCTTACTAGATTAGTGCCTGATTTTGTTAGGTTTGTCTCTGATTACATTGGCTTATAATGGCCACAGGGTGGCAGCAATGCTCACAGTAGAGGCACTGGGTGCAGTGTGAAGTGCAAGAATGTGTGAAGTCTTAAAGAAACCCTTACATACTTAAAGATCAGTATTGACAGTTTTAATATGCATTAGGGAAATCAAGTGTTTAGGCAAACAGGAACTGAGTTGTTTCTGTGTCATTACTGTTTCTTTATTTTTCTCCTTCTTACTGATGTGTAAGGACTCTTCTGATTGGACTCTTGCTTCACTTACAGCGATACGGGGCCGAGGGGCTGAAGCTGGTGAGCCACGAGGAGACCGTATCTTTTGGTCAGGCAGTTCTCAAACTGACCTTTGACCCAGGCTCACCCGATGACAGCCTTTTGACAGCCGAATGCCGACTGGATCACCCATTTTTTGTTAAAAATAAAGGTAAGGGTTTTTGTTCTCTTTCTTAAAAAACCAGGAAGAAGAAAGAAAAAACTGTTGGGCATCTATCAGGACAAAAAGGAATGTGCTATCAAAAACAAAATTGAAAGTGATAATGTTGATTTGTTATTTCATAACAGACAACTTTACGATCATTGTAATTATTAATTTACTGTCTTTGTTTCTCAGGGTGGTCTTCATTTTATCCGAGCCTTACTGTGGTGCACCATGGAATACCATGTTATGAGATGCACTTGGGCGATGTGTGTCTGCCACCAAACCACCCAGATGCCATTAACTGCGATGACTCTGTTGTCTTTGACACTTTCAGAAGGTACAGAAGTACATCCAATGGGAATGCACTTTAGGCAATAAAGAGACTCAGCGCAGCTATAACCAATGTCCTCATAATAAGAGACAAAATGAAGACATGATAACAATGTCACATTTTGTCCATGATTGCTACAATCCAGAAAGAACTGCTACTCAGCTTCCATTAAACTAAGGGAGTTTCACTGAAAGCTCATTGTTATGCAGACCAACTCACAACTGCAAGCCTCTGATTAAGTGTCTGTTTTTTGAGACCAAAACAAAATTTAAGGTCATGGTCGGTTTTGGACCCCAGGTGACCAGAAACAAAACTGCGGTTGAATGATAAAGTAGCTAAAAAATGACTGTAAATGAGTCACTGCCTGATGACAATTTTGTCCTCTTAACTGCAGTGGTATGATAGTAATTTAAAAAGCAATTGTTATTGAAAGTCATTAAAAAGTCAAAGCGTTTACACCTGTCTCCCAAGGCCAAGAAACACTCAAACACAGCAAAGTTGAAGACAAGAGGAGGCTTTAGACTTCCTTTGGTGATACAGATGGTCAGCCATCGCTATCAAGCAGTCTTCATTTGTCATTTATGTGCTAACAATAAAAAATGAGTTTGAGTATTTGTCCTCTGTCTGAGAAGAAAAGATGTTATTAGTGTTGAGGATGCCCCTGCATTGCAGAGACTAGGCCCCTCCTCTTTTATGGGACTCCTTTTTTAAATGATTACTAGAAAATTCTGAATGCAGTCTATAAACATGTAAGGAAAAAAAAAGACACAAAAGTTAAACTCTCATTTCTTCTTTCTGCAGCTATGATTTCACCCCTCTGGATTCCTCAGCGGTGTATGTTCTGAGCAGCATGGCTCGTCAGCGCAGGACTTCCCTGTCTAGCGGGGGGGCTGTCAGTCCAGACTGTGATAAACTCGAGCGTTCCTGCTCCCCGCAGTCCTCCACAAGCAAATCCCATCGGGGCCACACCTCAGGGACAGCCAGCAGTGCCACGCCTACAAAATGCAAGCGGCCAATGAATGCCTTTATGCTCTTTGCCAAGAAGTATAGAGTGGAGTACACACAGATGTATCCTGGGAAAGACAACAGGTATGCAAAATCAATGAGAAACTGTTGTTGAGAAAGCAGTTGTGATCTTTTAAAGGTGTCATGTAAACTTATGAGCCAAAAGGTAGTGTTTGAGCATGAAAATACCTCATTACAACAACTTTAAGACACCAGTGTTGAAGATTGCAGAGGCAAAAATGGTAAAGGCCATAGTTACAGTTTAAACTCATTGTATTTATGTTCTGTGCTTGTAGTTTAACGAAAAGAGGATGCATCGTGAATCTCTGAGATCCTGAGAGTGAGGGTGATTCAGAACGACCCCTCCTCCTCTAAGATTAGAGATGAATAATGATCCGTCTTCAAACCACACTTGGGCCAATTCATTAAATCAACTCTTCTCACAGATTGTGGGATTTCTGCTTCATGTTAAAACTGATTTTTAAACAGATTAATTTCCTATCACTTGATTTACTAGAGGAGTAAGTGCTGTGTGGGAGTATTATTGAGTTTTGCCGCATGTTCAACTTTTAGTGCAATTTATTTTCTTGAATCAACAAATTTAATCAATTTCTCATCAGGTTGATCTCTCATTTTAAGCCAAAGTTTTACAGTTTTACCCCTGAGGTTGGCCGGTCGTTGCCAGAAACAAAAACCATTTCATTTGTGTTCAATTGAGAGATGACCGTTGAATCTCCTTCAGTCATTTCCCCCAGAAAAGCTCAAAGTCAGGCTGCCTCTCCAAAGACAATAACCTGAAAAGTTGTCTTCATGATCTTCTGTCTGTAATCTTACACTGCAGAGCCATCAGCGTCATCCTGGGCGACAAATGGAAGAAGATGAAGAGTGAGGAGAGGAGGATGTACACCATGGAGGCCAAGGCTCTGGCTGAGGAGCAGAAAAGACTCAACCCAGACTGCTGGAAACGTAAAAGAACCAACTCAGTAAGGACCAATATCACTAAATTACAATGCAAACATCTATATAACCTATATCTATAACATACCTCTTGTTGTTTTATTACAGGGCTCTCAGCAGACCTAGATAATCCCAGAGAATCCCCTGCTGTCTGTGTTTTGTCATGGAGAGGTGCCAGACAGAGTCTGATAGACCGCTTAATGTCTCTTTGCTCTCCTGTATTTTGAAGACTCAACTGTGATGCTGAATTCACTCGCTTTTTGTAACCTTGAAACAATATTAGAGGACAAAAACTGAATTATGACCTATAAACAAACCATATAATCTAGTCACTAACAGTGCATATATTTTCTTATATCTTTAATGTCAAAGATGTCTTATTCCCCAGAAATAAGAACGAACCTTGACAGATATTTCAGGTTATTTTATATTCAAGGTTGGAGAGCGAGAGCCTGTGGTGCTATGCTTGAGTGTAGACAGAGCAGCAAACAACAAGTGTCTATTTATAACTGTAAAGAGGGGAATTTAAGAACTTTTTTCACAACTATTCCTATAGATTATATTTGTAACATTCAATATATTGCACAGATTGGTAACCCTTTTCATACATTTTTTTAATACAGTATATATTCTACAGATAAACTCTGTCCAACAGTTTGAGATACTGACCTGCCAAGTCTTTACAGTGAGGTTTACCCAACCACCAGGCCATATGATGAGACGGCTACAGCATGTGGTGGTGGGTTTACACTCAGTCACAAATCACTTCAGGCCTTCACTGTAAGTGTTTGTTTCTTATGCACTTTATATAAATATGTAACCTAATCCTATACAGCCGCTGTATACTGGTGGAAACCATTTGTATTATACTGCTAGTAGCTTGATAGTTATCTGTTTGACACAATCATGGCCCAGACGCCATGCTCTGCTTTCAGGTTGCCACTGAATTTTTAGTGCTTTGTTCATAATGTACAGGTTTCACAGCCCCAACAACCTCTTGCACAGAATATCCTTGTATCATATTATAAATAATTTTTTAAACTTGCTTCTTATCCCAGTGTTTGGCTCTTTTTCATAAACTGTATCACAACCTGTGAGTGCTTGATTGGTTTTGTGCTTGAATACAAGTTGTGTTTTTGTGTCCTTTGATCTGAAAGCTCTCATCTGTCTCTTGTGAATGAGTGTGAGTCCTCGAATGGCACGCTGACCCCGACATATTTTCTGTCAACCTCTTAAGAGCTCTCCATATCCTCTGATCAAAAAGGCCAATGAGTAGAGCCTGATGTTTCCAGGTAACGACACATTTAGAGGGTGCTCTTGTTTCTCTCCCATCTGCCGCATCAGAATCAGCATCTTGAACAGATGCTATCAAAGCCTCTCTTCTTCTGAGGAGCGTTTGTTCTGAGGTTTATTCACTGCTGGGCTGAATGAGCACTTCGCTGATGGTTTTAATTGAATTTTGTACTCAATGAAACCTCGGCCTCTGCAGATTAAAAAGGGAAGAGAAAGGAAATGACAATGAAGGAACAAATCATCATAAGCTTAACATTGTAAACAGAGTTCCTGAAGAACACTCACATTTTCTTAAAACATCGGTACAGACATAAATACAACTTCCGGCTGTAAAGTTTGGTGTTAAAACTCTTTTCACTTTTAGAGGCAGAGGGCGCTGTCACTCTGTTTTAGATCAGCAGCTACTCCAATGCTTTTCTCCAAGATGCTTTTCTCAATCCCTCTAGGTAATATTATCATTAGGTCGCCATAGTGCGAGCATTAATGATAGTCTATCTTTTTATTTAAAAAAAAAACTACAACATGATGCAGTGGGTTAAAGAGAAGCTACTCACTGGCACTTCATCTTTACCAAAACTGAGAAAAAAAAACATTTCTGGGAGAGCACATTGAGAAGCTTTGTGATGTTTATGAGTATATTTAGGACCCTGCTCGTCTGAAAATAACATTTTCTTGCTGCCTCATGAAGTAACAACCATCAACACCCTGCAAAGCTCTCAAGCAAAGGAATCTAATTATAGTCGATCTTCAACAGGCCAATCCAAAATGATCTGTGTTAAATACTTTATGGAGTATTTGAGGAAATGGAGAGTTGTGTTTGATGTGCCTCCGGCTAAACACTATTTTAAGCTTTACACCGAGAGCGACTGACTAGAGCGGTTATTGCAGGCTGAAATTAAAATCATTTTTCAGTTCTTGTCACAGTTTTGTAAATTAAAAGAATACATCACTGTCGTGGGACAGATTACATAATATGGACGTAGAGTTGTTCATTTATTAACAACACTGCATGAACACAGCAGAGACATGGTGTACCGCTGCAGAAACACATCAGTTAGTTCCAGTCAGAGTTTATTTCATTTTATTGGCTGAAGTTCTGAGTTTGAGTGAAAATAACAATCACAAACTAACCTGACCAAGACGGTGAAAAACAATGATAAATGTAAGCCAAAGCAAGTGAAGCTTTTGGAGAATAATTTTACATAGTAAGATTTTCATATTGATGATCAGCAGGAAAAATAATCATCTAATTCGATCCAGGTCATTGAGTAACCGTCTGCAGAGAGAGGTGTAATTGTGCACAAATGGCTCACATTTATGCATAAGGTCTTTTGACAGGAACAATTAAAGAGGAAATGAATACAAAAATGAACAATTAAAATGGAGAGAAAGTGAGACAGGGATCAACTCTGCTGGCTTCCTCTTAAATCAGAAGCTGCACCTTAATCAAGGTTTTAATTAGGGGCAATCAGCTTCAGTAATTCACAGAGAGATAGCAGACTCTTGCTGTCTTTGTGGGAGCACAGTGTTTGTGTCTGGCGGTCAACTCTAAATTGCATCCTTGTTATGGATACATTATCATCTGCTTTTTTTTTTTACACTAGTTACTAAAATTGCTGATCAGTTTTAAGTATGATCACTGGAGGGTGATTGATGCAGCACCTATCGCCCCAGTTCCTGTTTTCACAGTGTCATTCACTTGCAACATTGCAGTATGAAGTAGATCCTCATCATGCGATCAGGCTCATTTGTCTAACAGAAGGTGTGTCACTCTATAGAGAAAGCGATGAGATGAAATAGAGGCTGCCTCCTCTGCCATCAGTGACGGCTCACTGATGGTGTGACATTTAAAAGAGATGAAGATTTCTGCGGGTTCACTCCAGTGTCAACAGTGACAGAGCGGAAAATGAGGCGAAAGAATGACTGACGGAGGGGTTCAACTTTCGATTTTTGTTGGTCTACAATCAATGATGGTGTAACTCTCTTCACTCTCTTGAAATGTATTCCTGGCATATGCAAAGTGAATGAGTTTGGCTTACTTGGTATTGGAGTACAGCAGAGTTGAAATCTCATCACTTTCTATCAGTTAGCCAGAGACTGCCCTGCCCATCAAAACTGCAAGGGGGCGATGCTTAACAAACAATCTCTGCTCACTGAGTGTAACCTTCAACCAGGAGTGGGCTGTGGATGCAGAGTGCACTCCAAAGTGACAGGATGTTGTGTAAATTTGTCTGATGGTGAAGTGCACATCGCAAAGATGAGGCAGAGATCAAAATGTCCATAAAGTCAGTGACTAATTTTGCCTTTATGGAAGTAATTAGCTCAAATAGACAGACGGTCCACTGCTGAATATTCTCTACACAATGCAGCACTTTTAATTTGAGCTCATTGCAAACAGCCATTTCAACTGTGATAAAGATTTTAGAATTAAATTAACCCTCCTCCTGTGTTAGAGTCTGCACTGACCCGTTTTTGATTTTAAATGCTTAAAACAAAAAAAATTAAATTGACTAAATCATAAAATGCTCTTATTAAAATTATGGCACTTGTCGTGTTAGGGTCGCTGTTGACCTGGTTAGATCAATATCTAATAATTACAGCAAAAACTGAAATCATAAGCACACTGTCAGGCACCACACTGACTGTCAGATCCTCTCCCAATCATGTGAGATTTAGGAAATTCTCATTTTTCCATGTTTTCCCTGCACAAAAAACTGCGTCATGCATGTCTAGACATGTGAGATCAGTTCAGTATAGATGTCTGTGTGAGGGGTATACTGACAAAGAAAGGCCCAGAGGCCCTCTGTAAAATCTATTATAAGCAATATTTTCATGGGTAATGAAGCCTAACAAGGTAACCTAGAGATGAGAACCAAATTGGATGATAGAGAATTGTTTTAAGTGTTATTTGCAGCTGATTTACGACACTGGTCAACATCGACCCTTAACATAGTGGGTGCGTGGTAAAAGCTAACACAGGATGAAGGTTAAATGCAACATGTTTAGTGCATGTATATATTCTATTATTATGCAGAATGTTCTGTGTTTAATTGATGGCAGCAGCATCCAAAAGAACAATGGGTTGCTTTCCACAATATAGCCCAGCTAATGGGCCATATATACTGGATTCATAACTGAACAAATCTTTGGCTGGACTTGGCTGGACTCTCATGGTGTGAGGCCATATCATAAAGGCAAATAATCTGAGCAGCTTCTGAAATGTTTTGAGTTTTATTAGCCTGAATTAGTTTATTTTTGCAAACATACATACAGATCAAAGGTATCTTCAATGAACTATTATGGCTGTACCAATGGTCAAAGTCTTATCCATTAAACGGCAAATATTTTTCCAATTATTTCTACCTAACATCAAAATAAATGTTAACAATAATTGAGTTCATGTAACTCTGACCCCATGGCCGTCTGTCTGTCTGACAATGATACACCACCAGGAGCAACTGCAAAGCTCTCAGCAGTTATTAGGATATAGTATGTGTCAAAGATATTTAGGTCAACACTTTTTCTCCATGCATTGGTAACCCAGAGCATGAATTATAATAACTCTCTAAAAAGGAGCTGAAGTAGAAGAGGAGAGTCAACATTCAGAGAGGGTACTTTTTATCTTCTGCTCACGTAAGCAGATGTCTTCTTTAGGAGGGTATAAAGTGTCTTTGTCTACAGGCTGTTACGCGGTTGTTCTTCTTTGTCCATTTACACCACTCACGTCTCTGCCTCCCTGCTGCTCTCCCCCTGTCTCTCTGAACCCTAATTGGATGATGTGTGAGCGTGGTGAAAGGAGGACATCCTCCTTTTTTCCTGGTCTGCAGGTTTCAGAAAATGGAGGGCTGAACTGTATAAAAGAAATTGCACTTTGGTCTGACAGCTAACAACAAAAAACCACGGCGGAGTCACACAAAGCTCTTTGCCAGAGAGAAGCTGATGACACAACCGCTGCGTGGTCGAACCAATCCACGCGAGTGCTCGGAGTAACGCCGCTGAGCTGGATTACACAGTTGTTAATGTAGACACACAGATAAATCCAAGCAGAGTCACTTCCAGGTGACTGTGCCTGTAAATCCAACAGAGGACGCTGAGTCACAGCTATGTGATGTAACTTTTTAATATCCTATAATGTAATGCTGAAAGGCTTAGTCAACCTGATACAAAACACCAAAATATCTGCAACAATTTTCATAGTATGGAGTTTACATAAATTATAAACAATGACACAATATTTCTAACACGCTTAGAGGCTAAATGATTACAATATTTACACTCTTAGATAAGATTATGAAAATAAAATAAATGATAGCATTAGAGTTAGATGTGCAGGAGATTATCAAAGTGCTTCCAGTTCATCCTGAGTCCAATATAAAAGTGACATGCAACATCAGTCAAGACACTTTCACACTACAAGAATGGAGTGGAGTAGAGGTGAAGAGTGAACACCCTAAAGGTCAGATTTTTGGGGGTGAATCAACATTCCTGGTACTAGCCAACAGTCTTTCCAACACTTTCATATAGAGGATGGTTTGATATTGCCTCCTGTTCTGAAATATAGGCAATGGCAGCAAAGCTTGAGAGAGCATCTATGAGTTGCTGATTGCTATAAAGAATTTTACACCATAAGGAAGAGTGATATCAGTGACAATGTTAAAAAATGTGTCATTTGCCTCATTTAATCAGAAAATGGATCAATTGCAACAACATAAATACTTGAATTACTGCAGAAGTCTAGCATTACAGTGATGTTCAGTCCACTGTGAATTATGATAAATACGTAGGCTAATGTCTGACTGTGGATTAAAATGTTCAGTTTAATGTTTATCCAAGTAGCTGACAAGAATCTGTTGCCGTGGAAGCACTACTGACCGCGGAATCAGAGGGACACTTTTTAAAGCTGTATACATCAAATCAAATCAAACAATTAAAATATTTTGTGACATTTTGTTTATATTTTTGATTGGTCACTTGATTATAGTCAGGATATTGAATAATAAACACATGATCACATGAATTGGCATCCCTTCACCCCCTGACAGTCACCTGCTTACTATACATTATACCTCACTTTCATACTGCTTCTCTCCTCTAAAACGGTTTATGGTTTATTATCATTTGCTCTGAAACTGCTGGCTGGACAAAATCAATAAAAAAAAAACACCTAAGGGTTTGGGAGTCTATTAGGTATGCACTGACCTTTTCATGCAGATTAAGGAACTATTAGCCTCGAGTCATCCATCCTGATAAAGAAAATAAAACTTCTTCTGGGATATACAATACAATTTCTTTTTAAAATATTTCTATGGTCACCAAGGCAGAGCATGATGTCTGACTTCAGGGCAGGATACTGTTTAAAATCTCAGATAAAAAATGATCACATGCAAAAAATGTCTCATAAGACACCAGCCTATGAAAGTGATAGAGGATCAAAAGCACTATTTGTAGTTACAGCGTGGTTTCGTCATCACTGACTACAATGAATAACAATTAATTGATTGATTTTATTTTATTTGAATGTTGTAGCAGGTAAGCTGGAAAAAGGTTCATAAGACTCCATGAATTAGAAAGATATGAGAAAACAAAACAAAAAAATCTTTTTGTGCTAAACTGACATATAAGCTGCATGTAGGTTCACACAGTTAAATTTAACTTCTGTTCTTAGGAAGTTACATAGACTTCATAAAATTCCAAAGATTAGTTATAAGCGCTGGATTTGCATCACTAGAAACTGGACCAGGCATGTTAAATACTATAGCCATCTTTCTGAATAAAAAATAACATCTTTTCCTCAGCTAAATGATATTGGAAACAAAGACAAGCAGCTGGAAAGCAAATGATATTGAGGTCGTAAAATGACTTGCAATGAGCTTTTATTTGTGGCCGTACATTAATCGATTGATAATTGCCGCAATAATAAAGCCAGGGTTTGGACGGAGGCTGGAGTCAGAGCATGAGTAAAAATGGTAAACAGCCTCAGATCCTCATTTCCTGTGTTTACCCAAAGATACAACTCAAGCTTTGATAATATAATTAACGTCTCACGGAGATCAATAACCCCAGAGGACACTGCAATTGAGACATAATAGAGAGAGAGAGAGAGAGAGAGAGAGAGAGAGAGAGAGAGAGAGAGAGAGAGAGAGAGAGAGAGAGAGAGAGAGAGAGAGAGAGAGACCTGACCCTACTCGTCTTGTGCCCCAGAGATCTATTTAGACTGCACGGTAGCTTTATTAATATATTTTCTCAGTGAAGCATTATAAAACCCTGGCTATCTCAGCAGGAAATTATTCATTGATTGTTGACATATTTGAATGTGAATCAAAAGATAATGAGATTGTTATTATTAACTGCTCCTTTTATCTTTTGTCTCGGCCATCCTGTCCGCTCAGGAGCCTTGGTGAGTGATCTGAGCTTATAAAGTCGGCAGCAGTGCTAACATTAAGGTTATTAAGCACAACTATTTTCCGAAATGGGCAAGACACCAGTTTGAACAGAATTTCTACGACAACAAAACAGCTCTTGGGGTCAGACATGCCTTTAAAATCATTACATGTGGGTGTACTTGAATTTTAGAGTTGCATTCAGCCACAGGGATGATTAACAGGCTTCATTATACCAACTCACTATACTACAAAGCCCCAAAGCATGGCAAGACAGTTATTTATAATGCTCCAACTTTCTAATATGACATTCAACGAGTTACATTAAAGGGCTGGAAATGCGGTACCAAGCAATTGGGCTTTAAGAGTTCTCATAGGATCATATCAGCCAACACTAATAACACGCTAATACAGACTTCCTGGTGGATAGTCCCCCCCGAAAAAGTCCCCAGAACATTTTGATCCAATAACATCCATAGACACTTTTATACCCAAGTGTGCTGATAAAAGGCAAAGGCCACTTCAAATATCACGTATCAAGCATAAAGAAAAAGAATGAATAAAAATCCATGCTGATGAGATTACTGTTCTGTATGAATTTAATTGCATATAAAATCATGGAAAAATAAAGCTTTTACCTGAAAGTAGTCCATTTGTCTGTGTAGTAGTAGCTTTACATCATAACCCCTGCATGCATTTATTTTGGTGCCAGTCCATAAAGTCTCCACTGGATAAGAAAAAGTCTCTGACCAGCTACAAGCACAGAGAAAAAGTTAAAGGTGAAAAGTGAGAAATCATCAGTCTGAAGAATCCATCCCCTGAGCAGCATGGATGTCTCTACCAGACTTTATTGCCATCTATGAAATATTCATTTAGATATGACACTGGTGTTTCTGTCAGCATATAGAGCCAAACAATAGAGGAAAAGAGATTCAATGTAGTTACACTGACTGATTTGTAACATTGCTCTTAATGCTGAACACATCCAAATACATCAAAGGGAACGGATGCCTCTGTACAAACAAGGTCTTCATGACTTCTCATTTTATACTTTCCATCTCTGTCCATAGAGCTGAATGTTTCGAAGCAGTTGGTGATTTCTAATACCTGGCAGTCAACAAGTGCTTCACACCATGAATAAGCTACCATGAGTGAGAAATAGCCTGCATCAAGGGCACAGAAGAAGAAACGTAAGCAGGACTTTGGATGTGGGTGCCTTATCTTTTATTGAATCTTTGGAGACATCAATGAAAACCTAATGGGCAGCTGCTTCGAGCCTGCTAGGGATGCAGCCAAATCCCTGATATCTGGTCTGCACATCACAGGAGTATATTACATCCAACACTGGTCCTCCGAAAGACAAACTTTAGTCTGTTTTTATAAGTCAGAGTTTTTCTCCAATATCAAATCCGGACTTTTAAACCAGAAGACAAGCTTTGACTTCAGCCATTGAGGTGTTTAATGGCCGACCGACAGCTCGAATAACGGTTATTGTTTAACTTACTAGCTCCTTTTTCTTTTATAAAGTTAATTCAGAATGTTTGATTTTGATGGGTGCTCTGTGAAAATCCTTATCTTTGAATGAAAGCACAACATCCTCACAGTTACAGGCTGGAGACACCGAAGGCAATGTTTTCCCATTTTTTGCAGATGTTGGAGCTATTCTTACACGAGTGGCCTTAATATTTAGTTTTGTATTCAATCATACTATACTAGAAGCCTTTTAGCAGCAGAAAAGAGAGTGCATGTTGTGAGGGCAGTAACTTGTTGTGTGCATGGTCCCGCAGGTGCAGCACACTGATGCAATAAAACACCCATGACGGCCGAGCCGGCTCCCTCTGAGACGTTCATGCCCTTAAAACTCAGTGACATTTAGATGGGCTGTAGTTCCAATAGATTTATGACATTACCAGCTGATGTCCTCTAAAGCCACCAACATTACAGCGGCTTTTTTTCATTGCTGATATTTGAGCTTGTTTGGGCAGGATAACACCATAAGATATTAAAGGTGTTGAAAATCTTTATAAGGCATTAATCAAACGGATCTGATCAGGGATGAATAACGACTAACAGTTTCCTGTGCGTGTTCGCATGTCTTTTCTTCATTTCTTTCGTTCTTTATCTCCAGCAGATTAACAGACACAGAGAAGAGCCTTCACAGGCCTCTGATACAATCACTCAAATGTCATCTCCTTCTTAAATTAATGTTCACCTTCTCATGATAGCACACTTCCACTTTCAACCATTAATATTTGCTGTCCTGGTTATTAAATATTTCACCATGGGCAGACATCATATTATTACTCCATTTGTCAGGGAATGGAGGCAGTGAACTCAGGAGTGGATTTATCATTCTTTAATGTGATATGCACTTGCTAATACAGAGCGATAAAGTAAATGAAACATCCGCGTAATGCAAGGGTATCTAATAAAGAGAACTGAAGTAAACACTCAGGTAAAGATTTTATATTTTTAATAGACTTCCCTCTGCAGTCCTCTAAGTGAAGGGTTCTATGATGTACTGAGCACGCTGTGAGAGGCTTTCCTGGGAGAACTGCACTTGAAATTTCTTAATATTAGGCCAACCTTTAAGGGCTTGTAATATCACATACACTTTGCAATACATTGAAAGTAAAAAAAAATCCTTATTATAACCTCAGATATGACCAATGTTAAATCACAGCCCCTCCTGTAATGTTGTCATCCTACTGCTGTTTGTTTTAAATCTTACTTAGCAGAGGAGCAACTGGTTGTAAATAAAAGAGGACATCAGTATCACCCAAATACCCCAAGGTTCCCCCGAACCTAACCCTAACACTTCAATATTCTTTGACATTTTTCTAATTTTTTGGTACCAATTGACTCCAAATAGTCTAAAAGATGCTTCTAAAAGGTTGTGGACAGCTTTTTTTTTTAACCCTAACCCATAAGCCTTACCCTTACCCCAATACCCCAAAGTTACCCTAACACTTGAATTTTTTTTTGGACATTTTTCCTAATTTTTTCTGTACTAATCGACTCCAATTAGTCTAAAAGATGCTTCTAAAAGGTTGTGGACAGCTTTTTTTTTAACCCTAACCCATAACCCTTACCCTAGCCCTGTGACCCTAACCCTAATACCCCAAGGTTCCCCCTTACCTAACCTAACCCTAACACTTTATGCAAATTAGTGCATATTTAATTAGATATTGCCTCATTTTCATATTCATACCTAACATTTGACAAAACTTGTAATACAAAAAATATTTGTCTCAATGTAAGTTATAAACTTGGGAAGTTTGATGGTGATATCTATTAGTTAAAAATTTTACCCCATTCACCTGGGGTGTCTCCCTGGGCTTCCTACGCATCACGGATGCCATCTTGAAAATGGCACCTTTCTAGAGCTCAAACCTAGGTAAACTTTTAGTATGTTATTAAGAACATCTAATACAATAAAAACAGCTGAGAAACCTTTTGTTAGAATTCTTTTAGGGTTAGGTGTTTTTTTTCCATATATGCACCCGCCTATTAACCATATACAGGAAATCACTCTGGACAGCCATAGTAGAGAATCTTCATCTGTTATCTCTAAAATGCTGCTAATAATCTGCCTTCATTTCTTGATTTCACCATGCATTTTACTTCTCAAATTGCCAGTCAGACCACAAATGACGGTAATATAAATCAGCGACTGTAGAGGACCTGGAAAGCTAGAATCAGCCCCAAAGGCTGTGCTGTCGTCAGAAGATAGTCAAACTGAACTATACTTTATCATCACTGTCAGACGGGCCTTTCAGTCTTCATGGCAACCTGTTTAAAGTATGTTTATATGTGGATTTCCACAGCCTGTCATTCCTCTCCTATATGTCACAGATGCTGGAAAGGCTTTTGCAAAGCTTTCACCTGCATCCTCACTCACAGCTCATCTGTGCCCCCTTCCCTCTCATCTTCTCTCTCCTGAAGATGCATTTTAAGAATCGAGACATGGTTTCAAACTGTACGCTGGCTGAGATCACTTTCTGGGTCACAAGCAGAAGATTAGAGGAGAGAGAAGACAAGGTGGCACAAAGTAGAGGTTATTTTCTTTCTTTATGCTATAGTGTGCTCTTGCAGCAGTTTTTATTGTCCCCCGCTGTGATCGGTTCCACTCGTTTCTCATTAACTGCCTGTCCTACGGTACATAACCTGTGCCTTTCTCTGATTCAGTGTGATTTTGCCTCTATGTCGTGTGAAGAAAAAACAGTTTCAGCAAGTGTTATTTTGTTTTATGATATGAACAGTAGACAACAGACAGGTGCTTATATGATTAACCCGCCTGCTCTCTGTGCACAAAGCTCTGATCTACCTTCTGTTTGGAGTTGGGCATTCAAGTCTTCTCTTTGCGGGTTTTTGTCGGTGTTGCAGGCTTCACACAGTCAAAGATTTGTAATTTTGTTTGATGGATAGAAATTTAACATATGCTACATCTAACAACTGTTTTGTTGTATTGAAAGGTGCTGTGTGTAAAACAGGGATATTTAGATTCTAAGCTGGAAAACTTCCACACTAATCTCTCCTGTCACTGAGGCTACAGTGGCCAACGAGGAACAAAAGCAATTGACTCAGGATGGCATCATCTACGACAGACAAAGTAATTCAGCAGTTTCAAGTGATGTGGTGGTGATGTTTTTTGTGATTTTATCGAAGTATTTTCTCTAAAGTTTTAAATTTAAACCTGATTAGCAAAGTAATGCTTACCAACACTTTGAGACTGGAGACCCTGAAGGTATTGCAATCTTAGAACTTTTGATATTTCTTTATGATATCTAACTTACACATTTTATCAGTTATGATTTAACTTTCTCAGATTAATATATTAATTATTTGCACTGTGTGAAGTTCAGAAGATGGAGGACCATTAAAGATCCTCACTATTTAACCTCCTTAGACCCGAACTCTTGCAAGGCATGCATTTTTATTTTCTCTTTGATATTCAGGCTAATTGGGACCTGATGAGTGTAAAAACAAAGAATGATCTTTTTACATGATGTAGTTTCTGAGAAAAATGATGTCCACATATGAGGACATTCGTTTTAAATTTTGAGAGAAGGCCCTTGTGAACAAAATTTAATATTGTGGTCTTGACAACCAAAAATGTGATGTCCACACATGTGACGTCAGGTCTTAGGAGGTTAAGGTACAACAAATTTAATATAAAAAAGTGACAGAAGCAGTTTGAAACCTTTGGAAAAACTGTAACAAAAACAGTGAATTTGCAAAGAGGCAAAAAAAAAAAAAAAATTGGCCAACAAAGCTGTAAATCATTCACCACTGGACTGGATATCAGCATCAATAAAGCTACAAAATTGAATTGGCTGCACAAACAGACCTGTCCTTTTATTTGCACAAATGTCGTGTAAACTGTAGCTGACTGAAGTGGACAGCACATGTCACCCTTGACTCTCTGCAGATAGATGACAGCTGAGACGCTGTGCTGCAGCTGCAGTTACCTGCAGGCCACAGCCCACCGGGCAGGGTGTGTGACCCGATCTGACCATGACGGATGGCGCTGTCACACTGTCAGGACCACCCCATCTTGTGAACACACACATGCAGCAGTTGTGTGAGGTGAAAGTCCAGTACAGTCCTGCTACATGTTATAAAGACTATCAAGCCGAAAGGTTTTAAACAACAAACCGAACCCAAAGTTGCTCCCAGTGCCTCGATCAGCAATGTGTGAATGTATATGAACCAGATTAGCTAACACTGACGGTCTCCTGTCATAAAAGCCTTCTACCATAAGTGTATAAATGCAGTGTGAACATGTGAATGTGAAGGGTAGAGTGAAAGTGCTATTAGTGGTTGAAAAGACTGGAAAAGGACTGTTCAAGTGCAAGAACATTAACCATTCTGTTTACTTTGATACTTTACATGACATCTTCAACCATAACTGAGTGAGCGTGTTAATAGGGTTACGGTTAATAGAGTGCGCATGTAACATAAAGCATAAGAAAGTGCTTTGGGAACATGGAAAAGTACAATAGAAACATACAGTCCATTTGCTATTTAATAAAGAAGACCATAGAAAGTGTGCTAACACATCGCTGGAAGGAAAAAGAGACACTGAAAGTACGTGAAAGAAAAAAATGATGAGAAGATGGAGACACAGAGAGAGAGCTGTCATGGCAACAATCTAAAAATGGCAAAGCAACAGATAATTACCACCTCCACCCACAGGTATGATGCATACATAATGGTGAGGGTGACAGGACACCTGCTACAAAATCTTGGCTAGTTATCACCTGTAGGTATTTCTGGAGTACAGTGTGCCAAGAGACTAGCCCAGATTTTTTTTTTTTTTTGCAACAGACACAAGACATGTGAAAGTGTGAGGGAAATACCAAGAGATCTGCTGCTGGATCTGTCAGAGAGGCAGCTTGATATCTGGTCCCTGCAGAATTTTGTCAGGGACCATTTAGAGGCTGTACTATCATCACTTTCTGTGCACTTCAAGCTCCACATATAGGATATTTTAGTTTCCCCCCACAGACATTTACAACCAGATATAGCTATAAGGAGGACACCCTAGTTAATTTAATAAAACGTGTGGATTGTGGCACTTTTCCCCCCTACATGTATGTAATTATCACCCTCAGACGTGTTGTTATGATGTTGTTCAAAGCTGCTTTGGTGTTATCCACTTAGCAATGTACTGTGCCGATGATTTAAATCCGTATCTCTATTCCTGTTATATAGAAGCTGTTATGTTTCAGTAACCTATTTTTAGACTTCCTGTGAACAAACTTCAAGTTCATCAAAGGTTGGTGAGAGCTCTAGTATAATTATAACGGCAGGGATTAAAGGGGAATCGACCCGACTCCTTGAAGCGACCCAAAGCTTGCAAATTGCAGACAAAGCAACCTGCAATGGACAAGAAGGAACAGTAAGATCAGGTTTCAAGCTACAGGAGGGGATTTTACAGCTTTGATAGAGTCTCTGCCAGACTGTTCACAAAGCAATCAAACTGAGTAGCTGTGAAATTGAAGTTTGAATCACTTTGGCCACTTTTATGTCTTTGGACGGCGAATTTAAGAGATATTCTGTCACCTGGTAACCACAGAATTTTTTTTCTTCATCTAATTCACCTCTTGTTTCTAACATCTCTTTCTCTGCACCAGACAAAACCGGAATCTGACTGACAGTACACACAGTGACAGACTCACAACTGATCGCACACAGTATGACACATCCTTTAAAAGCAAGAGATGAAAAAAGGGCAGGTCACACACACACCTGTCACATTTCTGAGAGTGTGCTCACTCTCTCTTATGTCTGAGGCTGAGGGTGGAGTAAGATGAATGTTGTGACACACACACTTCAGAGGGAAATTGATTTTGAGGTTTTATGTATTGATATTTCTCTCTCAGATTTGTTCAAAGGAAAGCTGTGGATAATAAAGCTTTTTTCCCTACATTTTTGAATGAAAGATCTCTGCAAATGTGGATTATCTTCCTAAAATAACATTACACATTTAAAAGCATCATGTTGCAAAGCCTCAGAAATTTAATACATAAAACATTATTTTTCTGCGAGCATGACTAATGGTTGAAAGCTGCATCTTCCATTAAGAGGGATTTCCACACTTTCATCTGTGAGCAGTTCAATGAGTTGGACAGAATTCGTGCTTCTGTGATCGTGGTCAGGAAACTCCACTTTGCAGATTGGACAGTAACACCCTGCAAGTACCCTTAATAGATGTGTGATGAAAAATTAATACATAAAATATGTGCACTGTTACAATTTGTGAATTAATCAACCTCCAATTCTTTTCGGGGACAAAAACTACTCATGATACAGTGCATGATTCACAATGCTGGGTTCAAGATTTTCCACTAGTTTTTGAGGCCTGAAGTAACCCAATTGATGTTCAAACTTTGGAGAAGAATTTCCTAAGAAAATCTTTTAACCACTTTAAGCCAACTTTATGCTTCTGCATCAAACATACACTGTAGTTCTGTGTGACCGTGGACCCTACACAGAAGCCTATGTGCAAAGCCAACACTCACACACACCACCTCACAGTGCTAACACACCAGATGCAGCTGAAAAATTCACCCCTATTCATTATTGTAGATTGCTGATGGACTCATCACTGTGCAGAGCATTCTGGGACTCCTTCCATCCTGGGTGTGGCTGGCAGCACCCCCTTTTTTTTGGAACCTGTGCTCTCTCATTATGACAAAATCCTGTCTTGAATGCAAACATTGGTATCCTAAAAAGTTAGTATACACATTTGTGAAGTTTTGCTTTTATTAAAAGGCATTTAAATTCATGAGAATGAGTGACATAGCCAAAGTGGGTGGGCATCTCTGTGCATCCTGGCTGCATTTGGTATGCCAGCATTGTTAAAAATGTATCAATGCAACAAAATGACGTGACCTGCAAGACCTGTGATTGGTCTGCTTGATGGTGGACATATACAGAAGTCCCATGTCCTCTTTCTTAGTGGCCATATTGTCTTTGTCCTTAGACATCTCTGCTCTAGTCTTTGAGGCAATAATCAAAATACGATCTGCTGCAGCACAAAATGTACAAGCTTAGACTCAAACATATTACTCTTGGATTCAGTTGCCATGGTTCCCTGTACACAAACAAGCAGGGAACACAGCAGTACTGGATACTGGTGATATGTCAAGTATTGATATCGCAAAGAACTACAGTGTATGTGGGACGCTGGTCCAGAACAGAGGCATGACCAGGCTTATTTGTAATTAATAAAAAGTAGGATCAACAGTCGAAAAAATTTGTTGTGTTTGCACCTCTTTAATCCAGGATTTCCACCGCATCCGGAACGGCAGCGATTTTCTCCATATGCCAGTTCCTACCGGGTCTGTTTGTGAGGCCAATTTCATGGCAGATTACGGACAGCAGAAATCGTGAAAACTCAGAAGAACCCGCGGATTCACGTGCAATCACGTGATAACAAGTTGTCTTTAGCCACATAGGCTAACCATATAAGCAGTAGATTGTGTCCTTCCAGTGAAGGGAATCTACTTCTAGACTTATAAAGTCAGCTTCCTCTCATCCATGGTGTCATCGGGGTGAAATGCTGTCTTAACTTGCCTTCACCACACCTTTCACTTGTTCATCTCCGCCTGTTTGCATGGTGTGAAATACGAGTGTTTTATTATGTGTCTGTGCCCGACTTCTTTTCCAGCACGGGCTAATCTGTGCTGATTTTATCTAGCATGCTCCGACGTCAAGAAAAAATAGAACTCTTGCGATCAGCTGCAGAGTTCGGCGATCCGCAGTGGAACGGAACAAAGCCGGTGAAAATTGACACATCAACTTGAATGGTTACGATCAGCTGCAATCGGTGGATACGGCCTTTTCATAGTAGTTCCGGATGCGGTGGAAATTGCTGGTAAGACTCCTGATATCTGTTTTGTTTTAACAAGTTCTGTTACCAATCTGTCTCTATCTTTCTTCCTGTTACCTGTAGAACAGGTGTGTAGACTCTTCTGACCACATGTATCGAAGGAGTAGGAAGACAAAAAAATCTGCCACCAATGAAAGTGGACATAGTGGATCAATTTTCCCCTCCCAATATGGATTCCAATACTTGTGCTGTGGGTATCAGCCGATACCAAGTACTGATCCGATACCAGTATGTTATAAAAAAAATAAATAAAACCAGTCCTGCATGACTGTGATATCACTGATATGATGATCTGAGAAATGTTTATGACCCGTCAAACAATACCTTGGCTCCAAATACCTTTAGTAAGCGGCAAAATCCCACATTTTTTGACGACAGACGTGGTTGGTCATCAAGAACAATGAATTCCACAATTATGTCTGTTATCTTTGTTGCTTTTTGGCTGTCTCTGGGGATTTTATCTCATTGATGGAAGGCAGCTTGCAGAGTTTGCTGCAACGGCTTGTTCTTCTTTTTCCCCTTTGCTCTGGTAAATCCATCGTGCTCTTTAGCGTGGCACGTCTCTAGGTGTTTCATTAGGTTGCTGGTGTTAAAAGTAGCAACACTCGTGCCACCTCTCGAAATATTTTCTTGGCATATGTTGCATCTCACGGTCTTATGGTGGGAGCATCCGATGTGAAATACTGCCACACCGCTGACATAACGCGAGTGCTAATTAGCTGCTCCTTAGCTTACGTCCGAGCCTTGTCAACTGTGTCGACAGGCTGTGGCTCTGATGCTGTGCGTCTGTCATGTGATCCATGCCGTTTTAGATAGGCGAAGAAGAACCGTGTCAGAGCCAACGGAGCTAACCAGTAAAAAAATTATTAATTTAATGAATTATGTGGTATTGGATCGGTACCTGGACTCCAGTACTTGCCGATACCGATGCCGGCATTAAAGAGTTTGAAGTTTCACACAAAAATCCCTGCAAATAAAACCTTAAATAACCATCGAGAAATCAAGTCAAATCACGTGCTTTATTTCCCAATAGCTACTAGTGTCTATTCTAAGCCGGATCTGCACCTTTTCATATGAACATACTGCTCCTTTTTGATTTTCTAAGGCACAAAAATCTAAAGGTTAGCAATGACATGTGATGTAAGAATAATTCACACCTTTCTGCGAAGAAAAAGACACACAATTGTTATTCCTGAACAAAGAAGTGGGACCTGACAACCTCTCCCCTGGTATCAATTGTGGAAAAGGTTGCAGAGTTCGGAGCTGTGCACAAGGAGCATGAAAAATGAAACACTTGCCTGTCTTTCTCCAGGGGAAAATGAGATCATCTCAGCTCCGAAACTAAGCTTGGGCTACAGATGACAGTTACACTCTGGGGATGAGGAAGACGGGAAAAGTTAGAGGGATCAGTGGCAGACCAGACTGCATGGGCGCCTTCACTTGTAATCTGATTCTGACCAATGATACATCGAAATCAAACAAACAGAGCCAACATGGTTTGGTCCTCAGATATTGGATTTCAAGTGGTCAGACTTTGCTTTATTTTGGAGGGGATGATGATATGACTCCTTTTTTATGTGAAAAGCAAATACAATTTCAAACTGATGCAGAACATTAATCCTTGCAGCCTCACGGTTCATCCTCGAACACATGGATTTTTGGCCGACTTAAGCAGTGATAAGAACCCTTACACAAGCTAATATTCACTGTTCCTTCTCAACAGATGGAGCAGCATGTCTGGACTTTCACACTTACAATAGGTGGTGATCTAACTATCAGCTAGAAGTGGTAGCACTTTACAGGCTTGGGTGGAGGGAGGCAGGAGCTTTCTTCAGTATTGCTGAGGAAGTCTCCCCAGATGTCTGCACTTCAGAAGTTAAACTCAAATAGCAGGAACGACTTCTGGAGTGTCCTTGGAGTTTTATATGCTAGAGGTAAAAAAGAGGGCAAATAGAGGAGTCCCAAGACTGCAAGTCAGAAGTTTAAATCCGTACGATTCGAAGTTAAAACCCAAAAATTCAGCCCCATGTTTTTTTTTTGTTTGTTTTAATGTCTAGCTGCATATTCCATACCAGGGACTAAAGATTTTCTCAAACTGTGGCACAGGTTCAGAAGTCCACAAAGAGATGATTTAAAGGGAATTTCTGAAAACTGCCACAATCAGCTGGATGTATTTCTATCTATGTACTTCTAACCAGCTATTTAATAGTAGATAAAACAAATTTACCCAGTCATTGTACTACTATGACCACTGCTTGGCATAATGTCATGTCAAGAGTTGGATTTCTTCACATGTTCAAATAAGTTAAAACACACATGTCTTTGTGTCCTATTTTACAGTTACTCAAAGCAGGAGTGTGACATTTGTCAAACTCCATCCCAAAAGTCTTCTTTCATGTGAGGCAAAATACACAGTTTTAAAATATGAAGCAAGGAGCAATTGGGGTTTTGTAACTGAACGACACCATGACAGTTTGACTTACATTTGAATACCTGAAAATACACAGCCAGTGCTGTCTCAAGTTAAATGTCTCCTAAAAATGTTTGATTAGCTTGTTAGGAGAGTGAAATTTGCCTAAACACAAAAGGTTTTAGCTTCAGTCTTAAAATATTTCATGTTAAAGTCAGTAAGTGTAAAGTTAGCTTAATATGTTAATATAAAACTTAGACCGTGGAAGTTGTGCTGGTTTGAGGCATTAAACATTACTTATGCACAAGTGACAAATCAACTAAAGCATGTAAAGGAAACAATAAGCAAAGACTGCATGCCCACAGGAGGTGTCAAAATTCATGCAAACCAAAAGTTTCTCACACGGGCTTCACATGAGGCTTCTTTTGAAGAAGTGACATGACAATATTTACTAAAGATTGCTATTGCTATATTGCTATATCATTCACCAACAGCTGTTAATAAATTGTGAAAGTGACAATTTATTCAGACTTAAAGAATGAGGGGCATACTCTCATGTACCTGTCTTAATCCATTATCACAGAAAACTCAGTTAAACCTGATTTATAGGGTGCAAACATGAATCTTTAAAGGTTTCGACTGTATTTCAGTGCTGTTTAGAGTATCACGCTGTCCCTGTCACAATTAACTGAATTAATGGGGAAATCTCTGCATCTCACCAAGTGACAGAGTGATGAAGCCATCAAGTCCTGGCAGTGCCTCTCCACACACTGTTCATTCTGGGGGATGTGGTGTGCCAAATTGCTTTGCTATGGAGTTTCCCAGTCTTGCTGGAGGAAAGTGACACATGCTACGATTAGCACAAAGAAAACTCCCGGCCTCATTTAAAGCAGCTGATAAGACTTCAGGATAGACTGAAAAAGGTTAGTCCGCTGAAGAGATGTAGGTGGAGATAAAGAAAATGGGAAAAGAAAATGGAACAATACTGTGTGAAGATTGCCCGCCAAAATAAATAGGTGTGAGGGGAAGTTAAAGGCTTTATTTTGCTCCTACAAGCAGCTCCTACAAACAACTTACTGTTTTTTTCTGGGAATGATTTCAACGCTGGACAAAGAAATCAATGGATGAATAAAAAGGATCCCCTTTGTCCTTTTTCAACCACAAACTGACAAGAGGGGGGCTGTAATAGATCCAAATGGTGAAATATAAAGGTTTGATTTCATTTTGGAAGTTGGAAATCTAATGTGCTGGAGTGTAGCCAAACCAGCAGAAATTACATTACTGTCCTACTTTCTGACTGTGCTTGAACTGTTAGAGCGGAGAATATATTTATGTGTGAGTAGAGCATCACATTATGAATAATCACACTGCAGAGTCAGTACAGTTTGAGTATATGAGTTTCACAGGAGTCTCATGGATCAAAAACCTCTGAGTTCAGTTCAGCTCACAGTTCAAGGGTCATGGTTCGGTTTAGTTTTCAGATCAACCACAAGAAAGAGATTTTTTTAGAACTTTTCTACTCTGAACATTTCAAGACTGCACAATAACAGGGCTGTTATTTGTTTCACTGTGCCTTAAGTACATATTATTAACTGAGCACGGGGACTTTGCACAATAATAAAGACCCTTTTGATTTTATTTAATTTTGTGTAAATGTAAAATTAGACATGAAATTGAGCACTGATACTGATATGCTAAGTTAACTCTTTCTGTTCAGTATTTACTGACATTTACATCAAAAAGTGACAACTTAATATAGCACCTTAAAAACCTAGAATTGACAAGGTGCTTTGAGAAGCATATTACTTAAATTACTGGGTGACAAATACGTATAAAACCAAGATAAAAAGTCACAATTGCAATAAAATCTATTTTTATGCACATATTTTTAAATGTATAGTACACATAATTCATCTGAAATTAAATAAGTGAATATCATGAAGTAAAAAAGACCTATTCAGTAACAACCCAGAGGAGGATAAAAGGGACTTTGAAAAACATCCAATATTTTTTGACACCTTTTTTTTTTAAAAAGCAAAAACAAGTGTCATTTCAGGGAAACTGTACACAGTTTGAAAAGCCCTGTCATCTGCCAGAGTGAATGAATCATAAACACATCCTTTCAAACTAAATGCAGAGATCCTGAATGCAGCTGAGTTCATAAAAAGCTGCTCCTGTATTATAGCTTTGTGAAAGGCCAGCCAAAGTTAAAGGGCAGTGCCACCCAATTATAAAACAGATGGTTGGGTGATAAAACTAAGAAGTCGCCTGTTTCTTTCCAATAAATCATCAATTTATGCAATATGCTATAAAGTCCTTTATGTGTCTGAAAGCAGTTAAGTTTGCTATATTTTTATATTATGTTATATTACTAAAATCTTTGAGCAGGGAACATTGCACCTACAAAGTCACAAACTAATTTACTCATGTTTTTGGTGCAAGAGTAATTCAAAGATTTCATGTGGGATCTTTGACCTTGTTTTCTCATAAATGGGAATACTCTGCCTATCTTCATAAAAAAACAAGAGTCTTTCCTTATACAATTCTTGTCACGTTTTATTTCTCTCTTTGCAGATTTCAAAAGGACCTAGATGCTGCTTATACTTGAGCTTTCAGACTTTCGGCCAGTCTTGCACCAGCATCTCCCCTAAAAGGTTAATGTAGAACCTTCATACAGCCCATTAGATCATAAAAAAATATTTCTCAGCAGCATCTGGAAAAAAAAATACTGTTAAAAGGATATGTTTGACCCATCTGTAAGATAATCCCAGTGATGAGTCCATGCAGGTGGTCTTAAAAGCTAATTGCTTTTGCTTCTCTGTACCTATATGGACCAGCTTTTGTAGGCTCCATCATTTTCTGTGGCCCACTTTCACCGTCTCTTCCTCCACCAAGCTCTATGCAGTGGGGTTATTAATGAGATGTGTGGAGTAATGCATCACCACAGGGCCAAAGACGGAGGTGTGGGTTTGTAATGGGTCGCACCAACACTACACTGAGACCACAATTAATGACAACAGCAGCTTCAAACCTGGGGCACAGTGGGAGGACCGTAATGCACTGTTTGCTTCGTGAAAAATAAGGCATGGAGACACTGCTTTCCAGTAGATCTGGGTCCTACAGGACTTGCACCCAGTGCATCCTGGAGAGATGAAACCTCATTGGTAAGATTGGGAACTGTAATGTATTTACATTAGGGAGGACGCCCATTTTATAGCACTGAGCCTGAAGATATATAGAGACTATTAAGAACCCCCACAGCACTATTACAGTTCAGAAAATGTTCACGGCGATGCACAAATGGCTGGGGTTAATCGGGTTACTAGAAAGTGCTGTGTCACATTCTGAGGAGGGGATACAACAAAGTATTGGCAAAAGAAAAGCTACACCATGAAGTTTTCTTTTATCCATTCACTAAAAAAGTCAGGTGATAGATAGTTTTTAACACCTCATAAGAGCAATTTGGAAAAATTTCTGAACCTAGTCTGAACGCGAATCGCAAAATTGCGAACATTGCTGGACTCGATCCATATGAACACACTGTATGGTCAGAAGATGATTTCGAGATGCTACCACCACTTAACCGAGTGCATGTGATTCAGCATCATCAAAGGAACAAGCTGTTATGCATTTAATTCCTTCCATAATGAAAAGTTTCTCTTGGCCCATGTTTTTTTCACATCTGGGTGGGTACACAAACTGCAGATGCACAGTGTCAACAACAACAAAACCGTCGTTCGCACAATGGCAGGTGATCACACGCAAACATGTCTGCCTTTCTCTCTCTCTCTCTCTCACACACACACACACCCCTGAACAAATTATCATGTAGTGAGGTCGAAATCAACTTCTGACCATACAGTGTGCTCATATGGGTCGAGTCCAGCAATGTTTGCAATTTTGCGAAGGTAACGCTGTATTTCTTCATTGTTCAGCTTGTCCCTGTACGGTATGTTGAGTCTGAGTTTTGTTCTCTCCATTCCGTTCTCCATTACTGTGTAGTCAGCTAATAAATATTTTTTTTAAAAACCTACCTTCATCCTAATTTCATTCATTTCAATGCGCTTAGTGTTGTTATGTCTGCAAAATGGCTGCGCTGGCACGTTACGCACCACGCCCCCTGTGCTGATGTTGGCGCTGCTACACTTAATACCAACAACTTTTGATAACCTATCTTGGTACAACATACAAAAGGAGCATGTGAAGACTGTTGCAGGTGTCTCAATGTTTGAGAAAGACTCCACATGAATCCACCGAGAGTAAACACTTGTCCATCACATTCACAAAAGTTGATTTTTAGTGGAAGAAAAACCCATTAGTTATCTATTTGCAAAGCGGCTAAGCCTGTCAAAGAAAAAAGCTCTACTTTCTCTAATTTCTCATAAGTTTTTTACAGTTCTTTGTCAGATGACAGATGTTACACGTAGAATTTGACAGTTCTGTTCAGCAACAGACTTCACCTGTCTGGAGGAAAAAGAGATGACTGACATGATGATAGTCCAGGACTTAAGTTCGAAGCTCAAAGGAAGCTCTCCTCTGATAATGAGTTTTGTTAATGAATGTGTTGTCTTGCAGAATACCAGGGGTATTAGGTAACTCCAGTGTCATTACAAGTCTATTAACCAGTGGGAACATTTCCTCTCTTATGATTTATAATCCCAAACAACGTTATCAGTATTAACCTGAAAATGTTTGTAGCGCTCCATCTCTCCCTGAGACAGAGGAGATAAAAATCAGTCAGTTTGGAGTGTCTGATAGGATTGAGATCATTGCTTTTTTGATGATAAAGTATACCTTCAAGGAGGAGTCACTGCTACAGGTTTTGCACAGGCTTAATTGCAACAAATCGCACCTTCTTGGTGCTGGTAAATATAACTAGATCAATAAAGGGGAAAGTGTGTGTGTGTGTATAGCAAAGGCAGTCCTGTCTGTGAAGGTGACAGGGACACAAACAAACTTCAGTCCAATGGGAGGGAAATCACAAGGACACTTTATCCCAAGAGCAACATGTCATGCATCAAAGACAGATGGAGGACCTGACTTCTACATCACAGATAACACAATTAAAGCTGCATCAAACACAAAAGCACCACATTCCTGCATCAAAACAACCCTGCCTTCGTGTGCAGGTGCCTGGAAATGCTGAGAGTCATGAGAGTCATGGCGAGGACCAATAACAGGTCCCACTTCCTGAGAATCTCATTCACTAATGGCTGACCTGTGTGTCTGCTTGTATTTTTAACTCCACTGTCACTTCACAGCTGTGCATTTACTACCATGCGCTCCCCTGCTTATTTTATTTGACAGATCATGCCCAGAGGCCAACTTTCCCGCACAATGATAAAAAACACACTTAACAGCTTCTTTCTAGAGAGATATTCACTTCCATTAAGAGTAAAATCTATCAACACATGTTAATAAAGAGATTTTTTTTCATTTCTGTTTTCTTATTAGTGCAATAAGTGAAGCACGGCCAATAGATATTCCATCAAAGAAGAAGCCTTAAAAAAAAGAAGTTATTTTAAGCACAAGTCAAAGCGGTGGAAAAAAGGAAAGAAGGCGTCTTGACAAGAGTCTGTGGTGCATAACTCCACTGTGTTGTTTATATAGACACTGTCATCCATTCCTACCGAGCGCTGAAGCAGAGGGAAACAGAAACACTTGGTCTGTGTGCAAAAGAGCCCAACACAAATTATGCTCAGACAGTCAGTCACAAACAAGAGTCACGCAAGGCGGAAGGAGGAGAAAGCTCACATTTTTATGGAAACATTATCAGTGAATGCACGATTAACTAGAATCTTACACCTTGTACTACCTTACTGCAGAATTGGTGGCCTTATTCGTCACCTTTAATTAATACTCGTTAACTTTAGATTTGGTTATTCAAAAGTTGTGCATATCTGGAATATTTATTACCTGTTATATCTTTCTCCTTAAACTTCAAACAGATGAAAAATTAAGCCACTTTACCGCTGCTACCAGACTACAGATTGAAATATGGTAATGTAGGGTAACAGGAAAAATATCTAGCTTAACATATGGTCACATCTTAAACGAGATGTTGCATTGTTTTGACTAACAGTGTTTATGAATTCCCACAATAGAACCACACGGGATCCACAGGATTATGCAGATATAAAACATGCATGATAAATATGGATGATGGTGTCAGAGGTAGAAGATGTAAACAGATGAATGTGGGTTGATAAGTGTGCGTGCATGCTAATTTACATGTGGCTGTACATGAGATTCCTGTATTATAACTACACTAAATCCCTGTATGAGGTACACCAGTTTATTAAAGATCAGCTGCACACGGGTTAACTGGTTTATTTCATTTTACATTCGTCCTATTTAAGCTCTGATTACTTCCTCAAGGATCTCAACCATTTCATACAGCCAAAAAACTCTGTAATGGGGACCCCTAATAAATGTGCACAAGGTTTCTGATTATAAAGGATGTATTACAAGACCTTACATAATATCTCAATGTGACATGATATGATAAGATATAGTTCACTGCAACACATTAGGCTATGTTATAATATAAGGTGCAATACAACACAATTCTATACAGTAGAATAGTATATAATATAGTAGGATATATTATGATACAATGATAAGATATATGATACAATAAGTAAGGATATGGTGCCATGCGTTACAATACGATACAGCATGAAACAATGTGATATAATACAACACAATATGATATCATATAAAACAATACCATAAGATACTATACAATACAATTAATACAATATGTATTATATGATATGACAGGATATGAAGTTATACAATACAATATGAAACTAGAGGATTCAATACGATACCTGAACCACTGCTCATTACACTTCAAACAGCCCAGTATAAAGATTTTGTTTTGACTGACAAACTGCGAGACAATCATTTAGAAATATGTAACAATATCTGATCAGCTGAAGAATCAAAACGCCTTTCAGAAGCAAAGTGCAGGATTACTGTTATTATAAGGAGGAGTCAAAAAGCAGTGATACAGTGAGTCAAACTGGGAGTGAAATTTGTGTAACCTGCATATTATTCTTACATTTAAATATATATAATATATAGCTGTCAAAAAGATAATACTGTTGCCAACACCAGGTCAGGATGATAAAGTGTTAGAGGAGCGTAAAGCCAGTTGAAGCAATCAAACTGTCCACCATTGTATTTTTTTGAAACCGGACCAGTACCTGGTATTGTTTTAAGTAGTGGTTTCATTGCTATGACCCCTTTAAATGAGTGATTACAGAATGAGGGTGATAATTACAGGGTAACTTACAATATGTCAAGATACTATACCATAAACTGCAACAAAATACTATATGATACTTTACAAAACCGCACAGTAAAACACAATATAAAAGGATATCAAGTCCAACACAGGCTTATGACGCTGACCGACTTTCATTTGTAAATAATGGCTGTTATTAAGTAAAAAAAAAAACACCCCCATGGCATAAAAAAGAAAAAAGCCAGAGACAATCAGCAGCTCCTGTCTGAGACACAGTAGAAAAACTTATTACTGCAGGTTCAGTTCAATATGTGACCTGAGGCAGAGCAGAAATAACTACCCAAACAAGCTGTGTGTGCAAACATTTCCTCTGCCCAGTGGAGGAGGAAGAGGAGGACAACAACAAGCACAGGAACACAAATGCAGGAATCGATTGTTACGAGGGCTGCTGGACCACTGGGGCTCTATGGATCAAAAAGACATGCTTAAACAGCTACAACACCACTGGCATGACAAACAATCACTTCTTTTGACACAAATGTTGCTACCGGGAGAAACTCACAGTCTGGGAGACAACACAGAGCAATTAAAAGACGCTATAACATACAACATGAATCCCGTTCTTATGCTTAGATCTACAACTCTGTCAGGATATAACTCAAACTCTTTAAAATAACTCAAATAACTTTGTTTTAGTGTATTTATAATCCTCCAGCATAATTTATAGAGACACATTGTTGTTGTTGTTTTTTCATTTCTATTAAATGCTAAGAGCTTTTTTTGGAGCAATGACTGTATCAGGTTTCTGTCTCATCTAGCTTGGTTCTCTAATAACAGATTATAAAAATTAATGCTTAGCAGCAACCAACTCAGATTTTCCCAATTTGAGAATTTTCCTCTGACCAGCACCTGTTATACGAGTTCAAGTACTCCAACACTTTTTGGTACAATCATACCGATTTACCAGGATAACAAGCATTTGAAATTTTCTGATGAAACTTGATGTAAAAGTCTTTAATCTACAGTGGTCATAAACACAAAAACACCCTTGATTGCGCGCTCTGGAAAAATGTTAATTGTTCATTTGGGTACTTAAGTTGTTTTCATGATTATATATGGAGATCAAAATGCAGTTGTGTTAAAAATGCTGTTCTTCCCTTTTAACACCCCAAAAAGTTTGAGTTTATCTGCTATTTAGTCTCACAGGTCCTACAATGAACTTTATATCCAGAGTTAAATCAAATCGCTGGTGCACAAACATACAACGGTTGATTATTACAGTTTTTAATTGAAACTTTATTGAAAAGAAGAATTTTGGTGATAAGTTGCTTATTGCAACAGTTTCCAGGAAGTCTAGGCTGTATTTACCAAAGCAAGACTTGAGGAAGATGGAGAATGTGACTAATGTCCTAAAATAATTTCTTTCAAGAGGGGAATAAAACTTCTGCAGCATTAAAAATAAATAAATAAATAATGCATCAGATTTTATTCAGCACTTTATCAGCGCCCCCCAAAATGCGTTACATTAGCTACATCATTCGTTCATTCACTCACACAGTCACACCCTGGTGGTGGTAAACTACCTTCGTAGTCACTGCTGCTCTGCGGCAGACTGACAGAAACGTTGTTGCCAATTGTTGTCAATGGCTTCTCTGACCGCCACCAAACATCACTCACAATCATACAACAGTGTCTAGTCCAAGGACTCAACACTAGAGAGAGGGTGAAATCGAACCACCAACCTTCCAGTTCTTGGATGACCGCTCCACCTCCTAAGCTCCTGCCGCCCAAAGAAGAACACCATCATTGTAGATCAACAAATCTGTGGCACGCTCTGCTGTCTTTGGCTGCTGCTGCTGCAAGAGGGTCACCCTTCACTTCACAAAGCAGCCACAGTAATCACCCAACCTTGTAAGTCTTGTTTGTTGAAGATAAAAATTCATTGTTTGGATCTGTGTCAAAATCATCAGAATCAAAGCAACCAAAGAAAGAGATTAATGGTGTGTTCAAGGTCAGGTCACTAAATCAAGAAAGGATTTCTCTGTGTGTAAAATAAAAATCTATCACTATTTGTACTAAAATGCTGCTTCCAGGATGCTGCTCACAACAAAATCTGTGTCACTTTTGAGGGCAAAACAAACTAAATTGGGACGCCTTTGTCTGCAGTGTGCACAAATCTAGTTGGTACTTCTTTTGTACAGAAATAAAGTTTGTGACAGAGTTTGTTTTTAGGGTAGCTGTGCTCATTTTCTGAATTATAACCCAGCACAGAACTAGAAATGTCAAAAGTTGCACCGTCAGGCCAAGCAGCAACTCTTCTGTCTACTTGAGCTCCGTCTCTGCATACCAGTTACCCTACAGTGCCTTCTGTCACAGCTTCAAATAACACCCAAAATGCTTTTGGCAGCGCAGCTTGGTGTTAAGAATTTAAATATGTGATGAGTTTGAAGTCGGCTCAAAATCAGGTCCTTGTGCAACCTTTCGAGTGGAAGGAAGAACTGTTTTACTTCCCCGGCCCATTAAAACAGAGCTGCTACATTCAGGATGAAAAATGAGAGCAGCTCATGTTGTGTGTGTGTGACAGTATCGGAATGAGAGCTGTCTGAAGACAACACAGCTTACACCATGAAACTGTATCAACAAATTAAAGTAGATTGACAACTATGGAGTGGATCTCAAAACAGGTGTTTGGTGTGCATCCAGACTCCAGTGTCTATGAAGGGTCTGTTCGGTAATCTGAAAGGCAGCGGAGCATCTGTACAGGGGCAAAGCAGACTCCTGCAGGAACGCAAGCAGAATGCTAATGCTTTTAGCCTCACCTCCGTCCTCTCTCCTCTCTGAAAGATACAAGGGCAATGCTGCATTAATCATAGATTCACAGTCCTCCTCCTTCTCTCTCACCTCCCTCCCTCCAAACACACTCAGGCACCTCTTTACATTAACTCTGAAACACACAAACAGCCACATGTGCAGTCGCCCTCCCTTCCATCATAGCCCAACATAATTTCAGTGACCTGTAAAGCACAGGCAGGGAGATATAAATGTTTGACCCCCTGAAGAAGAAGATTTTCTAATCACTGGTAATAAATGAATTAGATGTCCCTAAAAGACAGCTGAAAGCGCTGCCTAATTCACATGCACATAATCGCACATATCTCTGAAACAACACCTACTCTGAGCACGTACAAGTACATACACCCCCGTACACACACGCGCGCACACACACACACACACTCTCGTGGTACAATACAGTGCACTCTTATTTTCTGCTCCACCGCTCAGAGCAAAATGAGTGGGAAAGAGATACAGAAGCAGGAGGTTGTATGTGTGAATTCCATTAAAAAAATAAAAAACACACTTCAAGAAACACAGAATTATCAGCGGTGCATAATGGCCAAAGACCTGTGTAGAAAAATGTTCTGTTTCAAACCGTTTTCTTCAGAGAGGGAAGCAGGGTCTGCATAAGAGTTTCACACGATGTAATAAAAAGGAGGCAGCAGCCCGGCGGACAGAATGGTGTGAGTAGGAGGTGAAATATGAGCAGTGACACTACGAGATCTCATTTTATTCATAATTAATAGATGTTACAGAAGGAGACAAATAGCCCTGTGCCAGACAAGAGAGTAGGCAATTAGCTGCGTTAACCCGGACATAAAATGTCAACATGGGGACAGCGTGTACAACACTGTGGCCAAAAAAAGAAATGAATAAGCCTTTTTCTGATTCCTGGAAACGTGTACAGAATAATTCTAATAATAGGCTGTGGGTAGAAATGTGATGAGTCACATGCTCTATAAATTATTAGGGATGTCCTCAGCCTATTAGGATGATTCAGTGAGGACACACCTCTAAAGTCCATCAAATGTCAAACTTTTTATTGGGGTGTATGATCTCGCAGCACTCTCCGTATCCCAACCAGGGGAGGGAGAGGAAGAAGTAGCGCGTACATCATGTACGACAAAAACACTGCTGTACGATGCTCCAACTTCTTGCCCGAAAATTCCCAGCAGCAGTTGTAGACACTTCTGATGTCTGGCATGGACCTGCTGTTGTTGTTGACAGTTGTATGGGGTCAACCGGAAACAAGGTCGCTGAAGGGAGCCATATCGCCCCCTAGTTTTAGGGAGGAGGACACGATCAAGTCAATAATTCATGTCAATAATTTCTTAGCTGCATGTATACACGTACAAGGCGAAAATATTATGAGCTTAGTCCTTAGTTAAACTGTGCATGTAAACGCAGTGAATACTTTTTTTTCCTGCTTAAAACTAGAATCCTGGGTGCTTGCCATCCACTGAATTTGTAATAGAGAACCAAACATACTCTGGAGAGAGTGGAGGAGTGCTATAAAATGATGTGATGGTGTAGCGGTGTATTGAGATAGACTTCACTAGAAACCTTACATTAAACTTTCATATTTGGGTTCTACAAACATGCTTGCCTTATTCTCACAGTACACCTGGATGTTTGTGACCTGAAAGCATTAATACATTGCATAAACTGGTGACCTCTGCTACTGATCTGTGCAAAAGTGGGATTTTTCAACAAAGCAGCAAAAATAGACAGAACACCGACCGCATGACATAAATGTCATCACCTCTGCCTGCTGGCTCACTGAGCTCACTGAGCCGGGAGACAATTTTCCCGGAGATTTCCAGGTGAGCTCTCACATGAGCTCACCCTGATCTTACCTTGAAATTATGCCCTGGTGGGAAATACTCCTGGAAAAGTCAAAGTGAGAAATGCTGCATGTTCACACATGCAGCTCACCTGTTAATTCAAACTTAGTGCATGTGTGAAAACACTGACTGTCCCTCAGGGCTGAGCCTGACAGGGCCGCATCGGGGAAAGCCTGGTCAAAGGACACTTGCTGTCCCGGCTCTCTCCCTGCTAGATCACGGTGGAAACTCCAGAGTCATTTCTCCAGGGAAGGTGACTCATGAGGGACTTAAAAGAACCTCTCCTGGGACCAATTTGTCTTGGGAGAACCTACCAGGTGCTAGTGCCAACAAAAGCACAGCAAACAGGTTCTCAGGGACTTGAAACCCCTTCACCATGTCGAGGTGGCAATTCTTCAGAGGGTCTCTCGAGTAGTCCTCCTCAGAAAACAGTGAATTACTTCTCTGGGTGTGGAGTGAGTATTTTCCCCCCAGTGAAGAAGTTCAACTATCTCAAAGTCTTTTTTTGCTAGGGAGAGTGAAATATATTGTGAGATTGACAGAGGGGTTGGTGCTACAACAGCAGCAATGCAGCTGATATACTGGATAGCTGCATAAAGGAGGGAGCTGGGCCTTTTGATTTACCAGGCGATCTACATTTTAACCTTCACCTGTGGCTGTGAGCTTTGCAGCGGCCAAGAGAATGACATCACAGAACAGTGGCTAGGCTCAGCTTTCATGATGGGATCAGGAACTCATACAACTGAAAGGGGCACAGAGTCAAGCTGTTAGGTCCTTTGGAGCCAATTGAGGTGGTTTGGGCAACTGATTATGCCTGCTGGACTCCTCCATAGAGGTTCCCTGGGTACATCCAACTGGGAGGAGACCCCATTTAGACTTAGAGCTTGCTGGACGGGTTAACTTGTCCTTTCTGGCCTGGAAACCCCTCGGAATCCCCCAGGAGGAGCCAGGACATGTGGCTGCGGGCAAGGATGTCTAGGCTGACTTGTAGAGGCTGCTGCAACCAGGACCACGATCCGTATAATTGGAAGAAAATGCTTGATAGACCGATGGATGAATGAAACATTGTGCAAGCATTTTGCTCATACTTGCATGTTTATATTAAACAAAATATGTTAAAAGAGGTGCTAATTACTGCACTTAGATGACCTCTGCTAGGTTGAAACCCAGCCTATAATGACTGAAAATCTAAGGTGCAGCTTTTCATTTTTAGCACCGACTCAACCTAAACTGTGTAAGTTTGCGTACAAGAGTGTGATAAGCAGATCACACGAACTTTCACCAATTGAAAGTAAAAGCTTCACTTTTGCTTATATAGTGTCAGGCCACAACTAAGTCCCCTTAAAAAAGAGCACGTCTAGACAGTACTTTGTTGTGTTATTCACAACGACTCAACAGCTGGTAAGAGTGTTAAGGAAAAAAAACCTTTTTAATAGACGGAGGCAGAAAAGCAGACTCACTGGTGAACTGGCATTTGCGACTGAATGGGTCAAAATAGACGGATATGTGGAAAGAGAGAGAGACCTCTATCAATCCAGTTTTTAGGCCTCTATTATTTTGTCCTTTTATGAAATCAAATGAAAAGATCTGGAGCATAACTGCAGTTTTTTGGCCAGTACACTTCTTTCATAATGTTTTATAGCAGACGACACAAGTATGAATGTCTAGTAGTGATGCACGATATGAAAAATTTCAACCGATACCGATAACCGATAATTTTCTTCTTCTCATGGCCGATACCGATACCGATAACCGATAAATTCATATTTTTACATTTATTATAATCTTCATATAATCTGCAGTTTGTGCAGGATGCAGCGATTGAAAACTGATATTTTTGTTGCTCTGGCCCATCTAGAACAACAAAGAAAAGTTTTTGGCTCTTCAAATATGGTCATTTGCTATAAATAACAATAACAGAGCAAAAAGCAGAACTTCATTTGATCCCCTGAACTGTTAAACAGAACTGTAAACTGTAAAAGGAGCCATTATGAGCCGTTAGGCTTAGCATGCTGACCGGACTAACATCTGACGTCCATATGGCTGTGGTAAAACTCACGTGTAGTCCGTTCTTGTCGATCAGGTTGTGAATGTATGTGGCGACAATATCATAGAGTGCAGGAAGAGACACATCCGAGAAGAAGCGGCGGCTTGGGAGAGTGTAACGTGGCTCCAAGTGTGCTATGAACTTACGAAAACCCGGGTTCTCAACGACGGAAAAAGGCTGGTCGTCGACCGCTATGAACTCCATCACTTTGTCGTTAATGGCTTTAGCCTTTTCGCTGTCTCTTGAGAAGCTTTTGCAGTTCTTAAACGCCTGCTGAATGGGGACATCGATCCTCCGTCGTGTTGTTGTCTTAGCTTTAGTACCGCTAGCAGCTTCGGCGGCTGTCTCATATTCTTTTACTACCGCTTCACCGCGATGGCGACTTTTCAGATGAGCTATCAGATTCGTTGTGTTAAAACTTGACGTCTTCTTTCCTCCTCTCGGAATCCTCGCTGAACAGGTTTTGCATATAGCAATGCTGTTGTCATCTTCTGCCACTGAGAGAAACGACCATGCTGGTGAAGACATTTTATTATCTGTCAGGTAGTGACAGGGTCAGGCTTGGGACCTGCGAGTAAGGCACGATAGATGACGTAACCAGCGCGTCTCGGACGGGCGGCTACTCCGCCTGCAAACGTTACTCGTAATTTCATTAATATATCGGATCTTTCTATCGGAAAAATGCACCTATCGGACCGATAAAAAATGACGTAATTTCCCCCCAAATCGGCCGATATTTTATCGGTCCGATAAATATCGTGCATCCCTAATGTTTAGTCATTTATATTTTTGTAAAATTAAAACACAAAGAACAATGTAGCACAACACCTTGTACAAGTAAACAACAAGCGACACATACAACATGAAAACAGTTAGCTGCCAGATGAGCAGCTGGATCAATAATCCTTTCTTGGTTTACCAGACTGAGAGTGAGAGTCCATGTTTGGGTACTGATTCACTTCAAACTGATCAATACAGAGCTGCTGATTTGACTAAAGAGACAAGAAGATGGGTGAAATGAGATATGATGGCCGAATGATTCAACAGCAAAAATAAAAGGATCAATGTGAAAATCTTCAGTTGATATTGGTGATGTTGCTGGTGTCCTTCAGTCTGGTCAGAAAAGAGAGAGGCTTTTAAAAAGCCACAAATAGATGGAGATGACGAGTGTGCTGTAAAAAGAGGGCCCTGTGAGGGAATGATAATGGAAAGTGGAAAATGGACTTCAGAGTGGGATATTGGAAAGAAGATTGGGGGTGGTAAGAGGCTCTGAAAAAGCAGAGTGCAGAGAAATGTGTTGTAAGGAGTAATGAGACGCTTCGAGGAAAAGTTCAAGATGGACATGTTTGGTAAAAACTGCAAAGAAAGCTCTGGTGCAGCGATGTTAGCCGCTGTGCAAATAAAATTCATGCAGAAAACCAAATTGATAATTTAATTTAATCCTTTTGTTTCTATTTGAGTTTGCTAACCAGAACAAAAGTCTGGTGTGAGTAACCATGACACATGATTTATTTGCACTTCACAAACCTTTCACTGGTATTAAAAGGTGCATGTGCACATGCAACACATGTGCTCACATGCTTCTAGATATGGTGTGTTTTTAGTGGAGATTACCTTTCATGTTCTTTGCAGCCAGTCTGGCTCAGAAAAGGGTCAGAGCGGAACAGCCTGAAACACTAAATGTGAAGCATGAGGGAGAAAACCAGACCAAGGGTGACACGTGTCAAGTAAGATCCTCAGCCCCTCTGCTCTCTCTTGGGTGTGAAATAAAAGAAGTCACTACAATATGTTGGAGTGCTGTGTCCTGCCAATTTTGTTCCAATTTAACCTCCACAAACAGGTACACTACCTGTGGAGACTCAATTAGAAAGCCATTAGCTGCTGACAGACTGAGGGCTAATTGCTGCCTCAAGGGAATATAGAAATGATGGGATTCAATGTACAAGGACAAGAACACACCGTGAAATTCATCAACCAGCAGCACACTTTACAAGGACAGGGAGATGTCTTAAATTTCACTCTTCAGACTACCAATACTGAGCCGACGTGAGCTGTGTCTTTTCAGGGAAACAGACTTCAATCAAGGTAAATATGGTTACTTCAATGAGGGCAGTGAGCACAAGTTAACTTTAAAAACCAGCTGATTTATCATTGTAATATATCCCACAACAAACGGGCAATCAGAACGACAGAATCAAGACAAATGCAGCAAATACAGATTTTTTTTTTCTCTGACTGCATTAGCAATAGCTTGTGCTTAAAGGCTCTGGGATGTTAGACAACAGCAGCTTCTGTCGGGCTGATTAGTGCACCTCATCTTTTGGTCTCTATGACCTCATTTTTTAGCTCCCTCAAAAGCCACAAAGTCACATATTTGCACAGTCACTCCCCAAAGTGGGGCTGCCAAATAAGTCATCATTGCAATTATTGAGGCTGATTATGAGGCTCATCATGCACACTTATTCTTCTATGTTTGATATGCTGATCCTTTGCTGCTATTAACAGTGCAAATTTCACCACCGTGGGATGAATTAAAGGCATGGTGGACGATCGGAGAGGTTGGTAATTATTATAAACCTCGTTTATATGGCGATCATGGTCCTATAGTGTGATCTCCATAAAGTAAAGAGAAAAAAGAATGGAAAAAATCTATTCACCCTATCAGATGCAGGGCTGCAAAAACATTGACCAATGGGAGCCATCCGTCCTGGACAGCTCCTATTGGTCAATCTCCTGCTCTGACTCTCCATCCAATCACCTTGCTGTATTCGACACACCCCTCTCCTGTAGTTCTGACTTGTCCCCTCCCACTCTCCCGGCCCTCCTTGGAGCTCTGAACGGCTAAAAGTGGTGTAGAAGCTTAGCTACAGGAGCTATGATGGAAAAGGACGCCAAAAATCGTTATCGTTGAGTACAGAGGGGAGAGGTTTGTGTGCGGGGGGTGGAACGCTTTTTTCAAATCTGCCTCAATGACTCTTTTTTTTTTTTTAACTATCATCTTGATCAACCTATTTTTACAACAACTGTATCACTGGAATAAAAGCCCAGTCCTGAAACAAAGTCCACAAAACCCACTTCCTTACGTTGCTGCAGAGAGGAGGACTTCCTTTCCTTGGAGAATTTCAGGCTGAGTCTATCCCTGGGCAATAAATCACAGCAACAACAACAACCCATGTGGCTTGTCTAAGCAAGCCAGTTATAGCCTCAGATACTGGCCACAGTAATAATTAAAAAAGGGTCAATAAACTTATGTACACAGAGATAATTTTGTTATCATAATTAAATACACAGGTGAGTATTAATTAATAATGACATCCAATAATGCATCATTTATTCATTAATGATTTATTGTGGACATGTGCAGAATAAATAGACTAACTGGACACAGCAGCCAATGCCTATTTGCTGCATGTCAGTGGTGGGGCTTTTGTGAGAATACAAATTCAAACAGTGAGTTAAAAGAGAAAAAAACAAAAGGTCAAGTGGGTACAACATAAAACTAGAGGTACAAAACTACAGAGAAATCAGATATGACAATCAGCTAAACTGTCCAAGATTTCAAAAGCACATTGACAGTCCAGTGATATCATGAACTTTAATTTTGATGTGCTGTTTAGGTTGAGAGAGCCTTCAATTGGACATGTTCCCAAAACTCTGCATTCTGCAGTGGGCTCCTGAAATCTTCACAGATGTCTTTCCCTTCATGCTGAAGCTGTCAGGCCTCTAGCGTTGTAGACAGTGACGTCAGAAGAACGCAAGTAATCTCCTCAAACTGGGTCATATTCAAATCTTTCCCTGCAACTGGCCTACAATAGCTGGTAAAAGAGTAATTATTGTCTGGGACTTTTACATTGTGGTCAGTCTGTTTCAGCTGTGATTCTGAGATTCATTCTCTGTGCATAATAGGCGTCCGCTCTCCTGGTTAGATTTTGTTGTAAAAATAAACCCTATGCAGTATCCAAGTCTTACTGAACTCTCTCAGAGAAAAGGCAAAAACGCTTCAGGAAAAACACAATGGAGACTTCGATTTGTTCAAAGAATAAGTGTGATTAGTTATTTTAAGCATTCGCTGAATTTACAAAATTGTTCATCAGCCGTTCATTGGTGAAGTCTGGCTTTGATTTTATTGATATTTCCAGTCATGCATCTTAATCAGTCGTAATTATGAAGACCCTTCACACAAGATGGATCACACAATAGGTCGCCCTTTTGAATCATTATTCCTTCACTTTTCCTACTCTTTACCAGAGATATACAAGCTGCAGTGTAATGAAGTCCCTTCCAAAAAGAGAGCAACTGATACAAATTCAATATGTTGGCCTTAGACCTTTAGCTATTATGGCTCTTTGCCAGGTTAATGAAAAAGGCCCTATCCTGCACTGTCCATGACACTATTTTATGAACATTGTTGAATTCTTTTCAAGGTATTAATTCTTTAGTGTAGAGGGTCTATAGTTATTTCGTTTCGGTGCAAATGGCAAGTCTAGGTTTTGACCTGCAATTTATAGATTCTGAGAGCAAGAGGAAAAGACCTTTGGAGAATAATGGAGACCTTTAATTTGATTACTCAGTGCAGACACTTCACCCTGTGTTAGGATTTTTTAATTTTAAAACCTCACAGTGAATCTAAAAAGAATCCCTTCTATCATACTGATGGACTGTAGCTAACTCAATGAAAGACGATGGTTTCTATGGTTTTATTGCACATTTCTTGGACACTTTAGGAGAGATTGTCATCATTATGTTAAATGTCTCATTCAGAGCCCAACTTTTATCATCTCTGGAATATCTCCCATACTTTCCTTGTCCATCTGCCTCATCCCGTATCTATCTATCTCTTTTTCTCTCAGCATTGTGCTTGTGAGATGGGCTGATAGAGACATGCATTATTCATCTGCGTGTCCTTTCTGTCATTGCAGAGCTGAGCCCTGAGCAGAGGGGTGCAAAGCAGAACTACAATCAATCAACTGGGGTCTGACACCCAGCACAATGGGATATGTTGATTGGATGTCACAAGATATCCATGCAAATAGGAGAGTGTGCTGGGCTATTTTGTAAACACTGAGATTGTCTGGAGGTTTTTTTCACTAAAGTTGATGTTCATTGGTATTCTACTCCACAGCCAATGAAATATCCAAACCACCTGTTTCAGTGAGTACCTGATGCTCTCCATAGTAATGCCATGGATTCTGTCGAAAACGGTCCCTATGTGAAGCAGTCTGAAGGAGTCTGTTATGCCTATAGTTTTGGAGGTATCTTAACTGTTTTGCAGTTACAGTTTCCTGTTGCCGTTCTCAACGTCTGTCTTATGCATTTCTTTAACTGTGACGCTCACATGTATTGGTGGTCCAAGTGTGGGATAATGTTGAAGTCCCACTCCGATAGTGTTTTTTTTTTAATACTTAAAGTGTGATCAGTGGTCTATAAGTTGTGATTATCAAGTTTTCAGCCAAAACCACATTACCTGTGTCATTTTTAAGGGCTTTTCTTCTGCAGAGCTCCAGTAGTTTATCATCACTTTGCCTCTGAGTCGTGGGTGGAGACAGCGCGGCTCTGCACACCCGCTAGCTTGCAGCCTAACATTGCTGGTGTAGAAGAAGTGGCAGGTAACACAGGAGCTCTTCAACTTCAGACTCAAATATCTTTTGGGGCATGATGAAAACTAATATAATTAGCTTTCTTCCAAGCACTGCAATCGTGTCGCAATTGTCTTCTCTGTTTTTCTGAGTGTGGCCTGCATAGCGGGGTTCCTGGGGTGGAGCTTGGATTTGCTACGCAGGAAATCCCACTGTATCTGAACGTAGTGTTTGAGTCTGCCAAGAAATACTCAGAAATGCAATTTTGCACTTAGTTTTCTCATGATATGCCCTGTCGCATCAGAAAAATGCCACATGAACATGTAGACAAGAAAAAACATGATTTTCATCAAGTGGGTCTTTAAGAACAACAGATGATGGCACCACATAGCACAGTGCAATGTAGAAATCTTTTGAGCTAGCAGAAAGAGATAAATGCGTATGCTTACTGTGTTCACTTAAACTGGCTTACAACCACTTGATCAGACCTGTGCATAACTAGCACAGGCATGTGGACGTAAACATAGACAAAGATGGTGGTGCTAGCTCTGCTAACATTAGCCACACACAGCAAAATTTGACAGAGCTCATCCTCAGACACTGTGATCCCTTATTCAGTCTTATTTAATTTAACATGTTAAATTTTTACTGTTTTCAGGGTGATTTCTTACTATAAGACCTGTGCGTTAGTTGAACTAAAAATTCTGTCCAAATAAAAAATTGTCCGTTTGATATTGATGAAATCATTTATCTATCAGCTGTGCCTAAGGCGAACACTAAATGGTCTGGGTAACGTTCGCTGCATTTGCTTCTATCTTACCTTTGTATCACTTAAACTTTTAACTAATTTTCTAATGTTAAAGTTTCAGTGTTTTCACTATAAATAAACCACATGCAGACATTATCAGCATCCTGATAGAGAATTTACACTCTCGAACTTCCAGCTCTTTGGTGATTATCTGGTCTGTACCTGGTCTGTACCTGTTTCAGGTTGTGTAGGACAATGAGGTTGAATTGCATAGAAGAAGTCAAAATTGTCCATAGAAGAAGTCAAAATTTCCTTCTTAAAGTGCCTTATAAGGAGTTTTTCATGATAATCAACAGAAAAAATAATCTAGCATGTACTCTTTGCAATATCATAAAAAAGACAACATAAATCCACTAATAGAAAGTACCTAATAACAAAGTCAAAAAAAGACTTCCTTTGACAGACAGAACCATTTCGTAGAACCGCGCAGAAAGGTCATCTGCCACAACTTGACGGACCAAGATAGTAGAAAGGAAGGAGAGATACAAGGAAAGATATGAGAACAGATGCACAGATGAGCAGACAGGGTGACACACAAAGTATCTGGATAAAATAGAAACAGAGACAAATGTCTGCCTTGTTAGGATAACCCTGACAAGAACAACAGGGTTAAAAGATTGAAGTTGGAAAAATGGCCCAATCAGGATAACAATGACTCCTTTGATCAAGCTTTAATCAGGATAAAACTACAGCTTCAATTGGATTTGGATATTTCTCAATTAAACAGTCATGTATATGCAATATGGTGGTGCAAAACTAGCAGGAGAAAGAAACTCGGGTCCAAGTAAACATTTTAAAAGAATGAAATATTTCTAACTCCTCAATAAACTGCATGACTCTCATGTTGCTTTATTCAAAACAAGATGAAAACAGCTTTTAATGTCAACAACAGACACTTGACCTCCACCTTTTCCGTATGTGCTTTCGATTTATTCAGTGAAAAAACAGGTGCAAATTTGGAGATTGACAAGGGGGTGTAACAGACACAAAGATGAGAGTGAAAAAGTTGTACACTTGGTGTCGTTACACTTTTGGGTGGAGCAGAGGACGTTCCCCTGAGAGGCAGAAAGTCATCATTGAACCTCTTAGTTGATGAACAACCTTGGTTGATGGTAATATGACAAAAAGAAAAATCGATTCTGATAAATGAGAAAGTGATCAATCGTCTGTGCCACCTCGTGACAAATCTTCGTACATGTCGTTTGAGCAGGAGACTCAGTGCTGCTCCTTGTCCAACTTTCAAAATGACTGTCTGCTTGTCATTTTTTTTCAGCGGGATGGAAAATCACATTCATCCTCAAGCAGTGATTAAAGGCAGACATTTGCACCATGAGGTCTTAAAGTTTGAGTGTCATCACAGCAGTTGATTAAAGTGTTATTTCAGAATGCAGAGAAGTTTGCTGTAGCTTATGAGTCATTTGCAGACACGCAGCCTTGAATGTGAGTGTTCTCATATTTGTCCAAGTCTGGACTCTGTTTTAACACTAGCTACAGTGTGCCGGTGATGTTTCTACCTGGAAAATTTGTTCAATTATTTTTCTGCAGCGTACTTATGAGAGGGAGCCAAGAACAAAACTTGCAGATGGAAAAAAAAGGTGGTAGTGTTAAAATGTAATTATGGAGTTCAAACAAAAGGCTTGAAATGCAAAAATGGTCCCCTGCACTCCTCTGTTCCTTATTTATCAGAAAAGTCAATTTCATGGCTAATAGGTTCATTACTGCGGTCATGCTCGAAGGCTCCTCTCTGATAAAACTCACTGAGGAGTTGGAAGCTAATCCGCAAGAGCACAGGTCTTAATAAGGTCCTATCCGTCTCTCTGTTTCTTTCACATGGCATTATCACACGGGAGTTCAACTTTGACCCTTTTAATTTTCATTCAACTCCTCTTTTTTGGGGGACTGTTGTGTCTGCTGAGTGTGGAACAAATCCGACAACATGGGAGAAAGTTTCCTTGTGCAGAAAAGGGCACAGATTTGCCTCATCTGCTCATTTCACCACAGACAATTTATCTGCTGTTCAGGGGGAGAGACTTTCTGCAAGAGGTCCAGCTAGACAAGACGGCTCAGCGCTGCATACTAATGACAACCGACTGTTTCCACCACACAGCTTCATCATCCCGCATTCCAGCCATGTTGCCCTGCTGTCACGCTGCAGTGGAAATGAAGCACTTTATAAAGTGATGCCCTGGCGCAGCACGTGTAGGAAATTAAATTCTGTATTGTCATGCAGATGGGCTTGGCCCTTCCCCTCGTCATGCTGTATTTTTTTTTTTTTATCCTGCAAGCTCATCATACCACGCCCCAATATCCTGAATCAGCAGAAAGCTTGACCTTACAGAGGCAGCTGATTGTGAAAGCCCAGTGGCACATACTGCCTTCTCCTCCACCTGCCTAATCCCACATGCATGTGCGAGGTGCATTATATCTGCTGCTCCGCAATAACACAATAAAAACTGCATTTCATATTCCAATTGCATACTCCAATAAAAGCTGAACCCCTCTAACAATGTGAAATTAAACCTACATCATGTTCACGCACAACTTTGCTGCTTCGCTTTCATCTGTTTTAATCTAACACTCTCATGCAATATTCACCAGAAGGCTGCCGGCTTATCCTGATGAACCACAAGGGCTAAATAATCCACTCTTTTGTTTCCAATCTGATTATTTCCTCATTTCCACTCCCTGCTTAAACTTCTTACATTTTCTTTTCTCCATTCACATTTTTTAACCTTCAAGGACACTGTTCAAGATTTAACTGACCATGCTGAGTACCTTAGGCTATGGGCCAGAATTTCACTATTTGGTACACCTCAGGGTGGCAAAGGTTTATCATGATTTTTGAAAAGACACATGTCTGTAGATTATATTTTTGTATGATAACCTTTCCAGGTGCCCAGCTAAATATTGGTTAGTATTGCAGTTTGTAATTCTTGAATCCCTGATGTCCCTGGGTGACATACGGCCAAAAGAAAGTATATCGTGTAGGAAAATATTGCAGGAAAATTTGTATTTTTTGTGATTTAAAGAGCTCTAGTGACTTTCATGTTGGTCTAAGATGAGCACATATAGGCTTAAATGAAAGCCACAAGGGTCCTCTTTAAAATGATACCAAACAGTCTATTGTAAACCTTTGAGAAATGTCCCTGTCATGAGCCTAAACCAGATATACACCAGTGTAAAAAATTGAATTTATCTTACAGGGTGGTTAACTTCATGAGCTGATAACCAATATTTAGCTGGGCACCTGGAAAGGTTATCATACAAAAATATAATCTACAGACATGTGTCTTTTCAAAAATCATGATGAACCTTTGCCACCCTGAGGTGTACCAAATATCTGTCGCACCCATGGACTACCACAGGTATCTCTAGGTGCGCACACACACATGTGCCAATATATAACTAATGGAGTATGTGATGTTACAGTCAGGAAGAACAAATCAACAGTACCTCTGTCCAATGCACCATGACAGACCTGCCTCACTGGTCCCTATTGATTTTCAACTTAGGTGGGAGAAAGATCCTTTAGTGGAGAGATGGAGTTGATATATGGCTGCCAGTGAGAGAGAATTAGATATAATTAAACTCCAGCTCGAAACTGTTGGAGAGACTTCAGCTGGAAGAGGTGAGATCAAAAAGCTGGAATCAATATCTTACACATGTATCTTTATTGACCACACAAGCAGAGTGTGTGTGTGTGTGTGTCTGTGTGTACGAGAGAGAGAGAGGGGGCAAACAAAACTCAACAAAAGGTCAAGTGCTATATTAGAAGCTTCATGAAAATAGACCCCAAGTTTGGCTCTCAGCGGGAAATACTAGAAAAAGAAAATAAATAAAACCTTCAGAGTTAGCGCACATTGGCAATACAGCAATCAGCTCTTTAAATAGCCTCCTTAGACGTCCCCGCCAATTATTTATGAATAATAATGAAATGACTCGCATGGAGACATGTCACAGTTCAAAACAACATCATCCATCTTTACTTCCATCTCAGCGCTCAGTGCCCAAGGGAAGGTGGTGGGAGTAGGGGGTGAAAAAAAGGGGCGGGGGTGTTAGAGGTAAAAAAAAAAAAAAAGATGAAAAACTAAATCTGTTCTTTTGAGCGATGTGTGATGTGGATGCCTGCTTTGTTAAATCACGCTGTCACTTAACACATCAGCATTCACAGGAAGGAGCTGTTCCCGAAATAGCAGGGGGGTCAAATATCTCCATCAAACCACGCTTCAGGGTCAAAAGATATTTTGTCATGAAATTATTTCAGGATCAAAGACGTATCTCTGCTTCACACTGTTAAACATGAAGAATACCACAATCTAAAAGCTCCTCGGGTTTCAGCAAACAAATTGCTTTCCTTATCCCCAAACACAGTGCGGGGTACAACACAGAGGGGGCCGCACTTTCAAATGCAGATATATTTACTCTAACTCCATGACAGTGTGAGCAGTATGCCTTTATTGTAAATCAAAGCTACACATGACACTGACAACAAAATGGTATTCAGTGAGAAATCAACTAGCTGTAACAACTCTATCTGACAGTAAAACAACGTCTCTTTTCTTTGTAGTGGATTATATCAGAGCCCCTATCATTAAAAGTGCTTTCAAAAGCGTGCTCCATCCGAGGGTAATGACCTCAGCCACTGAAGCGTATCACATTTTGGGATTGGACGCGCTTGGCCCATCATCGACATTACTCAGCATCAGTGTTCAGTTTAGTGTAAATATCAACTACACAGAAAGGCCCGTGTCATCTTTCATTGTCAATCTTAACACTGGAGCATGATTGTGACAGTTGTGGTGATGATAGAGTCGGCTGGAGTCTGGGATATGGACGCAAACACCCTCACATTACATGAAAGAGGGAAAGTACGCCTAACACGACGAGATCAAATACTTAGTCACAGCTTGAGTAGTAACAAGTCAGATAATAAACAGGTAGCAGGTGAGGTCACTGCTTAAGCCCCATACCTGTGGGATTAGTATCACCCACAGGACTTCATCTGTGTGCAAATCTACCATGTCTAATTTAGGGAGAAACATTTCAGATAAAATCACCTGTTATACTTCAGACTGAGCATCCAGAGGTCCTCTCAAATACTGTTCACCTAGTCTGAATCAGCATCTCACAAAATGTGTGGGGTTAATTTTATAAGAGGGTCTCTACTTTACTGTCTTGCAAAATGTTTAAAATGGCAATGATATTGAATCGTGGCCCAAGTATCGTGATATTATTGTATCGTGGAGCCACTAGTGATTTCCACCCCTAGCTGACATCAGGGGGTATATCAGAAATGAGCAGAGGTCCACAAATAATATTGATCCCCTTCAAACAGTGCTTGGGACCATCTGAATTTAATCACGGTATAATGACCCACCACCTGCATATCATAGCTTACATATTGGGACAGACCGAATATCTAAATCTTGCACTGGGTTGGAGTTACAGTCTTTGTTTCAGTATTCCAAATGCATGCAGCCTATCTCCTATCTTTGGTGTAATGCAGTGTTAAAGCTGCACACAGGGACAGAGGACTTACATTTGGGGCCTCTGGTCAATAGGCATAATCCTTCCTTACACAGACCCTGTCTTTACTTTACAATGCAACCCCAGATGGTGTTTCCTTTACAGTATAACTCCATGCGTTGATAATGCTGTTATGTGCCACAGTCAAGACCCAACAAGGCTTTTACTTTACGACTTCTGTCAACTGTACAGGCAATCAATTCCCATGAAAGATGAGCTTAGAGACCATGAATTCTCCAAAGTCCCATCTTAATCCTAATTATGGAAACCAAGGGTTGGCTGAATAATCTCCACAATTTGCATAATATCTCCAATACTGCAATTCCTGGATGAATGCAGGGACCATCTCCATGCATTTTTCCCCCTTCTTATTTTTTTTCGCCCTTCATATTTTCACTGGTCTTGCATGTGAAATAAAGCTAAATCAGGGCAATGCCCCCGTGAATTTTCCAAGACTTTTCTGGGTCACGCTGATAAGAGCCAATACCGAGCATGTGCTTCTTATCTAAAGTTGAAACCCTCTTCCTTAAGGATTGTCATTTATTGGAAAAAAAAGGAGATGCACAGGTAGACGTAATAGGTTGAAGATTGTGCTTGTTCAAAAGAAAATCTAAAGTAAAAGGACAAGATGTTACATAAGCCCCAAAATATTGAAGTACAGTATTTATCTGTAAGGACCCACATGGAATCCATATCCATAGAAGATATCATACAGCCATCATAAAACAATTCAGAAGAATGGGCTCATTAGCTCCTCAGCCAAGTGCGTCAAAATCCCAAACAAAAAAGGAGCTCTTAACTTTAAAAAGCTCAGAGTCTAAAGAGAAATCCCTTCATGTTCTCTGCCTCTCTCTCTTTGGTACTTCTCTATCTGTACAGGTAAGCTCTCAGTCACGTGGTAATAAAGCACAGTAAAAGTGTGTCATTAAAGGTAAATGCTCCAGAATCTAAAATTCAAAGTGACTTCACTTGACATGATGTGTTCATGTGGGGTCCATGAGACTGAACTGCCGTTTCAGTGAACTCAAATGTTAGTGATTTTTAGGTTTTGAAAAATGGATCCCCATGAGAACCAGGTTTCCATATTAGCTGTTAGCTTGATTACTACTCAACATGAGAAAGAGGGGTTGCTCCTAGGACTGCAACTAACGACTTTTATAATAGTTGACTAGTCACCGACTATTGAAACAATTAGTTGACCAATCAGACAATTCTGAATTTTTTCTTAAATTTCAGATATTTGCCTTATCTACATTAAAGTGCTCCTAAACTTTGGAGGTTTTAAGCGCTGTATGCGATGACGGCGCTGCCATGTTTGAATACCCTTCCACTTGGCTGAGATGCTATTGCGCATATATGACTCTAGGCAGAAATCGTAAAGAAGTAAGATGCCTCACTCTACTGGGAAAAAAAATGTGTGAATATTCAACAATGGAATTAATTGTCAACTTTTTTCATTATCGATTTTCGTCGACGTCGACTAATCCTTGCAGCCCTAATTGCTCCATAACAAATATTTGCATTTAAAAATGCTCTGAAATTTCTCTTAGTCAGACAGATTTAATTTTGAAAGAGTTTCTAAAATGGTCCCAATTTCTGGCTGAGTTAGTTCTGTTAGTTTTTCTCTTTTCCCTTTGCATTACTTCATATTGTTTAAAAATACACCTCAGTCCACACTTTGTGCCAGAGTTAACTGCATCCATACAACGTGACTGTCATGCTGCCACAGAGTGGATCAGATCAGCCGCGTGCGATGCAGGAATAGATAACAGCACCTCCTCTCTGCTGCCTACACTTTGTGCATTTTTCTTGTAAATGGAAAATGTTCGCCACCTGCTACAGTAGAGCAAGCCAGCAGCCTCTCAGCCAGGCCCAGACACACATAGACATCTCTTGGTCTTCTGAGTGTGTAGGCGGACAAACTCCCATCCACTTGCTAACAGCCTGGTAGTTCTCCCTCCATGTATGTGTGTGAACTTCAGTGTCTCCTCCATGTCTCAATCATTTGCTGAGAGAAGGGGGAATTCAACAACTTAACCAATGACCTACCAACCTCTGAAAAAAACCTGATACAGAGTGAAACACAGAGAGGAATACAGATACAGAGAGAGAGAGAGGAAGAAAACCAGGGGTACAAAAAATAAACAGTCTGATCCATTACCGGTTTTAACGTATCAGAAAGAATGACAGCCTGTTTTTTTTTCTGGGGATCTGACGATGTTTACCCAGCTCCTGCTTTCTACTCTGCATACTGTGCTCAGTGTCACAAATCCAGCAAGACTTGAAGGTTGGCAGTGGTTTTTCTTGTGTTCACAGAGCTTTGCAAAGCCAAGAAAGTGAGATGTGCTGTTGGCATAAATTTTTAATATCTCCCAACTGACTGTCAAAGTTAGATACTTGGGCATAGGTGTGTGGAAAAGACTTTACTTTATTTACATAATGTAAATAAAAGATGATCTTTCTGAGATGTTAAAAGGAAAATATTCTGAAGGAGACTGATAATACTTGTTTACTTCTCTTATTCTGTCAGTCAGAGACACTAAGAGGGTGGCTTTGCATGATTTGCAGCCACCACTGTCCAGAATATTCTGTTTTGGCTGCTTCTCTGCTGATTTAAAGTCAGTCACAAATAGAGGGTGTTCCTTTTTACACAGTTTTGTAGGCACCAAAGCACCTTAGAGCCATCGTTAAATGAGTTGTCATGTCACCTACAACAATGAGCCTTCATAGTCTTTAACATAGACTGTATATAGAATGGACAGTGTCTGCCGCCTCACTGGGTGAAGCCTCCACGTGAACAGCCCGGTGCACGCATATGTGCGGGCAAGACCGTGGCATGAGTCTCTCGCTCTCATCTCCAGCCTCTAGCTTCACGAGGACGATATGAAACAACAGATTTTTTTTTCTGATTTTGCTACAGGGGGGGTTAGAGAATGTCTAAAATGTTGTTTTTTAATGTTTCATTGACCTATATTAATATTTTTCAAAGATTTTAGACACTTTATGCACGTTTTAAACGCGCTATGGACATGAACGACTCCAGTAGAAAAGAGGAAGCTTAAGAGGCCGTCACCTAGCTCCACCCCACTATCATATATCAGAACACATCAGGACATCCTTCTCTTTCAAATGAGACCAGTCTTACCTCATTACGATGTATATACACCCCTCCAGTTTCACAGTGGTAAGCAGGTAAAGTTTCCACAGGAACAGAAAAAAAGTAATTCATTCTCGTCATTTTCCGCGGCGAAATTCGCCGGTAAACTTTGTTTTCAGTCTTTCTTTTCCCAAAAAAGTTCCCCACAAGCTAACGCTACAAACATTTCCTTCTGATTGAACCACAAAAATGCCAATCAAGCTGACAGACATTTCAGTCGGGCCAACCATAGCCCAAAGCTCACTGTCCGTACCTGCCCATCTATACAGCGATTGGATGAATCAATTCCTTTTTGACTGTAGTCGATTCATTCTGCCAATGTGAGGCTCTCAGACGAGGGTTGACCCAGGTAATCTCCACCGATTGGCTGAGATACAAGCCTGCGCGGCCTTGCAGTGCAGAGCCAAGTAGCTCCGGCGATGCTAACTGCTAACGCACAGGACCCATAGACTGTATATAAGATTATATACAGTCTATGACAGGACCACACAGACAACGGACGGGAGGCACGGAGCAGCGAGTCGACTCACGTATTTTATTTTAGTAACCATGACTACCGCTACAGCCATCTTGAAAAAAGCCGGACGGCTGTTAGTGTTTATGACACCTGAGTTACGTCTCATATGTCCAAGATCATAATTTTATGAACTATATCAAACTCATGACAACAAGGCGCGGATTTGTGATTAGAACTTTGTTATGTCTCAGAAAAATTGCACATAATAAGCTAGTTTATTCTTGGCTGTTAAATTCATCTTCAACTAATTTTGTAATCAGTTTTACTCTGTTGAGTCATTACACCTCTAAAATACAGCAAAAGATTTCCCTAGGAATTAAATAAACAATTTGTATCAGCATCCTAAGGTTCTAATCTGGTTGTTTTGTAAAGAAGTGAAGCATATCCACAGAAAAAAACACACACCTGAACAAGGGCTGAGAGTGAAGGTACAGCAAATAAAAGGGAACATCAGTGCCGCTTTGCTTTGGCATAGAGAATAGAGAAATGTCAAAACAAAGATCACTATGCAGCTGCCACAGTGGGGCTTGATTACATTAAATGTCAGAGACAGAGGTGGCAAAATTACAATTATGTGCTAGACCAGGTCTTAAAAAACACAAGATCAAGTTTTTAACCTTCATATTAAATGAAACCTTGCTGTTATGCTGACAGATGGTCTGATATCATCCATCCTGGCCTTTTTTCTTTTTTCCTGTATTTTCGTCTGAGCACATATCCCTACACTGGACTGACAGGGCCCTGTAGCTTGCCATCTGCTTGCCTTGTTTGGTGCTGGAGCATGTATTTCCAGTTTGAGATGTCTCCTGTTGGGGACACCTTTGATGACTCACTCTGACTCTCCTGTCACAAGGACGGTTCATCATTCCATTGCATGAATCACTTCAACATTTTGTTCAGGTATCCTTTAGTTCAACATTTCGTTTACAAAGACAAACTCAAACTGCAAATAAAACCAAATTTGTTGATCAATCATTTCATTTGGGACCTTATCCCTGAAAATGGTTTCATCTTAGATTTGCATTTTGGGGAATGCAGAAGTGTGTTTAAATCAAGACTGAACAGTTGTTGAATGTTTGTTTTGCTAATGTCTGCCTGTGAATGTCTTACAGAGCCCAGCAGAAATCCAATCTCTACCGATCATCCAGCCTGCAAAAAGAAATTACAGTCAATTTGTCAAGTAGAACCAAAATCTAATCTGTTTGTTTAATGATATAAAGCTCTTTTCTTCAAGGCCAAATAAACAGCCTCCCTGCCTTCATGGCTGATCACACACGACATCTGAATACTTACCAATTTCAGAGCTTTCATTCTAGTATATCTTATTTTTAGCTCCAGTGCATTTATTCCTATATGTCAACTAGTAAAGATGTATTGAATGTATTTATGGTATCCTGTCTCGTTCACATTAGAAGAAGGCTATATGACTTTCCCCACCATCACAGATTTCTATACAGGGCTTTTACATCCTGCCAACTACAGCTTGAATTTATTGTTTCTACTATACCTTTGTGGTCTATACATAAATGAATAGGAATGGTTTTGATTTGATTTTTTTTTCAATCTGATATGCGATTCCATCTAATTGGAACAAGCCAAAAGGAGGCAGTGCCAGCTAATTTCTAATGGGGATCTCTGTTTGCCCCCTAATTGACTATATATCATTGCATATGTTGATGTCAAAATGAGCAATACTTCGATATTAAGGATTTTTTTTTTATTATTAGTGACTGAAGCTATTTGATTCTTTGAATAATAAAACTGGAGAAAGTATAAAGAGTGCAACAAAGTCCAAAGAAAGCATGATGGAGGCTCTTTAGTGACTGGGTGTGGTGTGAATGGGTGAATATGACAAGTTGTGTAAGAGCATTTTGAGATGTCAGATATAGTAAAAATTAGTAGCATACAAGTCCACTTCAGTTTTTTTTACTGTAAAGGGGGGGTAGCATGCATTTTTTTCAGCCCCTAAATTTCCTCTCTGATACCTCTATAACATCTTTACGTAATTTTTAGATCAAAAAACGCCTAAAATTTTTCACAATGGTGTATAAAAATGTCGTTATTTCAGCCTTCTGAGACACCTTTTTTCTTAAGTTTCATAAAAAAATAACAGTTGTTTTATATTACATCGCTATTTCACATGACCTCCCTCTCAACTAGTTTTCCAAATACGCCTGCCTGGCCTTCTGCCTGAATTTGACAGAGCAATTCATATGATGAGTAAGAGCCTGAGAGCATCAGCATCCTCTACGCTGATAGGGAGAGTAATTCACAGAGGAAGAAAACATCTATCAATTGAAAATGATCAGTAAATAACAACACTATAAAGAGAACTGAATAACATTATTGGTTCATCCTACTTTCAAGTGCTTGATTTTCAATGACACCACCGGATGAAGGTATTTGATGACAGGTTAGATTTGAACACACCGTAGGATGTTCGTATACAGATAAGAGCATAAATCAGCCGAAGTGACGTCAGCAGGATGCACTGATGGCATGGAAGTTTAGTTAGTGTCGACTGAAATGTGACTCATATGCTCAAACAAACACACACTTTCATTTTCACAGATCCTGAAAGGTGCCTAGGGAGTAAGAGGTACTGATGGTAGCCTTGCGCTAACCTTGACTCTTTGCCAGACAATCAAGGGCAACAAACGGGTCCATTCATAGGCAGGGCCCACATCCTACTGCTACCACCCACACAGACTGTCACCCTCCCGAGCAAGTGTCATCTTGAGGGACTGGACCACACTGCACCTTGTCTGTCTTACACTCTAAAAGGCTTGGTAACATGTAGCAACTTAAGGACATCAGACTAACCTGAATGTGGGGAGATAAATTAGCTTTCATTACTCATCTGTCATCGGTCGAGTTGTGTACTCTTGGGGGCAATTAAGAGCTGAAATCACTGTGTGCATCATCACCACAGCACACAGAATAAAAACGAGAAGCGCTGTATTTGACTCTTAATTACATGCAATTGGCGTTTATTTCCTACCATTCATACAGTGACAAAATGACAGGAAAAGATACTGGCTTCACGTTTTGGGGCACATATCCAGATTCTCGGTATCTCCTAGAAGTCAGAATATTATCAAAGCTTTGTCTGAGTATGATCAAAAACAAATAAAATCTAATTAATCTAGTTATCACCTTACACAGGAGGCTGACTAATCATGCATCCGAGCTCAGAACATTTCACCAGACAGGAGATCATCGTCTTTATTAGTCATGAAGAAATCTACAATGATAAGCTTCAAACTAGGGGTTCAAATTCAAAGCACTTTTCTTTATTGATCTTTGAAAATGTTAACAATCGATTATTGAGTCAGTAAAAAGAAGATACTTTCCATTAACCCCCGGTTCCTACTATGTCAGTTTTAAAGACTTTCATTATTTTTATCATCATTATTTCAAGTTCATGGTCACACTTTTAAAGATTGAGGCTTTGCATTTAGACATATTTTTCTTCATATTTAAAAAAAAAAGGGTTGCCTATAGAGCTCTGTTGATGTAAAATAGCTCCATCCAGCTTTATTTGCCCGAAATATGGAAAATAGACTTCCATTAAAAACATGTTTCATGATCGTGTGTTTATGACACCAAAACAACATATTGCAACCTTTTCTATTCAGTCATTCCATCACCACGACTCAAAATTTCACTATTCCACAGCGGTCCAACAGATTTTAACCCCCTTTTGTACTGTGCACAAAGGGCTTTGTTTAAAGTGTTATGTCATCCACTAAACATCATCTGAGTTCTGCAGTCTGGGACTAAGAAAGGGGAACATTTGGGCAATTTCAACTTTGCCCTCACTTAATTGCAAGTGGATGGACATGCATGACGATGCACGGGTCCTTCCAATCAATAGGTGAGAATATATCACATCTCAAATACGCAGTAAATTTATTTAATGTATGCGCATAATCAGCATAATAATGGTCATATTTTGGTTAGAGGGGGAACAACAACTTGTCAGTGATTTCTATCATACATATATCGTTTGATTTTTCATGCTTGTATATATAATCAACTTACCATGAACAAATGCATCCACTCGCATATGATTTGGTAGGGGAAAAGGAGGTAAAACTAGCATGTTTTTCATTACAATAGACTCATCTGTTCAGTATAAATGCTATATACAGTATAAATTTAGTATAAATGCTTCCTTAATGAATCCAAGTCTTATGACATGGTGCACAATAACAGGCATAAAAACTGTGCAACATAGATTTTTTTTTTTTGTAGTGGTCAGGGATAAAGTTGTTGAAGAGATTTGAGTCGATGGAAGTAAAGATGTTCATTTTATTAACACTTATCTGCATGTCCATGTTACGGCTGTGTGTTTGTTTTGTGTGAGTTTTTCCCCTTTTGTCTCCCCATAGCTGCCCAGGTGAAATCACTGAGTGCTAATCAGACTCACCTGGTGATGGGCCTTTAAAGACCGAGAGCTGCCTGCAGTCTGGAGAGGCATTTGGTGGGGAACTGCTATCCTGCTGCCTCTCATTTGTGTTGTGGGTGCTTTGTGTTTAGTTTGCAAGTAATAAATAACCATAGCTTGCATGAAAAAGCAAATCTGCCAGCAACACTAGAGTATTAATCATAAATGTTAGTGATATTTTAGTTTTGATCATATTTCCTAGTTCTCCTGCCAGTTACATACATGCTGAAGTGTTGAGTACATCAGGATGCTGATATCGACCTGTATGGTAGAAGGGTACTACAGATCCTCAGCTGGCATGACAGACACAGAGACAAAGGTGCTGATCTTTATGTCACAGTCACTTGAAGTGGCCCTTAATAAAGAGGCTGCAGCTGAGGAAGAAAGGATTATCCTTGCTCTCAGAGCCAAGGCTGTGTCCCATTAGTGGTGGACCACTGACAATAGAGGTCTCGATGACAAGGTGTGACTGGGGACAGGCTTTGGATGTCAGCTAGCACGGGCTAATTATTGTAAGGTGCTAGCAAGGACGGTGAAACTAAAGGGAACCAGGCAAAAGCACAAGACAGCAGTTGGGGAAAAAAAAGGCTTTTTGATGGAGGGAGCAAAAGCAGCAGTTCTGAGTCCTGCAGTCCATAACTACATGGAGTAATACTGAAACCCTTTCCTGCAGGCACTACACATCATTCAGAGTAGCACAGCTGTTGAGAGCCAAATAAATCACTGTTACACAAGGGCCGCTCTTATGAGGAAGTACGCTAGCAGGAATCCCCTTGTTAGCTTTTTCATTTTTGAGGATTAGTGAAGCTTCCTTTAAAAGAGCCTCTAACAAAAAACTGATGTCCTTCTCCCAACAGTCAAGGTCTAATGTGTTCAATTCCAGTCCTGGTCAAGCCCTTTCCTGCATGGTGTTCCATCCTATTCCCACATTATATGTCACCCTTTAGCTGTCAAGACCCACTCTGATGAAAGTCATGTTTTTCTTGTTGTCTATGTGGCATTTTTCTGATGCTAGAGGACATATCATGAGAAAACGAAGTGCAAAATTACATTTCTGAGTAGTTCTCGTTCGAATTGCTCTGACCTTCTAACAGACCCAAACGACAGGCTCAGACACGGTGAGATTTCCTACATCACAAATCCAAGCTCCAGCCCTGGAGCCCCGCTATGCAGGACAGACCCCAAAAATTAGATTCGACAATTGCATAACAAGTGTGTGTGTGGTAGGGGATTTGCAATGCTCCATGAAAGCTAATTATGATATTACCTTTCATCATGCCCCTAAAGACAATAGCTCCTATTTTACCTGCCACTTCTACTACATTGGCAATGTTAGGCTGCATGCTAACATGAAGACAAGTGTGCAGAGCAGCGCTGTCTCCGCCCACAACTCAAAGGCGAATTGCTAATGAACTACTGGAGCTCTGCAGAAGAAAAACCCTTGAAAATGACACAAGTAATGTGATTTTGGCAAAAAACTCCATAATCACTTCATAAGCAGACCACTGATAACACTTCAAGTAGTTAAAAAAACAATTAGAGTGGGACTTTGATGCAAATGCCTGAAAAAATAATCCAAACTTAATTCATGCAAATGTACACTAATACATTTGCTTGATTGTGAGGGAGATTGTGTGTGTACAGTGAAGAGTGACTCTGTTCACAGGCCCATCCATTCGAGGTCAATCCCCATATCAAAGAAAAAACAGAGGAGAAAAACAAGCTATGCTTGATGGCTTTGACTACAAGGCCACAAGGTTTCAGCCACAAAATATGTACAGGCCTTTAACTTTTTCACTCTCCACTGCAAATTTCTGACACCCACACTTTGTCATGTTGAATGTTTTACTGAAGCAGTTTGAAAGGCTGCACTATTTGATGTACTACACGTTGTATGTACTGTGCTTGTGTCTACTTGGAGTGTAGGGATCATTTTGAGTACACATCTCTCTCAAAATAAGATCGTTGGACCTTTGCCTATATCCCCTCTTTAGATGAAGTTTCAAAGAATACCTGTCATACTTATCATACCTGGCACACAGAGGTCTTTTATGAAGCCACTTAAACACAGCAAAAAATCATTGCTACCTCATCATAAAGTCATCTCAAATAAAATAAAGTAGCACAAAAAGAAAATCTGTATTCTGTTCATTTGTTTCCACAACAAAAGCATGCTTTGGCAAGAGCCACATCTCTAGTGGGTGACAGTGCTCATGCAGAAAATGCAGATTCCATCCCAGAAAAACAACTGATTTCATCCAAAGGAGTCACTGGAATCAACACAACATGCAGTGTCCACACTAAGCCTCTGTTACATAGCACAGTAACATATAATGGTTCTATAACAATGGGTTATAGAATAAAACAGGTGCTTTACTTAACAATAGACATGGCTTTTTAACTTCTCTTAAACACTTTTCCTGCTTTTCTACCATCCAACATGAACAAATTACTTGAGATAAAATGCCAACCAGGACTCCATAATAGCCCACTACTGTGTGAATATAGCATAAAAAGGCAGTAAATGTCACTGTGCTCCATTAAGAAGTCCTTTGTCTGAGATGCTGTAGCCCCTCAGGGCTTAATGGTCTTTGTATTCTCGAGCATGTCACTTTTTTCAAGAGGGGAATGTCCTCTCTGTTTGGTCCCATGTGGTCACCAAACACCAGGACAAGGCATTGTATTTGTAGACAGTCTGCCAGGAAATCCAGTTGGATTAGAGTGCTAACAGCAATGCAGTCTTTTTTTGTAATAGTGCAGATGCACCAAGACAGTTGCAAAAACACACTCTGATAAACAGCCGCAGTAGTGGAAAATGTCTTTTACATGCAAAGATGTTGATCAATTTTCCTAATAATCAATCAATCTTAATTTGTGTAGCACTTTTCATACAATATAATGGAGCACAAAGTGTTTTACACACAAAAAGAAATCTGCATGCAAGACACAGGAAAGTCAACTCTGCTGACCGGGTGACCTAGAAGTGAGTTAATAAATAAACCGGTTACTGGAGTCCTTAAACTAGTTGAAGGTCGGATGCTGCTTTGAGAGAATCCCACATTTCCAGATACATGTCCCAGAGGTAGCAGCATGACCAGATCTAATGAGATGACAAACACTGAGTGCTCTGGTGGCTGAGTGCCTGTGGGGAGAAACACTAATGTGTGTTTATCTGCAGCGTGTGTGTGCGTGCTTCCCCTAAGATTCACCCATACTCTGTACTCACACCTCCCAATGGATGAGCGTGGGCTCCCCCATGCACTCCCTTGCGTTCCCACGCCTTGGCCATCGCTCTTTGACATGACTAACGTAAACAGATGTTTTGCTGTGACAGGAAGTGGCCGACTTCTGAGGGGCTGATGGAAAAGAAGCTGTTCGGCTCCGTGACAGAGAACAGTGAGGAGGTCACAGTGCAGCAGGAAGCTGTGTGTTTGCAAGGGGTGTTGGGGATTGAAGAGGCTGAAGGGACAGTCTGTAACCGTACAGACAGGGTTAAACAGCTGGGTTCACCTACATTGCCTTTATGGTTCTAACCTTAGTGACCCGCAACAACATAAGGACTGAAAATCAATGGCAAAATGGAGGGAAGAAAAATGAGTACAACAAAGAGGGAGAGACAGAAGAGGGAGAAAAACAGAATCACTCTTATAGGCTGTCCTCAACAAATAACCACGCCCAAATAAGTGAATGAGAATGTTTTCCTACCAGCTAAAGCACTTGTCAGAGTCATTATTATATTGATGCTGATCGCCCGCCAGAAAGCTTTTACAGCGATACAGTTATTGTTCAATCTTTTAGTCAACCTCCCTTCACGTTTTTGTGTCAACCACTCTCTTCCTTTTGACATGACAACAGAAATCGTACACCAAGCATCTGCTGCACTGTACCATAGCTCTGTATGACTTCGTAAAAGTAAACAGATGAAAACATTCTATCATAACTTACTAATAAAAATTTCTGACATTCAAATCCTCAGAATCTAATCCCTGTACGTAAACTGGGGATAAGCAAACATAGACAAACAAATTTACCTCCATTATGTTTTATTTTTAACAGGCTAAACAATCAAACACTTTCTCATAACAAAAAGCTGCTCTTATTACATCAAGTGCTATAACTATTAGCTTGTTCAACTTTAATCTGATCTAACATAAAGTAATAATAACATCAGTAATAATAAATACTTATAACAAAGTATTAAATGAGCAGCCCAGCATCTCACAACAATCAAACATTTTGAATCCTCCACATGAAACGCCTCCACACGCTGGATTTCAAACCTGAAGCGTGAACCTCACACTCAGTGACAGTAGTCGGTGAGTTAGCTGCCTCCATGTCGGCTAACAGTCTGTTATGAGTCCGTCCTATCAAACGGCGACCCAGGCGGCTTTTTTTGTTCCAGCCAATTTGGGTTCTGCGGTTGTGTTTCTGTAGTTTCACTATCATGGACCGATGATAGTGAAATGATTGATTTTTGGATATTTGTTCATCGTAACCGATCTTCACGTGTTGCATTGCGATGCATCAAAGAATCAATGTATTGGCCCACCCGTAGTAGCAATAATTGTATATTGATACTCCCCCTCTTCAAATCTATCCAAGAAACTGAAAATATATTGATCTTCTCTGTGGGATAGAAAAGCCCCTGGAGCGTAGTAAAAACACACAGAGGTTATCCCAGTAAAGCTGCCGGTCTCACAAAGCAAGTAGATTTATAATCATTCTATTTTGCAAAGTTGATATATTCAGCACAACAATCTGCTGTAAATGACAGTGGTTTAGATCACTCCTAGCTGCTATCTGCCATAATTACTTCCCTGACTCCTTAGTTGTCCTACTTACTATCAGCCTTTTGAAGCAATCACGTAAGTGTTTGGCAAGGCACACATAACTATAGAGATGGCATCGATAAGAGAACTGTTGATGATAAAAGCAAATTACATTGTTTGCTAGAACCAGCCTGCACCAGTTCTCGATTCCAGTCCCTCAGAAAAAGACTTTTTTTCCAGTAGTTTTCTCAGCCCCGATTGAATTTAAAGCAAATCATACAAAGTTTTTAGCAATCTATCACAATACACACCACATCAAGACCCACGTATTGTGATTATCTCAAAGTCCTTGCATGGGAGACACACATTAAAGCCATCTTCTTAGTGCACGTGACAGGAATGAGAATACACGTTTAAGTACGACCCTGTCCGATGCCTCCTCAATGGTAAATGGACTTTTTACTTGCAGAGTGTTCTACCACTTAAAGCACCTTTAAATTACTCTGCACATTAACTCATTAACATCATATTCATGTGCCAATGTGCCAATGGCAGACCATTAGTATGGACTAATTCCATCCATTCATTGCTGCATATTTTTGTCCAGTGGCACTCAAGTTTTTTCATTATCAAGATGTCGTCGTGATGCTTACCTCCATTAGATATACAGTACAAATTGCAGCACATGAGATAATGCTGGAGTAAAATGAAAGCTGCCACATTTAGCAACAGAAAATAGGGAATTCTAATTACAGATAAGTGCCATGACAGAGATTTGTGTATCTGTCCCTCTGGGTGGATCATATTTTACACCATAGCTATTAAACCCCTGCAAAATAATTAAAAATGTATAATTGCAAAGGAATGGGAAAAAATTAAGGGCTGTTATTCTCTGTGTAATTGAAATATCCAGGTATCAAGAGTATTTTAGCAGTGTTACCGAGTACCCTTACAGATTGCACTTTGTAAGAAACAGAAACTACACCACCTCAGCACTAATGGACCAGTGAGGATAGAAGAGGGTATAATAACATTTCCACAAGGATTGAGGTTGCATTTCATCCACAGCTGCGAATCATCAATCTGGAATATTTATCGTAGGAGGTGGAGAGGATGGCTTCCTTTTAATCTCGTCTTCTGACTTGATCCAACCACTTTGATCTCTAACCAAATGAGCATGTATCCAAAAGTACCCTGAGGCTGGGGGCCAAAGCCCACTCTGGTAAAACTGTCAAAATCTAAAGGACCTCAGAATGTGTTTCTCTACTTTTTTCATCTTCTTCTCAGTTCACTTTTGTTCAACATCCTTTCAAGAGATCCCTCTTGGTCACTTTATGCATTTCTTATGAAGTACATGAAACATAAAAACAGGCGTCCTATAGAAACTGTCAGAGAAAAACAAGTGCAGCTTAACCCGGGATTTGCACCGCATCCGGAACGGCTACGATCCAGGACGGCAGCGATTTTCGCCATATGTCGCGAGAACTCACAAGAACCCACGGATTAACGTGCAATTGCGCGATAACAAGTTGTCTCTTAGCCACAGAGGCTAACCATAAAAGCAGTATATTGTGTCCTTCCAGAGGAGGAAATCCACCTCTAGACTTCTAAAATTAGCATCCTCTCATCCGTGGTGTCATCGGGGTGAAATGCTGTCTAAAAACTTTTTACTTGTTCATCTCCACCCATTTGCAATGTGTGAAATACGATTTGCCTGAAACATGGAGTGTTTTATTTTTAAAAGAAGCCGGATGTTTTATTTTGTGTCTGTGCCTGACTTCCTTTCCAGCATGGGTTAATCTGTGCTGAATTTATCCGGCATTATCCAGGAAAAACTGAACTCTTGCAATCAGCTTCAAAGTCCAGAGATCCGCAGCGGAACTGAATGAAGCCGGTGGAAATTGACACATTGACTTGAAGGGTTACGATTAGCTATAATCAGCGGATATGGCCTTTTTGTAGCCGCTCCGGATACGGTGGAAATTGGGGGTTAGAGACTTTAGTCTTGTGGTTTTTGTGTATGAGGGCTCAGGTCCATGTGGGTTGGACCAGACGCTTCTAACAGTTTGTGAAAACAGCAGCATAACAGATCAGATATGAGATCAGACTGATCCAGCCTGTGGAATAAGCCACTCCATTAGCGCTGGGCTAGCTTTATCCTGGAACAATCTGGAGAAAATCACAGTGGCGCCAAATGGAAGTGCAAGACGCATACACAGAAAAGTCTGTGTGCTTAGTCGCCTGGGATCTAATGCTTCCATCTCACCACTGCATGATTGCCTGCTGATGCTTGGCATGCAAAGCAGGGATTTGAAACAGGACCATGACTGGCATCCTCTTCATCTGTTGAGCTCAGCTCACAGAAGTCCCTCTTCACAGACAGACCGCTCACATTGCTACAAGAGGGAATAAACATGCAATAAGTGTGCACCTGTGTGCACAAGAGTGGTGAGGGCCGAAGTGAATATGGATGGTGGAGTCTGGGGACAGTGAAAAGCTGGATGAAATATAGATGGAAATTAAATATTAATTTCATTCTTCTCTGAAGGAATAGTGTTATTTTTTGCAGTGTACATTTACCCTTCTTTAAAACTTTGATGATCTCAGGAGAGCCACGAAAAAGGTTGAGGTCAGACAAGTCTTTTCATTTGCATGTCCACTTTCCACTCCCTGTAAGGTTCTTCCAAAGAGTAGAGGCTTTCAGCTGCAGGCAGTGACTGCTGACATTTTGATGTGCTGTTAAACTAACTTTGGACAGCCACAAGTGTTCTTTGTAGGAAACAGATACTTGGATTTGGGTTTAAATGTGCATATCTGAGGATGGCTATGCATACGTGCAAACCTTAGGCAGTTTTCAGAAAAGTCTTGCATACCCCATCAAACAACCACACATCAACTACCAGGGATAAACTTCTTTCTTCCTCCTGCATCTGTCAGGCTCACAATTGTTCATCCATCTACATACATTGGCTTTGGAGTCACGTGCCGAGCCCTATATCATGCAATCTGAAGATCAAGTGAGAATTAGAGATGATGACAGGCTTAAAACGTGCAAGTGTTTGCTTTTCTTAATCCTCTCGTAACTGGTGGTCTTTGTGTGTCAAGTGGGAAGAAGGCAGATATAATCTTGGGTATCTAATGCCTTCAATAATGCCAGACTGCAATTGAGGTTTTCCTCTTGATCTCCAATATGTGGAAGTTAAAAGGGTTGCCATCAGCCTCGTAATGAGGACGAGATTCCATCACAGAGCTCCACTCAAAAACAAGACGTTAGATATCGGGATATTGTTTTTGTTCTTTTACAAAGCCTTGTTTAGGTGGGACATCTCCTTGATTTGTGTGGAAAACATGTAGAGTAAATGGGAGTCAGTTTATCAATTTTAAAGGCTGTGAAAACACATTGCATTGTTTACTGAAGTGCAATTATTGATAAGCCACAAAACCTTGTATATATTTTTAATGATTGGTTTAATCAGATGTGCAGCAGGTGCCCCTTCTTCTGAACTTGAGGCTGTCAGGTACTTGGATGCCCTATGGTTATAAGTGCTCCCAACAAATGAGCCTTGACAAAAGACTAGAGGGTGGTCAGCCTTTTGCTAATCTGGCAGAGCAACTTAATTGAAACTATCAATCAGAACCCCTATCTACCATCTCTTCTTTTCTGACTTTAGTTCCATTCCTGAATAATCCACTTCTCCCACTCACAGCTGCATGAATTTATCTCTTCTCCATCGGTCTCTCTGCCTCTTACGCTCACTTGCACACACATATTAGGACCTATGTTTGTGCGCAAAATCAATATGAAAATATTGCTTCCCTCCTCCAGCTCTCTACCATTATCAGTCCCCCTATGGCGCACAAACACATTACTTGTTCATTACATTGTGACAGAGCTAATTAATACATCATTACAGCATTTTCTGCAGTTTCTCCCACAACAGTCTGTTTACCCGATTCTGCAGCACGCTGGGTGTTAAGTGCAGTGCAATACAAAGTCTATGTCCGTGAGCAGAGTAGAGACTTTTCTCCCCCCCTGAATCACTACAGCTCCTCATGGGATGTCACAGTCACTGTCTGGGGAAGAGAGGATAGAGTAGGAACAAAAGGAAATACCTCCCTTTGCTGGAGAGGAAAGGGTTAAGCCTATTACAGAAGACCAATCAGGACTGGGGTAGCACTGCAAACCTCCGCAGTGAGAGAGAGAGAGAGAGAGAGAGAGAGAGAGAGAGAGAGAGAGAGAGAGAGAGAGAGAGGGAGTGAGAAGATAGAGAGAGGGGAGAGCAGAGCGGGAGATAGGGAGATACGAAGAGTGTGATGGTTTGCACTCACAATCCACACAGTTAGGCAGAGAGGGAGAGCAACAGAGAGTTGTTGAGATGAGGAGAAATCTCAAACCTGCTCATGTGGATGGATAGGAGAGAAAAAAGGGAAAGAGGGGGGAAAAAAAGAAGAATCCCACCAGCATCTCTGTCAGGAATAATCTCTGTGGACTTGTTTTTTTTCTCTCTGGGACACGGGACGGAAGAGCATCTGTGAGTTGTTTGACCCTTGTTTGTTCATCAATATTCGATCCCACTTCTTGGATTACTGCAGGAAGGAGCAAAGGATAAACCAGCAGGTTTTATTGGTTGACCCAGATTGTTGCAGAGCTGTAAGGAGAGGAGACAGCCTTGTGTGTGGACCAGCTCGGGAGCATCTGTGTTTACCGTGCATGGTGAGCTTACTGTGTTTTGATGGGGCACTCTACTTACTGGTTTGATTTACAGCACTCAGTCAAGTACAGTGGAGGTGACAACCAATAAAACTCAAAGCCAACCATCTCTGTTACATCAAATCATGAGTCTGCTTGAAAACCATCCAGAATTTCTGGATAACTTCATTTATAATGCATCGCTGACAGACTTGACAGACTCGCTGACATTTAAAAACGTACTGTCTTAACGTAACATCAATGAACCAATTAAAATATAATCAATGTAAGACCAAAAGTGGCTGCATAACACTCAGAGAGGCGTGTGATGATTTATTTATGCATTAGGATGTCTGTATATTCCCCATACAGCAGGCTTTCGTTTTGCATCTACACGAATACACAGTCTCGGCTGTCACACTCGATGATACGAGAAACTTGATATGCTAAAGCGTACTTTGAAGCTGTGTATCTCTACAACATGCCGTCTAATCCTCCCTTTCCTAGTAAATAATCCTTTCACTCATTTCTCATTTCTGATGTTGTGGCATAGTAAAAATACGACATTTCTAACTGAAACAACCTTGAAGGATGACCGACATGTCCCCCCCTGAAGTGATTACATGGATCACATAGAGTGATACACAAGGGGGCATCCATGTCTTCATGACAAGTTACCCTAAGAATCACACGGCGCCAAAAGCTCTGAGGCAGTTCCATGAAAAATGTATGACCACTTTATCACCACTGTGCCCGCTAAAGTCATATTTATTTTTCTTAAATGATTTACATTGCAAATATGACCACTGTTCATCTTTGGTCTGACAGGATGTTAAGTTGTAGTTGCTGCTGAATTAGTTGCAAGCTCTTTATCATTGTTCATGCTATGTTAATTAATGTAATAGCAGGAATGTGAAGTAAATTAGGCGGTGAACAAGAACATGATAAGACATCAGAGGCTTGTTGCTATGCTAATAAGAGTTTCCTTGTCAACTCTCAACTGAGGATATGTTTATTTTCACTAATGCATCCCCCACACTTCTCCCTCCTACTCCTCCTACTCTCTCTCCCTCTCTCTTTTTCTGACATCCATTATTCTGTCCTATCTCTCTCTCCAGGTCGTTGCAAAGGAAAGATGGACCGAGGGATGGACGGATGATGTAGTTCTTGCTTCCCAAAGGCCAACTGCTATCTGGGATTTTTGCAGTCTGATCGACTCACTTCCACTACCTCATGAGAATGACCTTCTCCTGAACTGCTTAATCAACCCCCCTCCCGTGCACATATAAATACTGGTGATCACAAATGTCACACTGATCACACATGTCATGGTGATTGGACACACATGCAATCTAATAATCTGCTCTTGCTCAAGCCATATCCAGTGATTGAGGGGTTGACATGCTGAGGGACACACCGGAGACCTGCGCTCGATTTACAAGTCAATGGTGGCTGGAGCCAAGCATACACAGACTGATGAGGAAGGTGGAGAGTGAAGGCCTGTTCCATTAGAGCTCCCAGGGGAGGTACATGGGCCTGGACGGCGCTCGGACGCACTGACCTCTCCAGGACAGATTCTGCACATTTACTATAGTGAAAACTGGGGAATCTACAAGACTGACTGCCTCTGGAGTACAAGTTAATGGATGTTACTGTTTTTTGTATTTACAGATCTGACTGTTATCTTTGAACTAAGGACAAAAGCAAAAAGCAAGACATCAGGTTGTACTTTGAGCAGTACATTGCTGTCCTGCACAGGGGAAAGAGCCTGTGTTTCTTCTATTTCCTGGTTGGCTTTGTCTTTCCTGCCTGGGAATATCATGAGATTATAAACAGGAGGTTACTCCGACATCTTATCCTTGTTCCTTTCAAACATCAGTAATCCCACTGTTACTGAGGCAAATGGCCAAGAGATCTGGGGAAAAATTCTTTGGACTATAACAGCCCACATCACCCAAAATCACTTGCAACAAGTAGCTGTTTCTGAGCTTTTTTCGCAAAAGAGCCGCTTGACGTTCTTTCGGGAGGCGGACAGGTGCTTTTCAGGCTGTCAGCTTCTCCGGGAGGGACAAGAAGTGAAAGGAAAAGCCTCACTGGGGGGCTCTGCTGGAGCGGAAACACTTTAGGCTATGTTTGGATGTGATGCTTGTCTCTGTGGATGTAACATGGACTCTATGGCCTGATTACACAGCCCTGGTATTCAGATAGCGTTGGAGGGAAAGGTATATATCACAAAATACAATTCACTCTCTCTTAATGTCATCTTGAAGCCTGTTAACATTGAATGATTTTCATATTTCATGTGCTGATCAGTAACTTTAACTTGCTCTCTTACCCAGTAGTGATTACAGTCCACTGTATTGATCTTTTTTGGTGCACTCATGGGCACTTTAATTATTAAAGTTAAGATAAGATTCTGCCAGAAATTCCTACTCAGGCACATAAGATCTATAATGAGTGCTGTATGACCTACCACTCCCTAAAACATCAAATTTGTCCATGTGAATGTCAAACCAGTTGTCCAGTCTTTATTTTTATTCAGCTTTGAGGACTCTGTGCTGTACTCTAAAGAAAAATAATATGAGAGTACATTACAATTATGTCGGCTTGAATGTGCTATAAAACTAAGCCATGAGAAAAGCCACAATTTATTAAGCCATAGCACATTTGAGGAGGACATTAGAAATCAATTTGACCCACATTGTTTCCGTACTGTGTCTCTCTGATGGATGTAACAATCTGATCAAAAATGCTACTAGCAAAAGTAAAATCTTACTGAGACAAGATAGTGAGTAATAACTTAAGTCATAGGTAGAGGAAGACAATCTAATAAGCAGGCCATGATAAAATAAAAAGTTAACGCACCATTTCTGTATCTGCTCACAGCATTTTTTAATTACAGCCACTTCATCTTCTGTCAAGATTTCTTAGATGAGTGATAACTTCAAATTTAAAAAGATGTAAAAACACAGACCTCTCCTCTCTCTCTCTCACCTCTTCTTCAGTTTTGTTCCTAACCTCTCTCTCTTCTTACTTTCAGGATAATGCATATCCTCCCCCACCTGGAACAAGAAGCCACCATGAGCAACGTCACGGTCACCGACAACACTGAACCCATCAGCCGCACCATGAGTCCGGCCACCCCCAGCCCTTACACCTATCCTGTCAGTTTCCAGGTCTCACTGACTGGCTTCCTAATGCTGGAAATCCTCCTGGGCCTGAGCTCTAACCTCACTGTGCTTGCTCTCTACTGTATGAAGTCCAACCTCATTAGCTCTGTTAGCAACATTGTCACTATGAACCTCCATGTGCTGGATGTGCTGGTCTGTGTTTGCTGCATCCCGCTCACCATTGTAGTGGTGCTGCTCTCCCTGGAGGGAGACACTGGTCTTGTCTGCTGCTTTCATGAAGCCTGTGTCTCCTTCGCTAGTGTTGCTACCGCTGCTAATGTGCTTGCCATCACCCTTGATCGCTATGACATCTCGGTCAAACCAGCCAATAGAGTGCTGACCATGGGCCGTGCCCTAGCCCTGCTGTCTGCCATTTGGGTTCTATCCTTTGTAAGTTTCCTTGTACCCTTTATTGAGGTGGGTTTCTTTGCACAGGGCCATGCTGAGCTGAACCAGACAGTGGTAGAGAATTTAGTCCACACTAACCAGTACTACACAGAACTTGGTCTCTACTACCACTTGCTTGCTCAGATTCCAATTTTCTTCTTCACCGCTATCGTCATGCTGATCACCTACTCAAAGATCCTGCAGGCACTGAATATTCGCATCGGCACCCGTTTTCACGCTTCACAGAAGAAGAAGGCTCGCAGAAAAAAGCGTCCTTCCATGACAGCTATGACACCGCAGCAAGAGGCCACGGATGGATCCCAAAGCAGTGGCAGCCGTAACCCAACACTGGGTATGCGTACATCAGTCTCTGTCATCATAGCATTGCGCAGGGCTGTGAAGCGCCACAGGGAAAGGCGAGAGCGCCAAAAGAGGGTCTTTAGAATGTCCCTCCTGATTGTTTCCACCTTCCTGCTGTGCTGGACACCCATCACAGTGCTCAACACAGTCATTCTGAGTGTGGGCCCAAGTGACCTTATGGTCAAGTTGAGACTGGGCTTTCTGGTCATGGCATATGGGACCACTATCTTTCACCCTCTTCTCTATGCCTTCACGAGGCAGAAGTTCCAGAAGGTCTTAAAAAGCAAAATGAAGAAGCGAGTAGTGTCGATCATTGAGGCAGATCCTACCCCAAACAATGCCATCATCCACAACTCGTGGATCGACCCAAAGAGGAACAAAAAGGTGACATTTGAGGACAAAGAGGCCCAACAGAAATGTCTGTCTTCTGAGGATGTGGAGTGAAGGGACTCAAGGGTATACAGTCTATAAAGCAGCTATAATTGATATCAGGTCTGGATGTAAAAGGGAAAATGTTTATCCAAAGCAGAAATGTAAATAATATGTGCAATAGAATGTACAAAACAAGAAGTGGATAATTTATTATTATTTATTGAGAACAAAAGTAGATTTCATAGATACAACATATATTGAACTGTAGATATTGCATGGCTTTTTGTAACAATAGCAACATAACCTACAGAAAAGTGTGTACATACTTAGAATATGTATAATATAGGGTAAACAAGGTATATAAATAGAGACAGAAGTAGAAATTGTATTGTATATGTATATTTATAATAAATCTTGTGTTCACTGACCTAACACAGCAAAAGGTTTCCTATTTTCCCCTCCCCCACGTAAAGTATTTGTGATTCTCAAACAGCTGTGAGATTACTCCCATTCATCACGATGCCACTTGCTCCGACACTAGACCCTGCACTCCCCAGTGACCACTGACCTCATTGCCATAGAATCCTCTGAGGGGGAGACCCCAGACTTAAATGAGACTGTAGATATGAGGATGCATCAAAGAAATGCAAGTTTAACTGGAGGAAATGGAAGAAAAAGTGGTACAGCGGCATATAGCAACACGTTATTAGGTTATAGCTGGGGGGCTATGATATGTCTGCTCAATATCACCACTTTAAGTTTTAAAAACACCATCCATGACAGAGCGACATGTTTTGACATAACCCAGGTGTAATAAAAGTGTTGTCTGTTTCACCCTACCAGACACCTCTTTGAACAAATGGAAAATCTACAGTTGCCTTATTTTGGTTTGATGAATTGAAAACAGCCTTTGAGTGTGAAAAGAGGAGCACATATTAAACGGATGGGAAGAAAATAAGTATTTCTGTCCTCCCAAAACAATACAGAATCAAACGCTTCTACATCAAAGTGTTTGGATCAAATTAAAGGAGGCTGTTGAAAACGGCTGTCTGAACAAACTGTTTTTTTCTTAATCACCAATACTTAAACAACAAGCTCTCCAAATAAGCATCCTTAGAGATTACTGCAAAAATCTTGAGGTCTAATGAAAGATTTGTTCAAACATAACAATAGAGAATGAATTTCTTCTTCTTGGCCTGTGTGCGAATACCAACATTTCATGTTTTTGTCAAAGACTAATTTGTTTCTAAAAAATAGCTGCTACTGGCAGATGATCATGCAGCCAGCCTTGTATTTTTAGCTTAACTCTTCCATGAAACCAGTTTGCTCAAAATAAGTAGGAGTCATTTTTTTTTTGTTAAGCTGGAGAAAAGTTGAATTAATATGAATCTACTCTAAAAAAACTGTCAGCTTATTACATTCAGCCAGGGCTCTAATGCCACATCTAGATGCAGTGTTACAATATCCATTAGCATATAAAACCATTCTCTGCTAGCCTGGCGGCTCACTTCATTACAATCCCTGGGTCAAGGATTACATTTGGCTAAGATTAGGATATATACAGCGTATGCATATGCATGCATAAAGGTACACACACATGGATATACACACTGTGAGCAACAGTACATCTTAATAATGAGCTTATTACGCCTTTGCAGTCTCAGGTACAGCATAAAATTGAAGAGCCCTTTAGATCCAGAGAGCACAGGGCTGTTGGCTGACAGAGCGATTACACAACCTCAATCAGATGCTTCCTTGACTGCCGATGTGTGGTGTGTTGAACAAGGGGGAGAGCTGATATGGGAATATTGATGCAGACTGGGTTTTTTATGACCCAGCTGTAAACAAGCAGTGTGGATATCACAGTACCTTGAGGGCATGTTTGTGATTGAGCAGAGAGATGGGATCACAGGCTGCAACAGATTAGCCAACAGGGGAGGGGGAAAATAACCCATGAGATAAAACCCGGTGCCAGAGGTGGGATTTAACACACATATTTAAATGAGTCTGACCTTGGGAGGGAAAAACTTTAAAGATGGGGTTTCAAAATACTTTCGCCTATTCCAATTTCTAACAATAATACATAACAAGTGGTTCAAAAAGAGGATAATTTAAACCTGAGCTCAAATGTCAGCTTTTACTTCAAACTTCATCACTGCGCCTGAAATAACTCACTTATATTGATTAACTTCTAAAATTACCTCATAAAGATCAATACTATTTACACTGACAGGACTCACACAGGCTCAGCCAGAAAGGACTTTCAAGCACAACTAGCATCGCATGATGTTCTGACTTAATCACCATTTAGTTAACACTCCATTATTCAGTCTGACATCCTCTTCTTCGTAGTCATTTTCTCTTTGGGAGGGGGTTGTTTTGCTCTCACTAATCACTGCGACTGATGTATCTGTCTTCCTGATGTAATTTTCATTAGACACTGAAGCTTCTGTGCATCAGATAGGGGCTTGAAATTTAACATGTTCACTGATGTCTTTATCAGGGGTAGTTAATTACACTGTTAACTATTTTCATGTCACTTGGCACTCTGAGATAAACCCCTCAGCTTCTTTCATTTTCTTTGCATTAAGGTCATAGGGTACAAGCGCTATAAAAGCTTTACATTTCATCACAATTTAAAGGCCCTGATTCATAAACTAAACATCTCTTCACTGAAATATGCTGGAAAAAAAGAGGAAACATAAAGGAAAAAAACAACCTCCTTTTTGGAATAAATGCCTTCAACACAGAACAGAGTTCGCACCTCAAAGTTGTTTCTGGTTATTTTCATTTACAGGCTCGATAGTTCCTCTTGTTTCAATGCTGCTATTTTTGTTTGGATTCTGGCGTCGCCTTAGTTAGACAGTAGCCTCAACCTTGGTCCCATCTATAAAGGCAGTGACTGGCTCAGTACCGTCTCCAACTGACAGGAAGGAGACTCATGCGAGAAAAAACAGACCTTTGAAACTGTTTGCAAAACTTTAAATGAAACAATGTAGAAGGCCAAAGAAGGGCTGACAGTTGACACTAAATACCAGAGTGGATGCACAGTGTCTCCCAGCAAACTCAAGACTGAAATTCTGTTAAATACTTGTCCTGCACCAAAATAAGGGCTGAGCAATTCTGGGATATAAATCAATGTTTTTTTAAATTTTTTTCCCCCCCAGAAAGTATTGATTTTTCAGTCACGAGTATTGATACATTAAGTCTCATTAAAATCCCCCTTGTTCTGCCCGGCACTCTACTAGCTGCCCCCCAACCCCGCCCCATTCGCTTTGCGGGAAAAGCAAGCAGGTTAGCCAGCCACTGGTGTGGCTGTGGAGAATTTCTGGCAAGTATCCCATCTAGATACTGTTTTAACATAGAAGAAGTCAGAGCGAGGAGATTGAAGAAAATGGCGGGGGATATAACTCCAGCACTGTCATGCTTTAAAGTAGGAGTGTACTGAAAAATTTTGGCTGAAAATGGTCCAAAAGTGCATTTACGGTTTTTGGCCGAAACACTTTTTTCACTGAAACAACACGGATGTTGTGATGACGCAAACAAAACCCATTACCAGTACACGCTTGTCTGGATAAGAACCAACATGTATGCGGTGTAGACATATTTTAAGTATCTGAGAAGTACGCATAGTGATTAGCATAGTGTGTAATGCTAACATTTCATGAGGGGAAGTATCTGCAAAGAGTTTCTTCACATCAGGTTCAATTTATCCCCTGAAATCCAAACATCCTGATCGCCATTCTGAACATGAGAAGAATGCGGCACAGAACAGGAAAATACCTCCGAGCACGCCCACTCCGTACGTGGCAGATGTTGTAGCCAAATACACAAATGAATGTTCACTTCCTTTCACCTTTTCTCTTAACGTTATCAGAAATCAACACCATGTTCATCTCCTGCTCCCGGCTGCTTGAAAGAAAACACACTGAAGCTACTTCTTCTTCTTCTTCTTCTTTATATTGTTGTGTCTCTACAGCTCGCTGATCGCATCGCTAATATTTCAAAAGCAATATCAAGCACTAAACACAAACAATTCTTCAAACTATAACAGAATTTAGATCATGTATATTATATAGAGGAGGTACAGTGGGTGATGTAGGTGATTGCTCTTTTTTCACCAGCAGGCTGGTGGCAATGTGTTACCATAGTAGCCAGACACACTGTGTCTAGTGCTCTGAAGAATAATTCTAACTTAAATTTTTCTATTATAAGGTATGATTTGAAGGGATGAATAAAGTTGTGTTATAGGATCCAATTGACTTTTGTTCCAATAAGGATACTGAAATAATACGAGTTAGTTGATGCAAAACTGTGTCCTAAAATCTTTAACAGACCTTAGTGGGAGTTGGAGCAGCATGCACAACATGGTAATAGTCTACAGGCATGTAAGACAAAAATACAGACTACGCATGGAGTGCAGTCACTTCTCTGTGTGCTATAGCGAGGAGAATCAATAAATAAAAAATGAGAGAGCGGTGAGAACATAAATCAAACGAAGTACTGTTAAACTCAACATGCATAGCTGCATTAAGCTTTGCTCAACAACCAAAGCCAAAAAAAGAGAGATAAATATCAGACGTACCCTTCTTCATCAGCTCAGTGACCCTACCTACTACTTAAAAAAAACGAATCAATCAAAGGTTAAGTCAAATCTCAAGGTTACTGGTTAACATATTGTTGAGGTTAGCAGGTCACTAAAATACACCTCTAACCTCCGCTGACCTGCAGATAAAACAACGGTCAATACACGGCCATAGTCAATAGCAGAGGTGTAATAATGCTCTATGTGAGCCTTGTTACAATCACTTGACCCTGGTGTGTCCTTCCCTCTCTCCTAGATATTCCACATCAAGGCTGGTACTTACTGCTGTTCATATCTCATGCATTATGTCCCTCACTTCCCTCTCTCGCTTTCTCTCTCTCTCTCTCTCTCTCTCTCTCTCTCTCTCAATGGCTGCTTCTCTTGGACAGCCATTCCCAATTCAGATGGCATCTCCTCTAGGCCCCTCTCTCTATCCAGCCACAGACACAGAATAAAAGCCTGGGAAATCACATTACTTTGTCCGTATGGAGCCTCTATTGGATTAGGTCAGCGAACACTCAACTGTAATTCTGCTATCGGAGAGAAGAAGAAAGTGAATTGAGCACACCAGTCAGCACAGCTTGACAAATTGTGGCTTGTGGTCATTTTCCAAATGTTACTCTCACCGAGCTACATTTAGGGAGACGGTGGGACACTTCATGGAGTTGGAAGATAAATGGCTGTGATATGCAACCTATAATTGTGTACAAGAAAATCTATGGCTCAGACAGAAGGCAGGAATCACATAAGACGGGTACAATGGGGTATGACCGCTACCTACTATGACCTTATCAACACTGCTGTGTACCATGGGAGAGAAATGACACACCAGTCTGCCTTTAATCAGTGCTGTGAAGATTACTACTCTCTGTTGATTTCAATAGAAAGTAGACATCTAATGATACAACCAGATGTCTTATTTACTACCAGCTCTACATCTGACGACGTATAAATCCTGAGGGTTAACACAGAAAATAACTTCATACGCATGCTTATGCAGACAATATTAAACAAAGTATTGTTTTAATACTAATCATTCAATAAAATGTGCCACCATACTGCTAAATCTTAATCATCCTCAAGGTAAAAGTAGCTCAGACAAAAAGGACAGAAAAGCACATTCTTATCGCACTAAACCACAAACGTGAAGGACAAAAAGGAGTTCTAAGTTTTTGTGCCGACATGGCTGCATGCCCAACGTGTGAGCAAACCTGCCGGTCAGTGCGTGGTTGTGTGAGGCGTTCATGCGATCATCCAGCAGTGTGTGCGTTCTATATATTTGGGAGTACACTCCACCATGTGCGGCTGTGCCCATATGTATCAGTGCAATTGTTTTATCTGGCAATGACAAAGTGTCATCCACTGTGAAAGAGAGGAGAGACAGCAGGGAGAAGATCGCTGCCCTCCAGCTCTCCTCTCAGTGATGATGACTACACTGTCTGGTGATTATACCTTCGCTCTTCTCTCTACATATAAAGAATATGAATGGCAATGCCACAATAAAGCTTATTCACACAGCAGAGCAGTCTGAGTCTGACTATAACAGGCTGAGCGTTTGTGTTCAGTAAAGCAACAATTGACTTTCACACTTAAAAAAAGAGACTATTTTCCTGCAAGTGTTCACAAGCCACAATAGAAAAGCAAAGTGGTAGAAGTTACTGTGGCGCAGTCGGGGCCCCTGAAGTAACAGTCCAATTCATTTGCTGCAAGGACAAAGTTTGACTGGAGTGAACAAGAAACTCATCATGGTTGAGACATTAGAAAGCATTGGCTGGTCCTTTATCAAAAAGTTAATAGCCCATGTTCATAGTTTTAAAGGTGAGAAGTTCACTACAGCTGTGTGTCAATTCAGTCGTGAAGCAATATTAAAAAAAACTTTTGAAAAACTGCAAAGTGTTGTTTCATTGGAAGTCTGAAGAACAGATCAATTTACGGCGAACTATTCACTTAAAAAGGAAAACTTTTCTTCCCTGGTGGCAGATGACCTGATTTCTTTTTTTACCCTTCACAGCCACCATTTAAGCCTCTCTCACATTATAAATGTTCTCTTTGCTCTACAGAAGGTAGGACAGAGACAGATAGGGTACTTAGCGTACTGAAGTGTTCATAATAAAGTGCACCACCCAGATTTTTTTTTTACAACACTGGCTATACTCAGCTATTCTTTATGCATAATATAGTATATGTATTGTAGACATGTGTGATAAGAGATTATTGACTCATACTGAATATTCACTGTATAAACTTTAATCCCGAATAGGGATGCACTGAAAAATTCCAGCCAAAAATGGCCTAAAAGTGCATTTTCCTTTTTTGGCCGAAACACTTTTCTTACCGAAACAACACAGCTGAAACAGATGTTGTGATCGAGTAAAAACCGCAGCCAGAACGCACTTGTCTGGATAAAAACCGACATGTCTGCTGTCAGGACGTATTTAAATATATCTGAGAACCAGGGATAGTAATTAGAATAGCGGTAATTCCAAAATTTCAAGAATGGGTGCATCTGCAAAGCTTTTCTTCATGTTGGGTTTAATTTATCACCTGAAATCCGAACATCATGATCGCCATTCTGAATGCAAGAAGAAAGCAGCACAGTACAGTAAAATCCCTTCTAGCACACACACTCTGTCTGTGGCGGATGTTGCAGCCAAATGGACAAGTGGGGGAAGTTTCACCTTCTCTCACTTTAAAAAACTTCACTTCCATTGTCAAACAGCTTATTGCGCAATTGACCCTTGTTTGGTGTTGTTTGCCAGGGGGGTGCTTCGCTGTTGTGACTCTGTGTGGTTCTTCTACACATTACTGAGGCTCTTGTTCATTCAATGAATAAATTGTCATATTGCTGATATGTCTTGTTCTGACAGAATTCAATCATCCAATCCAGCAAACATCACCAGACATGGGTCAATGACACAGTAAGCTGTTTGGCATTGGGAGAGAAGATTTGGCAACTTTTTAATGGGCACAACCCACATACTCTGTTGCTCATCCCACAAATGCACAGTCCAAAGGAAAATAACCAGGCTTTCCAACAGTATATGATATGTTTCCAAGAAGCATTATTAGAACAAAAGAAATAATCTACCAAACATAAATCTCTTCACTTTTGTGCGAGGTTCAGATGGTAGTGGACAGACAGGACTATTAAGATGCTTCTCTTGCTACACGCAGTCAGATCACACCGGTTGCAAGATATACACATCATAACCTCCGCTCTTACGCTTTTGTAAAGCCTCTGGGAAATCATCCACTACATTCACTAAAATTTGGGGGAAATCTTCAGGAGTTTACAATGGGTGAGTTTCTTGTACATTACTTCTCTCCTTATATACATTGATAGGCTCCACAACATCTATTTTTGGTTATAGTTGAAATAAATCAACTCTGGGTGAGGTGCTCTGTGTCAGTGTTGGGTCATTCATTGTGGTGATGCAATTTAACTGGCCAGTGGGTAAAACAATAAAAATGCCAGTGCAGAGATATTTAACCTCGACTCATCCCCTGTAATTAATTTTAAAAGTTTTTATCACATTGTGGTACAAGGGATAACTCAAATGCCAAAGAAGTTATGACTCAGGGCAGCAGCAGATAAGAAAGGTCATAATATGAGACAAGCCAATCTCACGTTTTTTAAATCTATTTTAAAGCTTTTTTCAAATTTCCATTTCTTTATGATGAATGAGCTGAGAGGAGTAAAAGATGTTTATTCCAAAGGTAGCTGGAATATACAACAACAGAGATAATGCTATGTTCGTTTGAAAATCAATTTCATTATTGAATTCAGGTAATATCATCCTTCCAAAAGTGTCTGTAAAGCAATGATATCTGAGTCTTAGTAACTGTGCATGCCACATAAACACAGCTGAACACCCACTGTATCTGAAATGATTCATCCTCAAAGTTCTAATTCTGCCTCCTCTTCTCAACCTGAAATACTTCCTGCTGCACATGAATCAGCAAAGCCCGCACAAACTCGTAATCTAAATATCCCAAAATATTCAGTGTCCTACTGTAACCAAATCAGGATTTTTTTATCCACACAACTGGACTTATTCTGAAGATGAAAGAAAAAACATCCTCTAAATATCATGATCCAGTAATGAACCCATACACCTGGATGCATATAACCATGCACCCTGTTTTGAGCGGAATGGTGCAACTACATTTTGAGACCCATATTTTTTATTCGGTCTGTTAACTTTCCAACGACTCCTCCTCACCTCCTCCTACCAAAGCTCTGTGTTTTAAAAACCCTCATATTCATGCATCTTACCCAGAGTTGCTGGGTAACAATCTATACTTCTAGAAATCTATGAATGTGCAATGAATTCATCATGAAGCCTTGTTTTCTCAGGCACATAGATTAACTTTGAACTCAGAACAACTCTCAGTCATTTTTTCTCATCCAAACTAAGTTTTTACATTGACACAAAATAATCTCATGCTAAATTTTAACTGAGGCTCAGAAACTGAATTAGTTTGGAATCTGATGCTGGATGTAGCTAAACAGCAGTTTGCTATTATGAAAAATAGATATAGGTATTGTTCACCTGTTAACTTGATACATTAAGTTTTTATAGGGTATGATCAGTACTCAAGTTGGGGGGGAGGTGGCACCCCTTGAAAGGAAAATGGTCAAAATCATCCTCCTTCTAAAACAGTGTTCCCAACTTTCCATCCTTTGAGACATATTTGTCAATGAATGTGGATATATTACTTCTAATTTAACATTAAAAGAATAACTGCAATTTGGTGATGGGCTGCAGTATAGGTCATAAATCCCGCCTCCGCCAGCCATCCTTATGTAACTGTGGAGAAACTTTAGAAATGTATTAAACAGAACATACATTTTTCTCCCCCTTGCTTTTGATGTTGACATGTAGTTATTGTAAGACTGGTTTGTGCTCAAGTCCTCTTTTTTTCTGTACAGCTCCATTTTAAAAGTTATAAGGGGGTTCATGTTTTCTTTGATTGACACCTGATACAAACTATTGGCATTCAGGGATTGCGTAGAACAACCCTAGCCATTACTCAACCCTAATCCTAACCCCAGCCCTAACCCTAACCCTAGCTCCAACCAAAACCCTAGCTCCAACCCTAACCCTATCCCTAGCTGCAACCCTAACCCTAGCTCCAACCCTAACCCTAACCCTAACCCTAGCTGCAACTCTAACTCCAACTCCAACCCTAACCCTAGCTCCAACCCTAACCCTAACCCTAACCCTAACCCTAAGTAAACTTTTCAAAAAACTTCCCCCAGAATTAGGTTCTATAGACTCCCCGTGGCCTGAAACGTACTCCTAACACAATTCTGGAAGGTGAAAAATTGGGTCGGCACTTCAATGAATTTTCTTCACTCAAAATTTTCTTCCCATGCATTCCTATGGGAAAAAATCAACTTTTTTTAGGAACGTCCTAGAGACTCGGGAGTTGGTTCATTGGACTCAGAAAATTCTTCCACCCCCAACATGCAAGTTTCAGCACTCTACGACCTCCAAAATGCATATACCTAACCCTAACCCTAACCCTAACCCTAACTCCAACCCTAACCCTAACCCTAGCCCCAACCCTAACCCTAACCCTAACCCTAGCTGCAACCCTAACTCCAACCCTAACCCTAACCCTAGCTGCAACCCTAACTCCAACCCTAACCCTAACCCTAACCCTAGCTCAAACCCTAACTCCAACCCTAGCTCCAACCCTAACCCGAACCCTAACCCTAGCTCCAACCCTAACCCTAACCCTAGCTCCAACCCTAACCCTAACCCTAGCTCCAACCCTAACTCCAACCCTAACCCTAACCCTAACCCTAGCTCCAACCCTAACCCGAACCCTAACCCTAGCTCCAACCCTAACCCTAACCCTAGCTCCAACCTTAACTCCAACCCTAACCCTAACCCTAACCCTAGCTCCAACCCTAACCCTAACCCTAGCTCCAACCCTAACCCTAACCCTAAGTAAACTTTTCAAAAAACTTCCCCCAGAATTAGGTTCTATAGACTCCCCGTGGCCTGAAACGTACTCCTAACACAATTCTGGAAGGTGAAAAATTGGGTCGGCACTTCAATGAATTTTCTTCACTCAAAATTTTCTTCCCATGCATTCCTATGGGAAAAAATCAACTTTTTTTAGGAACGTCCTAGAGACTCGGGAGTTGGTTCATTGGACTCAGAAAATTCTTCCACCCCCAACATGCAAGTTTCAGCACTCTACGACCTCCAAAATGCATATACCTAACCCTAACCCTAACCCTAACCCTAACCCTAGCTCCAACCCTAACCCTAACCCTAGCTGCAACCCTAACTCCAACCCTAACCCTAACCCTAACCCTAGCTCTAACCCTAACCCTAACCCTAGCTGCAACCCTAACTCCAACCCTAACCCTAGCTCCAACCCTAACCCTAACCCTAGCTCAAACCCTAACTCCAATCCTAGCTCCAACCCTAACCCTAGCTCCAACCCTAACCCTAACCCTAGCTCCAACCCTAACCCTAACCCTAGCTCCAACCCTAACCCTAACCCTAGCTCTAACCCTAACCCTAACCCTAGCTCCAACCCTAACCCGAACCCTAACCCTAGCTCCAACCCTAACCCTAACCCTAGCTCCAACCCTAACCCTAACCCTAGCTCCAACCCTAACTCCAACCCTAACCCTAACCCTAACCCTAACTCCAACCCTAACCCTAACCCTAGCTCCAACCCTAACCCTAACCCTAACCCTAGCTGCAACCCTAACTCCAACCCTAACCCTAGCTCCAACCCTAACCCTAACCCTAGCTCAAACCCTAACTCCAACCCTAGCTCCAACCCTAGCTCCAACCCTAACCCTAACCCTAGCTCCAACCCTAACCCTAATCCTAGCTCCAACCCTAACTCCAACCCTAACCCTAACCCTAACCCTAGCTCCAACCCTAACCCTAACCCCTAACCCTAACCCTAGCTCCAACCCTAACTCCAACCCTAACCCTAACCCTAACCCTAGCTCCAACCCTAACCCTAACCCTAACCTTAGCTCCAACCTTAACTCCAACCCTAACCCTAACCCTAACCCTAGCTCCAACCCTAACCCTAACCCTAGCTCCAACCCTAACCCTAACCCTAACCCTAAGTAAACTTTTCAAAAAACTTCCCCCAGAATTAGGTTCTATAGACTCCCCGTGGCCTGAAACGTACTCCTAACACAATTCTGGAAGGTGAAAAATTGGGTCGGCACTTCAATGAATTTTCTTCACTCAAAATTTTCTTCCCATGCATTCCTATTGGAAAAAATCAACTTTTTTTAGGAACGTCCTAGAGACTCGGGAGTTGGTTCATTGGACTCAGAAAAATCTTCCACCCCAAACATGCAAGTTTCAGCGCTCTACGACCTCCAAAATGCATATACCTAACCCTAACCCTAACCCTAACTCCAACCCTAACCCTAACCCTAGCTCCAACCCTAACCCTAACCCTAGCTGCAACCCTAACTCCAACCCTAACCCTAACCCTAACCCTAGCTCTAACCCTAACCCTAACCCTAGCTCCAACCCTAACTCCAACCCTAACCCTAACCCTAACCCTAGCTCTAACCCTAACCCTAACCCTAGCTCCAACCCTAACTCCAACCCTAACCCTAACCCTAACCCTAGCTCTAACCCTAACCCTAACCCTAGCTGCAACCCTAACTCCAACCCTAACCCTAGCTCCAACCCTAACCCTAACCCTAGCTCAAACCCTAACTCCAACCCTAACCCGAACCCTAACCCTAGCTCCAACCCTAACCCTAACCCTAGCTCCAACCCTAACCCTAACCCTAGCTCCAACCCTAACCCTAACCCTAGCTCCAACCCTAACCCTAACCCTAGCTCCAACCCTAACCCGAACCCTAACCCTAGCTCCAACCCTAACCCTAACCCTAGATCCAACCCTAACCCTAACCCTAGCTCCAACCCTAACTCCAACCCTAACCCTAACCCTAACCCTAACTCCAACCCTAACCCTAACCCTAGCTCCAACCCTAACCCTAACCCTAACCCTAGCTGCAACCCTAACTCCAACCCTAACCCTAGCTCCAACCCTAACCCTAACCCTAGCTCAAACCCTAACTCCAACCCTAACCCTAACCCTAGCTCCAACCCTAACCCTAACCCTAGCTCCAACCCTAACCCTAACCCTAGCTCCAACCCTAACTCCAACCCTAACCCTAACCCTAACCCTAGCTCCAACCCTAACCCTAACCCTAACCCTAACCCTAGCTCCAACCCTAACTCCAACCCTAACCCTAACCCTAACCCTAGCTCCAACCCTAACCCTAACCCTAACCCTAGCTCCAACCTTAACTCCAACCCTAACCCTAACCCTAACCCTAGCTCCAACCCTAACCCTAACCCTAGCTCCAACCCTAACCCTAACCCTAACCCTAAGTAAACTTTTCAAAAAACTTCCCCCAGAATTAGGTTCTATAGACCCGTGGCCTGAAACGTACTCCTAACACAATTCTGGAAGGTGAAAAATTGGGTCGGCACTTCAATGAATTTTCTTCACTCAAAATTTTCTTCCCATGCATTCCTATTGGAAAAAATCAACTTTTTTTAGGAACGTCCTAGAGACTCGGGAGTTGGTTCATTGGACTCAGAAAAATTCTTCCACCCCCAACATGCAAGTTTCAGCACTCTACGACCTCCAAAATGCATATACCTAACCCTAACCCTAACCCTAACTCCAACCCTAACCCTAACCCTAGCTCCAACCCTAACCCTAACCCTAGCTGCAACCCTAACTCCAACCCTAACCCTAACCCTAACCCTAGCTCTAACCCTAACCCTAACCCTAGCTCCAACCCTAACTCCAACCCTAACCCTAACCCTAACCCTAGCTCTAACCCTAACCCTAACCCTAGCTCCAACCCTAACTCCAACCCTAACCCTAATCCTAACCCTAGCTCAAACCCTAGCTCCAACCCTAACCCTAACCCTAGCTCAAACCCTAACCCTAGCTCCAACCCTAACTCCAACCCTAACCCTAACCCTAACCCTAGCTCCAACCCTAACCCTAACCCTAACCCTAGCTCCAACCCTAACCCTAACCCTAGCTCAACCCTAACCCTAACCCTAACCCTAGCTGCAACCCTAACTCCAACCATAACCCTAACCCTAACCCTAACTCCAACCCTAACCCTAACTCTAGCTCCAACCCTAACCCTAACCCTAACCCTAGCTCCAACCCTATAACAACCCTAACCCTAGCTCCAACCCTAACCCTAACCCTAACCCTAGCTGCAACCCTAACTCAAACCCTAACCCTAACCCTAACCCTAACCCTAGCTCTAACCCTAACCCTAACCCTAACCCTAGCTCCAACCCTAACCCTAACCCTAACCCTAGCTGCAACCCTAACTCCAACCCTAACCCTAACCCTAACTCCAACCCTAACCCTAACCCTAACCCTAGCTCAAACCCTAACCCTAACCCTAACCCTAGCTCCAACCCTAACCCTTACCCTAACCCTAGCTCCAACCCTAACCCTAACTCAAACCCTAACCCTAACCCTAACTCCAACCCTAACCCTAACCCTAGCTCCAACCCTAACCCTAACCCTAACCCTAGCTGCAACCCTAACTCCAACACTAACCCTAACCCTAACCCTAGCGCCAACCCTAACCCTAACCCTAGCTCCAACCCTAACCCTAACCCTAGCTCCAACCCTAACTCCAACCCTAACCCTAACCCTAACCCTAGCTCCAACCCTAACCCTAACCCTAGCTCCAACCCTAACTCCAACCCTAACCCTAACCCTAACCCTAGCTCCAACCCTAACCCTAACCCTAACCTCCAACCTTAACTCCAACCCTAACCCTAACCCTAACCCTAGCTCCAACCCTAACCCTAACCCTAGCTCCAACCCTAACCCTAACCCTAACCCTAAGTAAACTTTTCAAAAAACTTCCCCCAGAATTAGGTTCTATAGACTCCCCGTGGCCTGAAACGTACTCCTAACACAATTCTGGAAGGTGAAAAATTGGGTCGGCACTTCAATGAATTTTCTTCACTCAAAATTTTCTTCCCATGCATTCCTATTGGAAAAAATCAACTTTTTTTAGGAACGTCCTAGAGACTCGGGAGTTGGTTCATTGGACTCAGAAAAATCTTCCACCCAAAACATGCAAGTTTCAGCGCTCTACGACCTCCAAAATGCATATACCTAACCCTAACCCTAACCCTAACTCCAACCCTAACTCCAACCCTAACCCTAACCCTAACCCTAGCTCTAACCCTAACCCTAACCCTAGCTCCAACCCTAACTCCAACCCTAACCCTAACCCTAACCCTAGCTCTAACCCTAACCCTAACCCTAGCTCCAACCCTAACTCCAACCCTAACCCTAATCCTAACCCTAGCTCCAACCCTAGCTCCAACCCTAACCCTAACCCTAGCTCAAACCCTAACCCTAGCTCCAACCCTAACTCCAACCCTAACCCTAACCCTAACCCTAGCTCCAACCCTAACCCTAACCCTAACCCTAGCTCCAACCCTAACCCTAACCCTAGCTCAACCCTAACCCTAACCCTAACCCTAGCTGCAACCCTAACTCCAACCATAACCCTAACCCTAACCCTAACTCCAACCCTAACCCTAACTCTAGCTCCAACCCCAACCCTAACCCTAACCCTAGCTCCAACCCTATAACAACCCTAAACCTAGCTCCAACCCTAACCCTAACCCTAACCCTAGCTGCAACCCTAACTCAAACCCTAACCCTAACCCTAACCCTAACCCTAGCTCTAACCCTAACCCTAACCCTAACCCTAGCTCCAACCCTAACCCTAACCCTAACCCTAGCTGCAACCCTAACTCCAACCCTAACCCTAACCCTAACTCCAACCCTAACCCTAACCCTAACCCTAGCTCAAACCCTAACCCTAACCCTAACCCTAGCTCCAACCCTAACCCTAACCCTAACCCTAGCTCCAACCCTAACCCTAACTCAAACCCTAACCCTAACCCTAACTCCAACCCTAACCCTAACCCTAGCTCCAACCCTAACCCTAACCCTAACCCTAGCTGCAACCCTAACTCCAACACTAACCCTAACCCTAACCCTAGCGCCAACCCTAACCCTAACCCTAGCTCCAACCCTAACCCTAACCCTAGCTCCAACCCTAACTCCAACCCTAACCCTAACCCTAACCCTAGCTCCAACCCTAACCCTAACCCTAACCCTAGCTCCAACCCTAACTCCAACCCTAACCCTAACCCTAACCCTAGCTCCAACCCTAACCCTAACCCTAACCTTAGCTCCAACCTTAACTCCAACCCTAACCCTAACCCTAACCCTAGCTCCAACCCTAACCCTAACCCTAGCTCCAACCCTAACCCTAACCCTAACCCTAAGTAAACTTTTCAAAAAACTTCCCCCAGAATTAGGTTCTATAGACCCGTGGCCTGAAACGTACTCCTAACACAATTCTGGAAGGTGAAAAATTGGGTCGGCACTTCAATGAATTTTCTTCACTCAAAATTTTCTTCCCATGCATTCCTATTGGAAAAAATCAACTTTTTTTAGGAACGTCCTAGAGACTCGGGAGTTGGTTCATTGGACTCAGAAAAATCTTCCACCCCAAACATGCAAGTTTCAGCGCTCTACGACCTCCAAAATGCATATACCTAACCCTAACCCTAACCCTAACTCCAACCCTAACCCTAACCCTAACCCTAACCCTAGCTGCAACCCTAACTCCAACCCTAACCCTAACCCTAACCCTAGCTCTAACCCTAACCCTAACCCTAGCTCCAACCCTAACTCCAACCCTAGCCCTAACCCTAACCCTAGCTCTAACCCTAACCCTAACCCTAGCTCCAACCCTAACTCCAACCCTAACCCTAACCCTAACCCTAACCCTCCAACCCTAACCCTAACCCTAGCTCCAACCCTAACCCTAGCTCCAACCCTAACTCCAACCCTAACCCTAACCCTAACCCTAGCTCCAACCCTAACCCTAACCCTAACCCTAGCTCCAACCCTAACCCTAACCCTAGCTCAACCCTAACCCTAACCCTAACCCTAACCCTAGCTGCAACCCTAACTCCAACCATAACCCTAACCCTAACCCTAACTCCAACCCTAACCCTAACTCTAGCTCCAACCCTAACCCTAACCCTAGCTCCAACCCTATAACAACCCTAACCCTAGCTCCAACCCTAACCCTAACCCTAACCCTAGCTGCAACCCTAACTCAAACCCTAACCCTAACCCTAACCCTAACCCTAGCTCCAACCCTAACCCTAACCCTAACTCCAACCCTAACCCTAACCTTAATCCTGGCTCCAACCCTAACCCTAACCCTAACCCTAGCTGCAACCCTAACTCCAACCCTAACCCTAACCCTAACCCTAACCCTAACTCCAACCCTAACCCTAACCCTAACCCTAACCCTAGCTCAAACCCTAACCCTAACCCTAACCCTAGCTCCAACCCTAACCCTTACCCTAACCCTAGCTCCAACCCTAACCCTAACTCAAACCCTAACCCTAACCCTAACCCTAACTCTAACCCTAACCCTAACGCTCCAACCCTAACCCTAACCCTAACCCTAGCTGCAACCCTAACTCCAACACTAACCCTAACCCTAACCCAAGCGCCAACCCTAACCCTAACCCTAGCTCCAACCCTAACTCCAACCCTAACCCTAACCCCAACCCTAACTCCAACCCTAACCCTAGCTCCAACCCTAACTCCAACCCTAACTCCAACCCTAACTCTAACCCTAACCCTAACCCTAACCCTAACCCAAACCCTAGCTCCAACCCTAACTCCAACCCTAACCCTAACCCTAGCTCCAACCCTAACCCTAACCCTAACCCTAGCTCCAACCCTAACTCCAACTCCAACCCTAACCCTAACCCTAACCCTAGCTCCAACCCTAACCCTAGCTCCAACCCTAACTCCAACCCTAACCCTAACCCTAACTCCAACCCTAACCCTAACCCTAACCCTAGCTCCAACCCTAACCCTAACCCTAACTCCAACCCTAACCCTAACCTTAATCCTGGCTCCAACCCTAACCCTAACCCTAACCCTAGCTGCAACCCTAACTCCAACCCTAACCCTAACCCTAACTCCAACCCTAACCCTAACCCTAACCCTAACCCTAGCTCAAACCCTAACCCTAACCCTAACCCTAGCTCCAACCCTAACCCTTACCCTAACCCTAGCTCCAACCCTAACCCTAACTCAAACCCTAACCCTAACCCTAACCCTAACTCCAACCCTAACCCTAACCCTAGCTCCAACCCTAACCCTAACCCTAGCTGCAACCCTAACTCCAACACTAACCCTAACCCTAACCCAAGCGCCAACCCTAACCCTAACCCTAGCTCCAACCCTAACTCCAACCCTAACCCTAACCCCAACCCTAACTCCAACCCTAACCCTAGCTCCGACCCTAACTCCAACCCTAACTCCAACCCTAACTCTAACCCTAGCTCCAACCCTAACCCTAACCCAAACCCTAGCTCCAACCCTAACTCCAACCCTAACCCTAACCCTAACCCTAGCTCCAACCCTAACCCTAACCCTAACCCTAGCTCCAACCCTAACTCCAACTCCAACCCTAACCCTAACCCTAACCCTAGCTCCAACTCGAACCCTAACCCTAGCTCCAACCCTAACTCCAACCCTAACCCTAACTCCAACCCTAACCCTAACCCTAACCCTAGCTCCAACCCTAACCCAACCCTAACCCTAACCCTAACCCTAGCTCCAACCCTAACCCTTAGTTAGTTAGGGTTGCAGCTAGGGTTAGGGTTAGGATTGGAGCCAGGGTTAGGGTTAGGGTCAGGGTTGGAGCTAGGGTCAGGGTTAGGGTTAGGGTTGGAGTTGGAGTTAGGGTTGGAGCTAGGGTTAGGGTTAGGGTTAGGGTTGGAGCTAGGGTTAGGGTTAGGGTTAGGGTTAGGGTTGGAGTTAGGGTTGGAGCTAGGGTTAGGGTTGGAGCTAGGGTTAGGATTAGGGTTAGGGTTGGAGTCAGGGTTGGAGCTAGGGTTAGGGTTAGGGTTGGAGCTAGGGTTAGGGTTAGGGTTAGTGTGGGGGTTAGGGTTGCAGCTAGGGTTAGGGTTAGGGTTAGGGTTGGAGCTAGGGTTAGGGTTAGGGTTGGAGTTAGGGTTGGGTTGGAGTTAGGGTTAGGGTTGGAGCTAGGGTTAGGGTTAGGGTTAGGGTTGGAGTTAGGGTTGCAGCTAGGGTTAGGGTTAGGGTTAGGGTTAGGGTTGGAGCTAGGGTTAGGGTTAGGGTTAGGGTTGGAGTTAGGGTTAGGGTTGGAGTTAGGGTTAGGGTTAGGGTTAGGGTTGGAGTTAGGGTTAGGGTTAGGGTTAGGGTTGGAGTTAGGGTTAGGGTTGGAGCTAGGATTAGGGTTAGGGTTGGAGCTAGGGTTAGGGTTAGGGTTGGATTTAGGGTTGGAGCTAGGGTTAGGGTTAGGGTTAGGGTTGGAGCTAGAGTTAGGGTTAGGGTTGGAGTTAGGGTTAGGGTTAGGGTTATGGTTGGAGTTAGGGTTGCAGCTAGGGTTAGGGTTAGGGTTAGGGTTGAGCTAGGGTTAGGGTTAGGGTTGGAGCTAGGGTTAGGGTTAGGGTTAGGGTTGGAGTTAAAGTAAGGGTTAGGGTTGGAGTTAGGGTTAGGGTTAGGGTTAGGGTTGGAGTTAGGGTTAGGGTTGGAGCTAGGGTTAGGGTAAGGGTTAGTGTTGGAGCTAGGGTTAGGGTTAGGGTTGGAGTTAGGGTTGGAGCTAGGGTTAGGGTTAGGGTTAGGGTTGGAGTTAGGGTGGGAGCTAGGGTTAGGGTTAGGGTTAGGGTTGGAGCTAGGTTTAGGGTTAGGGTTAGGGTTGGAGCTAGGGTTAGGGTAAGGGTTAGGGTTGGAGTTAGGGTTGCAGCTAGGGTTAGGGTTAGGGTTGGAGCTAGGGTTAGGGTTAGGGTAGGAGATAGGGTTAGTGTTAGGGATAGGGTTGGAGTTAGGGTGGCAGCTAGGGTTAGGGTTAGGGTTGGAGCTAGGGTTAGGGTTAGGGTAGGAGATAGGGTTAGGGTTAGGGTTAGGGTTGGAGTTAGGGTGGGAGCTAGGGTTAGGGTTAGGGTTAGGGTTGGACTAGGGTTAGGGTTAGGGTTAAGGTTGGAGTTAGGGTTGCAGCTAGGGTTAGGGTTAGGTTTAGGGTTGGAGCAAGGGTTAGGGTTAGGGTTAGGGTTGCAGCTAGGCTTAGGGTTAGGGTTAGGGTTGAGCTAGGGTTAGGGTTAGGGTTGGAGCTAGGGTTAGGGTTAGGGTTAGGGTCGGAGTTAGGGTTAGGGTTGGAGCTAGGGTTAGGGTAAGGGTTAGGGTTGGAGTTAGGGTTGCAGCTAGGGTTAGGGTTAGGGTTGCAGCTAGGGTTAGGGTTAGGGTTAGGGTTGAGCTAGGGTTAGGGTTAGGGTTGGAGCTAGGGTTAGGGTTAGGGTTAGGGTCGGAGTTAGGGTTAGGGTTAGGGTTGGAGCTAGGGTTAGGGTAAGGGTTAGGGTTGGAGTTAGGGTTGCAGCTAGGGTTAGGGTTAGGGTTGGAGCTAGGGTTAGGGTTAAGGTTGGAGTTAGGGTTGCATCTAGGGTTAGGGTTAGGGTTAGGGTTAGGGTTGGAGTTAGGGTTAGGGTTAGGGTTAGGGTTGGAGTTAGGGTTGGAGCTAGGGTTGGAGTTAGGGTTTGAGCTAGGGTTAGGGTTAGGGTTGGAGCTATGTTTAGGGTTAGGGTTAGGGTTGGAGCAAGGGTTGGGGTTAGGGTTAGTGTTGGAGTTAGGGTTAGGGTAAGGGTTGGAGTTAGCGTTAGGGTTAGGGTTGGAGTTAGGGTTGGAGCTAGGGTTAGGGTTTGGGTTTGGGTTGGAGCTAGGGTTAGGGTTAGGGTTAGGGTTGGAGTTAGGGTTGGAGCGAGGGTTAGGGTTAGGGTTAGGGTTGGAGTTAGGGTTGGAGCTAGGGTTAGGGTAAGGGTTGGAGCTAGGGTTAGGGTTAGGGTTAGGGTTGGAGTTAGGGTTGCAGCTAGGGTTAGGGTTGGAGCTAGGGTTAGGGTTAGGGTTGGAGTTAGGGTTAGGGTTAGGGATAGCTATATGCATTTTGTAGGTCGTAGAGCGCTGAAACTTGCATGTTGGGGGTGGAAGATTTTTCCAACCCTAACCTTAACCCTAACCCTAGTTCCAACCTTAACCCTAACCCTAACCCTAACCATAGCTCCAGCCCTAACCCTAACCCCTAGCCCTAAGTCTCACCCTAACCCTAACCCTCGAACTGGTGCAGCGCCACCTCTGGTCAAAAGCGGTATGACACCCCTTTTTGCAAAGTCGCCCTCAAATGACAGGAAATGGCCTGAAACGTGCTCACAATGCATTTTCAACATTTCCAGACAAGTACAACACTTGCAAACACTGACTTTGGCCATTTTTCCGCTCCCATTCATTTTCAATGGGAAATTTTCACTTCGCCATAACTTTTGATAGGAATGTCCGATCGCTGGTTCATTACTATTTCTAGATTCAGCATACCCGAAAATGGGGGGGTAGACCAAATCTCAGCCCGGTTCATCAATGGGAAAGGCAATGAACCGGCATGTCAAAAGTGGCACATACCCCTATATCCTAACTCAAACCCTAACCCTAACCCTAACCCTAACCCTAGCTCCAACCCTAACCCTAACCCTAACCCTAGCTCCAACCCTAACCCTAACCCTAACTCCAACCCTAACCCTAACCTTAATCCTGGCTCCAACCCTAACCCTAACCCTAACCCTAGCTGCAACCCTAACTCCAACCCTAACCCTAACCCTAACCCTAACTCCAACCCTAACCCTAACCCTAACCCTAACCCTAGCTCAAACCCTAACCCTAACCCTAACCCTAGCTCCAACCCTAACCCTTACCCTAACCCTAGCTCCAACCCTAACCCTAACTCAAACCCTAACCCTAACCCTAACCCTAACTCCAACCCTAACCCTAACCCTAGCTCCAACCCTAACCCTAGCTGCAACCCTAACTCCAACCCTAACCCTAACCCTAACCCTAACCCTAACCCTAACCCTAGCTCCAACCCTAACTCCAACCCTAACCCTAACCCCAACCCTAACTCCAACCCTAACCCTAGCTCCAACCCTAACTCCAACCCTAACTCCAACCCTAACTCTAACCCTAGCTCCAACCCTAACCCTAACCCAAACCCTAGCTCCAACCCTAACTCCAACCCTAACCCTAACCCTAGCTCCAACCCTAACCCTAACCCTAACCCTAGCTCGAACCCTAACTCCAACTCCAACCCTAACCCTAACCCTAACCCTAGCTCCAACCCTAACCCTAGCACCAACCCTAACTCCAACCCTAACCCTAACCCTAACTCCAACCCTAACCCTAACCCTAACCCTAGCTCCAACCCTAACCCTAGACCTAACCCTAGTTCCAACCCTAACCCTAACCCTAACCCTAGCTCCAACCCTAACCCTTAGTTAGTTAGGGTTGCAGCTAGGGTTAGGGTTAGGATTGGAGCCAGGGTTAGGGTTAGGGTCAGGGTTGGAGCTAGGGTCAGGGTTAGGGTTAGGGTTGGAGTTGGAGTTAGGGTTGGAGCTAGGGTTAGGGTTAGGGTTAGGGTTGGAGCTAGGGTTAGGGTTAAGGTTAGGGTTAGGGTTGGAGTTAGGGTTGGAGCTAGGGTTAGGGTTGGAGCCAGGGTTAGGATTAGGGTTAGGGTTGGAGTCAGGGTTGGAGCTAGGGTTAGGGTTAGGGTTGGAGCTAGGGTTAGGGTTAGGGTTAGTGTGGGGGTTAGGGTTGCAGCTAGGGTTAGGGTTAGGGTTAGGGTTGGAGCTAGGGTTAGGGTTAGGGTTGGAGTTAGGGTTAGGGTTGGAGTTAGGGTTAGGGTTGGAGCTAGGGTTAGGGTTAGGGTTAGGGTTGGAGTTAGGGTTGCAGCTAGGGTTAGGGTTAGGGTTAGGGTTAGTGTTAGAGCTAGGGTTAGGGTTAGGGTTAGGGTTAGGGTTGGAGTTAGGGTTAGGGTTAGAGTTAGGGTTAGGGTTGGAGTTAGGGTTAGGGTTAGGGTCAGGGTTGGAGCTAGGGTCAGGGTTAGGGTTAGGGTTGGAGTTGGAGTTAGGGTTGGAGCTAGGGTTAGGGTTAGGGTTAGGGTTGGAGCTAGGGTTAGGGTTAGGGTTAGGGTTAGGGTTGGAGTTAGGGTTGGAGCTAGGGTTAGGGTTGGAGCCAGGGTTAGGATTAGGGTTAGGGTTGGAGTCAGGGTTGGAGCTAGGGTTAGGGTTAGGGTTGGAGCTAGGGTTAGGGTTAGGGTTAGTGTGGGGGTTAGGGTTGCAGCTAGGGTTAGGGTTAGGGTTAGGGTTGGAGCTAGGGTTGGAGCTAGGGTTAGGGTTAGGGTTGGAGTTAGGGTTAGGGTTGGAGTTAGGGTTAGGGTTGGAGCTAGGGTTAGGGTTAGGGTTGGAGTTAGGGTTGCAGCTAGGGTTAGGGTTAGGGTTAGGGTTAGGGTTGGAGCTAGGGTTAGGGTTAGGGTTAGGGTTGGAGTTAGGGTTAGGGTTGGAGTTAGGGTTAGGGTTAGGGTTAGGGTTGGAGTTAGGGTTAGGGTTAGGGTTAGGGTTGGAGTTAGGGTTAGGGTTGGAGCTAGGATTAGGGTTAGGGTTGGAGCTAGGGTTAGGGTTAGGGTTGGATTTAGGGTTGGAGCTAGGGTTAGGGTTAGGGTTAGGGTTGGAGCTAGAGTTAGGGTTAGGGTTGGAGTTAGGGTTAGGGTTAGGGTTATGGTTGGAGTTATGGTTGCAGCTAGGGTTAGGGTTAGGGTTAGGGTTGAGCTAGGGTTAGGGTTAGGGTTGGAGCTAGGGTTAGGGTTAGGGTTAGGGTTGGAGTTAGGGTTAGGGTTGGAGCTAGGGTTAGGGTAAGGGTTAGTGTTGGAGCTAGGGTTAGGGTTAGGGTTGGAGTTAGGGTTGGAGCTAGGGTTAGGGTTAGGGTTAGGGTTGGAGTTAGGGTGGGAGCTAGGGTTAGGGTTAGGGTTAGGGTTGGAGCTAGGTTTAGGGTTAGGGTTAGGGTTGGAGCTAGGGTTAGGGTAAGGGTAAGGGTTAGGGTTGGAGTTAGGGTTGCAGCTAGGGTTAGGGTTAGGGTTGGAGCTAGGGTTAGGGTTAGGGTAGGAGATAGGGTTAGTGTTAGGGATAGGGTTGAGTTAGGGTGGCAGCTAGGGTTAGGGTTAGGGTTGGAGCTAGGGTTAGGGTTAGGGTAGGCGATAGGGTTAGGGTTAGGGTTAGGGTTGGAGTTAGGGTGGGAGCTAGGGTTAGGGTTAGGGTTAGGTTGGACTAGGGTTAGGGTTAGGGTTAAGGTTGGAGTTAGGGTTGCAGCTAGGGTAAGGGTTAGGTTTAGGGTTGGAGCAAGGGTTAGGGTTAGGGTTAGGGTTGCAGCTAGGCTTAGGGTTAGGGTTAGGGTTGAGCTAGGGTTAGGGTTAGGGTTGGAGCTAGGGTTAGGGTTAGGGTTAGGGTCGGAGTTAGGGTTAGGGTTAGGGTTGGAGCTAGGGTTAGGGTAAGGGTTAGGGTTGGAGTTAGGGTTGCAGCTAGGGTTAGGGTTAGGGTTGCAGCTAGGGTTAGGGTTAGGGTTAGGGTTGAGCTAGGGTTAGGGTTAGGGTTGGAGCTAGGGTTAGGGTTAGGGTTAGGGTCGGAGTTAGGGTTAGGGTTAGGGTTGGAGCTAGGGTTAGGGTAAGGGTTAGGGTTGGAGTTAGGGTTGCAGCTAGGGTTAGGGTTAGGGTTGGAGCTAGGGTTAGGGTTAAGGTTGGAGTTAGGGTTGCATCTAGGGTTAGGGTTAGGGTTAGGGTTAGGGTTAGGGTTGGAGTTAGGGTTAGGGTTAGGGTTAGGGTTGGAGTTAGGGTTGGAGCTAGGGTTGGAGTTAGGGTTTGAGCTAGGGTTAGGGTTAGGGTTGGAGCTATGTTTAGGGTTAGGGTTAGGGTTGGAGCAAGGGTTGGGGTTAGGGTTAGTGTTGGAGTTAGGGTTAGGGTAAGGGTTGGAGTTAGCGTTAGGGTTAGGGTTGGAGTTAGGGTTGGAGCTAGGGTTAGGGTTTGGGTTTGGGTTGGAGCTAGGGTTAGGGTTAGGGTTAGGGTTGGAGTTAGGGTTGGAGCGAGGGTTAGGGTTAGGGTTAGGGTTGGAGTTAGGGTTGGAGCTAGGGTTAGGGTAAGGGTTGGAGCTAGGGTTAGGGTTAGGGTTAGGGTTGGAGTTAGGGTTGCAGCTAGGGTTAGGGTTAGGGTTAGGGTTGGAGCTAGGGTTAGGGTTAGGGTTGGAGTTAGGGTTAGGGTTAGGGATAGCTATATGCATTTTGTAGGTCGTAGAGCGCTGAAACTTGCATGTTGGGGGTGGAAGATTTTTCCAACCCTAACCTTAACCCTAACCCTAGTTCCAACCTTAACCCTAACCCTAACCCTAACCATAGCTCCAGCCCTAACCCTAACCCCTAGCCCTAAGTCTCACCCTAACCCTAACCCTCGAACTGGTTTCAGCGCCACCTCTGGTCAAATGCGGTATGACACCCCTTTTTGCAAAGTCGCCCTCAAATGACAGGAAATGGCCTGAAACGTGCTCACAATGCATTTTCAACATTTCCAGACAAGTACAACACTTGCAAACACTGACTTTGGCCATTTTTCCGCTCCCATTCATTTTCAATGGGAAATTTTCACTTCGCCATAACTTTTGATAGGAATGTCCGATCGCTGGTTCATTACTATTTCTAGATTCAGCATACCCGAAAATGGGGGGGTAGACCAAATCTCAGCCCGGTTCATCAATGGGAAAGGCAATGAACCGGCATGTCAAAAGTGGCACATACCCCTATATCCTAACTCAAACCCTAACCCTAACCCTAACCCTAACCCTAGCTCCAACCCTAACCCTAACCCTAACCCTAGCTCCAACCCTAACCCTAACCCTAACTCCAACCCTAACCCTAACCTTAATCCTGGCTCCAACCCTAACCCTAACCCTAACCCTAGCTGCAACCCTAACTCCAACCCTAACCCTAACCCTAACCCTAACTCCAACCCTAACCCTAACCCTAACCCTAACCCTAGCTCAAACCCTAACCCTAACCCTAACCCTAGCTCCAACCCTAACCCTTACCCTAACCCTAGCTCCAACCCTAACCCTAACTCAAACCCTAACCCTAACCCTAACCCTAACTCCAACCCTAACCCTAACCCTAGCTCCAACCCTAACCCTAGCTGCAACCCTAACTCCAACACTAACCCTAACCCTAACCCAAGCGCCAACCCTAACCCTAACCCTAGCTCCAACCCTAACTCCAACCCTAACCCTAACCCCAACCCTAACTCCAACCCTAACCCTAGCTCCAACCCTAACTCCAACCCTAACTCCAACCCTAACTCTAACCCTAGCTCCAACCCTAACCCTAACCCAAACCCTAGCTCCAACCCTAACTCCAACCCTAACCCTAACCCTAGCTCCAACCCTAACCCTAACCCTAACCCTAGCTCCAACCCTAACTCCAACTCCAACCCTAACCCTAACCCTAACCCTAGCTCCAACCCTAACCCTAGCTCCAACCCTAACTCCAACCCTAACCCTAACCCTAACTCCAACCCTAACCCTAACCCTAACCCTAGCTCCAACCCTAACCCTAGACCTAACCCTAGTTCCAACCCTAACCCTAACCCTAACCCTAGCTCCAACCCTAACCCTTAGTTAGTTAGGGTTGCAGCTAGGGTTAGGGTTAGGATTGGAGCCAGGGTTAGGGTTAGGGTCAGGGTTGGAGCTAGGGTCAGGGTTAGGGTTAGGGTTGGAGTTGGAGTTAGGGTTGGAGCTAGGGTTAGGGTTAGGGTTAGGGTTGGAGCTAGGGTTAGGGTTAGGGTTAGGGTTAGGGTTGGAGTTAGGGTTGGAGCTAGGGTTAGGGTTGGAGCCAGGGTTAGGATTAGGGTTAGGGTTGGAGTAAGGGTTGGAGATAGGGTTAGGGTTAGGGTTGGAGCTAGGGTTAGGGTTAGGGTTAGTGTGGGGGTTAGGGTTGCAGCTAGGGTTAGGGTTAGGGTTAGGGTTGGAGCTAGGGTTAGGGTTAGGGTTAGGGTTAGGGTTGGAGTTAGGGTTAGGGTTGGAGCTAGGGTTAGGGTTAGGGTTAGGGTTGGAGTTAGGGTTGCAGCTAGGGTTAGGGTTAGGGTTAGGGTTAGTGTTAGAGCTAGGGTTAGGGTTAGGGTTAGGGTTAGGGTTAGGGTTAGGGTTAGAGTTAGGGTTAGGGTTGGAGTTAGGGTTAGGGTTGGAGCTAGGGTTAGGGTTAGGGTTAGGGTTGGAGTTGCAGCTAGGGTTAGGGTTAGGGTTAGGGTTAGGGTTGGAGCTAGGGTTAGGGTTAGGGTTAGGGTTAGGGTTGGAGTTAGGGTTAGGGTTGGAGTTAGGGTTAGGGTTAGGGTTAGGGTTGGAGTTAGGGTTAGGGTTAGGGTTAGGGTTGGAGTTAGGGTTAGGGTTGGAGCTAGGATTAGGGTTAGGGTTGGAGCTAGGGTTAGGGTTAGGGTTGGAGTTAGGGTTGGAGCTAGGGTTAGGGTTAGGGTTAGGGTTGGAGTTAGGGTTAGGGTTGGAGTTAGGGTTAGGGTTAGGGTTATGGTTGGAGTTATGGTTGCAGCTAGGGTTAGGGTTAGGGTTAGGGTTGAGCTAGGGTTAGGGTTAGGGTTGGAGCTAGGGTTAGGGTTAGGGTTAGGGTTGGAGTTAAAGTAAGGGTTAGGGTTGGAGTTAGGGTTAGGGTTAGGGTTAGGGTTGGAGTTAGGGTTAGGGTTGGAGCTAGGGTTAGGGTAAGGGTTCGTGTTGGAGCTAGGGTTAGGGTTAGGGTTGGAGTTAGGGTTGGAGCTAGGGTTAGGGTTAGGGTTAGGGTTGGAGTTAGGGTTAGGGTTAGAGTTGGAGTTAGGGTTGCAGCTAGGGTTAGGGTTAGGGTTAGGGTTGGAGCAAGGGTTAGGGTTAGGGATAGGGTTGGAGCTAGGGTTAGGGTTAGGGTTAGGGTTGGAGTTAGGGTGGGAGCTAGGGTTAGGGTTAGGGTTAGGGTTGGAGCTAGGGTTAGGGTTAGGGTTAAGGTTGGAGTAAGGGTTGCAGCTAGGGTTAGGGTTAGGTTTAGGGTTGGAGCAAGGGTTAGGGTTAGGGTTAGGGTTGCAGCTAGGGTTAGGGTTAGGGTTAGGGTTGAGCTAGGGTTAGGGTTAGGGTTGGAGCTAGGGTTAGGGTTAGGGTTAGGGTTGGAGTTAGGGTTAGGGTTAGGGTTGGAGCTAGGGTTAGGGTAAGGGTTAGGGTTGGAGTTAGGGTTGCAGCTAGGGTTAGGGTTAGGGTTGGAGCTAGGGTTAGGGTTAGGGTAGGAGATAGGGTTAGTGTTAGGGATAGGGTTAGAGTTAGGGTTGCATCTAGGGTTAGGGTTAGGGTTAGGGTTGGAGCTAGGGTTAGGGTTAGGGTTAGGGTTGGAGTTAGGGTTGGAGCTAGGGTTGGAGTTAGGGTTTGAGCTAGGGTTAGGGTTAGGGTTGGAGCTATGTTTAGGGTTAGGGTTAGGGTTGGAGCAAGGGTTGGGGTTAGGGTTAGTGTTGGAGTTAGGGTTAGGGTAAGGGTTGGAGTTAGCGTTAGGGTTAGGGTTGGAGTTAGGGTTGGAGCTAGGGTTAGGGTTTGGGTTTGGGTTGGAGCTAGGGTTAGGGTTAGGGTTAGGGTTGGAGTTAGGGTTGGAGCGAGGGTTAGGGTTAGGGTTAGGGTTGGAGTTAGGGTTGGAGCTAGGGTTAGGGTAAGGGTTGGAGCTAGGGTTAGGGTTAGGGTTAGGGTTGGAGTTAGGGTTGCAGCTAGGGTTAGGGTTAGGGTTAGGGTTGGAGCTAGGGTTAGGGTTAGGGTTGGAGTTAGGGTTAGGGTTAGGGATAGCTATATGCATTTTGTAGGTCGTAGAGCGCTGAAACTTGCATGTTGGGGGTGGAAGATTTTTCAAACCCTAACCTTAACCCTAACCCTAGTTCCAACCTTAACCCTAACCCTAACCCTAACCATAGCTCCAGCCCTAACCCTAACCCCTAGCCCTAAGTCTCACCCTAACCCTAACCCTCGAACTGGTTTCAGCGCCACCTCTGGTCAAAAGCGGTATGACACCCCTTTTTGCAAAGTCGCCCTCAAATGACAGGAAATGGCCTGAAACGTGCTCACAATGCATTTTCAACATTTCCAGACAAGTACAACACTTGCAAACACTGACTTTGGCCATTTTTCCGCTCCCATTCATTTTCAATGGGAAATTTTCACTTCGCCATAACTTTTGATAGGAATGTCCGATCGCTGGTTCATTACTATTTCTAGATTCAGCATACCCGAAAATGGGGGGTAGACCAAATCTCAGCCCGGTTCATCAATGGGAAAGGCAATGAACCGGCATGTCAAAAGTGGCACATACCCCTATATCCTAACTCAAACCCTAACCCTAACCCTAACCCTAACCCTAGCTCCAACCCTAACCCTAACCCTAACCCTAGCTCCAACCCTAACCCTAACCCTAACTCCAACCCTAACCCTAACCTTAATCCTGGCTCCAACCCTAACCCTAACCCTAACCCTAGCTGCAACCCTAACTCCAACCCTAACCCTAACCCTAACCCTAACCCTAACCCTAACCCTAACCCTAACCCTAGCTCAAACCCTAACCCTAACCCTAACCCTAGCTCCAACCCTAACCCTTACCCTAACCCTAGCTCCAACCCTAACCCTAACTCAAACCCTAACCCTAACCCTAACCCTAACTCCAACCCTAACCCTAACCCTAGCTCCAACCCTAACCCTAGCTGCAACCCTAACTCCAACACTAACCCTAACCCTAACCCAAGCGCCAACCCTAACCCTAACCCTAGCTCCAACCCTAACTCCAACCCTAACCCTAACCCCAACCCTAACTCCAACCCTAACCCTAGCTCCAACCCTAACTCCAACCCTAACTCCAACCCTAACTCTAACCCTAGCTCCAACCCTAACCCTAACCCAAACCCTAGCTCCAACCCTAACTCCAACCCTAACCCTAACCCTAGCTCCAACCCTAACCCTAACCCTAACCCTAGCTCCAACCCTAACTCCAACTCCAACCCTAACCCTAACCCTAACCCTAGCTCCAACCCTAACCCTAGCTCCAACCCTAACTCCAACCCTAACCCTAACCCTAACTCCAACCCTAACCCTAACCCTAACCCTAGCTCCAACCCTAACCCTAGACCTAACCCTAGTTCCAACCCTAACCCTAACCCTAACCCTAGCTCCAACCCTAACCCTTAGTTAGTTAGGGTTGCAGCTAGGGTTAGGGTTAGGATTGGAGCCAGGGTTAGGGTTAGGGTCAGGGTTGGAGCTAGGGTCAGGGTTAGGGTTAGGGTTGGAGTTGGAGTTAGGGTTGGAGCTAGGGTTAGGGTTAGGGTTAGGGTTGGAGCTAGGGTTAGGGTTAGGGTTAGGGTTAGGGTTGGAGTTAGGGTTGGAGCTAGGGTTAGGGTTGGAGCCAGGGTTAGGATTAGGGTTAGGGTTGGAGTCAGGGTTGGAGCTAGGGTTAGGGTTAGGGTTGGAGCTAGGGTTAGGGTTAGGGTTAGTGTGGGGGTTAGGGTTGCAGCTAGGGTTAGGGTTAGGGTTAGGGTTGGAGCTAGGGTTAGGGTTAGGGTTGGAGTTAGGGTTAGGGTTGGAGTTAGGGTTAGGGTTGGAGCTAGGGTTAGGGTTAGGGTTAGGGTTGGAGTTAGGGTTGCAGCTAGGGTTAGGGTTAGGGTTAGGGTTGGAGCTAGGGTTAGGGTTAGGGTTAGGGTTGGAGTTAGGGTTAGGGTTAGGGTTATGGTTGGAGTTATGGTTGCAGCTAGGGTTAGGGTTAGGGTTAGGGTTGAGCTAGGGTTAGGGTTAGGGTTGGAGCTAGGGTTAGGGTTAGGGTTAGGGTTGGAGTTAAAGTAAGGGTTAGGGTTGGAGTTAGGGTTAGGGTTAGGGTTAGGGTTGGAGTTAGGGTTAGGGTTGGAGCTAGGGTTAGGGTAAGGGTTAGTGTTGGAGCTAGGGTTAGGGTTAGGGTTGGAGTAAGGGTTGGAGCTAGGGTTAGGGTTAGGGTTAGGGTTGGAGTTAGGGTTAGGGTTAGAGTTGGAGTTAGGGTTGCAGCTAGGGTTAGGGTTAGGGTTAGGGTTGGAGCAAGGGTTAGGGTTAGGGATAGGGTTGGAGCTAGGGTTAGGGTTAGGGTTAGGGTTGGAGTTAGGGTGGGAGCTAGGGTTAGGGTTAGGGTTAGGGTTGGAGCTAGGGTTAGGGTTAGGGTTAAGGTTGGAGTTAGGGTTGCAGCTAGGGTTAGGGTTAGGTTTAGGGTTGGAGCAAGGGTTAGGGTTAGGGTTAGGGTTACAGCTAGGGTTAGGGTTAGGGTTAGGGTTGAGCTAGGGTTAGGGTTAGGGTTGGAGCTAGGGTTAGGGTTAGGGTTAGGGTTGGAGTTAGGGTTAGGGTTAGGGTTGGAGCTAGGGTTAGGGTAAGGGTTAGGGTTGGAGTTAGGGTTGCAGCTAGGGTTAGGGTTAGGGTTGGAGCTAGGGTTAGGGTTAGGGTAGGAGATAGGGTTAGTGTTAGGGATAGGGTTAGAGTTAGGGTTGCATCTAGGGTTAGGGTTAGGGTTAGGGTTGGAGCTAGGGTTAGGGTTAGGGTTAGGGTTGGAGTTAGGGTTGGAGCTAGGGTTGGAGTTAGGGTTTGAGCTAGGGTTAGGGTTAGGGTTGGAGCTATGTTTAGGGTTAGGGTTAGGGTTGGAGCAAGGGTTGGGGTTAGGGTTAGTGTTGGAGTTAGGGTTAGGGTAAGGGTTGGAGTTAGCGTTAGGGTTAGGGTTGGAGTTAGGGTTGGAGCTAGGGTTAGGGTTTGGGTTTGGGTTGGAGCTAGGGTTAGGGTTAGGGTTAGGGTTGGAGTTAGGGTTGGAGCGAGGGTTAGGGTTAGGGTAAGGGTTGGAGTTAGGGTTGGAGCTAGGGTTAGGGTAAGGGTTGGAGCTAGGGTTAGGGTTAGGGTTAGGGTTGGAGTTAGGGTTGCAGCTAGGGTTAGGGTTAGGGTTAGGGTTGGAGCTAGGGTTAGGGTTAGGGTTGGAGTTAGGGTTAGGGTTAGGGATAGCTATATGCATTTTGTAGGTCGTAGAGCGCTGAAACTTGCATGTTGGGGGTGGAAGATTTTTCAAACCCTAACCTTAACCCTAACCCTAGTTCCAACCTTAACCCTAACCCTAACCCTAACCATAGCTCCAGCCCTAACCCTAACCCCTAGCCCTAAGTCTCACCCTAACCCTAACCCTCGAACTGGTTTCAGCGCCACCTCTGGTCAAATGCGGTATGACACCCCTTTTTGCAAAGTCGCCCTCAAATGACAGGAAATGGCCTGAAACGTGCTCACAATGCATTTTCAACATTTCCAGACAAGTACAACACTTGCAAACACTGACTTTGGCCATTTTTCCGCTCCCATTCATTTTCAATGGGAAATTTTCACTTCGCAATAACTTTTGATAGGAATGTCCGATCGCTGGTTCATTACTATTTCTAGATTCAGCATACCCGAAAATGGGGGGGGTAGACCAAATCTCAGCCCGGTTCATCAATGGGAAAGGCAATGAACCGGCATGTCAAAAGTGGCACATACCCCTATATCCTAACCCTAACCCTAACTCCAACCCTAACCCTAACTCTAGCTCCAACCAAAAACCTTAACCCTAACCCTAGCTCCAACCCTAACCCTAACCCTAACTCCAACCCTAACCCTAACCCTAACCCTAGCTGCAACCCTAACTCAAACCCTAACCCTAACCCTAGCTCCAACCCTAACCCTAACCCTAACTCCAACCCTAACCCTAACCTTAATCCTGGCTCCAACCCTAACCCTAACCCTAACCCTAGCTGCAACCCTAACTCCAACCCTAACCCTAACTCCAACCCTAACCCTAACCCTAGCTCAAACCCTAACCCTAACCCTAACCCTAGCTCCAACCCTAACCCTTACCCTAACCCTAGCTCCAACCCTAACCCTAACTCAAACCCTAACCCTAACCCTAACCCTAACTCCAACCCTAACCCTAACCCTAGCTCCAACCCTAACCCTAACCCTAACCCTAGCTGCAACCCTAACTCCAACACTAACCCTAACCCTAACCCTAGCGCCAACCCTAACCCTAACCCTAGCTCCAACCCTAACTCCAACCCTAACCCTAACCCCAACCCTAACTCCAACCCTAACCCTAGCTCCAACCCTAACTCCAACCCTAACTCCAACCCTAACTCTAACCCTAGCTCCAACCCTAACCCTAACCCAAACCCTAGCTCCAACCCTAACTCCAACCCTAACCCTAACCCTAACCCTAGCTCCAACCCTAACCCTAACCCTAACCCTAGCTCCAACCCTAACTCCAACTCCAACCCTAACCCTAACCCTAACCCTAACCCTAGCTCCAACCCTAACCCTAGCTCCAACCCTAACTCCAACCCTAACCCTAACCCTAACTCCAACCCTAACCCTAACCCTAACCCTAGCTCCAACCCTAACCCTAGCCCTAACCCTAGTTCCAACCCTAACCCTAACCCTAACCCTAGCTCCAACCCTAACCCTTAGTTAGTTAGGGTTGCAGCTAGGGTTAGGGTTAGGATTGGAGCCAGGGTTAGGGTTAGGGTCAGGGTTGGAGATAGGGTTAGGGTTAGGGTTAGGGTTGGAGTTGGAGTTAGGGTTGGAGCTAGGGTTAGGGTTAGGGTTAGGGTTGGAGCTAGGGTTAGGGTTAGGGTTAGGGTTAGGGTTGGAGTTAGGGTTGGAGCTAGGGTTAGGGTTGGAGCCAGGGTTAGGATTAGGGTTAGGGTTGGAGTCAGGGTTGGAGCTAGGGTTAGGGTTAGGGTTGGAGCTAGGGTTAGGGTTAGTGTGGGGGTTAGGGTTGCAGCTAGGGTTAGGGTTAGGGTTAGGGTTGGAGCTAGGGTTAGGGTTAGGGTTGGAGTTAGGGTTAGGGTTGGAGTTAGGGTTAGGGTTGGAGCTAGGGTTAGGGTTAGGGTTAGGGTTGGAGTTAGGGTTGCAGCTAGGGTTAGGGTTAGGGTTAGGGTTGGAGCTAGGGTTAGGGTTAGGGTTAGGGTTGGAGTTAGGGTTAGGGTTAGGGTTGGAGTTAGGGTTAGGGTTAGGGTTAGGGTTGGAGTTAGGGTTAGGGTTGGAGTTAGGGTTGGAGCTAGGGTAAGGGTTAGGGTTAGGGTTGGAGTTAGGGTTAGGGTTAGAGTTGGAGTTAGGGTTGCAGCTAGGGTTAGGGTTAGGGTTAGGGTTGGAGCAAGGGTTAGGGTTAGGGATAGGGTTGGAGCTAGGGTTAGGGTTAGGGTTAGGGTTGGAGTTAGGGTGGGAGCTAGGGTTAGGGTTAGGGTTAGGGTTGGAGCTAGGGTTAGGGTTAGGGTTAAGGTTGGAGTTAGGGTTGCAGCTAGGGTTAGGGTTAGGGTTTGGGTTTGGGTTGGAGCTAGGGTTAGGGTTAGGGTTAGGGTTGCAGCTAGGGTTAGGGTTAGGGTTAGGGTTGAGCTAGGGTTAGGGTTAGGGTTGGAGCTAGGGTTAGGGTTAGGGTTAGGGTTGGAGTTAGGGTTAGGGTTAGGGTTGGAGCTAGGGTTAGGGTAAGGGTTAGGGTTGGAGTTAGGGTTGCAGCTAGGGTTAGGGTTAGGGTTGGAGTTAGGGTTAGGGTTAGGGTAGGAGATAGGGTTAGTGTTAGGGATAGGGTTAGAGTTAGGGTTGCATCTAGGGTTAGGGTTAGGGTTAGGGTTGGAGCTAGGGTTAGGGTTAGGGTTAGGGTTGGAGTTAGGGTTGGAGCTAGGGTTGGAGTTAGGGTTTGAGCTAGGGTTAGGGTTAGGGTTGGAGCTATGTTTAGGGTTAGGGTTAGGGTTGGAGCAAGGGTTGGGGTTAGGGTTAGTGTTGGAGTTAGGGTTAGGGTAAGGGTTGGAGTTAGCGTTAGGGTTAGGGTTGGAGTTAGGGTTGGAGCTAGGGTTAGGGTTTGGGTTGGAGCTAGGGTTAGGGTTTGGGTTAGGGTTGGAGTTAGGGTTGGCGCTAGGGTTAGGGTTAGGGTTAGGGTTAGGGTTGGAGTTAGGGTTGGAGCTAGGGTTGGGGTTAGGGTTGGAGCTAGGGTTAGGGTTCGGGTTAGGGTTGGAGTTAGGGTTGCAGCTAGGGTTAGGGTCAGGGTTAGGGTTGGAGCGAGGGTTAGGGTTAGGGTTAGGGTTGGAGTTAGGGTTGGAGCTAGGGTTAGGGTTAGGGTTGGAGCTAGGGTTAGGGTTAGGGTTAGGGTTGGAGTTAGGGTTGCAGCTAGGGTTAGGGTTAGGGTTAGGGTTGGAGCTAGGGTTAGGGTTAGGGTTGGAGTTAGGGTTAGGGTTAGGGATAGCTATATGCATTTTGTAGGTCGTAGAGCGCTGAAACTTGCATGTTGGGGGTGGAAGATTTTTCCAACCCTAACCTTAACCCTAACCCTAGTTCCAACCTTAACCCTAACCCTAACCCTAACCATAGCTCCAGCCCTAACCCTAACCCCTAGCCCTAAGTCTCACCCTAACCCTAACCCTCGAACTGGTTTCAGCGCCACCTCTGGTCAAATGCGGTATGACACCCCTTTTTGCAAAGTCGCCCTCAAATGACAGGAAATGGCCTGAAACGTGCTCACAATGCATTTTCAACATTTCCAGACAAGTACAACACTTGCAAACACTGACTTTGGCCATTTTTCCGCTCCCATTCATTTTCAATGGGAAATTTTCACTTCGCCATAACTTTTGATAGGAATGTCCGATCGCTGGTTCATTACTATTTCTAGATTCAGCATACCCGAAAATGGGGGGGTAGACCAAATCTCAGCCCGGTTCATCAATGGGAAAGGCAATGAACCGGCATGTCAAAAGTGGCACATACCCCTATATCCTAAACCTAACCCTAACCCTAGCCCTAACCCTAACCCTAACCCTAGCTCTGGCCCTAACCTTAACTCTAACCCTAACCCTAACCCTAACCCTAACCCTAGTCCTGGCCCTAACCCTAACCCTAACCCTAACCCTAGCCCTAACCCTAACCCTAGCCCTAACCCTAACCCTAACCCTAACCCTAGCCCTAGCCCTAACCCTAACCCTAGCCCTAACCCTAACCCTAATCCTAGGACAGTTAAAAATTAAATATATTAATTTTAAATAAATAATTAATTAATAAATAATACATAAATAAATACATTTTAATAAATACATGGGATACAGATCATTATTGTATAGTAAAGTGTTAAAAGTAATTCATAGTTAAGGGCTTAAAATTTAAAATTTAAAAGGGCACATGATAATAAAATAACAAAATTCATTGTATTTATTTGCCAGAGACTATAAAAGGGAGCAGTGGGTTGGGCTTAATCATTTCCACTCAGAAGCTTGAAGAGAGAACATCTTTATAATTACCAGCCAGCATCTTTTGTTTTTCATTTCAGAGAGAGTTTTTTTTGTTTAGTGAGGTGTGCCAGACCTGAAGAAGACCCACAACGGGTCGAAACGTCGTCGTGGGCACACAAATTTCATTTGTACATAGTTTTTTTAAAAAAAGTTAAAAAAATAACAAAAAAATTAAAAAATTAAAAAACTTGATAAAAACTTTAAAAACATCTAAAAACATTTAAAAATATTTAAAAACAGTTTGAAATTCATTTTATTTTTACATTTTGATTAAAACAATCAGCATTTTATTTTAAGAAAAGTTTAAATTTTGAAAGTTAAGTTTCCTTTGTTTACACAGATAGGTTTCCTTTTATAGGTAAAAATCAGTCTTTTATTTCTTTAAACAAATCAATATTTAAAATAAATAAAAACATTTCAATAGCCACTCCAACATGAGTGGCTACAATCAGGGCTGGACGGAAGTCAGATACGGCCGGAGGGCTCGACGTTTCCGCCAGCAGTCTTGGGATCGTAGGGACGGGTACGGATGGGGGAAGGCCAGCGCATTCCCCGCTCCTTATGGGAGACGGGACAGAGTCCCTTCACCTAACCCTAGCTCCAACCCTAACTCCAACCCTAATCCTAACCTTAGCTCCACCCCTAACCCTAACCCTAGCTCCAACCCTAACCCTAACCCTAACCCTAGCTCCAACCCTAACCCTAACCCTAACCTTAGTCCCAATCCTAACCCTAACCGTACCCCTAACCCTATCTCAGCCATTGCCCTAACCTTAACCCTATCCCCAACCATAACACTAGCTTGAACCTTCAACCCTTTACCCCAACGCAACCCTAACCCTAGCCCTAGTCCTAACCCTAACCATAGCCCAAACCCTAGTCTCAACCCCAACCGTATCCCTAACCGTAACCATAGCCCCAACCCTAACCGTAGCCGCAACCCTAACCCTAGCCGCAACCCTAACCCTAACCCTATCCCCAACCCTAACTCGAGCTTGAACCGTCAACCCTAACCCTAACTCAACCCTAACCCTAACCCTAGCCCCAACCCTAACTCAACCCTAACCCTAACCCCCCTAATTCGCCACTGGGGGATACGCTGTTTGAGCCGTGCTTCATCACAGTGACTCTCGGGGACTCTGCTGCCTAACACGCACAATGGGACTGTGCAATATCATTACCAAGAGCTTTTCGGCTAGCAAGGTGAAACCAAGTTGTCCATAGTATATACAGTCTATGAGCCCCCCACACAAATACACACACCTACATACAGTAGACATACACATCAAACATTTCCCTCCCTTCCAGCGTTGCTATTTACCCACTTAACAGCGTTACTTTTCCTTCTCCCTTCTCTGTTGGATAGGGTAACCAAGGTTGCACACTTAGAGCTCTATCAGTTTCCAAATGAGGAAACAGAGTGCGTGATTTCCATGTGTAAAATAGGTGGGTATGGTGGGTCAAAGTGGTCACATGATGCAAGAAAAATTAATTCCCTTGATGCTTGCCATGAATTCCTAAAAAATAATGCTCCATTGATTTTTGTAAAAACTTAGTCAAAATGACAAAAACTTACAGAAAAAGGTCTGAAGGTTACAAATGGTAAAAGTTGTTTAAATGTGAATAAATTAGTTTATTTTCCAAGCTTATGTAAAGGATAATGCCCACTGGGTGGGGCTAGCTCAGTATCTATATTTTGTGTTGTTTATGTGTGTTTTTATGAAGGAGTAAACTAATCTTCAAAATTTTCTCAGTTTTTGTTTTTGTATTTTTCAAACTGAAAACAAAACAAAACAAAACAAAACAAAACAAAACAAAACAGACTGTGTACTTTAAAATATAAAATTACTTTGTAATGAACCTTTTCCTGATTCTGTGGGATTTAAAGCCTCACTAGCACACGGCTTCTTTCAACAAGGTAGCCTACTATAAGGCAAGGCATCCATGGCCCATATTAAAAGCATAGTGACACCTCACTTAGTTTAGGAAACATGGAAGTAAGGTTCTGGCAGTGTGCCTGATTGGTACAAAGCAAAAGCAAGACAAATTTGACAAGAAGGCTCCAACAAGGGGCTTCGGAAAGATGACAAAAAAAGGAGATTCAGTGCTTTTGCTAGCTATTTTTGATGAAAGTGAGGAATTACTAACTTTGGCAGCTTAGTTTCCACTGTGAGTGAATTTTCATAGAAGGCAAGAAAAGATAGAGATCTTAGCTGAAGTCCGGGATAGTTCTACTCAGTAAAAAGATTTTGTCTTAAACCCTGAACCCTGACAAGCAATAAGATGACGTGTGTCTCTTTTGCATTGCATGACCAGTTTTGCAAAAACAGAGAAACACGAGTTAACGTTAAGCCGTGCGACTGTGGACCAGTTTTTCCAGTGCTCAAGTGTGTCCCACAGGTAGCTCTTTTTTTTCTCCATAATTTAATCAACATGAAGAAAATCAAGTTTGTGGACACTATGCTCTATGTGGAGGTATTGCACAAAGCACTTGGTGTCGATTCCATCTTACACGGGTAATGTTCAAAAAGGCCTACACATCCTCATTACTCAAAAAATGCAGTGGGACCAACATTGTAAGTTAAATCTAGCATGCATGCTTTGATTGTGTAATAGGACAAAACAAAGCACTCAGATAAATGATTTAATGTTCAAGTTGTGAGTTCAGAAGCTCCCAGCACTGCCACACTCTGTCTGCCATGAAAAACATTTACATCGTCAGCCAATAAATAAAACGGATGATGCTCTTTGGTTACATTTCTCTACCAAGCGCGCAGTCATCATGGCCTGACCATCTGTTTATTATAGGCATTTTGCAGTAATGACTCCTCGGTCTCCTGAGCTGCGACCTCAGAGATAGTGAAGAGAGGAGAGCAATCAAAGCCCATTCAGTTCTGCTCCAGTCATTTGCCCACACTCTAAAAGCTATCACTGGGTGCAGCAGTAAACATTTTGCTCCTCGGCACTCCTGAGACGTGCAGTCAAAGAGGATAGCAGCTATCAGTCTCCTTCACGGAGGAAGCCCGTGTGAATACTTTCTGTGGGCTGAATACAGTGGAGACCGCAGGATACACACAATAGTCCTTGGAGCTGAAATGGAGCTGAAAAACCACATTATTCAACAGGAAGAAGAGTCTACTAAAGGATACGCTGCTGAATTCCCCCAGCCTCTGTTGTGAGACAAACCCATGTCGTTTCTGTGTCTATATGCGAGCCAAGCTGTTTGTGTGTACCTTTAAAAAGCACACAGAGACACAAACAAAATCCTTTTGAGTCCTTTGAAATGAAAGCGTTATCTGGATGTATCTGTATGTACTACTTCAGTCAACACTATTCATATGCAGCTGATGTCTAAACTGAGACCTTGAGCCACACTGCTGGCTGCTTGTAGAGCTTCTTTACATTTAGGAGACACCTGGTATGAATTTGAAGCACTGACAGGAAAAGGTACAGGACTTTCCACTTCTGCTGCAATGGCCAAACATCACTTTATCATTGGTGAACACCGCCCTCTTGTGGACATTAAATGAGCTTCACTTGCGCAGACTGCATCCAAACAGAAAAAAAAACTCCAACATATTTAAAGAGATATGAAAAGAGCTGAGTCTTTGTCCTCTTTGTTTTCATTAATTTATTTCTGATAAAGGACATGAAGGCTGCATCGTTTTTGGTCCCCCCCCCCCCCCCCCCCCCCCCGCACAGGACTATTTTTGCACCATGACATGAAATCTGAGCAGGCATAACCACCTTTTCTCTCACTCACACCCACAACGAAAGAGAAACAACTAGGAGAAAGAGGGTATATTTTGCAGGCATGTAGACTTGAAGTGTCTCAGTTTGCTTGGTCAGGACAAATCCAAAGGGGGCTGACCACTTATGTCACTGGAGTTTTTTTTAGGGCTGCAGCTCCTATGATGCTCACCAGCAGCTGTTGTGACTGTTTGTAAGTGCCCAAGTGCGCATGTCTGGACTTTCCCACTTGTCTGATCGCACAACTTTGTCCGGTAAGCCAACAACTCTGTGTATTGCATTGAAGGGATTGATGACTGCCTACTTTTAACAGAATGAGAAAAAAAGGCTGAGACTAGTGCTGAACAGTAATAAATGTACAAGAAAAGGCCTAGAGGTTGAAAATGGGCTGTAAGTAGTCATTGTTGACAGGCTGTTGTGTGTGTTGGGCCTACAGTTACATTGTGTGTGCTAGAAAAGCTGATCAACATTACAAGAACTAAGTGAACAGATAGAAAACATTTAAGATGGCAGAAAGAATTAAAGTGGGGAGGAAATTTTATTGACCTCTGACTTGATAGCAGGGGTTGCCACTGTAATCTAAAGTGAAAGAATTGAAAGAAAACTTTACATGTGAAGCTAATCCTTAATTTTTTTCAGGAATTCACAGTCAAAATGACTCTTCAGTGGACAGCTGTGGCTTTCTTCCTCTATGCAGAGATAGCTGTTAACCTCATCTTGTGCATACCCTTCATATCAGCAAAAAGGTACTGATTGAGCCCCGCCCACTTCTATCTATCTATCTATCTATCTATCTATCTATCTATCTATCTATCTATCTATCTATCTATCTATCTATTTTACAAAAACCCAACATTAGGTCATCACATTTTTTTTTAAATCAAAAGAAGTCCTTCCCAACTGCGTGATAATCAATGAGTTTGAAATTGACAGTTCACCCAAACAACCAGCAGAGAGCATTGATACCCTTTCTTTTCAAATATCATCTCTATGATGTGCTGGTGAAACTCAGTGTCCTTTTGACCTACTTTCTAGATGGCGCTCTGTTTTCAACTTGGGGATATGGAATTGGTTATCTCCATACTGGAATAAGTGCTTCTTCACAATGATCATGGTTCTTATTGTACTTTTTCTTGGTAAGCAATCCGCTGAGTCATAGATAATCTGCTGAGTCACTGACATTTATCAGCACACACAGGCAGTCCTGGCTAGAGGCGGTCACGTTTCTGTCCCCTCTGTGGTCCCTCAGATGCTGTTCGTGAGGTGCAGAAGTACTCTGGTCCTGAGCCCATGCACGATGCCAAGGTGAACCCAAATTTGTATGACCATGTCCACATGAAGCTGTTCAGAGCCCAGAGGAACCTCTACATATCTGGTTTCTCCATCTTCCTCTGGGTGTAAGTGTAATTTATTTCCACATTGATTCACAACAACAGAGCACTGTTATTCAAACTGTCGAATAATACTTTTAATTCTCTTTCTCCCCACCTTTCCTGTTTCTGTGAGCACAGTATCATGCGTCGAATTGTCACCTTGCTAAACAAGGTTGCTGTCACCTTGGAGGACACTGCAGATCTTCAGGTGCAGATTGAAAATGCTGTCAAAGCAGCCAATCAGCACCAGGAGGACAACCTGACACTTAAACAAGTTAGACTTTTATCAGTTTGTTATTAGTGTTGTGTTGTGTTAAAAGCTACTCTTGCATCTATTGTGCACATATCTGCTTAACAGCCCATGTGAGGTGAAAAGCTTGAATGCTATAATATCTTACTAGTGTTTTTTAGTTTCTTTGATGTAGAAATGCAAGAGTCTGACTGCCATCATCATTCAAACTACTGAAAAGTCAAGTAACAGTGAAATATGTTACTATGTTAATATGTTATGCTAAAACAACAAAATTAAGAAATGACTAGCTACTATCAGACAAAAGCTGCCATTAGCATCAATATCCTAGCCTATGAAATAGTACATGTGCGTCGTACTATTAAAAGAAATCTTGGAAAAACACAAAATATGTGTAACAATCTCATCTGACTGCAGCTAATGTTAGCAAATGTGCTAGTTTGAACATTTTTAGTTGCTTTTTGTACCCTTACACCCTTTTGCCTTACTTTAAAACAACTTCTTTAGCTATTTTAGCATTCAGCTATTTTACTGCTAGCAGTGATTTTAGCTCAAAGGAGGAGGATGCTTGCACCAGTTGCAGCTTGATAGTTGACGGGTTGTTGTTTTAAATTGTAACGACTTCTCCTGATTCACACTAACCATTTTGTTTCCAATGGCAAACAGGTAACTGATAGGTATAGGTTCCTAAAACTTAAAATCCAAAGACACCGCACTACAGCATTATATTATACTGTACTATGTGGTGTACCTTTAGTACCACATTATGCTATTGGGGGCTTATCTTCAATAGTGCACAGGCATTAAAGCTATATTTTTCATAGTGTTGTTTCAGCAATATTTTCTAAGAGTTGACATGTCTACTGTTGGTAATTAAAGGGACCCGTTTGTCCTCAGGCTCTGCTAGATGAGGAAAGATCTATGTCAGCAAAAAATCAACAACTAAAGCTGGAGGCAGGGAGGCTGGCAGATCAAGTGAAGGTTGCTGAAGAAGGTCAGTAATCACCTTGTGCCTTTTAAAATCCTAGGACTATTAATAATTAGGGAACCTTTAATGAGGGAATAAGCTCTATATTAAACACTGGGCCACATGCTGCAGTGTAAACCCTTGAGTAAATAAATCAACCTCTGTTTGTCTGTGTAGCTGTGCGCAAATCCCAGGCTGAGGTGGAGGCCATGAAGAGGCAGGCCAAAGGTCTGGCACAGGAGTATGACAGACTATTGAGGGAACACCACCAACTCCAGGTGAGGATACACAAAAACACGAACACAAACAAATACATGTTGTACGTTTACACAATTGGAGAGGTTGTATTTTTAATACTTTTCTCCATCCACAGAACCAACAAAGTCCAACAGACAAAAAGGATCAGTGATCCCAAAGACACAGCAGAGCTCCGCTGAATTTTTCCACAGAGACCTTTTCCTGTGTGCAATAGGCTGAATTTTCTAAAACCATTCTCTTGAACTGAAAGCATGTAACAAACATATATGTGATGAACAGTATCATAAAATGTTTTCAAGTGCTGTAAATACTTTTCAACTAAAGTCTTTATCATGAGCAGAGAGTATACACATTGTTCTTAATTTATTGAAATAATTTGGAGCTATTTTAATTTTGTGTGAGGGACTTTGTTGATGCTTACAGCTGTACACAGACTGAGCAATAGTTTGATCTGAGATTTGAATGCATGACAGACGTGTCCTCCTAGACAAAATGGGTAAATGCTGTATATTGTAAGTTGTAGTATAGTTGAAGTAACAGTTGTATAGTAGAGTCCTGGTATTTCTGTTGTCTTACCACTTCGCTTAGAATCCTTTATACTCAAAATTTAGCAAACTACTTTTTTGGGTTGATCCTTTAATTCTTCAAATCTGTGACATGATAATTTGTTTGTGGCATGAAGATAATAATAATAAAAAAAGATTTTTTCACTGTCATGCTGCAATCAATCATGGACAGACGCCAAAATGTTTAGTGTGGAAATGATCAGTGATATTTAAAGATATATGATGGATACTTTCTTTATCCAGATTACAGTTTATAGCCTACAGAATATAAGAAATCCACTCAAACTGTATGAATTTTTCAAATGACCAATTCAAAATAAGGATTTATTACACAGAAATGTCAACCTTCAGGATAATTGTGTTCATTTACAGTATGCTCTCATTATTGATCTTAGCTCCTTTTGCATGAATTATTGCATCACTGTGATGTGGCATAAAGGTGATCTGTCTGCAGCAGGAGCCATGTGCTGCTGGAAAAGGACATCTTTATCTCCATAAAGCTTCTTAGCAGATGGAACCTTGAGGTGCTCCAGATGGTCCTCGCAATCACACTTTTTCGGGACAATCTAATTTTTCGAGGTGCACCTGTAATCCTACTGATAAAAAAACCTTTGTGTTACACTTAGACAAAAAGAGTTTTCCACTCTCTGCTGTAATGGGTTGATCTTTGATTAGGCAGTATTTGTCTCTTAACTTCATCTCCTTTTTGACCAAGTTTGCTGTGGGAAACTCTTAATTACTTCTGTACAACCACATTCAGAATTTCTCCCATAGGTAAAACTGCCTACAAAACTGTACAAAAAAGCCAAACTATTAACATCAAACTGACATGGTGGTGTTTTAATATCTCTTTAAGGCACTTCAAATATTCACTGTAGCCTTTTATGTCATTTGATCAAATTTATTCATAAAAATGATGACAACATTATAAAATACAGCACAGGTACATTTTTTTTTTCAGTTTCTACAAAAGGTTGTAATTCTCATGAAAAACACATCAACAGACATGTGTACATTTCAGAAATAAAAATTAAAAAAATTGTATGTCTACACAAATCCTGTACAAATATTTACTGAATGTGCTACGAAAGTGTCCACAGTGATTCTCTGTACATGCGATGTGCTCTATGGAACTTGGTCAAGCGAGACATGGTTGTGCTAAGGCTCATAAGCGCGTTTCCCTCTCGGGGTTGCGATCTGAGGTGGGTATGAACTGCTCACAGTTTGTGAAGCTACTGTCCTCTTTCTGAAGTGTCTCTAACTCTGCACTCCCATTAGTTAGAGCGTTTATCTCCTCCCTCTTAGTGTGTCTTTTGAGGAGAGCAAAGCCTGGGATACAGAGGAAGAAGGAGATTGTTCTCAAGCCTAATGTCAAGCCCAGGTACACTATCCTGAAAAAAGAAGACATAAACAGTGGTTAACCTCGATGAATTTTACTGTAACACTTACAACATATGTTGTATAGATTAAATAAAAACATGCATATAACTTTGTACAAAATATTTGAGTGCGCTTTTTACAAATAAAAAAGCAAATTTTGGAGCACAGTTTTTCTCATCATAGGACACAACAGGAGTCCTTAGAGTAAACTATCTCATTTGGGGCTTTGGTTAAGGTCACCTTCAGCAGATGCATTTTCAAAGTAATCTCTAATCTCTAAATCAAGATACATAAAAACATGGCCCTGATTCAGCCTCCAGCCTTGTGCCAAACATGCTGTATCATTCATATCATTTCATCTTACCATTTGTAAAGGGTAGAACAAGAGTACCTTTACATATTTTTGTTTATACTTTTAGTAGGATAATTTGGCTGCAAAGAAGACACGCAACAGCCTGGATGCTTTTAGATTTAAGTATTAACTCTCGGGTCAAGTACCTGACATCCTCGTGAATAATGCATACAGAATTTTACAGCAACAGCTCTATGGATCAAATTACCTGTAAGATGATGTGTTATATATTCTGCATGCTCCTCTTCCTGCACACATCTTGTATCCCCACTTGAGGCACGTTGTGTCAATTATGGCTCCAAAGTATATTGGTGCAGGGATTCCAGCTGTTGTGCAATTTACACAAGTTTTTAAATGGAGAGATGCTACAAGATGATGTAAACATTGTAAACACTATAATATAGGAAAATGTTAATGAGTTTGTCTTATTTAGTCAAATAAATTCAGGCTTTCTATTTCAGTACTTTGGCTCACAGTCAGTCTTATGAATGTCAGCTCTAAGGAGATTTGTGAGTTCTTGACATTTACTTTAAGAGGACCATGAAAAGAAACCACGAAAGACAGTTCTCACCGAGTGTGCGAGTGGCCAATGTGTGGATTCCAAGAGCAAGGGATTTCAGCTCCGGTTTAATGCACCTACAAAAACAGTAAGGAGAGGTTAAAGGAAACTTTTATGCCACACAAAAAAAGGTGACACGGAGATTGATGTCATGTAAAGGCTAGGAATTACTTTGGAAGTTGAGCAACTCTATAAAGTGAACTCAAATTTTGGGGTGTTTTGGATTTGTGTTAAAAGTCTCAACTGATGAGACTGAGAGGGCTCTCACAAATTAAAAAAACAGCAGGAACTACTGCCTGTCCAAAAATGACCAGATGATGTATTGCTACAACAAAGGACTGCATATAAAATATGAAAAGCAATTCCAATATTTCAGGCAGGTCCACAAAGAAGGTTTTTGGACAGACCTGACAAGCAGCACAAAGCCAGGTGTCCCCCCTAGAGAGATGATGAAGGAGCTGACCACAGACAGAACCAGGAAGTATGGAAAGATTTTGTCACAGCTGTCTCTGCGTGGACACTGGCCCAGAGTGGCTGTCAGGTTGCCTAGTTGGGTGTCAGCCAGTGCTACACAGGTGCAATTATCAAACACCTGGGAGAAAAAAAAGAGTTTATCATTGATGGATAGTGCAGATCCACCAGACATCAGCAACACTGGACAGCAGAAAACAATGTATCATAGGCATGCTGCTGTGACATAACATGACTCCAGCACCTATAAATATCAGTATTCGGGATACTTGCACAAATCTGATATAAATAACCAACATTTTTTATCTTTTCTGCAAAACTAACCTTCAACAGTCTGTGCAGGATATTAGGACTGGGATAGAGGACGTAATCAAGTGTCTTTAGATGCTGTTATCATTATTCGACTGTACAGATGATCTGTTGAAATCAGAACTGTCTTCACACACCAAGTGCGGGTAAAATCATTCGCATGAATTTATAGACGTGATTAGACGCTCCTGCTACTCTGGCGGCGCGAATGACGTGAATTAGGCGAAAGCTGAAAATGTCTCAACTGGAGCAGATATTTGTGTTGCAGTAACTCAGTGGTTCTCAATTCCAGTCCTCGAGCCCCCCCATCCTGCATGTTTTGGATGTTTCCTTGCTCCAACACACCTGATTCAAATGATCAGCTCGATATTAAGCCATTTCAGAGCTTGATAATGAGCTAATCATTTGAATCAGGTGTATTGGAGCAGAGAAACATCCAAAACATGAAGGACGGGGGGGCTCGAGGACTGGAATTGAGAACCACTGCAGTAACTGATCAGCCAGAAGGTTGCTAGGTGACGTATGAAAACTGACTGTTTTTTACTTGTATCTAAAATAGAGGACAAACTGATCATGTCGGTGTGTGGGTGATACCTTTTCTTTCAACCGGAATAAAAAGGACCTTACCTGGAGGCAAGTGAGTGAGGAGGTCGGATTACCTGGTAAATTGTAAAAAACCTTTAATTATCACTTGATACTGCCGGTTGAATTGACATGGATTACTGTTGAAATTACCATTGACGCGCGACTGAAGCGAGTAAATACTATTCATTCACGTGTCTAGATTCGCGTGAGTAAAGCGAGTAGAGGATTTTACTTGCGCTTGGTGTGAGCAGCCCGTAAGTGTTAGGAGGAAGTAGGAGACAATAATGGGGCTTTATATTTTATGAATAAGTGAATGTGGAGGCCTTGTGATGTAATCCAAGCGGTATATCCGTCTTGTTCTGTAGCTGTATGAAACAAAAATCTCCATTTCAAATGTTTCTTTGAGTGTGCATATAGTGATCTTCTGACAGTGTGTGAGAAAGTCGACTGTGTGTATCTGACCGTATGTCTGCCAGAGCCAGTAGAAGAGGTGCATCCAGCCCAGCACGGCGACACATAGGTGATCCCGTTCTCTCCACACACTGGGTCCCAGTCCCTCTTTGAGCACAAGCAATCCGAGTTACACTGAGAGAAGAGAGACTGCTCCTGAAAAGCCAGGCCCTCTACCCTGCGTGTGACAACATGAAGAGAAAATGCATATTTTATCGACAACTCACATGAAAGACACATCAGATGTGAAGACAAGAAAAGGCAAGAAAAGACAGAATCCACAACCCTATCACCTATTCGACTTCGACTGCAGCGAAATGTGTGAAGACTTCACATACCCGGTGTACGAGACCGTGATGCCTGCCACCTTGGAGTTCTCACAGCCCATGGCTAAGAAGAAGAGCGACAGGAAGTAGCCCAGCAGGGAAGTCCCTATGGCGAATTTGGCTGCCCCCATGATACCCAGCCTATACTTCTTCATGATAACTCCTCCTGAAAACATCCCAAGGGCCACTGCGGGGATGTTGATCATGCCTATCCAACATGAAGAACACACCAGTTTCTTATGGGGTAAGTTGATCAGGAAACAATGTGGACAGGCAACATCATGTCAACATCAAAGTCTGATTCATACTGAAGTAGAATAATGTAAAGTTGATGTAAAAATAGATAGTTAAGAGAATATGGACACCTTTCTTTTAATCAAATACCCTCCACTGTCTCCAGTATCATCAAGTTGCCCAAATCTTTCGTCTCATTAATCCATTTCCTCAAAGTTCATATTTTCATTTTGGAGACATCAAAGATTGTGGAAAACCTTGTTGTCGCTTTAAAGCTGAAGCATTTACTTGAGCGCAACGTGCGACTTGGAGCATAAAAAATTCATCATAAGCTCTCTCATGAAACAGTTATGATGACTGTCCAGCTCTCATCACTTGGCATCATTAAATGTGCCTCTCTCAGTGAAGAAACACAGGTTTTCAAACATGCTTGAAGCTCATTTATAGATAAAATAACCACACAAAGTCCACCCGGACAAGCTCAACATCATGAATTATCCACACATACTGCTTACCCATGAGGAAATTCGCTTTGGATGCTGACTGGCCGTAGTGCTGCTCGATGTATTTGGGTTTGTAAGTGACCATCCCGATGAGGGAGTTGAACTGAATGATGGTGATGCATAGGTAGATGATGTACACAGGGTTTCCAAGGAGACTCTTCAGTGTGGGAACAAATTCTGTGTGGGAGGAAGTTTATGAATATCATATGCGATGTGGATACATCTTTGTGTGTGTATCTAAGCATGTCCTCTTTATATGTCCACAATGAATCATGACATTTACAACAAGCATGCAATTTCTCACACTCGATCTTCAACCATGTTGGAAGCTATAACTAAAGACACTCTTCCTCGCTGCAGAGGGAGGAACATGTATGTATGGAATCTGCAAATAGCACTAAAACAGAGTGACTTTCTGACAAAGTAAAATGCTTAAAAATGTCTACAAATAGGGTTTTTCTTTCAACAACATTAGTGCTGAAGTTTCTTTTAAAGAAGCTACATTATGTAGTAAAAGTGACCCTGTGTGCAGCAGCAGTTGCTGCCGCTGGGCCAGCCAAGCCAACCTGGACCCCCTGTATTTCCTCACAAAAAGAACTATCCCTTTAACTGGTTATGCTCCATCTATTTTTTATGAGCTTAATGTCATCTTGGCCACTTGCAGCTGTAATCATAATACAAGGGAGTGACGTTAATAACTGTTTCACCAAGAATTCAATTTCTATTTCAATCCAGGTACCAGGTAGAAGATTTAGCATAAATGCAATCCAACCATTGTGTGATTTGATAAACTTCTAATAAAATTCGTTGTGGGATTTACAGACTAATTCAAAATTATATACGTGCAGAAGAAGCTGAGAAAATGGCTCGAGTTTTTTATGCATCAGGATGCTTCTCCCCCACAGCTATTTACAGATGCAGGTACTATACATCATTGTGTGTCCTTTAGCTTTATTTATAGATTCAGTCTTCACCACTTTGCAAAATTCCACATCCAACCCCTATAGGGCTCCCTCCCCCAGATGGTTATATATTTTCAGGCTGGGAAATAAATGTCATGCCAACTTTTTGGCAATGTAAGGTAAGCTGAGTTACTCTGAAAAAGCAAGTTGAATGTCAGGCGTGTAATGATCTCTTCTCAGAGATTTAGCTTAGTCCAGCTTAAAACCTTTGCTTACCCTGAACATAATCCTGACCTGAAAAACGATCTGGTCGGACAGAATTTGCCAACCTTTTTATGAACTTTAGTTTTAACTGTGCAATGAATAAAACTCATTAAAACTGAAAAAGGGAATTGTTCCTCTGCAGAAGAAACAATGTGCTTTGATCAAAGAGCCTATAGCCGGTATTTCATGCAGCTATAATAACATTTTGAGGCAGTAAAGGTCTCTCTGAAAAGCAGTTGCAACAGAGACTCAGGAAGCAGCAGCAGCAGAATGGAAAATAAGAACTTGCAACAAGATTCAACTGACGGCATACAGATTACCCCCCTGTAATAACTCTGTGTGTGTATGTGTGTGTGTGTTTGGGGGGGAGTATATTCATACCTTTGGCCATTTGGTGTAAATTAGTCGGCTCTTCAGGTCTGAATTTGTGCTCCATGGTTGGTGAGTCTTTGATGAACCTGGTTTGCTCTGGAGTGCAGCTGGTGTCGTGTTTTTCCACAGGCATGGGGAGAGATTTTGGCAGGAACCAGAAAGGAACGGCAGATACGAGGGTGATGGCACCAGCAATTAGATAGCCCAGCCACCAAGCCCCCACCCAGCGGGCATCACCGGGGGTAATAGTCACTGTCTCTGCAAGGAAAAGAGGTTTATTATTATCATAGTGTGTAGAATGACTTTACTTTCTTTGCTCATCAATCAGAATATTTCCATTTACGATTATCGTATGGCAAATGCATTTGTAAAGATAAAACACACACAGATGCGGTTTCAAACTGATTTACATGGGCTATAAATGTAGAGCTCTGGTAAGTGTTCAAACACACATCTCATAACATGAATGGATGGAGAACACTCTCTTCGGCAGGGCTGGTGTGTCTTTTGAAGATTTCACGTCTGTCATGTTGAACAACTAATCATTAAAAGCCAACTGTCTGCAGCTGAGTGTTTGTGTACTGCTGTGCTGAAATATACAGCAACAACAAGCCGGGCACAACACTGTTATTTAATCACAGCTTACCCACCCATATCCACATAGCCAATGTCAACGTAGATCTTTGCACACAGCGATCCCAGCAGGTACCCAAAGACAGGGCCAATGATGGATATGGTCTGAACGCAGCCTGAAAGTTAAAACAAAGGCAACAGCAGCGGAGTTGGTGGGTTCACCTCAGAGTGGTTTATTGCCTCAAACCTAAACATAAATTCATGTTGTAAACTTATATATGCATACAGCTTTAAAAATATGTGGTCTGTTATGCAGATATCCATGGTGACAGATTCTTATCAGCCAGCTTTGGGGCTGAATTGACATCAAAATTAACATTTCAGGATCCAGTCACGGTCAAACATTAACCTGCTTGTTATAAATCACATTAGAATGAACATTTCCACTGAGGGTTTGTTAGACAAGGTCAACAGGACTTCTCCAAGAGTATTAATGTTGACATTTCTACTCTCATTTAGCGTTCCTCTCTCCTTGGACTTTGCAGTGAGTGTACCTTTAATCATAAATTAGGAAAATTTTAACATTAACTCTTCCCACATGATTTAAACAAATATTTTGTGCCAGCTTGTCCATGTCTGCAGCTGGTAGGCTGGTACTAAGCCTAGTTATAGGGTTTTGCTCACCTGTCAAGCTTCTGGTTTGCATAATCACCTTAAGTCTGACCAATATAGTCCCAAATTATCTTTCCTTAACACTCTTTGCTACAGAAACTGTGCTACCTGAGTTAATCAACTTGAGCTGTGTTAATTACAAACATAAAGGGAAGTGGGATATTTTACCAATGTATAAGGCAGCATTCTCTGATTGTGCATAATCATCAATGTAGGAGATTCCCAAAGGCTGAACTGGAGTTTCTCCGATCCCACGCAGGACATTTCCGAGAAACACGTAGATCCACATCGAGACGCTGGACTCTCGCTCACAGCCTGCAGTTCCAAATAAAACAGGACACATCAGATACCAGTTTATATTTTGAACTTTGACAAGTTAACAAAACATTGAAATTAATCAAAATAAACTTGATCTATGCCCAACATCCTTCACCAATAGTGATAAAGGGGTTTTGTTGGATTACCACAAATCATGACAAATTTGTAGTCATTTGTGTGACTGCCTCAGATATTTAAAAAAAACTTATTTACCAGGAAGTTACTGTGAATGTTTGGGAGAAGCTTAATAAGCAGTCTCATCTTACCTCTAGAGGGCAGTATAGAGGGCCTGTCACCTGCTCTGGTGGACTCAGGTGAGCTTGCTGGACATGGAGAGAGGTTATTGGTTGAATTCACTGAAGATCTAACTGATGTTTCGATCTTATAGCTGCGTACAAAATACCAATGTGACTGTTAAACAAGGGAAGGAGAAAGCATCAAGTATTGTTAGATACTCACTATGTGAAGCACAAATTCATACATCAGAGACTACAGCTCCCAAAAGTAAAAGAAAAAGAGTCTTTGAAAAGGCTTTAGGTTGCTTAAAGAATAAAATCAAAGAAATAGGTGAACAGTAAACTATAATGCCTACACACAGACATGACATGTAGCCTACCGTCCAATAATGAAGTGAGGCATGGCGATTAAGAAAGTCCCAAAAGACATCAGGACGCATCCGATTGCTATGATTTTGGGACGATGAAGTTTGGCGCCAAAGTAGCTCACAAAAGCAATCACCAACAAATTCCCTGAAAGACGAGAGGAGGAGAAAATGAAAACAAGATGAGACAAAGGCACCAAACATGAGAGTTTTGTTAGCTGCACAACTTTGTTACATAGCTGAATGGAATAACAAAGACCCAGAGTAAGTATGGCTAGGCCTGTGGTCATTTAGTGCAAGTAATACACCACCAGGTCTTTTATTTACACTAGATTCAAGTAAAATTGAGAGTGGATAACAATGTAGTCAATGAAACAGCTCTACAGTCATGGTGAACACTGTCTTTCCTAAGTCCTAAAATTCAGGGATGTCCCAAACTTAACCTAGCCAGTGCTATTTCCTTAGAATATTTGTAGTAGATATGTCATATAAATATTTACGTCCAATGAATAAAACAGTTTGGGTAGAAATATGGAACATTCTGGTAGAAATCTCTATAAGAGACAAAGCCTGAGGAACTCAATGTAGGATTCTACATTGCTTAAACATTATCCCCCAACTGAGACATGGGATGAATCCAAGTCTGACAGAAATGTGTAAAAAACGTTAAGTTGAGGTGGGAACCTGTAGGCACTAAGTCTGGTCACGTATCCACATTGAAGATTACTGGGGTTTGCAGTGATCTGAGCCAAATTTGAAAAGTAGAGAAGGGATGGGAGACAATGCGTTGGTTGCGAACACATCTAAATAAAAAATGATGGACTGACTGATGTTATATCTGAAAGTTTAATGTGTGTTTGGTTAGCAAATTAGGTGAAGTCAATTCTGCTACCATTCAGCCATTCACATTTGCCTAGAAGACACTATCTCTCAGATAAAAACAAGATTACAGTATTGGTTAAACTGTTAAGCAGTTGGATTGGCTGTTCACTAATATGTACAGCTTGCCTCCCATTGTCAGATGTGAAATTAAAACACTAAAACACTACCTCAGTGGTTGCTGTCATGTTGTGCTGGTAAAGCTGAGGCATGTGTAGAAACATTTTGGCTAGTGAAGCCGTGGGACTTGAAGGCCACATATACAGATATTTTGGAAAGTATGGTGTTTTCTCTACAATTTAGTAAATGGAGTTTAAGGTCACTGTGGGGTTCTTGGAAGTTGTTGAAAACACTGCTCTGAGGGCAAAACTCTGACTTTGAGAAACTCTGACTTACTTACATGGAATTGTTGTTGCAAATGCTCTGAGATCGTAGCTACTGGTTTGCTTAGATCTGTGCTGTTACATATAAATGAATGTTCATATGAAAACTTTGCTGTTTTACATCATTTTACCGTGTTCCAGAGGCAAATAAATACAAAGTACTCAACAGTTTTTAATTTGCAGAACAAGGAATTGTACTTAACTCAAGAAAAAACGTCTATAAAAGGTCAGAGTGAGTTGGCTTTACTTGGAGCAGCTCCTGCATGGTCATTGATTTTATACTGTCTCCAAACAGTACCGTTGCTTTATTTAAGGTATTTGCATGGATGGAAAAGTAGTTTTTCCATTAAAACTGTACAGTCTTATTGAAAAGTTAGAATGATTTCACTGATACACAGTGTTCATACCTATTATACTTTCTCACACGTCTGCATGTTCAATCCAGTCGCTGTGGACTAAGCTCAGTTTTTCACTCGATATTTGTGACGGATGTCTGTAATGAGTCCTCAACCTGTTTGTCATGAACACCATCGACAGTCCTGCCAGATAAGTCTGTAAGGTTTTAAATTCATCATATACTATTTATAAATATGTGTGTATGTGTGTGTATGACATGTGCCTGTGATATTTCAGTTTTTCCATTCAGTATCAGTCTGCTGTGCTAATAGACAAACCCTTACAAAAAAAGACCTTTCTAAAGGAGTCTACATCTGTAGCTTCAAAGGATTTCTCGCTCATTAAAAGTCAATTAGATTTGGGACCATTGTGACTATTCCGAGCTCAAAGGGGATGCATGGATGCTATAGAGTCAAGCTGGCTGACATGCTGAGGACACCTTTTCGGCTTACTTGCATTAGCATCTAAATGCTTCAAAACGTGCATGAATAGAGCACAGAGAGAGGGAAATAAAAAAAAATGGGGATGAAAAAACTCACCTATTTCAAAGCTCCCATCTATGATGCCAATCAGATAACTGGGAATCTCGAACCGCCTTTCCAGTTGTGTTATTGTGCTCTTCATGTAGCTGCCGGATAATGCTTTGGCAAAGTAAGCGAAGGACAAGGCAGCGAGAAACATCTGCAAAGAGACAGAGAAAAATAATATCCCTGAAAAACTTTTGTGATCAAATTTAACTGTTACAGTACTTTTTTTTCATTTATTAGTCAGTGTGGAAACAGCTCTCATTATACACCTTGATTTTCACACCCCAGAGTCAACAAAAAGCAGTCATCAGAGAATCCACAAACGAAAGGAAGCATAAAAGGAGAGTCAACGTTCAAAGGCTGAAAAATAAGGTAACCAAAAAAATGTACGGACCTCTGAATTTATGCCAGTTTTCTCTTATTTAGTATACATGATGTGAATTTGCAGTACAGCTACACCTCTGCAAAAAGAAAGCTATCAATGTGCCATGAAAGCTTGTGCCAGAGTGTACTGAGGCCCCTCTCCGACTCTTTGCAAAGCCACCTGTGGAAACTGAAAGGCACCAACAAAGAGAGGATTAGCGCCAAGGCAGGCTGGATAGAGGACCCAATCCCACCAGGACACTGACACATCTCACCGCACAAGGAGCTGACAGACCTACCAACATGCTACATAATTAGAAACAGATGAGAGGTGACCACAGCTCGCACTCTCAGGGATGAAAATAGCTCGACCACGGATGAGACATGCGTGCCACCAACCAATACACGTATGCATGATTCTATTTCTCTTAAAACCTTCAAAATGTGTTTAACTGTTACAGTACTTTTTTTTCATTTATTAGTCAGTGTGGGAACAGCTCTCATTACACACCTTGATTTTCACACCCCAGAGTCAACAATAAAGCAGTCATCAGAGAATCCACAAAAGAAAGGAAGCATTAAAGGAGAGTCAACGTTCAAAGGCTAAAAGTAAGGTAACCAAAAAAATGTACGGACCTCTGAATTTATGCACATTTTCTCTTATTTAATATACATGATGTGAATTTGCAGTACAGCTACACGTCTGCAAAAAGAAAGCTATCAATGTGCCATTAAAGCTTGTGCCAGAGTGTACTGAGGCCCCTCTCCGAGTCTTTGCAAAGCCACCTGTGGACACTGACAGGCACCAACAAAGAGAGAATTAGAGCCAAGGCAGGCTGGATAGAGGACCCAATCCCACCAGGACACTGACACATCTCACCGCACGAGGAGCTGACAGACCTACCAACATGCTACATAATTAGAAACAGATGAGAGGTGACCACAGCTCGCACTCTCAGGGATGAAAATAGCTCGACCACGGATGAGACACGCGTGCCACCAACCAACACACGTATGCATGATTCTATTTCTCTTAAAACCGTCAAAATGTGTGTTCGAATGTGAAAACAATTCATGAAAACGTCAGCTGAGTTTCAGGGTTCTTTTCTAAGTTTATGGAGTATTATATTTACTTCAACACTTGGAATGTACCTAAAAAAGCTGTGATTACAATTTCTGTTCCTTTTGGCTATCTTGCAGCCTTTAAAATCTTTTTTTTTTTTTGGAAAAACTAATGACTTTAAAACTTTGCTTAGAGTTCCAATATAGAAGTGTAATTATCCATTGAGCTAGTAACAGTTTCATAACCAAGCAGTTTCTCAAAACAATGTGCTAAAAAAAAAAAACAGGTAGCAACATTTAAAAAGCCTGGTTTCACAGCAATTCAATATTTTTTGTTGACAATGTGAAACCAAGCTTAAAGACACTTCTGAAAATTCTATTTTAAAAGTCCAAGAGAGTTTTCTTGAGGAGGGTATTTCTGAAGTCAAGCCCTCAGTTAAAGGCCATTAAAACTAGAAGCAGCCTAACCACATTTCCTGTGGGACGGAAAGAACTTTGACGGTCTGAGAATTTGAGTCAACATGGACTCCAGTCTTTGCTATTCAGTATTTAGGCCTATGAGTACCATTTCAGACCCCTGCTGATTTTTTCTAGAAATATTACTTGTTGAAATGCACGTGTCAGCGAAACAGATAAAAAAGAGTATTAAAAGCTTTACTTATGAACATCTTAAAAAAGGTTTACAAAGCGCTGGAACATCCCAGAAAAACACAAAACAAATAAAAAAAAAACAGAATGGGAAAAAATTAAACAACATTAAAATCCAACCAACAAATACAATAAGAACCCAAAAGCAGAAGAACACGGGCAACACAAACCCCATCAACATAAACCAAGATAAAGAGAACCAAAAATGTGAAAGGATTCATGTGATTGACAAGGGAGAACAATAAAAAGAATGAGCAATAGAATGAGATGAAAATTATACAGAGATAAAAACATTAACCAAAGATAAAAGCAGCAGGATTAATAAATAAATACATCAAAAAGAGAAAAAAAGCATCAGAATGAATAAATTAAGCCAATAAAATAAATAAGTCACACAACAGTAATAAAAGACAGAAAAACATTAGAGGGGAAAAAGCATTAAAAAGCACAAGAAACAGAGGCAATAGAATAAGTAGAATACAGCAATAAGATTAATCAAAGCCATAAAAGCAATAAGGAGAGATAGAGAGAGAAAGGAATTGAGAAAAAAAAGGTCAAAAGTAATAAGAAGATAAAAGGCAGTAAAAGACGACTTCCCATAAAAGAAAGTCTATAACAGAGGATTTAAAGAAGGCATTTAAAAGCTGCCCAGACTATCTCCTCAGACAGGTGTTGTCAGGAGAGGAGCCGTGACAGCAAGAGCATGGTCACCTTTAGTTTCAAGTCTTGACTTTAGGACAACCAGAGGCTTTCCAAGAGAGGATCTAAAGCAGACTCATGTGGCGTCAACAATCCTTATATGTAACTTTAAGCCACACCGATATGAAAGATAATATAAGATAAACCTTTATTCATCCCATGGTGGGGGAATCAATTTAACACCAGTGGGGAGCCAATGTAGTGCAGATAAGATCATTTTGTGCTGTAATCGTGTTCAATAAGAAGCCTAGCGTCTGCATGCTGTGAAGAAGAGTGTGTGGAATGAAGAATAAAATTGGGCCTGAAACTGAACCCTGTGGTACACCAGAGGTAACATTAGTCCTTCAGGGAAGATCTAAAGGATTCTGTACAAGGTAGGGTAAAACTAAGAAAGTGCAGTGTCGCTGATGTCCATCCAGTTTTTAAGACTTTGAATATAATGGTGTGTGTGTGTGTGTGTGTGTGTGTGTGTGTGTGTGTGTGTGTGTGTGTGTGTGTGTGTGTGTGTGTAAATAATCATGTATCATCAGCATAACAATGATATTTCACATCATGATGACTGTTTTTCAAATATGATATAATACATTACAATACATAAAACAATAAAATAATATAAGGCTGAAAATTTTAGCTGTTTTGGTTGTCTGCCTGTCTGAAAATAAACCTTTGAACACACATTTCCATGGGAGCATTTGTGCAAAGTGAAAATAACTATTGTGGTTCTTCAATCAAAAATCTGCTTACACAAAACTAATGGTTGATCAGTAACACCAGCTAATAGAGGCATTGTTGTGTAATCAATCAAGAGTCAGTGACATGTGCCTTAAAGTAGGCAATACATATCAACTACTTTTCTATTCAAACCGAAGCTTACTTATCCACTCAAACATCAACTTGACATTTTTTACTCTTAATGCAGATTTTAGCTCGGTTAATACTGGCCTTAATCATCCCCTTTCACTTTGCATCATTTTCATATGACAGGGCTTGCAAAGATCAGAGATACTCTCTATACCAGACTAAGAATAGACAGCTTACATATTGACTATAGGTAGATTTTCTAAGGCCTCCCAGTAGCCTCTCCATAAGAAGAAGAAAGAAAACACATTTTCACATTAATGGCTGTGTGTTGAGTTATTTTGAGGGAACAATAAATGGTGAGATACTGTTTCACTGAAAAAGACTCATCCATACCAAAAAGAGTTTTATGTCTGACAAAAAAACCCATGAAAACTACACATACACCCAAATGGTGAAGTAGCATTATCACAGCCGGCTTCAAAGTTGTCAAAATGCACAGACTTTAGATGAAAACGAAAATTTAACCTAATTTCTCTTTGACCCAGATCTCGTCTGATCAAAACAGAGCTGAGAGAGAAGCTTAAACCTTAAAGATTATCCAACAATACCATGCCATGAGAGTATTATGCCAAAAGAAAATGTATTTCTCAGAATTCATTTGACCAAATCAACACTAACAGAATCTCACATTTGATTTGCAGAGAAGGTTTCTCAAGTCAATGAGGGGCTGAGAAGGACCAGAGGAGCTATGGTAACCACCTGGGTGGTCTGCAGCTGATTAATAATTCTCATTTACAAGAGCAGGCTTTTCTAATGTCAAGTGCATAATGACCCTTCATACCACACAATATACACTGAGAGGATGTAATGCTCCTGCAGGAATGCTGAGGCATGATGCCTCTCATGTGACTGCATTGATAATGTTAACATGGGTTTCAGGGAACTTCAAATCTCATACCAGCATCATGGCTTTGGGGTTTGGCAAAATGCCATCACTTGAGGGAACCTTAACCACTTTTATGCAAAAGTGTGATGTGTGGTGAAAATTGTACTAATTGTAAGGCCTGTCACTTCTCAACGTAAAATCCAAAAAGCTCCAGTGCACATGTGGTGGTTTTAGCTTTGTTCATGATGTAACAGAGGTACAATCAAAACATTTGAGTTAATAAAGCAATTAAATTCTGGAACAAGAAAGATCATTAAAGGAGGATAATAAGTGCTTTTATAGTTATCACCATATTTTGAATGGAAATGGGTATTTCTTACTAAACATCACCTATCAGTACTTGCATGTGTAATTGAATTCATAATCAGTTAATATAATAATTACAATGTGGGCTCAATACTCATGCAGAAAACTGACTATTGCAAAACATGCCAAAAGCAGACAAAGAGCCTTTCACTAGATAAAATGGATGTTGCATCCAAAACACAGCACTGTGAAGGTCATTTCAGGATTATCACAGCAGAAAATTCACATGGACAGAAAGGCAGTAAAAGTGGAATATTTGTTTCCTGCTGTATTAGCAAGTATTTCTCTAAGCAGCTTTTTCTAACGTTTCTTTAGTGTGCTTCATAATCCAATAAAGAGGTTCAATCTCCATTCTGACCTTTTCACTGAGGCACAAACTTTGTTTAAGAAAAATTTCACAACTTAATACCGGGTCCAAAGGGCACAGAGAGCTGCCACACTCAGCCCTTCACATGGTCATTGAGAAGGCCTACAAGAAACATACACCATGCCCGACAACTGTAAGCAGAGATCAAAAACTCATAGACTTATTTCAACACATACAGATATTGGTGAAACACTTTCCAGCTTTTTCAGCTCAATTTGCCAGAAAAAAAGGAGCTTTTGAAATGACCTAATTGAAAAGTAACAGTCGAGCGGAAATGCCTAAAAATGCTGAAGCAAAACACAACTGATGTGTTAAAAAAGGGTAACTCAAGGGTTAGGGTTCCAGGTGAAAACTATGTAAATAATGGCCATATTTTTCACCAACCATCAAAAAAGCCATCTACCATAATACTATTGAAACAGTGAAACAAAAACTAAAGCCCAAATTCAAGACATGCAACTGAGATCCCATATAGAATAAAAATGCCAAAGTTTATAAGAAAGGGTTTTATAGTTGTCTACCTTCAGGTTGGGGTGGCAGGAGTTTCTCACAGCGGAGGAGGTGGGGTTGTTTTCTGGTGTCCAGCTGCCAGAGGCTGTGTTATCCATTTTCATCCAGGCAGTGCTTCCACTGTATTTGTGTCAAATGTGCTTTCCTGTTGGATGGATGTCTTACCCCAGCTGTCCTCACCCACACCTGTAGAACAGAATTGAGCAGAATCTTGGATTTAGAGAACGCTATACCCACTGAGCTAAACAATTGTATTATCAGTGACGACACGTCATCACTTTTCTTTGATTAGAAAATGTTAAACCAGTTCATAACAAACGTGTGCAGTCTTAAGTGTGTTGATCTGGATGCAAGAACAAACTATTGCATTTAGATGGTATCTATAAACTTCAATACTTTTACACATGTATGCTGCATGCCTACATGAATTACTCATCAATCACCAGTACTTTATTCGTGAAAGTTTTATAGAGACATGGGGAAAAAAAACACAACAGTGATTTTATCACACACAAAGGCTCTCAAATATATCTTGAGGTCACACAGATCAAGTTCTAGGATAAAAATTATCACAGTTTTGAGTTATGTATGTGCTTATGTATTATATTGTATAATATTGTTCCATACTGTGTTGAGACCAATCAAATACTGTATTATCATACAGTGTCACAACATTATGTATTGTGTCAATTTTGTTTTATTGTGGTGCATTTAATCAAATTATAATTTACCTGTATCATACTGTATTATATTGTATTAAATTGTATCGCATTGTGGCATATTGTGTCCTAATGTATAGAGAGTCCACCAGCATTGCCCACCCCTTTTACTGAATGTGCTTGTCTAGCATGAAAACTATGGTAACTAAGCAACTACATATACAGTATATTGTTGGCCACTTCTTGTTCTTCTGCTCTAGTTGGCCTTGTGCTACTGTCTCCCATATTGTTGTCCACATCTTTTTGATCAATAGAAAAATGTTCTTCATAACAACAACAATCCTTTATCCCCCCACAGACTGAACGCAGTAATTGAACATTGGCCTGTGCTGATGATTTAATTCAAAGAAAAAGAATCTGATCAATACTGCTTGTAGGGACTATTTTTAAGGTAGTACATGCTATGCCTGAGAATTTTCTAGGCCTTAATGACATATATAAACCACAAGTAGACTGACACTGTAGATAAACTGATAAACTCCAGAAAATTTCAGCATGAACGTATCTGTTTACCATTTTTAGCAAAGTTTGCTTGCAACATGCCTGAAAACTCTTAAAGAAGGCATAATTGTCGTAAATGTAGACATCCATGAAAACATAATAAAAAACAAGGCAGGCACAGGAGACGAAATTATTTCCTTTTCACTGCTGACATAATTGCAGGGCGTGTTTATTTCATGCGCAAAATATTTCAAGTAGATGCTTTGACATATAATTTTGCATTTCTGACAGAAGGCAAATCTAATTTAACATGTGGGTCAAGTGTGCCTTCATCAACATTACAGAGCACACACACAAACCTTTTGTGATATAGGCAAGCTCCTGCATGAGTCAGTGAATACAGCCATGTAAATCCTGTAAATTCACACTTTTATACCAAAGAGAAAACTGAATGTGCTGGTAATGTAAAGGTTTGAAAGAATGAGTGACATGAAGAAAACATCTGTGAGAGTACAAATACAGAACGAGAAAATGTGTACCAGTTGAAGATGTTCTTTGAAGATTAGAGTTAGTTACCCATAATTCCCTTCTTTGAACTTCTCTGCATCAACAAGAAATTCTAGTTTAGAAGCACCTGCACTGTTTAACACTCTGTACAATCACTATTAGCAGGTATCATCATTAACAGTGCCTCTGTAGCTATAGGCGCTTCTCTTGTTACATTTCAGATGAAAAAATGTTCTGAGGAGAGGAGGTATTTTTCCATAATGTTCAGCTCATCATCTCTTATACATCTGTTATACGGCACAGACGACGGTGAGATCGTTTGAGAAATGGTAAAGGTCAATTTCAAGAGGAATCATTACAGTGAATAATTGATGAAGGGAATATATCCATAGTGTGAGTTCAGTAATGTCACCAGTGGTTTCATTGGGTGATAAATTACAGGGTCTGTGAGACACAAGTAAAGCCTCACAGGTGTGTTTCAAATTTGTCCATTTCATCTTCACTTTAAAATCAGAATTTTGATGCTCTTTTGTCCTGACTTAGTAGAAGAAGTGACAGCCAAAACCAAACATGATAATAATGATGATAATAATCAGATATGAAGAAAAATATCAAATGTATTCAAATTTGTTCATCTTGTAAACATTTGTTCCAAGACATACTGTACGCAAAAAATATAGGAGGAGTCTGAGTCTGGGTGTGACCTGCAGACTTGTCTTAGAAATAATGAAATAAAAAGAGCTTTAAATTTTTGGATGTCATGTTGATGGAGACATCTAGAATTCCAGAGAGCGGGGCTGGGCAAAGAACAGAACTGTGACACACTTTTGAAGCCAGACAGCTTGTTCAGTGACACGACAAGTCCCTATGGATCCCTCCTCTGGGCACAAACCACACACACTGCTTTTGAACTCTGCAGCTGCGGGAGATGACATAAGGGTTTTCATGTTCATCTGACCTGAACAAACAGAATTTTGGCAACAAAAAAAGTCTGTAAACAACAATACAACAATGCGCTCCATATTCCTCCGAAATGCATAAAGGAGTTCTTTGTTTTGATTTAGCAATTAGGAGTGCAAAAAGAAAAAAAGGATCATTCATGCAATCGTATCATCATGCAGTGATATCATTACACTTTTGCTATTGTCTTCAACATCCAAAGCCAACAAGGACCAATGTGATGTGTTTTGTTCCATTAGTATCTAGCTGAGTGCGTATGCTCCAAAACTGGGACACACCCCCTTTAGTACAGACATACTGCATTGTCTCCAGATACACTGTGGATTTTAGACTAGACATCCTGTTCAACACAGAGTAAAGAGAAAGAGGGAGGGGTGAAGTTATGTGAAGGTGAGTGAAGTTTTTTCCCCATCTCACATGAACATTGTGTTCAGACTCAATGAAATGCACCACGCTGAACAATACATACAAAATATTACAGAGCAGCTGCATTCACAAACTCCACGTTTCTCTCTGCAGTTTGAACAGTCGCATGAAATGATAAAATCTACATCTTTACAAAAAACACATCAATGCTGTTTTCTAAAAAGATGAATGGCTGTCCTTTAAATATCTTGACCTGCTTTCTGATCACATTCTTGGCACTAAAGCACAAGTGTTTTGCTGCTGTGTGACCATTGTCCCCAAAAGCACAAAGGTGCAAACTACTACACACTTACTACAGGGTGGAAACTCTTAAAAGACAAAGAAAGTTTGGAGTTTACAACCACCACACTGGGAATAAACTTGTTCTGAGTGTAAATACAACATTCTCATGACTTTTGTTCAAACGTGGAATCAATCACGTGATTTCAGTTGAAGTACAGTTGCCACAAAATGCACACAGGTGAATTCATGAATATGCACGACTGGTAGGGAAATAAGCTTTCCAAGGCTTCTACAAATCTTGATCATTTTATGCGTACAGCTGTGCGCACTGCACCGTTTAAGCGTTCCCTGATGCAGAGTTACAAGTGTCGTTCAGTCACTTAAATTGACAAATATTAAACATCTCATGGCTCCAACTTCACCAGATCACACCCTCCAAAACAGACTTCACGTGACGGAGACAATAGCAGATTGTTTATTTTAGTTATAAAGAATTTTCTCCAAAAAGAACATCATGATACTCACTCAACTCGCAGCTTTAACCCCGACCCCTCGCGACGTCTGCAACTTCCTCTCTCCAAAATAAAAATGAAGACAAGAAGGGTCCAGCTGTTTCATGTAAAAGTCTTCAGCCGCATATAGAGAGCGCAGTCTGATCGAGTCACCTCCTCCTACTGTACATAAGAACAGCATGTCTTACCGGGAGCGACAGGGTGGATACCGAGCACCGTGTTCACAGAGCTGCACACGTGATGCGCCTTAAAGAGCTGCGAAACTACTCGCCATACCATGTCCCACCTTTCGCCTGTCTGAGAGGCATGCTAATGCTAAACGTCTACTATGTGTTTGTTAAGAGTACAACCCGGAAATATGTTTCACATCATCACAACAACATGGTAAATCTGTCAGACTTTCTACGCATGTTGTGGTTTTAATTTCCCAGAGGTAGACCTGCATCATGCTCAGACATGCATGGATAAATGATTATGTCTGCCTCCAACAATCTGTGTTTGCTGCCTTCAAGTGCGACCCAAATCATGGTAAATAAGCAAACCAGAACCATAACACTGCGGTGAGGATGAGAGCGAATGTGCAAAACGTGTTTCTCGTGAATTGTAAGGTGCGCATCACTGAATGTTGTGGTCTTTGTTCCAGTTTTATGAAGTGCGCAGGAGTTTTCTGAACTGAGCTCTTACTTTAAAATTGGGCTGGTATCCTTATGTTACTGTCTGACTCTGTGAAGCATGGCAAAGACAGAGTGCATTAGTCCAAATAATTTGTAATAATATAAAAACTGTAAAAATGCATCAGATTTTCATTAAGAAAGTCTCATTGATGACTGTCTTTGTGTCTTTAATTTCTCTCTCTCTCTCTCTCTGACACAAATTTATGCTCCCATGTATTTGCTTAAAAAAATGAGTTTGGTTGGTGGCAAAAAATGGTACCTGAAATTTGTGAGCACCCTGAGGAGACTGTGGACATTTCTGTGCTCTGGCGCCCCCACTGGACTAAATGGTACTTACCTTGTTTTTACTTTACTAATCCTGACCTCTTCATGTGCCTGTTGTTTTTCTGGGAAAAAAAAATAATTCCTACCACACTGAATCATTGGTTTAAACAAAGGCACTTTTGGTTTCCTCGTGGCACTAATATGGTAGCAGCTGTGGCAGAGAGTAAAGCTCTAGTGGTGACTGTTAAACTGATTATAAAGCAGACAGAAATTACATTTACCTGTTTCTGAGCAATTTAAGAATTAGTGCAGATACTAATTATTTCTATTTGGCCATTTTTTAAATGTCTGGAGTTATTAACGATGCCTACCTCCTCTGTCATACAGAGGGCATCAGACAAAGAAAAAGCTTAACATGCCTTTACTTACGTTTTTTTCAGAGACATTCAGAGAGCAACATGATTGGCTGTTAAATGAAAGCAATATGAGATTTTTTTTTCTGTTTAAAAAATACAAAATACGTTCATGGGGCTATCAAACAATAAAGAAATGCATGTAATTGCTTGATTTCAATGATTGCATTTTAATTTACATATTTAACTCTTATTGTTTTGCCTTTAACAAGCAGTTTTGTAGTCAATATTAAAGACTGTCAAGCACTTCTTGACTTTTGTCTTGTTTGAACATCAAATGAATGCAAAAAAATTACCAAATGATTTTGTACTTTAAGTTTCACTATTCAAATAAACGCCGCACTTCTTCACCTGTGTGGTCGTGACTTAGCCTAGTGGTAGGAGACGGCTTCAAAGCGCTTGTGCTGTAGGAAACGATGTTATTATTATTTTTTTTTCTAACAGGACAATGCTGTTACACAGTGAGAAAATATACAGGAGCGCAGGTACAAAATGTGCAACACAATTCAATAATGTACAAAAGTAATAAAATCACTCTATAGCTCCATTAAAGCTCCTGTGATAAACCTTTGTCAGCGCTGACTTCAGCTCTCCATGTGGACAATATGGTAAGGTCTATTCATATTGTTGTTGATTTTGTTTCGTCCTTGTGTAAGTGGTGTTTATTGACAGGAAAATCTCCTTCCATTGTCCTTTACAGGGAAATATTTGCTGTGGGAAACAGAAGCCGTTTCTTTTGTACCTACCCCCTCATAGCAGCCATATAGATATCAAAAAGTACAACATAGGAATCGTCAATCTTGTCAGTGATGGTCTCATTTACTTTTTTAAACATCATAGAGACGCATCACTGTTCATTTTGATCAGTTTCATAACTCATCAAAAACGCCTCCCACAGTATCTTTAATATTGAGTAATGTTAAAAATTTGGGTAAACAAGGTAAATTAAAGCAAAAACTAATTAGTCATTATGTTTTTCATTATTTGTACTAAGGTTTTCTTCAATCAAAATAGAAAGCCCCCACTTGAAATCACAAAAATGAAATGCACTTCCACAGCAGGATATTTGGCCTGCAGCCAATTACCACCCATTCAGTGAGCCCTGTAGTGTAGCTGACTGCACTGAGTAGTTTCTTCTCCTGGTCTGTGGTGATAAAATAGTGCCCCTCTGGCTCTTGTGATGCAGTCGCCTGCTGACATCAGTCTAATTACCTGCACCCGTCTACCCGGCTCACTGTTTAGTAGCCCAAACTCCAAGCGCTCAAGTAATACTTTAATTCCATTCGACACACAGTGCATGTTACTTTTGACTTGTCTGAAGCCGTATGATTAAATATTCATTCAAAGTGCAGTAATTTTTCTTTTTTTCTTACCACAATGGCAACAGGAAGCGGGAACACACGAAGACGCTGCAGGAGAGCTAGAGACTCTGGTGAGCTAGGGGAGACAATAGAGGTCACAGTGAGAAATGTCATAATGGTAGATTGAATGCAAAATTGTGATTATAGCAGTAACACTGAATGACTTGACAGTACATGCACAAGTCAGCAGAAAGGTGGGTGGATCCTGTTTTGTCTACAGGGGGTGCCAAAATCAAAGCAAACCAAATGTCCCTCACAGCAGCTTTGAAACAGCAGCCTTTGATCTTATGAGAATTTATGGGTTTTTGGTATCAGTTTCACTACAAATGCTCATGGTTGCTTTTAGTCTTTTATTGAATTTAGGCTGGAACATTTCTTAAAATCCTTAAAAAATGTGTGTCTTGGTTCCCACCTTCCAAGCACAGCCTCAAACATAATGATAAAATAATAATAATACATTTTCATGTTTAAAATAAGGTCATAATAGCACTGCTGAGTGTACAGCCACGACAGGCAGGCGGACCTCATTTCTTAAGTTGCCCTGTTGCCATGGGGATAACTACTCAATACACAGCAGACCAGCTTGTTATGAACATGGTGCACACCTCTCATAAAAAGTCAAATGCAGAGATAGCCAGGGTGCTGAAAGTCATTTTGCTGAGTGTGTAAGGGACGTATGTTTGCACTTTTGATGCATTTCGCTGCTTCAGTGTTTATATATTAAAATGTGCACAGAAAGCAAGATGCTTCATTTTGTCATCCTGTTTTTTTTTTTGGTCTGTTGTTTGACACAAGTAAGGATTTTCTACAACCTGAGTGAAAACACTGGCTATTATATGCTTTTCCTTCAGTAAGAAGAGTCTTGTATCATCTTCTATTTGTGTAATTCAGATTTCAGTAGGATGATTGAAATACATTCAAGGTCATTAGAGAAACTTTTATTGGTAGAAACCAGACTAGCTGTATCTTTTTGGCAATCGTGCAAAGTTCAATTTCTAAAGAATTTGAGCATTTAATTTCATGTCAATATTGGCAGTATTTGCAACAATCCTGGTTTGAGATCAGCATTTCCAGCAGTCATCTTATAAGTATACATTTGGAGATTTTAAAGTGGTAGCTGTGAAGTTTGTCCTGCTGGTCATGTGACAGCAACCTCCAAAAAAATAGAGTAGCATTTTTTGGCTAATTTGAAATAGTTTGAATTGTTTTTGGCCCATTTTCCTCATTAAGACTGACACATTTTAACCAAATAAATGTGTAACAGAGGTGGGAAATATTCAAGTGTGCGTTTAGAAGAACTTTGTAATAACAAGCTGTGCAACTGAGCAAGCTAGCATAACATGGTCCCACCTCTAACAGCTATAACAATAAAATCAGCAATGACACAACTTACACACAACCCTCGACCCCGACCCCCTCCAATACAAGCCCCTCTGAAAGTTTTATAAAACGAACATTTTGCACCACTCAGGAAAGATTCATTAACAGACGCCCAGTGTAGTCCTGTTTTGCTCCTGCCATGAGCCACCCCCCCACCCCCCCAGGCATCTGCATCACTATTCCCCACCAGTCCACCAGATGATCTCCGACTTTCACCAGTCCCAGTCACCCGACTCTCATATCCACCTGCTCACTGGTTTTTCTGTCTCCCACATCAGCCATGCAGTGTGTATATGTACCTGAATACTTGATTATTTGCACTCCTCTCCTTATAAATGCCAATGTTACTGTATCCCTTAATTAGTTCATTAATTATGCATCAGATTTCATATAGCACTTTATCAGAGATCCTCAAAGCGCTTTACATGGGATACATCATTCATTCACTCAGACAGTCACACCCTGGTGGTGGTAAACTATCTTAGTCACAGCTGCCCTGGGGCAGACTGACGGAAACGTGGCTGCCAGTTCTCCGACCACCACACAACACTCACAATCACACACCAGTGGAGGACACACACTGGGAGCAAAGTGGGTTAAGTGTCTTGCTCAAAGACACAACATACAGACTCTGGGGGGGGGACGAACCGCCAACATCCAGTTACTGGACGACCTATCTGCCACTCTACCTCCTGAGCTACTGCTGCCCTTTTACAGACATTGTAACCTGAACCCTGAACCTTTGTCTGAACTTTCCCACCCTTTCCTGCACCTAACACCTGCTCCATGCCTGTTCGCTTTATTCTGAATGTTCTTCCTGTCCTACAAGAAAACCTTGTTGTCTTCTCTCAATTCATGAAATTTCCTGCCTGCCATGCTTGTCTATAATTACATCCTTTCCCTGGCTCTCACTACTGTGTTTGAATAACACAGAATGATGACATGACGTAGCACCAACATGCTAATGCACTAAAACATGTATTTCCTGGGCTCAGCAGTCCTCTGAATGATTTTTTCAGTGTATTATTGTTATCCCAAGGCTGCCAGCTATTTTGCTGTTCATCCATTGAGAGGGCGGAAATAATCTAAACTTGCAACAACATAGAAAGAACGGATGACAATGGGTGTATTTGAATGGAAAATGACAACAATGTAGAATGTATGTGATGCTGAAATGGACAGAGTCTCTCTGTAGAGCATTCTTGGGGTGTTTGTATGCACAGAGTAAAAAGACCACAAGTATAAACACAAGTTTAAAATGTGAATTACTGATTACCCACATTATTAGTGTTTGATCAATGCCAGCCTTGTTTTATGGTCTATCGTAACCACTAAATAGGAGTCAGACTCATTCCAAGTGAGGGTTGGACTCCACCAGGGCTGCCCTTTGTCACCGATCCTGTTCATAACTTTCATGGACAGAATTTCTAGGGCGTTGAAGGGGTCCGGTTTGGTGGTCTCAGGATTGTGTCACTGCTTTTTGCTGATGACTTGGTCCTGTTGGCCTCATCAGGCTGTGACCTTCAGCTCTCACTGGAGCAGTTTGCACTGGAGTGCAACCGAGTGTGAAACAGCTAGGATGAGAATCAACCCCTCAAAATCTTGAGTGCACAGTTCTCAGCCTGAAAAAGGTGCTGTGCCCTCTACGGGTCAGGGATGAGATTCTGCCCTAAGTGGAGGAGTTCAAGTATCTCGGAGTCTTGCTCACATGTGAAGGAAGAATGGAGCAGGTGGATTGGTGCGGCGTCAGCAGTCATGCGAATGCACTGGTCTGTCGTGGTAAAGAAGGAGCTGAAGCAAAAGGCAAAGTTCTCCATATACCGGTCGATCGATGTTCCTATCCTCACCTATGGTCAGGAGCTGTGGGTATTGAATAGAAGAACAAGATCGTGGGTGCAAACGGCCAAGGTGGCTGGGCACTCTTTTAGAGATAGAGTAAGACGCTTGGTCATCTGGGAGGGACTCAGAGTAGAGCCGCTGCTCCTCTGCATTGAGAGGAGGTGGCTCGGATACCTCAGGATGCCTTCCAGTTGCCTCGATGGTGAAGTGTTCAGGGCATGTTCCACCTGGACAAAGTAGCCATGGAGAGAGTCACCTGGGCTTCCATGCTTAGGCTGCTGCCTAACTTTCAGTGAAAAAAATAAAAATAATGAACAACAATAAACTTTTGATGTTACTCATCATGTCACCTGGCTCTGACCCCGGCCTGCACGTGCGGTGCATGTCACATGACTTAAAGAGATGATATAGACGAGAGATAGATGAAGTAGCTACATCTACCCCACTTTGATTTTCTATGATGAAAGGGGTGTTCAAGCCCCCAGGTAAGAAATAATTCAACTGTTGTTATGAAAGACAGATGACTGTTGTCCAAATTTGTATTTTTACGGGGGAGGGTAAGGGGGTAACTTATTTAACTTTATAGACTTTAAATAAAACTAAGAGTCTGTAGCTTTGTTGTTCTGTCAAGGTAAAGAGAGGAGTTTCAGACTTACAGCTGTAGGTGAGCTGGGAAACTGCTTGAATGCCTCTGTTGGAGCAGTGATTAACCATCAGTCTTCTCTGTGAAAAAGTCAATTGTTGATACACAGTGCAATGGAAAGTGGATAAATCTCTGCAAATATTAGCACTAAAACAGCACCTTGGAGTGGTGGTAGAAAGTGATGCATCATGGCAAACAGGATTCAGGTGTTTGGGATTCACATTAAATCTTGAACATCACTTTGAAAGTATTGAATCCCAGAAGGCTGCTCCCCCCAGTTGACTAGCAGTCTACCTCTTAGTCCTCATCTATCGTAGTACTCTCATTCACCTTTATTTTTACTGTTATATTTTTTGGTATTTTTGCTTTTATTGGATTGGACAGCTGAAGACAGACAGGAAACTTGTGGTGGCGTCAACAGGGGAAGAAATACAGCAAAGGGTCAAGGCCAGGACTCGAACCACATTCCCCTGTGATGAGGACTATAGCCTCAATACATGGGGCGGTTAAACTGCTCGGCTATCAATGCTTACTGTTGATATACATTGTGGCAGCCTATGGCTCTGACACAAAGTTGGTCTCAAAGCAGCAGATCAGCGAAGATATTTTCTCATGATTGACTTTTAGTTTTTGATACGAACCAGACTCTAGATAAAGATCAACGATTAAAAATAAACGCACTGCAGACACAGGAGATACCACAGAAATTATAGTCTTGTTATTCAACGTATTCACATTACAACATCCACATGGTTCAGTTTGTGACAACTTCTACTGATCTTCAAATATGTTCACTGTATGATACATGATACCAATATAGGCACTTCCAGTAAGTCTGGCAATATTGAAGCTACAGTATAGTGTCTAAATTACAAAATGGTAAAAATAAATAATGTTTATCTAAAAGAGTTTTTGTTGTTTTAAAATTTCTTTACTGTACAGCATAAATGTATATTGTACAAAATGGAGCATCAACCTGCAAGAAAATCAATGATTTGACGTTCACAAATACTGTGTGTATTTGGACAAATTCATCTCTGTGTAACTTTTAGTACATGTGGTATAAGTGCAAGTAACTAGTGAGAAAAAAGTAATATTTGAATCATGTGTCAACTATATAAAAATACTAATTTCATTTCTTTCTTTTTTACATAATTGCAAAGCTTGTTTGGTTCCCATTATTACAATTATGCTACAAGTGTGAATAAGACAATCAAATAAAATCAAGATGTGAAAAATACACCAAAATATGATTAACAGTTTCAGCATAAATGCAAGTATTGACTTGAGACTGATGTGACAAGGGGGGAAATGCATGCAGAGGCCACACTATAACAGTGACATCATCAACATATTGACAGACTCCCGGTGCCTTAAAAGCTGAGAGACGCCATGATGAAATTTCTACTGCTGCTTGTCAGTGAGGATCTTTGATCTGCAGGATGAATACAGACCAAAGAGGAAGCACGAGGAGAAATATGCTACAGGAACATATGTGAATATGAATTCCATCCAAGAAGAACTGGGTTACTGCACCATTAAACTGATCACTATTTCACCCCCTTCCACTTTTTAGTTAAATTAGCTAACTCTTACTCCACTAAAGAAGAAAAAAACAGGTCTAAGTCATTTTAAAGAGGCTAATGGAAGAATTTAAATAGACAGAAATACACGTTCGCCTTCTCTCTCACACACACACACGCAGACACACGCACACACTGTTTACTACATTTCTTTACATTCTTTGGAGAATTTAACTTGACGTACATATTCAATCCTACAACTTGGAATCTCAAAGCAGAGAGTAAAAGTAAACTGACAGCCTATCGCCCAATGAAGATACATACATGTGAGAGCAGCTGTAGTCAATGTTTGGGGCTTTCTATATTGCCAGCAACTAGATAAGTAAGTTTCTGGTAACATTTCTTCTAGTGCTTGTTTACGCACAAACAAGGAGCTTGGGGAAAAAAATAAATGAAATTTGAGCATGGAGAGAAGACATCCCAGAGCAGATGTTAGCTGCACGTGAAGGCATGTATCTGACATGCTCGTTGTACTTCAACTACAAATACAAACCAGAAAACAGAATAAAGTCGTATTCGATAATTCTCTTAACCTGTATAATACAAGTGCTACCTCATCAGTTTTAAAAAAAGCATACTAAAATGTACCCATTATGTTCTCTGTTATAAAGATTACAGTTCATTAGGGACAAACTGTAAGAGAACAGGAAACTCCAGGCATGTTTGACACAGCACACAATGAGCATGACAGCATGCCTGCCAATAGTAAAAGGAAAACTTATTCTGATTCAGTGGGCTCAAACAAAATCATACCAAGGGGTCTGGGGGAAAATGATTCTCTGTCTAATGCCTTTCTAATCAGCAGGTCGACCAATTATCCTCAGCTCATGTGGCCTGAGCTACAGTATAGTGTTCCTCCTCCCCCCTTTACTCTGCTGCAGAGTCAGGGCAGTGGTAAACAGGCCATTATAGATGTAGTGCACAATTCACCGCAGTCTAGGACATTGTGTTGTGATTGAGTATGTTAATGCAGGGTCTGCAAGAAAACAGGGACATGATGTTCTACACTTCCTATTTGTAGACCAACATGTGCTCTTCTGTTTTTTACAGATCACTTTAAAGAAATGAGATTATGGAGTGGAGCAGGGATACGGAACAAGATGAGATACCAGCACTTAAAAGATTTCAGATGTGCATGTAGGTCATGAGAACTGGGCAAGATTAGGACTGGATAATTCATTACATATTGCCTCACTGCACTCTGTGTGACAGAGAGTCGACACGCCAACTCCATGTAGATGGCTGGGCTGACTCTAGGTGTACTTGGGGTCCTTCAGACATATTTTTATGTACATGTTCAAAATTAAAGCAAGGTGGGACTTTCATGAAGGATATTTTGCATCTTTCACAAGCTGAAGAGCAGTTGGATGTATAACTGGGCAACCTCATGTCTTCGTTTTCTTTCTTTTTCTTTTTTTGTGCCAAAAACCATATGGTGATGTGATTCTTCTTGCATCCTGACTTTTTACATTGTGATCATGTTATGTGAAGAAATCCCTCTTAAATGTATCTACTTTGATGGGTATATTTTAAGTTTGGGAAACAAGTTTTTTTTATTTATTTAAAGCTCCTGTGAAGAACCCAGTGGATAAAGCAGTCTTTGCGTATTTTGTCGTTTACATGCTTGAGTAGTTAAAAAAATCCTATTCTGCTGACCTTTAGCAGTCATTTTTTCATTAATTGTGAATATTTTAAGTGTAAAATGTGGGCTTGTTGTTTAGCTGCTCCACTGGCACCTAACACATTCATTTCAGGCACTAAATATGACAACATAAGAATCATCATTGTTTTCCCAGATGGTCTTGTTTGCTTCTCATTATCATAAAAAGACCTTAATATGAATTTCAGTTGATTTCATAAATGTCAAAAAGTAGACTGCTTTTTAGAGCATTTGGGAGCAAACTTTCTTCTAATGTGCATTACATATTTACTACCTAAGTGCTGACATATTGTGTATCCATTGATTATAACGGCTTTTGATTGCAATTCACACTGTCACTTTAAGACCTATCTCTCTTCTCTCTCGATGAACCTGTGTAAAATCATGCGTATATGTGACATTTTCTCACATGCTGGTGTCAAACACATGTCTCCACTCTAATGAGCAGTGCTGTAATCTAATCTGGATCTCAGATTCACTACACTCTCTTTTTTTATTGCCACTCTGATAGCGAAGCAATAGAAAAGCAATGACCCAAGGGATTGGTATTAAAAGTACAAAATGTCTTCTGAGAACTTAGCAGCCTTATACGTGAGCAATAGAAATGTAGGGAAATTAAATTCAAATGGACATAATATCACAGTGACAGATTATTTGATGATGGAAAAATAACATATGATACACCTAATGACTCAAAGAGTAAAGTTAATTCAAGGAAACATATCAATGCCTATGTATGCTATTATCTCAGCCATTACTGAAAATGTGACTTTTACAAGGTTGTCAACTAGATACTCACATCATTGAGGGACCATAATTCTCTACTGACAGATATAATACTTAGTGTCAGGGGGTTGCCTTAGCTTTCCCTGACTTGCAGCTGCAATATGGTGACGGTTTATTTATCTGAGAATACTGTACCTGAAGTACAACCTACTCATTTAATCATTATGCAGCGTGGCTCACTCTGTCATCAGCTTTTACTAGTTTCAACCCCCTTTTCTCCTCATGCGTGAAAGAGAAGAAGGTGTGAATACAGCCTTGCACACACAGCTTGTCATGAGTATACTCCTAAGTAGCTTTCTATACCTGTACATTTGTGATGCATTTTCCTCACAGGTGATCAGATTTATTCATATTCCTACAGGTGATGATTCCCTGAGGGTCAAAGGTCAGCATTATTTGTAGTTTTTTATTTTATTTTTTTAAATATAATAAAAAAACGGTTAGTGTAGGGTATAGTAAAACACACTGATATGACAAAGGACACTGTATTATTTTACCTACAGATTATACTAAACACATTTGTAGTGATTGTGTTAGATAATTCCTCCAGGTTCTTTAGTACGTCTTATAAATAAATGGTTACCTTTTTCCCTTATTAAACACTTTGGCAGTGTTAGCGTATATTTAGATTACTATTTTTTTTCTTTTTGGTTTTGTTTTCAGCATAGATACATTTTCAATAACACACAGCCGCGTTCTCAGCTCACACTTAACCCTGGACCTCAATCTTTTGGGACAGTTAACTATTCCATGACCTCATTTTTCTTGGTACGGAAGACCAGCGAGGGCACAAAAGCAGCTCACCTGCTTGATTTACATATTATTCTGTAAAGAACTGTGTTCAACCTGCAGACACACACACACACACACACACACACACACGCACACACTGTCAGTAGCCTCAACTCTCCTAATTCAAAAACCAATATGGCAACACTTCAGGTACTATGAACTTAAATTAAAAACAAATATCAAACATAAAATGCATGAATGTGTGATTTTAAATGTGTGGGTGAGTGATTTATTTTGGCAAACATTGAAAGGAAGAAATATGTTCCCTCGTGTGATTGGCTCCGTTTATAATCCATATATGTATGTAGTATATATATGTATCCATATATATAAATATATATGTATACATATACATATAGTATATATATATAAACATATTATGGCCCATGTGAGACCCCCAAAAACTGCTAAAATTGGAACACAAGTACAAGTTACTGTGATGTTTATATATATAATTGCATTCAGAAAATAATTATGTATAAATTGGCAGCAAATTACTGCAGTCCTGTGTTACCACATCGGGTTGAGGTCTGTGCAGCCAGTCTTTCTCTTCTCTTGACAGTAGCAAAAGAGTCTGTATCCCAAAGTACACAAATAACAATCCTGTATTGCAATCTGGAAAGCTCCTTTATATGTTTGGTGCAACCAGATATTCAGATAAAATGTGTAAAGCACAATTTTCCCACCCTGTTTTTCTCTGTATAGGCACACATTTCCCGAACATCTACAGTGTTGTGTCTAAGTGACGTGCTGGCAGAAACAGGAGTCATGTGATAGGATAAGAAAACAAGAACTATGTCTTCACGTCCCATATTTCCCATGAGCCTCTTCACTGAGGGTCTTCCTCTTCCTCCTCTTCTAGTTCCTCTGGAGGTTTAGAGTCTTCCTGCGAGGATGCAGGCCACTCCGGTTCATCGTCTCCCTCCTCAGGGTCCTCTCCCTCCACCAGCTCCTCTCTGCTGCCTGGCTCCTCCTCCTCCTCATGAATAGCCAGGATGGGCTCCGCTACATTGTTTAAATGGACCGACTCTGCTCCCTGACCCTGTTTTTGAGCCTCCTCCCCAATCACCTTCTTCCACATCTCGTGGTTCTCCAGTAGGTGCTGTGTAATCTGGCAGAAGACTTTCCTCCTCTTCTTCTGAGCTGTTTTCTCTACAAAATAAAAGAAATAAAAGAGAATTCATCAAAAACTTTGTGAAGAGCTATTTGACACATTTGAAGCCTGATCCCAAAATCCAGTCAGTTTTGGTTATTTTTAGACGACCACTCAGTTAACATGTGAAGACTCAAATTTGATCTTGTATCCTACTCCCCTTTCCTTTGTTTATTTTATGCAGTGTTTTATCAGATTTTGAATTTATTTGCTTTCATTTGACTGTGCAGCACTTGGGAAATGGTGTCTAGAAAAAGTGATACTAAAATAAACTTTTTTGTCTGCTAATTGGTCTCTCTCTGTCAGACTAAGTGGTCAGACTTTTTGACAGCACCAATACTCTGGAGCATTGCTAATGCCTCAAACAGTGTCACTTTACCCCTTTAAGAGCCATTCAACATGTCTTTTTTTGCCCATTAAACTAGAAATGGTTGTGCATAAAGAAATACTTGCAGATGAAATTTTGCATAACAGCCCATGCTGGTTGCTTTGTGTTTAAAATGTACATGAAATGAACAATTGTCTGTTGTTTTACAATCACAATCCTTTAATGCGGTTTAAAATAAGATAACTGATAATAAAATTATCTATTTATTTATTAATTCTTTTTTCCCCAGCTTTGTCTGAAGGACAAAGAATAATCACAGGAAGTATAATGAGGAGGAACTGGGTTTAAGTGCCAAAAGTGGGACTCAAATCTCCAGTCACTGTGTCTGGATCCGTATGATCTTTATATTGGACTCTCCACCAAGTACACGAAGACTGTGCAATTATTCAATGTTAAACCGTTTTCATATGTGTTATTATGTATGAATCTTAAACATGATCTACTACCCAAACAGTATGACCCCGAGGCTAGTCTGGAGGCTCACTAAACACTGCACCTCTAATTGGCTTTTATAATAAATGCTTTCAATTGATCAGGAGGTTTGAATTTTATGTGCCAAAGAGATTGGCTTTTGTGTTCCTCAAACTAGGATTTCAGATTAGTTAACGAAGCAGCTTTTCAAAGTAAGCAGATTCTTGTTTTAAATCAAATTTGACTCCCCCAAATTCCCTCGATTTTAACATTTCCTGCAATAGAACTAATAAGCTGTACTCATTACAAGAGGTTTTTCAAGGAACATTTACTTACTGCATTGGCATTAATTTCTGCTCAGTACTAAGAATCACACTGAATATAGTTAAAGAGGATTTATAATTTGGTTTGCAGTTTTAAGACAATAGTGCTCACGTGATGCTTCTGAACCAGTCGATGCATCTTCCTCTGCGGTGTCTTCCTCCTCTTCCTCTTCATTCTCGGTTATTTCTGGCTCCTCTGCCTCTGGGCTGGGTTCCACCCATCGTCCAGGTAGGAGGCAGGCTGAGTCGTAGGAGTTGCACAGTGGGCCCACAATGTGTGTGATGAAGGACTCCTGGAGCTTGGCCAGCTGTGGTGCTGCTCGGTCCATGTAGGGGCTGATGGGTAGGCCTAGGCTGGACTCCTCATCACCCTGTACAGAACACAACACACAAAATCATCATTAGGAAAGTTTAGTCAGATAACTCACATTTTAAAGGTTTTAAATCTGCTCACAGATTTATATTACAATCAGAAATTTCACGTGTGTCGAGGTAATATTTGGATGCTGGTGGGGCTGAAAGTCTGAATACAGTAGAGGTGAAGGAAATAAAGAGAGCCTGAAAACTTTGCAGAAGTTGGATGAAAATTTTGTAAAGAGATCATGGGATTTGTATGCGCCTGGTGTGAAAATAGTGCTGGTTGAGTAGCCTGCCTGAACTAACTCATAGGCATCACTCCACTGAAGTGATATGTAATACTTGCAATCATCCCTCTTTCATATTAAAAACAAAAACAAACAAATTAAAAAAATAAAAGAGCACACAGATCTACTCCTTCTGCCACTTCTATTTCCTTGTGAGCCAAAGCATCACATCATGTGCAGAAGTAGTTTATATTCACACAGAGCCTGCTTCATGTCTATGATAATATGAAACACACAGGATGTAAGTAAGTCTGTTGTGTTCAGTAAGGGTTTAAATCCAATTTGTCTTTTTTACGTGCTCCATAATCAATCTGATCTGCATCCCCCTTACAGTATCTGATATACAACAAGATCTTTGTGTCCACATGTCACACACATGGCACAAGCAGGAGGAGTGGCACATTAGTGAAACAAAAGTTTGATCTGGGTGTTTGGATGCAGATTTTTCTGACAGTTTTTCCATCGTAAACAGCGGCTCCAGTCTGCTGTGATGTCCTCTACAATCCTAAAACTATAAAGGAACACAAGGCTTAGCAATCAAACTTAGTTCTCCTGTACATGTTATAACAAGATATCACTGCAGTCTATGAGCGGCTGTTCCTCATACATCAAATAATGTCAACATGCCTTTTTATGGGAGGTTCCTTTTAACATTTAGTCCTAACTTTTTTTGGATGTGTGGTTGTACAGTACATCCAACCAGTAGACAAACATGCAGCAAAGATTTTTGCAGGTTTATCTGACTAGCTGTACTCAGTATTTTCATGTATGAACTTCAATAATATGACTTGTGATTTCTCCTGATTTCTCCCTGTATGTAGAACATTAATCAACAATACCTTTTTTTAGCTATTTCCTGTAAAAATCTAGCAGCATGTGTGCTTTGCATGATGTCCATATGAGCAAACGCTATAGCATGGTTTCCTGGTTGCCTTGGTAACTATCTCAAGTGTAATCCTATACCACATAGAACTGAAATCCTTTGTTTATGCAGAGCAAAGAGCAGCTCATGTTAGGGCACAAAGAGAGTCATCAAAAGATTGGATATCAGAGGAACTGTCGACTTCATGGAATTTCCTGGCAGGTGAGCGGACAGGTGGAATACATATAAGGGGGGTGGGGGGTGACGGTTAGACCCAGCTGTCCCTATGATGACATCCTAGACAGATGGAGATTAAAGGTTTACGCTCACAGGTACTCTTATTGAGTCATAAAACTACTCAGGGTCGACATTTTTAAATACTAATATTCATATTTCAGTGTTATTTACAGCCGTTTTGAAGTGTCAGCATTTCTAATCGCAGAGATTAATCCAGTGTTTTAACACTTATTTAAGACACCCACATCCCCATTCACACATCATAATCATTTTTAAAGAGCCTCTAAGCATAGTGAATAAATCAATTCTTCAGTATGTCTCCTGATCCTTCAGAGAGTGCAGATAGGAGTATTATGGTCTGTCTTCTTTTAATGCATGCCTGAATGTGCTCTGAATTGTGAGGAGGAGTTGTACTGCTTTGCTGCTGTTTTCGAGGTTGTTGGTCTCTCACAGCTGTAATCAGGAGCTGCAGCTGCAGCTGCTGAATGACAGTTGCCTGGGCAGCCTGCATGCGTCACCATATCAAGCAGAAGCATTTTTAGTCATTAGTCATTTTAGGAGCTTTGTCATGGAGGAGTATTTCTCCAGCAGTATTGCACCACACAAACCCCAGAGTGGCATGAACTGAAGTGGTTGTGTCTCCTGGCTGAAGGGGTGGGTACATAAAGGCTCAGAATTTGACCTCGAGGCAATTAGCAGAGATTGGCAACCAGGCTGAGCCAAGGGGACACACTGTTACACAGGTCACTGAGGGTGGCATTATAGGTCGAATGCTCGACTAGATCCTGTTTGTTAAAGCAGCAATGTACTCCAAGTGGCACTTCAGTACAATTGAACCAGCTGGTTAGCTGAAAGTCTGCCTTTTAGGAATGCACCGAATATTTGGCCATTGAAAAATTTCATCCGAAAATGTCCCAAAAGTGCATTTTTGAAAGACTCTTATCACTGAAACAACATGACTAAAACAGATGTTGTGATGGCGCAGGCAGAAATCACAGCCAGTATGCATTTTTTTGGATAAGAACCAACATGTCAGCCGTGTGGACGTATTAGAATATATCTGAGAACCAGGGATAGCTATTGGCAAAGTGTGTAATGCGAAAATTTCAAGAGGGGTTGCATCTGTAAAGAGTTTCTTCATGTTGGGTTTAACTATATCCCATGAAATTCAAATGTCCTGATCGCCATTCTGAACCTAAGATGAACACAGCACAGAACAGGACCACTCCCACATGGATGTTGAAGCCAAATACACAAGCGGAAGCTAGGGGAAGTTTCACTTCTTCTCACCTTTATTCAAAACCTTAACAGAGATCAACATTTCAACGCAAACTCATGCTCAGCGCCCGCTTTCCAATATTTGAAAGAAGGCGCAGTTACACTACTTCTTCTTTAAGCCGCATCTCTACCGCCCACAACACTTAAAACTTTTGAGTTGTTTTTGCCCCTGGCTCACGGGCGCCATCTAGAGGTGTAAACAACACAGAACATGCAGCAACACACTGACTCAAAAACCCAAAAAGTTGCAATAGCATAAATTAATTTAATATTAATATTAATTTAGGCAGTTACAATGCCTTACAATGCCTTTTGGCCTTGGTTTCCTCATTTTCGATTTCGGCCAAGAATTCATTTCGGTGCATCCCAACTGCCTTTATTTGCATAAAACAATTTGTACGTGGTCACAGGGGGTTTAAATAACTACTACAGTATTTCACTTAGCATGAGTACAAAAATATAAGATAATATAAAAGTTAACCTTTTTGACTGAAATGAGCAAAGACAGTTTAAATTATTTTTTGGGTTTGGGAGCTGCACCTGTATCGCGCAGGTGTTTCTCCCTACCTGCAGACATGATGGCTCATTGATTTTCAGTTTAACAGATACAAATGGGGTCTAAGTTCCCATCGGAAACGCTTCACACACCTGCTCATAGAACTCATTGACAATGCCCTCTGTCCACTGCAGGTGCAGGTCCTTACACTTCAGAGGCCCATTGATGTCAGCCAGTTTAATGCACATCTGGCACACCAGCAGCCGGTCGTTCTCATTCGACCAGTCAATACCCGTGGATGGATCATCACCAACCTGAGGGATCGAAACAAAAAGACATATTTATGGGTAACATAATCAAACATGGTGGCAGTATCATTGAGGTAAATGTGTTTGTGTAATAGTCTGTCATTGATCTGCTGTTCAAAGATGGTGGATTCATAGTGATGCAAAAAAAGGTTTACCAATCAGAGAGCTGGGATACAATAACACTAAATTTCACATCATTTTAATAGTAGGTCTTTCTGTATTTTACAGTCATTTACAAGCTTAATAAAATGAGGGTGTAATCTATTAATAGGGTGCACTTTATACAGTCATGGTGACTTATAGATGAGTGGTTATATGTGTTAATTTTTTAAGCAATATTTCTTTTGATGTCTCAGCATCAAACACATGAACTTCAAGCTTGGATTGACCTCTGTCTAAATGAATTTGCTGTTTCAATGTACACTTAATCAGCTTCACATCTAGTGAGGAAGGACCAGTCACTCCAAAGGTGTTATCATTCTCATTTAATAACCCAGGAGGCTAAAGAGATCAAGTAACAAACTAGATGGGCACTTCCCAGAAATCTAATTTCCCTCCAGGAAGCACAGAGCAGGGTGAGCTGCAGTCAGACACTCTGCTGTTACTTTTGCTGCCAAACTAATGAGAGCAATCCTGGCTGACAGGCCCTGGCCATGGAGCCCTACCACTGTACTAATAATCACAATGGAAAAAAAAAACAGGACCCTCCAATCCAAAGCCAACATCCTGTCTGTTCTTAAATGAGTTTGTGAGAACCTGCAGGAGGTTTTGTGATGTTTCACTTGACAAGAACATCCTGCAAGAGCTGCAATGTTCCCAGCATACAGGCCTTGGTCCTAGAGGCACAAGATATTTCCCTTTCAATAAAGCCTACAGAAAACATCTGACACTTAAAGCTGGTATGTTGGCATTGACCCAAAATCCCCTTTTCTAAATGGCCATTAGTTCCCGTGCAGTTAAATTAAAACTCCTGTGAGGAACCTGAGGTCTGCATCTGTTTTGGCACCTCTCCAGTGGACAAAGCAACATCTCTCTAATCTATCTACTGAATTTGTCACGCATTTGCATAAGTTGTGTCCTCTGGTTGGAGTCTCATTCCATTTTAGTTTAATATTAAACTTTATAAATCACTGTGAATCTTTGCCATGGAAAATCTTAGTAATGGCTGTCAACGCCAATAAATTGTAACTCCCTTTTTTTTGTTTAGAGGTCATACAGAGGCATTAGTATGTCTTTGAGTGTGTCACACAACAAACTAAAAACACCTCACCAGAACCTTAAAGGGATATTCCGGTGTAAATTTAATTAAGTTAGACACCCTCTTGAGAAATGAATGTTGCCGACTGCTTGCTTCTTCAGTTATACCAACTTCAGCAACGACTGCACGATAGCAATACACCAAAAAAAACATTTGTAGCCACAAATAATGCTCAAAACAGCACTTATCTTTATCAACAGTACATATTGGGTCCCAGCCACAGTACTAGCCACCAAACATCTTTTCGCAAAGAGACCTAACACAACTCACCCACTGTCCTCCAGAAGACTCTTGTTTGTGGGGGGAGCCCTGATGAGTTGATCACTGAGAGCAGCGGAGTTTCACAGCTCAAGGAAGAACATTTATGATTATTTCTTCATGGCAATGTAATCAGACTGGAATGCTAAGGCAGAAGAACTACCATGTCTGCAGTGCAAAATGATTATTATGATGTTTATTACTTCATGGAAATGATCCGCTGCTCCTGGTGATTGACACATCAGGGCTCCCATACAGAGGATGTATCAAGTGTCAATCATTGAAAACATGAAGCCCAAATAACTTTCAAAAATGGAGGCACACAGAGAAAAGAGGACTTAAGCACAAACCAATCTTACAATAACTACATGTCAACATCACAACCAGGGGGGAATAAAATGTATATTCTGTATAATTAACTATTAAAATTTTCACACAGCTCCATTAGGTTAGCTGGAGGAGGCAGGGTTTATGACCTGTACTGCAGCCCGTCACCAGAGGGTGCTGTTCTCTTAGAGGCTTCACCCAGCAAGGAGGCAGACAAAGTCTAGTCTATACAGTCTATGGTGGTGATCCTACATAAACTCTGGAGAACTTGAACCCATGGTTGATTCTCACAACTGCCCAGACAACAGCCAGACATTCAGGCAACAGTTTGTGCTTGCTAATGCCTGTTCCCATTGCTGAATGCAGGCACATATTTTGATGATAACAGCCATTGAGAAATATATTCAGAGTATGACATTTCAACTATTTTGGTTGCATAAATATGCAAATTTGGAAATCAAGCTGAACCTTGCTGTCTATCTTATGGGCACTAGAACATGATTAACAGTCCAATGTGATTTTAACAGTCATGTGTTTTCAATATGTCGTGTCAAACATCTTTTTTTTGTTTTACCTTAGCATTAAACTCAGCTAGGAAGTCAAAGTGCTTCTTCAGATCAGTTGCGAGTATGGCCTCAATGACCAGGAATCTGAATCGTTTGAACTCTACATGGTCCAGGTTGACGAGGAAGTTGTACTCCGGCTGTGACATAAAAAGGTTCCAGGCTGAGGCAGCGTGGTGGTTTTCTAGGACGGATCGATCATTGTAGAGGACTGCCTGCAAACACACAAACACTTTACAGGAACAAGTACAAAATTCATGTGCATGCTTTACAAAAAAAGAAATGAGACTGGATATTGTGAATGATACAACATCCTCTTAAAGAAGCTCCTTCATCACTAATGGAAATGGACGAGCCACATACGGTTCTAATGTATAGAATCAGAATGTATAGAATGTAAAGGATCAGACACTATTAGATTACTATTGGCTTCATCGCATGAGTACCTGCGGGGCGCTGGTGGCCACAAGAAAAGCATTGGTCCGTCCTGGGTGGTCATAGTCGTGCATGGCAGCAGCCACATAAAGCGCCATGAGCTCCAGGGCAGGTATGAGTCCTGACAGGCAGCCATAACCGTCCTCTGACACAGTGTAGGTCTTTGAAACCAGGAAGCCCATGTGACTGTGAGTTATTCCACTGTCGGAGTCTAGCCGCAGGGGGAGCAGACAGTGTGAGGACAGGTGGCAGAACTTAAACGAACACATTTACTGTAGGATAAGCACATAATTGTATATACACACAAGACGAACACACACCCGAACACCCAATGCAAATTCTATGTGGATCAAAATGATGGCCTCAGTGAGGCATACAAATGAGGTTATGAAAATATGAGTGAGAGGGAACTCTAATCTGCCTGCAATTTCATGCTGTTTAAGACTTCAAATGGTATTTGGAATGTCAATGCAAGTGCCAAAAGCCTGAGAAAGATAAGATAAAGAGTGAGTAGGATAAGAGTACACTCTCCTGCAGGTTTGATGCTCTGACATTAATGAGATCCCTCACTGTAGAGCTGTAAAGCTGCAGGCTCATAGACTAATCTTAAAACCTGGCCTACTTATTGACAATCTTTAAGGGGAGAAAACTGAAAAAAAGTTTCAAAAATCAAAGAAGTAAAAGAAGTTCTGAAACAATTTCACATATACACCATCACCACCACCACCACCAGGACATGCACACGTCTACATTTATGTACCTGTGCAATCAGACACACCTGAGTCACTGGCAGAGCCGTGGTCGGTGATGAGGCTGGGCAGACCGGGCACAGCCTGCGTGGTGAGGTACCAAACGGCATGAAGAACATCTGTGGCATGGACCCTGTTGTGATCTGGGTCAGAAGACAAAAAAAAAAAGCCTGCTGAGAGTGTGTAACTTCTCCACTAGATGGCACTATCAGGCTACTTATGTGTCTTGTAAGACACAAACATGAATATCTCTTATGAAGGTTTATTATTGCAAAGGATCACTTCATGTAGGTTGTGTTTATATTATTGAAGAATTTACAATTTCGTGCTTTTATTTTGAAGTACTTCCTGGTAATCGGCTTTATAACTTTATATGTGTTTTTATAAATGTGTTCACAGAAATACTGTTATGTTAGAGGTACTTTTGAAACAAACTCCTCTCAAATAAGTTTCTGTCTCTCTAGTTTTTTATGATTAGTCATTGTGTGCATGCTAAGAGCTGCACTCTTTAGCATTTTGTTTTTATATGGTGTGAGTAGTAATTATACTTCTGACTGTAGTTCTTTATTTGGTCTATTTTTTCTATATTTTTTGTCTTTCAGCTTTTTTGTGTAACTATAGAGTCTATTCAAAAGGAGTTATGTTCAAACATCATGATAAGGCTGAACATAATTAAAAAGACTTCAAAAAACATCAGTGCACTTCATCATTGTCTGGCCGGGGTTTAGCTGTAACAAAGGCTGGAAATACTGCGACATTTCTTTCTAGTGGGCGGTTTTTATCACTACAGCTGCAAACAGACCTAACAGGTAAACTGGAGGACAGTGAAAAACACAGGAGAGAGATGTTCAAGCTTACATGGTATGTCCCTGTAACCATTCTCAAGGGCGTGGAAGTAGTTCATAAATTCTTTGACAGGGATCTTGAACGTTTCAAACAGGCCAGTGTCTTCAAAGAGCCTGTAAGAGACCTGAAAACACCAAAATCTTAACCTCAGAAGCCACTAGGCTTGGATGAACAACCACTGCACATGCAAGAAGGGCACAATGCTCTCAAAATATGAAAGACCTCGATCATTTTATGTAATTCTTTTGGTTATTCAGATAAATTTATTATGATGAAAGCAAAGAAATATGATGTGGTCTTTGTGCTATTGGTCAATAGTTTTGTTGGCACTGAGATAATCATCTTACTCAAACCACTGGTGTGGTCTAATGTGCTCACCTGGCTAAGGATGCGTCCACATTTGCCGTTGGTTTTCTCCATCAAAGTAAAGATGGGGAAGTTCCAATTGTTTAGCTGACTCATCAAGGGCTCTAAGTCCTCCATTATTAACGGCTCTGGAGCCAGAATGGGTTTGTCCTGTGTGGGGGACACGTCATGAAGAGTGGTGAGACAAATAGATGCAATGTAAATAATGCATGGTTCAATCTAGCAGTGTGATTGCACATTTACTGTCCTCGTTAACGATGCTTTATTGCATTACTAGTGATTCTGTCCTTGCTTTACCTCCGGAGGTATTAGTGGGTGGAGGATGACATTCTGGGCGGGGTTTTTTCCCTCCTCCGTGTCCTCCTCTGTTTGTGCTACATCACTGCTGTCACTGTGGTTGGCTTCGTGGGTGCTGTCATAGTCTGATGACACAACCACTTGGTCCTCTGCCAGGAGGAGAAAAACAAAGAGATGTCACCCTGCGGCTTATGAGGAAAAATCCACTGTAATAATCTCCTTAAGATGATGCATATTGTCACGATTTTTTGGGACGAAGGGTGTTTAATTTACATCTTAATTATATCCACTTCTCCTAATCCCTTTCTGCTATAGCTAATATTTTTCTGCAGTTTTTGAAATGAAACTCCAAGGTAAGGTAAGTAACACATGCAAACACTGTGACTGAAAAAAGACGAGAAAAAAGATTCAGCTGCAATTTTAATGCTGTTTTTTTTTTTGGCAGTTAAATTCTGGGCAACAACTATGAATATATTGATTAGGATTGTCAATAAATTGGTTGAATTTTTAATTGAACAATCACTGAAAAAAACATGTTAAAAAAATCAGCAGATTTATCCCAACCTCACTGAAATAGACATGTGTCCATGGCAGCATCATAAACATGAACTGCAAATATTATTTTTTAAGCCTTGTAACAGGACACTCATCATCAGAACCACCAGAATACTTTGTCTATCCTAGGGGGAATTCAAGATATAGGATAGTCGAATATTAGTCCCCTAACAGTGAATCATGCAGTGTCACAGCAGTAAAGTCAAAAATACAGTTAATCAAAAAAGATGCTGAGAATGCATTACATTTTTACAAGGTAACACATGGAGAGATGAGAGAGATCTCATAATTTGTCCTGCAAGCTAACAGGCCAGTCAGGAAGCTGCATTTAATCATTATCACTCTGCTGTGGTAGGAAATAAATGAACACAGAAAGAGATTTGTACTTTAAGCCACTGTGAGAAATTTTAGGTTTCGACTCTTGTGGTCTAAAAAGTCTTTACATATCTTCCCTTGCTCTCTGACAAAAAAAAAAAAAAAAAATATCTCATCCTGCTGATCTCTGGCAGTCGAATGTATGATTCATGGTTAATATTTGACAAATAGGTTATAAGAACAGGGCTGTTTCTTAACCTGTTTGTCTGAACCCCAAGCACCAGTTTGAAGCATTAAAAATCACAAGATAAAAACTGTTAGTCTTGTTGCTAACAGTCTTGATTGTCTTGATAGTCCTCTCTGGAGCTTTACAGAGTATTTACCAGAAACCATATTTTCTGCTAAAACTCGACTGTGGTAATTATTCACAGCTGTTTATTGTTCAGTGTAACTAGCATGTAGGGATGTCCTGATCTGATATAGATACTGGATATCGGTTGGATATAATCAAAAAACGAATATCAGATTATATTGGCCTGCATCCAAAATCGCCGATATCAGCACTTTGATACAAGCAGTCCATTCCAGACTCCGCTCCAGCTCCTCTAAGTAACTATCCAGATCCATCATGCAGAGCCTACGTGATCACAACAACAGTGTGTATTAAGGTACTAATATGGTAGCAAGGACTAGGAGTGATTTCGGCCCTATGGCAGTATTTTTTGTTTGAGTCTGAAAAAGATGTTGCAGCTGAGTGCAAAACTTGTCATGCACAAGTTTGAGCCAATATCAGATCAATGTCGGTATCGGCCAATACACAAGGCTACAATATCGTATCGGAACTTTAAAAAAGTTGTGTCAGGATGGTGGATTGATGTGATCGATATGGTCAACTCTGTACCTGATTTCTCTGCATGTAATCATTGTTGGTACCAATATCTAATGTCATGACTCTAAGATCATCTGATCACCTTCATGAGTGAGACTAAGCTCATACCTGGCCGTGGTATCCGGTCTCCCTTGTCAATAGAGCCCTCCCCATGGCTCAGTCTGATGTACGGTCTCCCACAGCTGCAGACAAGAGGGTGTAAAAGGTTAGACATAAACAGAGACTTGAAGAGGGAAATGTTTACTCTACACATGTGACATTGACATATCTGTGGCTGTAACTGTGTTGCAATTTTGACAGTCACAATTTTGTGTCAGTCAGTCATATTCAGGAATATCTAGAGAGTATACTGAAAGTTTTCTCTTTTTTTTTTTCCATTTAAAACAAATCAACATATAATCAGGGTGTGTGGCTCGTACATTTATCTCCAAGTGTGTATCAAACTATCTTCAAATCAAAGCAGTGTTAAAGGATATGATGGTGTTGGAATTACTTTGTAGATCTCAGTAATGAGATTTCTGCTGGTTTTGTTGGCAGAACAAAATGTTAAAAACTAGTACAGACCCCAAAATCAACAAAAGCACTCAAAGAAATATAAAAAAACACTGGGAGGCTAATATACGGAATAGTTGCAGGGAATATGTTTGCAGGGCGTACACTGAGTGCAGCTACGCCAAAGAATTGGGAGTAATGCCATTCACTACATCTGTCTTTGATGTCGACCCAGCCTTCAGAAGTTGTCGAGAAAAAAACCTAATGAGAGTCCTACTGTGCTGTCCCCGCACGAACAGACGCAGCACAGATGCTGGAAGAAAAATCCTCATTAATGAATTTAATGGATGTACACATTAACACAATGCAATGAGAATGAACAAGAAAACAACATGGCACAGTTGCCTTCCTGGCACCGTTATAAATGACTCATTAGAGACTGACAAGGCCCACCACCGTCTTTAAGATTTATGACAAATCAGCGTGAGACAAAGAAACTTTTCACCCTGCACCAATTCAAATATTCATGATAACTGACGAAGGACAAAAAAATCGAACAGCAAATATTATCTTTACAATAAGAGCCTTGAGCTGGCTTGAACTGGTTGGTTAGCTGTGACACCATGGGGAGCCTTCTGAGCTGCTCTCAACAGCTTTTCCATGTTGCTCCACTGAGGCCTCCATCGGGCTGGAGGTGGTTCCAATTAAAATACCTCTCCCTAAATGTTGTAAAACCTGCCTTCTCAGGGCAGGAAATGCCTGCCGTTAGAGCATGGTGTCACAGGGAGCACAAAGGCCTGTAGTGTGTCTATCTCCTTCTGATAAATTGTTTCTTGAACACTTTTGAGCTGTACCCACCCTGCCCTAATGGTCCTGAGGCCCCAACAAAGGCACTTCTGTTGTGTTTGCATGGCCGGGATGGAGCGCTGTGTGTAATGCCTAGCAGGTGTGGAATATAAAATAGTTTGATAGTTTGGCGGGTGAACAGTTAGTACATTATTGTCAGGGGGGTCTGGGCAGGCTGCAGTGCTTGGCTTAAAAGGTTTACTTTTAATGAAAGCTGAAGAACTGGCAGACTCTCCTCCTATTCTGCTAATGCAGCAGAAAGGCCTCAGATACTGACATGGAGCCTTCAGCACAGAATGTAAATATAAAAAAACGGACATTTTCTCCAGAGGAATCTGTCAGTCATGTATCGAGTGACTCTGCTTTTATCACAAAAAACACTTAGGTGTAGCAGTAGTTAGCACTGTGGTTACAGTAATTTAACTGTCCCAGCGAGAGAGATCTACCGGGCGAAGACAAAATAGACATTCCTCTCTGTTTTTGTTTCAGTTCTGACTTCTTTTCTACAAAAATGTTTCCACAGCCAAGAACACATCCTACATCCGAAGGTGAAGGAAAAAAGAAAGGTTATGGGTTTTCAGTATAAAATTTAAGAATGTCATGAATCCAGTACAGCACTTCAATTCTGAGCAAAGAGTTTCCTAACCTTGGCCAACAAGTCAGTAACCTAACAAGGTCATCAAAATATTACCTTTGACTAAGTTGTTTCAAGTGGAAACTTCATGTTTTTTGAGAAGAAAATACAAGAGGCGTGCTGTCAATCAACATTAGCAGCTATTTTTAGGGCTGATTTTTATTTTCAATATAGATTTATTTAGCCATTATTCTCTCCTTTGAAATCAATAACCATTCTCTAAAGTGCTTGTTTGAAGCTAAATTTAGAGCTAGAATTCAATCAAATATGTGTACTAAGCTGACAAAACAATGAATGTTGACACCCTCACATGTCAGTGACTGTTAAATGAATTATTCACGTTCTTCATTAAAATAGTCCTGATCACACACTTTGTTGTGTTTAAGCTGTCGAGTATGAGCTGGGGTTAATGGGTGTTGCCATCATGCTATAATTACCTACTACCTGAATGCAAACACTCACAGATCACAGAGGGCATCTTGCAGCTCTGGTTTAGCTCTGGTTTAGCTCTGCAGTGTTTTGATCCAGAAACTGGAGGCTGTAGTTATCAAACTTGCATTTAGCTACATAACTGCTGCAATAAACAACAAAAAAGGACGACTGAAGGCGGCTAGAGGTGCTGGATGTAATGACATTGACTTAACTTAGAAAACCAATTTGGTAACATTAACCGATAGGCTTTGTGATCTTGTGTTCAGTAAATTGTTCCAGTTTTGACTTTTTTTTTTTTAAATGTGGTTTCTCATCATCAAATACAAAGTCAGTTAGTTACTACCATCTAAACAACAAGGAAATTAATCACTTTACTTTATCACAAGCTGAGATTCTTACTTTCATTTTCCCAGTGGACAAAAGAATTGGCAGTAGCATTTGCAGAGTATTTCTTCTGATCCCGCCGGTTGAATTGGCAGGGATTACCGTTGAAATTAGTGTTGATGTGTAAAATGAAGCGAGTAAATACTATTCATTCATGCATCTAGATTCATGCGAATTAAGCAAGTAGATGAGTTATGGGTTTTTTCACATCAATAAAATAGACTGAAATTCATAAAGATACTTTGATGTGATAATAAAAAGCAATCAAGATCATCAATGACCAGACCAGATTTTTATAGTGTAGGTTTAAATGAATCCAATGTGAGGGGGTAGGGGTCAGCAGAGCAGCTAAGGAAATTGCCCAAAAATTTTACAACATTTGAGACGTTTGATCGTTGAAAGTCTGCGAAGTGAAATCTGTTGTCAGAAGACTACATTGTCCACAGGGGGCTCCAAAATTAACGCAAACCAAAAGTTCCTCACGGGACATTAAAGTAAGATGATACAGTATAATTTTGACCGTGCTAATTAAAAAAAAACAACAACAAGCCACTGTGAAAAAGAGGCCTATAAACCTATAAACCACAATTAAACCCAGATTCATGCACTTAATTGTGTGAATTTTTAATGAAATCTGAATACACTCAAATTGAATCATCAGAGTCTCTTTGGTAGAAAACAACTTGCACCCACATGCACCTTGGCATTCTCCAGAATAAAACCAAACCAAGTTAATGATCCTGCAAACAAAACAAGAAAACTGTATAAATTGCCATATTGTCTGATTTTTCTGAAAACAGCCTCCCGCCTCTCCTCTGCCATGTTTCTTATCTTAATGTATCGACTCATGCAATAAACTCCGCTGCAGTTTACTCCCAGATTTTATACTCAGCCACTCACAGCAGGTTGACAGATTACCTTTGGTCCAGGGTCTAAACAGACAGTGTCCAAGCCACAATAAACACAGCAGCCATTATTTCTGCTTCCAGTAATCTACCTACTCTGCAGCCAGATGACGTGAAGAAGATAACAGCACAGCGGCTGGGGCCAAGGAAAATGGAAGGTATTCAGTCGTTTTCTTTTTACTGGTTCTGTCTGATAAAAAAAGCAGATATTGTAGCTTTGATGTTTGGTGTTATTTCTTCTTAACGCTGTACGTCACTGAAAGCTGACATGATGGAAAAAGGAGGGAGGAAAAAAAGAAGCCTAATGTCCTAATTAAGATTGTACAGATTTGATGATGGAGCAGGGAGAAGGCAATTGAAGCCATGTGTTCATTTTCTCCCATGTTCTCTTTCTCTCCGACTATTTCTACTGCTCACTTTTCTGAGAGGACTCATTTCATATTTGGGATTATTATTACTTCTGTGTTCTATATAAGAGTAATAATGTTTCTCTAATTTGTCATAGCCTGATCTCAAGAGAATAACAACTGGAAAAAAAACATATGATGTTTAAATTCTGTAAAGAAAACTCACTTGTACTCCTTTAAACTCGTGTTTTTTTACTGTAGAAGCCCATTTCAGAGATGACGTGTTGGCAGGTAGCCGATTGCTAAGAGACCATCACAGGTTAAATCCCAACTACAGCAAGTATTTGTCAGTAGGCATGGGCTCTGTTTACGTATCTTTTAGCTCAACACTGTAGCCTTGACAGCTCTCTTTTTCATTTCAGGCATCTGGCTCTCATCCGGAGGAGCACATTTTAAATAAAGTGTTACTCAGAAGAGAGCCCTCTCAGCTGCGCTAAACTAAACCCAGAGACTATCTGTTTTCCCCTATTGTGCCGGTACAAGCCCTGCCAGGAGAAGCAGCTGTGACTCCATCTCTAAGTGTATGTGTGTGTGCATGTGTTTAATTGTGAGGTTTTGGTGACTGGGGAGAGACCCAGGTGTTTGTTTATAGTCACACCACCATAAGTGGAGATGGCTGGAGCCTGCTGCTGGGCCGGGCCGAGCTTTTAAGAGAGCAGGCGACAGGGCTTTGTGTACAGAATCTGCTCAGTGTGCTTACATTCACGGAGCTTGTTCAAGTATCACACTGTCATCGTGTGAACAGAGCCAAACAAGTCAGTGATAGACACAGCCCACACACTTCTCTGGAGGGCTGGAGACACAAAACAAAATCGAGTGCAGAGCAGGAAGGTAAACAGAATCATTTAGAAATGAAGGTCGGATAAACTCCAGTCATCACCGGTGGACTCCTGTATTAGTTTTCTAGTTTATTACAATAATTCTATAATATGAATTAAGTGTAAGGTAGATTCTATTGCACGTCTTGGAAAAAGGGGGGACACATTTATATTGAAGGCAATGGACACAGAAGATGATGAGTAGAAAACAAGTGGCATTTCCTCTAAGCCTGCAATGTTACAGAGGGAAAAACCAAACCTTTGTTTGTAATGATGTTGAGAAGGCCAGGACCACAAAGAGCCAAAAGTAGGAGTGGGATAAGGTATTAGTAATAATAATACTGATGACATGAAGGAGGGTAACCTGAGGGGAAGGAATTGGTTCAAGAAGAAGCTGTTTTAGCTCTGACATGGGAGAAGAAATGTGATAAAGAGCTACATACACTCACCGGCCACTTTATTAGGTACACCTGTCCAACTGCTCGTTAACACTTAATTTCTAATCAGCCAATCACATGGCGGCAACTTAGTGCATTTAGGCATGTAGACATGGTCAAGACAATCTCCTGCAGTTCAAACCGAGCATCAGAACGGGGAAGAAAGGTGATTTGAGTGACTTTGAACGTGGCATGGTTGTTGGTGCCAGAAGGGCTGGTCTGAGTATTTCAGAAACTGCTGATCTACTGGGATTTTCATGCACAACCATCTCTAGGGTTTACAGAGAATGGTCCGAAAAAGAAAAAATATCCAGTGAGCGGCAGTTCTGTGGGCGGAAATGCCCTGTTGATGCCAGAGGTCAGAGGAGAATGGCCAGACTGGTTCGAGCTGATAGAAAGGCAACAGTGACTCAAATAACCACCCGTTACAACCAAGGTAGGCAGAAGAGCATCTCTGTGATGGCTACTTTCAGCAGGATAATGCGCCATGTCATAAAGCTGGAATCATCTCAGACTGGTTTCTTGAACATGACAATGAAAGAATTGAGACGTATATCTCAAGTATGTCTTCCTCTCAGATATTTAATTTGTGGACAGACTTTTACATACAACTCAGAACATTTGGAGCACAGTTAAATTATGAGTTCTCATCTCTCAGAGACTGTAGATGACTGGAGGTCAGAGAGGAATAATCATAATACATATACAGATAATATCAAAATAAGCAGGAGAAATCAAAAATATTGCCTTAAAAGCTCAGAGGACATAAACAGACACGCTGAATTCCAAACTAACCGCACGACAGAATCACACATAAAGAAGCAAAAATGTTTACGTTGAATATTTGGTTCCTGGTTTAACCTGTTACATCATATGACCAAAAGTACATGGAAACTTGAGGAAAGTAGTTAATCAGACTGTTGAACATGACACATGTGATTTCTAAACAGCTCATTCCAAAACCATGAGCATTAATCTGCTACTTCATGAGCCACCGATCTTCCGGGAAAGCTTTCCACAAGACTTTGGAAGCTGACTTCATTCAGCCACAAGAGCAGGAGGGAGGTTGGGTTCTGCGTTGGGAGAAACTTCGGCATCTAGCATCTAGTGTTGATATGGTTAAAGTCAGGGCTGTGCAAAGAGGAATCTAGTCTTTTCAAGAATAATTCAATTACAGTCCTTGTTTGTACATAGGCGGCACTATGACACTGATACGTGAAAAGGCCGTCCCTAAACTGCTGCCACAAAGTTTGAAACGAGCTATTGTCCCGAATATCACTGCATGTTGTAACAATTAGGGTTTTTGGTAATTGCAACGTAGAAGCCAAACCATGGAAACAGTCCAGATGTGAAAGTGAGGGAAAAGACATGTCCACAAAGTTGTGAATTTATAGTCTTCCTGTAGCAGCAGTATTGCAAATGCTTGGGCTTTCCACGAGTCACATGATCTGTACTGATGGATGCAGCAGCACGCCTATTACCTTACTTCCTAAAGAAACTTTCAAAAACAGCTCTTCTACATGTGCCAGAGAGGTAAAGAGCTTGGGAAAATTTTGTGGTGTGGGTTTGTCACGAGCTGCAAGCATAGTCTGGATTGTTTGTTAGTTCGCTACTCAATCTCCTACAATCGCCTCTGGAGAGGGGCCACAAGTTTTTACAGGAATGGTTCAGTTTTATAGTACGGCCATGATCAACTAATGGCATCATAAAACAAATCTCCTTACAAAAACTATACTAAAGAACACACTGGAAGAAAGGCTGGCTGCCTCTGTGGAAACAACATGGATGAATTAACTTGAGACAGATTAAATCTAAGGAAGGTACACCAACTAAAATCACAACCACACAGTCACATGATAATTAATCCCACCCATTTCAGCCCCGCTACCGCTTCTAGTTTCCAAACTAAAAAGAATAAACCAAAACCCCCTGAAAATATCTATTTTCTCCAAAACTCTCAAATTAGTTTCTAAATTAATTTGAGGTAAGAAATAGACCATGTGGTTACAGAGCCATGCCTCATTTTACATCCACAATACCCAGTTTGAGCTGTTTTTAGAACTTTTCACAGGCATTTAAAAATTGGGATTAAGTCATTATTTTTTATCTAAAATGTTCAGCTGGATACGATACATGACCGAATCTCAGAGAATGTGAGTGAGTTGATGTGAATCTCAAGCAGTAGATATAAAGCTTGTGGTGCTAAATGATCCCATGAGAGTATTATGTCATTATTGTGCTAAAAAGGAAGTGAAAATTGACAGGTCTCCTTTTAGTAAAAATACTGGAATTTTTTATTTATTTATTTATTTATTTTTTACCACTAACAGAGTTCTTAGTGGTCCTTAAAATAGTGATTATGAAGGCTTTTCTTCTGCAGAGCTCCAGTAGCTCATAAGCAATTTGCCTCTGAGTTGTGGGCGGAGACAGCGCACACTCTTCGTCATGCTAGCTTGTAGCCTAACATTGCCGGTGTAGTAGAGGTGGCAGGTAACATAGGAGTTATTCAGCTCTCAGACATTAATGTCTTTGTGTGCACGATGAAAGCTAATATCACAATTAGCTTTCTTATGAACATTGCAATTTGCTAACGCACACGCTTGTTCCGCAATTGTCCTCCACTTTTACAAGTGTGGCATGCGTAGCAGGGTTCTGAGGGCGGAGCTTGGATTTGCTACGTAGGAAATCTCACTGAATCTGAACCTGCCGATTGCGTCTGTGAGAGATTTACAGCGATTTGAACGAAAAAATACTCAGAAATGCAATTTCGCACTTGCTTTTCTCATGATATGTCCTGTAGCATCAGAAAAATGCCATATGAACATGTAGACAACAAGAAATACATGATTTTAGTCGGAGTGGGTCTTTAAGCACAGAAAAAGAAAAGAAAACAATTGCAGTTCTGTAGGTCTACACAGACACTTTCACTGAGTGCATGTGAAAAACAAAAATAGGTTGTTGTCAGTTGAAACTGTATTGTTTAAATCATGCAAGCTGCTTTCTATTTTTGAGTCTCATATCAAAAATGGCTTTTTGAAGTCCTCCTGCTCATTAATATTTGAACTCCAGCTCTCCTTCAAAGATCTGATAAATCACTCTATGCAACATTTGAGTTAAAGCAGCTCCAAATATAAAACACAACCTACACTATACCAACTGTTCCTCCGGTTTGGCACATCGCAGACATCTGTGACAGCGCTCCGCATTAGAAAGACTCCTAGAAGTGTCTGTATTTTCAGACAAACTCTGGCTTCTATCTGAAGATGTTCGTGCCTTCGATACAAACCCAACAAGGGAGAAACGGGGGGGAAGGTAGATGAAACATGAAGAGACTCTTTCTTGTTGAGGCATATTTAATATTTTAAAGACAGGGAGTTGTCTGGTACTGCTTGTGCACCCACATCACCAATAAAGAAAAATAAAATGCATGCACGAAAACTTGTCTTTGAGGACACGCAGACAAGTGCAGCCAAAACATTTCAGGCTGAATCTCCATTTTCTGTACTTTGAAATTCATAGAAACATCTCTTTTTCTTTTTCTCCTGAGTTGCTCCCAAATTTTAAAAACCTAGTACCAAAGTAATCAGTGGGTAATTGTATGGAATGCAATCTCTGCACTGATCAGAGTCAATTATCCTGAAATATTTCACTTAGTGATAATGATAACTGTAATAAATTTAGACCCTGTGTTTACTCTACATTTAAAACATCAGGGTGATTTAGTAACAAAACAAAAGCTGCAGTAAAAGGGCACGGTATTTTTATTGTTTCAACAATACGCATGACATGCCTGCCGCCTCACTGCATCCGTATTAGTCCCGTCTGAACACACTGAAACCATCAGGAAAGATTTCAACAGCTGTTTCAAGACAACATGCACCCAGCCATAAAACCTTACCAAACAAAGATGTGCTCTCATGCTCATACGAATCCATAAATGCACACAGAACACACCAGAACCAACTCACAACCTGCAAACTCCTCCATCCAACAACACTCCCCCCAAACATCCTCTAAAACCAAATCACAAACCTTCCATTATATAACATGCAAACAGATCTGAACCACGATCCCTCTGTGTTGCGTGAGTTTCATGCTATTTTCTGCACTAATGTTCAGAAAGCTGATGTGTGTCTTAGTTATTCAGGTTAATGCGTTCGCCTGTGGGGCTTTTTCCCCATTCTGGCTCCCTCCACGCACACATTTCCCTCCCGAAATGCTACTGTTCACTCAAGCTGAAACCTTCGCTAAAACTGCAGCCTCACTGCTGGGAATAAACTTCTCCAATAGGATGCGTCATACTGTGCTAGCTGTTGTATGAGTTCTTAAAGAATTCATACCACGGTTGTGTGTACAACTTGCACAGTGTGATTCTAATGCTGTGCCTCTAATATAGCCAACTTTTTTTCCCATATAACTACTTTAGGAGAGGGAAAAACAACAAGGCAATGAGAAAATAAGGTAGAAATTAGGATAAATGTGCTTGTGGAGCAAAAATAAAGTTTGTAGAGATGGGAGAGACATATGTAGCAGAAGATCAAAATACATAAATAAAACCCATATCAGGGCCTCAGTTAGGTACCTGCAAATGAGTGTTTCATGGTATGGTTTGATGCTAGCACTGCGATCTCTTCGGACGGGTCCAGGCTCTATGGTAGGCAGCCCAGTGGCGGAGGTGGTGGTGGTCCACGTGGAAGAGATCCTCCTCAGGAGACCAGGGTGGAGACTCCGCCTGATACGCTGCGCACATACAAAAAAAAATATTAGACAAACATGGCTTACAATGAAGAAAAAGCCATCTGCACACCCACATCTTGAACTTGCAGCAGGAAAGAAATAAAGAAAGCTGTCTTAGATAAAAGCTTTTAAGTCCTTTAACTTGTAACATTAATAAATACTTTTTTACTTTTCAGCTGAATGAGACTTGTTTTTCCTAAATCCAGTCCTGAAGAACCAAATAAAGTGGGAGGTATTATCTGGTGTATCTGTCAGGGTTACAGACACTTTTTTCCACAGCCTGTGAAGGCACTGTGGTCATCACTGTGAGGAGCACACTGTTCTGAAGATACCCCCCAGGCCACTTTATTAACCAGAGTAAGTGTTGCACTGCACAGATACATTTCATCATCGACTCTCAGCTCCTCTGCCTCTCCTCCTCTCTGTAATTCTCTTTCGTCTGGCTCTTTCAGTCTCTTTCTTTATCTGTCTTTTCTTTGCTCTTTCTGTGGGATTCCCAGAGCTCTGTGCCCTTGTGATGCCTCCATCTGTTCAGCGCCATGCAGCAGCTTGGCACAGCCGCACTCAACATGGCAGACTCTCTCTTTCTCGCTCTCTCGCTCTCTCTTTCTCTTAGTCTTCTGCAGGATGACCTAGTAAAGTCACCTCAGAATCCTGAATGAGCCTATTCACAGCAAAGCGTCACACTCTGAGTGCTAACACACACACACTTATAAACAGTGTTTGTTTAGGGCTCTTAGATGGACGTTTCACCGACTTATACTCTTTGTAGCCTCACCAAAATCTCAATAATAGAGACAGTTAAAGAGACAGTTATTAAGTGAATAAACACACAAACAACAGTTTAGCACATTTGGTGCATACAAGCAATGAATTACACTAGTGATGAACAAATATGTACACAAATCTACTCTTTGAAGTAGGGCTGGGCGATAAACCGAAAATTTACAGATACAGAAATTTACAACAATAACCGATGTAATTTTGACCATTTCGGTATATTTGGTGTCAGAAGAATGAGTAAATAAAAGTTGGTTTTGGATGTCTGTAGGTAGACTATGGTCTCATATCCCTTTAAGACACTGTCCTATGTCGGAGACGTGATTCCACCTCATCCCATCCGTAACAAAGAGGGAAAGACAGGTGAGGAGATGGAGGACGGTTCAGAAGTTGTAGTGGCTGAAGTAGATGTGGGAGGGGGTGAGCAGCTTGTGGAGTAGTTATCGTCCATTTATCGAGGTGAACTCCTTAACATATCCTGATATTGATTTGAGGCCATATCGCCCAGCCCTACTTTGAAGGTAGAAAAATATCTGTTTCTTGGTCAGATTTTGCTGAATTACGTCTTTTTTCTGATAAAAGCCCTACAAACTCACACTTTAAGAGCAGTGATGCACACAACATCTATGGCTTAAACAATTAGCATCAGGCTCCCAAATCAGACCAACTTCATAAAAAATAATCACAAATACAGCTGCTATGACAGCCTCTGCTATATCTGTGGCTGTCTGTAATTTTAAAGATGATAAAAACAGCTCAATTCTTTGCATTCCATTTTGTCTAATGTCTTTTTGCAGCACAGAGAGTTTATGTCCTGTGTTGGAGTTAAAATAATCTCTTCAGAAGTGGTTGAAATGCATTAGTTTGCACCACGATGAACATTAAACTTTCAGCCAGGAGGAAGAAAAGCAAGCACAGGACTTTTCCACTCCTGCTTCCATTCTCCTCTGGGGCAGTTAGAGCCGGGCACTTTGTCCTTTAGGAGTCAGGTCTTAATGAGTGCAGCCTCACTAGCCACTCCACAGGCTCAGTTTGTCTTAGCTACTTTTACAAAGTTCAGACGTTGAATAAATACACCTGTCAGCCAAACGACTGCCATGATAGGATGACAGCTTTTGAGTTTCTTGGGATCAGTATCCTCCATTGAGAAATGACCCGATCCATAACCATAGCAGGGGTCCGGCTAGTTTGACACACACTCGTCCATCTTTGTTACATTTTGAAGGGTGCATTCACCTTCATATGGCTTCAACACACATACACACATGCACATATATATGCTGTCTGGCTCTGTACGTCTGTCATGTTGACACAGCTGTGGCTGTGAAAGAGAGAACAGTGCTCTAAGCAGTAGAGGCTCTCCATTTTCTATTTCCACTCAATGTATGAAAATCCACATTTTTATTTGATGCTAAAAGCTTGGGGAGCAGGAAGAACTCATTAACTGAAACATGGGCTGAAAGATGACTCTGTGTGGAGCGCTGCATGGTGTTTAAAGCATTCAGCCTTGAGAGACTGGACTGCACTTCCCTTAAACATTATTCGACAAGTCTACCATAAAAAAAGTCTTGATTTATGTGACAAATGTCTGGGTATGGTTTGGTATTTTCACTCTTGTTCTTTCAAAATATCATTTCTTTCACTACTCAAGTGTAAATCTTGACACTGTTGTTTCTTACCTTGTGTATGGATGTCTTCTCTCCTTTCTCAGGTCCTTCCTCTGAGTCGGAGAAGGTGTAGGCATCGCAAGGGTTGAGCAGGGGAGCAGGGCGTGGCCGGTGCAATGGCTGGAAGGTGAGCTGTGTGGTAAGCAGTTTGCTGACAGCCCGCAGTGAGGTGCAGGTGTTGGGGGGCAGAGCTGGGTCAGCCAGCAGGTCTGTGATCAGTCCATGAGCCTCTCCCATCACTGCTATGTCCACCATGACGGTGGTGCCTGACGACTGTTGGAGGACAGAGACACGGGAAATGAGCACGATTTAAACCCTGAATACAAGTTACCATAGATTGTAGACACCATGGACGTGGTCTCAGTGACGCCGTACATTGTCCACAAAGAGGCAATATGAGGTTCAAAGATGGCAGACACTGTTTTGGAAATACTGACTACAACAAAGTCCATGCCAGAGAGGAAACAGGGGAGGAGGAGGAATTAACGCTGGCCTTTAACCACCTGGCTAAACAACTACAACGTGCACATTTGTCACTCAAGCAGTTCCCACAACTAATTATGCCTAATTACACATAACTCATGGCCTTTTATTTACTTAGAATGAATGAAGCTTCAAAAATACACAAACTGCAATACAATTTTTTAAACCAAGAAATTAGAGACCATTATACTGTGCCAGCTATAAACACGTTTGAAATTTTCAGCTGTAAATATGGTCGTTTTAGTGGGAGCCCTGTAAAACTATTAAATATAAGGTGTCTATGCTTAAGGGAGACAGTTTCAATCAGACACTGTTGGGTTTTTTTTTTTGCACTTTCTCATTGACTTCAATGGAGGTAAATGCATGTTTGGCTTTTTTTTTCACTTTCTTCTCTAATGTTTTGTTTCACTGAACACGAGAGTTACATGAAGCTACCAAATCATTGGTTAATGATCCATCATTCAAAGACAATCTTGATTTTTTTTTGAGTTAGAGGGTATTAGTTCAGCTCCTTTCCAAAGCTCAGGCTGATTCCTCATCCATGCCTTCTTATCTATTTATCCATCTGCTTTATCAGATATTGCTGTTTTGAAAAAGACTTGAAGCTAGTGGAAGACACCATAAAGTCTCTTGGGAAACTTTTAATTGAGGTGATACATCAACTTCAAAGTGGGGACATTTTCTCATAGACTCTCATATATTCTGACTCCTTTCTCCCCTGTGTGCCCCCAGTACCCAAGCCACTGAGAAGAATGCTGATTTCACACATTTCTGTATTGGCCTTATTTTACTGAGGGCACAGCACCTAAAGGCTACTCCCACTTAAAAATAGTCTCTGATTTCTGCACTCATCTTTGAGTCTTCACTAAGAGCTCAGCTATGGTTAGTGCCAATTCACTTTTTTAAAATGAATTTTTCCTGTGCCTCGTTTCTCTGTTTGGCTTGAAATGTCGACGCATGTCTACTCGGTTAATTATAATAGATTGAATGTTAAAAGTACTTTAACCAGCAGACGACCCATTTCAGCTTTCTGGACTGATACAGATGATCAGAGAGCAGGTAAGTTGATGGTCAACATAAAATGCCAATATAACGTAGATATATATCACTTGATGTTGACATAGAAAAATGTAATAATAAAAGCGACTATTCCATGCAAGGACAATCTACTATACAGTACATAGAAAACTTAGACAGAAAGGTGATTTAGATCATTAGGGCCACAGGGCAAATGCACCGAGACACTGGCTCTGAGGCACTATTGTTACACCGTGGATTTTTTCTTATTCCTCTTCTGGACAAAGTTCAATTTATTATTCGTCCTACAGCTTGAAAAATCGTGGGACAAATTATATATAAAAACATGAGGTTTGATTGGGATCAGTGTGCTGTTACTATTCCCAATTCTATAAGATTTTTTTGCGAAAAACTATGTAAAAAATTTCTGCACTGAAGTCAATCAATGGGACAAGCCAAAAAAAAAAAAGAAAGTTTCCCAGAGGGAATTTTCTAGTTCATGCATGAAATATGAAAGGACATTGAGGTATGCAATGGATTTCAGAACATAAGTATGTCAAAGGCAATATTAAACTTTCTTATATTATACATCCTAACAGAATTTATATTGAACACTTGTCAGTAATGGTTGGATGTGATCTGTTGTCATTTAGGACACGCACTGAAAATAAAAATGATCACTTAAGGGGATGTCAATGTTGATTTACAGCAGCCACACGGACCAGACTGCCTGCAGTACCTGCAGACATATTTGGTTTATTCTATAATCAGCGTCATGAGCTTAGACAACAGCTTTTTATTTCAAAATGCCATTAATTGTCCTTATTAATAAGTCATGTGGGTTAAATTATCCATCCATGGTTTTAACTGCAGTTTAAAACCTTGTTATTCTAAACCTCTAACACTTTGACCTCTCATATTGCGGCAGTGACGAAAGAATATGCTCTTTAGCATGTAAGTGCGCTCCAATGCCAAGATTCACATTTAGTACAGTTGCAATCAAGCTCATATTAGACCAATCTTAGATAAGACCAATGCCTTTAGCTCAATGTTCACAAAAAGAGGGATGGTAAAGCTACATTTTTTGGGCAGATTTTATGTCATTTTTATATATTATTTGCATATTAATATGGAATCATATTGTAACACTAATGGAGGCCATTCATTCTGCCTTTCTGTGAATAATTCCAACACACTTCAGCATGTAGTACATGTAATTATTAAGACTTGTTTAACCACGGGTCTTTCTTTACTCATAAAATATTATTTCACAGCTACAGCTACAGCTGACACAACAATGACTAAGCAGCAATTCACCACAATCTGCATGTGGCTTGATGTCCAGCCACAGAATATAACATATTTGTTTCAATACTTCAGAATAATGGCATCCCGCAAGGCCACGACCAAATCATTTTTCAAAAGTGCACTTATCTCAGAGGAAAACCAATGTAGCACAAGATAAAGTCTGTGTTAACCACGGCCAAAATGAACAATGTGAAAATAAAAGAACAATAGCCAATTGGTTTTGGACCACAGATGTAGAGGACATTTTTAATCACTGACAGAGACACTGCCAAGTGCTGCAGAGATGATTATATCTGCGGTATCACACTGCACGTGTGCACATTTCCATCCACTCAGCCATCAATAGCTTTATTCTCCACTCTCCATATCTCTTTAATGCGCAGAGAAAGACAAACATGGTGAAGCATAAAGTCTGACTTCACAGTAGAAGATGTCGATGTACTTTCAGCTTTTCAGACATCAGAACAACATCATGAGGTGAAACACGTTCAGCACAGCTGTGATACTTGATGCCTAATGAATGGGCTCATTAGCAATGTCTCAGCTAGACCCTGACCTTTGACTTCCTCACTCCTGACCCCTCGAACGACCAACAGACACTCTCTGTTTCTGGTCGTCTGCCCTGCCGCTTTGAAGGCTCAGCTAAGTGTGTTGCGGCCTTGTTTGTGCATGGTTAAGTTCACAGCTTACTTTTCATTGCTCCATCTGGAAAACTAGAGCTACAAAACACATGTTGGTGTCGTCTGGAAGCGAACTTTATTGATTTTTCTTCAACTGTTTTCTTATTTTGTCCTCCAGTATCCCATTCAAAGACCAAGACGTCTTCTGTTTACATTGGCTGAGTGGCAAGATGGTGACCTGAGCAACGTGTTTATGTTTTCTGTCAAATCAGATCGTTCACTCCATTTTTACAAGTAGCCTGATGTTCTTCAAAAAAGTATCAGGCCACCAGTTGTGATGGCATATCTCCATGATGACACACATTTATTGATAAATAAGACACATGACCAGCACAGGGACCAAACTAATCTCTTCTACAGACAAGGAGGCATCCTGTGGGGCGGCTGATGGAACATTTCTGGACAGACGACTATTGTGCTCCTCTCATCCTCATCTCAACTTCTCTCCCTCCTCCCCGTCTCTTTACTCTGCTTTAATGCACGCTGTGAGGAGAAAATGTAAACACCTGTCTCTCAGCTCATTTGCAGGCTGATTTAGGAGTCTGCTAAAAGGGGGGTTTAAGAGAAATAAAGCCGCTAAAGACTAGCTTCTCCTTCTTTGCATCTTATAACACACAGAACTTACGTGCAACTTCTAGAAACTTTAATTTTAGTTCTCATACCACAGCAAAAAAGAAAGATGAATGAAAGTATGCTTAAGATATACAAAGACTGGTAAAATCACGCACTGACGTTGGTGCATACATATGTTTTCTATCATCTTTAGCGTGCATGTAGGAAACATATGTGCTCCAAAAGAAGGCATTTTGAAGGAGGATGAGCATGTCTCTCTGAGCTTAACTCACACAGCAACTGGACCAGAAAGGCCATAAAAGGTGAGAGATTTACAAATGTCTGATTTCAGGCTTGGAACAGGCCCATGCATGCTCAAAACCTGACATAGAGGCTGTCACACTGAGGGAAATTACCTCAGGGCTACTGAAGTAACAAGACTTGGAGATCCTCACAGTTACAGCAGAAGGGGGGTGGACTTGTGTACATTCAACAGGCTTTAACGTAAACTTCTTCAATTATTTTGTCATTCATTTTTCTGTGAAACTCGTAATGCTTGTCAAATAAAAAAAACACTACTTTGAATGCCTGTTTCTTGACCGGGGGAAAACAGACACCAGCTATTCAACCAGATAATGTGTAACAGTGCCCAAAAGGTGTCTGTCACTAGTGTTGTGTCATTCGCCAACGATTCGTTCAAAAGAACCAAATCATTTCAATGAACATACTAAACTGGATCAATTCCTCAAATGATTCATTCATTTCTCACTTCAGTTGAGCTGCCAGCAGTGCAGCTGCTATAGAACGCAGCATTGCCGGGCGAGCAGCCGGCACACGAGGGACCGCATGCACTGACGCCTAAATCACTTGGTAAACGAATCAAGCATTGAACTACACTCTCTGGAATCATTTTTGTTGGACAAAACTAACTTTTCTTTTTTACTGCTAAATTGCCACCAGAACAACTTGCATGCAACAGGACACAGCATGTAACAAGCAGTGCATAAAACCTGCAACATCTTATCGTTGCAGCGGTTTGCAAGGGAACGGTGCATGTTCAGTGTGAATTCTTCTAAACGTTCAGTGAACGAATCACTCACTGAGCCCAATTTACCGAGCAGACCTGATAAAAAGCACACCATATGACAGTACACTGAAAACATTATGACTTATAAACAAGTTCACTTTTACAAACCTGCTTGCCAAAGCAACACAGCCACAACACTCTCATTCCGGTCCAAAAAGATATGATCTGAACTGAATCCTGAACTGTCATCTGTGTATCAGTTCAGGAGGTCGGAGTCACAGGCTCCTCTGACCAGGCGCTGAACGATTCGGTAATTCGGTGAACGAATCTTTTTAGTGAACTGATTCTTATGATTTAGTACATCTAAAAAAAACTGCTGTGCTCATCACGATCTGTCACTTTCAGTGTTGTATTTGGGAACGCCCACCAAGGCTTCATCAACACTGAGTTGTCAGTCGGCACAATGATTCTGTGCTGGAGGAGGCAGCAGTCCAGTTACTATTTAATTCTGCATAGAAACTCAATAATCGAGAACTTTAACTTTATGTTTGTCTTTTTCTAAGGGAATTTTTTCGTTAAGATTTTGCATTTTGCCTCATCAAAATCAGCTTTTCTCTTTTTTGATTTGGCCGAAAATGAAAATGTCCCCAGGTGAGTGAAGTTACATTCTGATTAGGTACCAGTGGAGTTGCCAGTGTTTTCTTTTGAACATAAGTTGCGGTGAGGTGACACTCAGTACTTTAAATGCACAATTAAGTTGAGCTACAGTCATAGCTCGATCAGGTGATGTAACATCTCCCGGTTGACCTATTACGTGTCAAAACAGCTGGCAAAACACGTTAGCTAGAGGCTACAAGGATGTATATCATACGATGAAAACACTGTCACTTTTACAGCTCTGAAAGTTTAGGAAACCTTTCAGAAAGAACATTTAGGAAAGTTTAGTTATTTTTATGTCCTTTCTTTGCCTGTAAAGGTTGTGTTTACTCCCTGGCTTTCTAGCAAATCAATTCGTGCCATTCAACTTCCACCTCAAATCCCAGTTTGGGAACGCAGAGCATGTGTTAGGCCAATTTCACCCCCATTACGCTGCACACATGGAGGGGAAAAATGATCCTCAACTGCATTATTCAGGTATGTTAGTGGATCCTTCCTTTTCTAAAGCAGTACCATTCTTTTAGCCTTGAATTACAATGTGCTGTTAAACTTAAGAGGCCACTATGCTGCAATCTAGTCTACAAAGAGTTTTTTTAGCTATAGCACAAAGCAGGGAACAATAAAGAATGTGAAGGCCTGACCATCCCTGGCTCAGGCTTTTATGAATCCTTTAAAAGTTACGTGTTGGCTTGAAGATACCTCCTGGATATTCCTAATCTTCCAACAATCTGCAACCTTAAACTCTGAAGTCACCAGTGGACCTCCTGCAAAAGATCAAACTGTGAGTCTGTTACATAATATCACACGGTTATATAAGCATTTCCTGTCAGTGTAGATGATAAGTTTCATTCATCAGCCATGGCCACCTCTGTTGCAGCAGGCTTCACTTTCTAAGGGCTGAGATCTAAAATGAACTCTGCAGTGAGACTTCTGCCTGGTAAAAGCACTGACTATCAAAGAGGGGGGGGAAGCTTTTGGACAGATGTTATGATGGAGCATTTCAAAAATCTCAGCACCATGGCGAATGCTCTTACCTCAACACATCTGCAGTATTTGTAAATCCCATTAAGCGCTTTGATTCAATTTCATGTATTTTACTCTCCCGGTGGGGCTATACAGGTGTTTAATGACTTCTTTCTAAATGGCTCCCTAAGCTTACATGCTCTTTTTACTGCTGCCTTACACCACACTCACAGCAACACACATTTACATCTGGGAAGTGTCAACAACCATGGGTCACTGGCTCACACTCCTCTCTTGAGAGATTTTTCAGAGAAAAACACCCTTCAGAGTTAGTCAGGGTCTCAGCACCTCTGTTAGTTGTGTGGAAGAGATGTGAAGACAAAACCTTTACATACGTGTAACACGATCACAGTAGGTAGCCAGAATAAAGCTGGAATAAGGATGTCTGCCAATGGCTAAATCACTAACTAACAAACCTCTGTCTAGTCAGATAAATACTCTTACTCATTATCAGTGTTGTGAGTTAAGAGTTAATTAGTAACACACAGTGCTAACTTCACTGTAGTTTGTAACAAGTGTCTAGTTACTTTTTAAAGTTAATACTGCTGTTGCATATGGACCCTGAGATGTGAAGTGGAATTGTATTTTTTTTTTTTTTTTTTTTTTTTTTTTAATTTGCACGTGCGATTTAGTATCTCACACGTGCATTTTATACATATCTCGTACGTGCGTTTTATTAGTATCTTGCGCATGTGTTTTTGTAAATAACCCTCCGTGTGCCTCATTTGTGAGAGAAGAAGGACAGCGTCATGGACGGAGAGCATATTATCAACATTTTTTTTCATTTAGGTACGACTCACAAAGAGATACTTTATAGCTTAGCCACATTTGGTATTGTTTTGAGTAGGGGACATCTCATTGGGATCCTTAAAGCACAGCGACTTTGCTGTCGGCAATATTTGGACTTGCAGGAAGTGATTTTGTGTATTAACAAACAGTTATATTGCATATGCGAGATACTAAATCTCACATACAAATTAAAAACAAAAAGGTTATGTCACCTCCCAGGCTCCATAGTTGCAACTACAGAAATTCAGCTAATATTTTTGTCAGTGTCAACATTTAACTGCTTTATTCTACGCATGATAACAGAGTTTATATTCAACATGAGCTGGACTGTTTCAAGTTTTAAATGCTGTCATTTAGTATGGGAAATACATACTTTGACAGCAGCTACACTTAAGAGTCTGCCTGCAGTGTCTGCAGACAATCTTTGTTTTATTGGCCTTGCGATTACAGACATGGGCCAATCCCAGATATTTCAAAATGCTATAAGTTGGCCTCTCTCATCAATCTAACCAATTAATTGGTCAAAATTAAATCATGTCCTTCGATGTTCACTTTTTGACTGTTGCCTGTCATTGACGCACCCTCTGTTCGCCCCCTGCGAGTATCTTTCTACGAAAAAAGTACCACAAATCTGTGTGATATTTGGTCAGAAGCCTTGAGCTTTGGTTGACATTCTACATTTGATAAATCTGACCACAGGCATCAATAAACAGTTTTTACGACTCCTCAACTCGCCAAGTTACATTCTTAACCATGCATGAACATTCTGTTATGACATTTTATGGTGAATAACAGTGTACATGAGCAATGGTCTTAATTGCCTCTTTGAACACAGTTTGGAGCAGTATGTCAATAGACATGCCATAGATTAACACCCGCGCTGCAGTTTGTGTAAACCAAACTGAGGGCCAATCAAAACAAACCAGCAGTCACTCATGGAGTGTGAAAAGCTGTTTGTCTACACAGCGTCTGCAATCAAAGTCCCACTCTGCTGAGAGTATATCTGGAGTTGAAGTTATGTGCGTCTAAGATCTATCAAATTTGAGTCAAGTTTGATTTAAATGCATATATTTGGATGTTGTATTTTTTGATGAACGATACACTTAAACGATGTTCATTCATGATACTACATTAAGAATATTTATGATAAATATGCTGACAAGTGTTGGTGTACCCCTGTGTGTGTGTGTGTGTGTGTGTGTGTGTGTGTGTGTGTGTGTGTGTGTGTGTGTGTGTGTGTGTGTGTATGTGTGTGTGTATTCATGCATATCCAATATTTTTACTTGCACAAACAGACTTTCGGATGTTTATGTACTTAATCATTTTGCATGCAGAACATCATTTTCTCTGATTAACAATGTCGACTGTTGCAACAACTTTGAGCCATGAAAATATGATTGTTGGTGCTCCTGCTGTGTCCTCACAGCCATTTGCCAACAACTCTGCTGGAGACAGACTAAGTGCATTTGGTGCAACAAACAAAACTCTGCTTTTCCTGTCTAACGGTGATTATTAATGGTACACACAGACAGAAAGTTCACATTTTTGCAATTTCAGAGAAGGTTCACTTTGTGCACTTTTAACCCCTTGGCTCCGCCATCTAAACACACAGTCCTCTCAGCCTCCAGCGCAGTGTGGGCTTCTTAAATTGTGCAATGGCGAGATTATAATGTATCCCACGGGAGAGATAGAGACTGGACAGATGTCTCGGGGGCCTACTGGAGGAGGAAATGTTTTTGACTCTCTTAGTAAACACATTTCAATAATGAAACCAATCCTAGCTCTGCATACAACACATAGACATGCTCACCGTGGTACTTCGTGTGCAATTAACCTCTTACACAAATCCTCTCACTCCGACAACAGCAGGAATGTGCTTAGCAGGAAGCTCAGTAACATATTTAAAAAATACTTAAGTGAGTCCATTACATTTTCTTAGGTTGATATCAATTACACAGAACTCTCAAAAAATCATTACGACGCAGCTTTCTGTTTCAGTGGCAGTGCAGTTAGCATTATGGTCCTGATTACATCTGTCATGATGTATTAGCAGAAGAGGAGCCTGGGAGATGGTGATGTTCTCTTGTTTGAATAACAGAGCATTACTACAGTGTGAATAACAGCAGAATGGTAACACTAAACTCCACCGAGACTAACCTTCTTCCTCGCCTCAGCTCCTACGGCCAAAAGTACGCCAGGCAGCTCTGTACTTCCTCAACCCCTCTGTGACCCGGCTCCCCTCACAAACCCCTCCGCTGACAGCCCAGACCAAAGCAGCTCTGAGCCAGGTCTTCAGCTGCAGCAGCCAAGATACAATTACACGCCATTACATATTTTATTAAAAGGGGGTGTGTTGGGGTGTGAGGGGGGTGTATCAAAACAAAACAATAAGGAATAATGGCCTCATTAAAATTTACTGGGAAAGGTTGGGCCAATTGACCCCTAACATGCAACCATCCCATCTCCAACAAGAGGCCTGTTTTTCCTGCCGCATATTTCAGGGTGTTTGATTCCAGTGAAGATTTAAAAAAAACAGAGATGACGTTAAAGGCGGAGGTGGAAGCACACGTTAAGGACAGAGCACGCAAAATTGATGCTTGTGGTAAAACGGATGGCTTTTGCTGGGTAAGAAGTGAGTGATGATTCAGCACATGATACAAGTGCCTCAGCAAGTATCCATCACCAGGCACCGTTTTTTTAAAGATCCTGCAAAACTCTACAGGCACACTGAATAAAAATCAAGTTAAAATGTCATACCACGTCTCAGTTTGCCCAGAGAAATGGAACCAGCTTAGAGGTGTTTTACTGTCGCACGTCATAAAAAGTAGGGGCTCTAATGCCCCTGCACCATTTATGGCAGATCCAATTATTTCCAAGGCAGAGGTTAGACAAAATTATATGCTTTCAGTCTCCTGTAGCTGTAAATGTTACATGCCAAGTGACCCGATTTAATTAGAAAACATTGACTGACAGGAAACCAGAAAAAGGGCAGTGACCTTTCTCAGCTCCAAACAGGCAGGTTAAGAAATGCTGATCTGGTATGTTTCATGTGCTTACAGCCAGTTTCAGAAATCTTCAGCATGATTGCAATGTCACGGCGAGTCTGCCTCACGGACCCTTCCCCCGGCTTTCCTGTGATTCAGAATAACAGTCACAAGATCCAGGCCTACAAACAGTCTTTTCTCCGATAATCTGTCTGCATAGTGTTCCAAAACCAATGTGTTTTCAAGTCGAATACAAATATTTAAATAGCTCTTTCCATACATAACTGCACTGTCAATGCCTAAGCTAAAACGTCCACCGCAAGCTTTGGATGGGGAAAAAAAGACGCGGTTTGGGAAATGAGCCTGCTAATGTGTGCATGTTGGCGAATATGACACAGTGGAGATCAGTCAAACAGCTCTGGTCACCGGCTGAAGAGTGAAGTGTGTGATTTACACACCCCATGAGGTGCCATGGTGGAGTGAGACGCCATCAGCCTCTCTGACCAACAACTTTGTCCAAGAGAGTGGAGCCAGTGGAAAAAATCAGCCTCTAAGATCGAGGGCGGTGCCAACATCAGCCCTGACTTCTTACATGTCTTGTCAGTCTCTGGGCTGTTGAGGGTTTTCACTAACGAATACAGAGCACCAATCCAAAACAACAAAGACTCGACTGACCACTGGGTCTAAACGGCAGCTAAAGCGATGCATCAATCAAAAAATATTTGCTCGACTACTAACCCCGCATAACAAATTGATACGAGCCTTGGACAGAATTTTAAATCGGTAACATGCTATTTGAAAAGTCCTCCACTCTGAGGGGAGAAAACATCCCACTATAGGAGTCTTTGTATCTGTAGGACATCATACATGGTGTTTTTAACTTCAATCCAAATAATGAGCAAAGCTGTGATTACTGCTCATAAAACTATCCCATAATTTTACACTAAACCACAACTCTAAGCGTTTATTTCCACCACAGCATATACTTTCAGCATAGAGGTATTTTCTATTCTTCCCTCAAGGATATCCTCTTGATAGAAGACCACGCAGAACAGGAACATACTGTATAAGGCCATGCCAACTCCAAAGGCATTGTTTGCTCTCTTTTGACTCAAGTGTCCTGCCCTGTGGCTCTGCTGCAGCTCAATACATCAATTCTCAAACACACACAGACTCATAGTCTGCCCTCCAAAGATGGGAGAGGTAATTTCAAAATATGTGTGCGTGTGTGTGTCTGCCCTCCACATGCTGTGCCCCCTGTGCAAAGTCATTCAAGTTTTTCAATCCCCTCGCCCTAAATGGCTTGTTCAGCGCCTGAAAGCCAAATCACAGTCCTGAGTGCAACAAGGACTCTGGCTGGAAGTGACACCTCTGGACATGCTGTTTAACCACAGCTGAAATAAACGGGCAAACAACCCTGTAAGTGGTAGCCTTTCTGCCGTTTGCGTCATTTATAAGGTGTGTGTAGGCGAGTGACAAAGACCAGGGAGCAGGCTCCTGAGTGCGTGTGTGTGTGTGTGTGTGTGTGTGCTTTTTCCTGTCAGCTGTTTATCATTATTGTTATTAGTCTCTTTCTCTGTGGACGGGTCTAACCTGTGATCCTCGGGAGCCTCTCTTGTGGTCCCAATCTGAGCGGGAGAGCATCTGTGGGAAAAGCAGAGACAGAGACATGTTCAAAACCACAGTCCTGCACATCCTGTTTTATTTAGCGTCTTACAACTTGCTTCCCCCTCACAAGGGTCGCACCGTACTGTTGATGTACAGTGCTGTAGTTAAAAAAGAAAGAACGGATGATGCAAAGAGTCAAAGGAGTGTGGGGGGAATGGAAACGTTTATAAATGCAGAAATGGGTTTTGTCTTTTTTTTTTTTTCACTTCCCATTAAGCGTAGACGACTAATGCTATTTCACACTCAGGTTTGCTTTACTTTAGCTCTTATTCACGGCCTAAGGGGGCTGATGGAGGCTGAGGATTTCTACGCTGTCTAATTACCAGCCACTGTGTCCTCCCACAGGCCTCTTAAACCAGTTTTCCACTTTCTTAGGAGTCACCAAATGCATCAGTGCAGCTCTGTCACTGCTTTTTTAGTGAGCATGTTTCAGGGGAGCCAAGTCAACATAAAACCCCCTCCTGCCTCTGTTGGAGCTTTCTGGCCCAGAACTGAAAGCCCTGAGAAACCCAGCGTGTCGCTGTGACAAATTGCTGCAGCACACATTGAGGCAAGGGGCTCGGTATAAGAGCCAAACTGATAATTCAGGTCTAATTTAGTGTGTCAGTGGAGGTCATTGAGTTGTGTCATGCTGTGAGTGGAGACACTGAGAAAACAGAGGGTTTGCTTTGAGCCCGTCTGGACAGCAGTGGTGGTTTTTTGGAGTGTTTCCCACAGTTCTGCTAAACAAATATCCAACAGTCAAGTTAATGTTATAGTTACTTTACAGTTGGATAGTTCATGTGGCACATATCTGACAGACAAAAACTCTGTTTTACTTAGGAATGAAAGATTGAAGATTGTTCTGCGATGTTTGCTTGTTTTTTCTCCCACTTACTGAATGAGACTAAGGTTAAAGATACATAAAAATAGGGCTGGGCGCTATGGCTACAAATCGATATCACGATATATGAAGCAGTTCACCTCGATAACGATAAATGGACGATAACTACTCCACAAGCTGCTCACCCCCTCCCACATTAACTTCGTCTACTTCAGCTGCTGCTTCAGCCGCTACAACCTTTAAACCGTCCTCCATCTCCTCACCTGTCTTTCCCTCTTTCTTAGAGACTGGATGGGGTGGAGTCACGTCTCCGACAAAGGACAGCATCTTAAAGGGACATGAGACCATAGCCTACCTACACACATCCAAAACCAACTTCTATCTATTTTTTTTTTTTTTAAAACCAAATATATTTACATGTGCAAAATGATGTCGGTTATTGCCGTAAATTTCAGTATCAATACATTTTTGGTTAATCGTCCAGCCCTACATAAAAAAGTAGCCTATATCTCACTTTGTCATCATTTTAAAGGCCTCTTTTAATGCTGTGATTATAAAAGAATCTACATCAAATTTTCAAGTTTCAAGTTTCAAAAAGGTAATCAGTCAGTCTATGAACACAAAGAAGGTGTAAATTAAGAGTTCTGGTTCTGATGCTGGCCATGCTCGACTGGGCCACCAATAAGCAGACTGATAGCTCTGTCAGAATCAGAATCAAAACTCCATTGAAACACCTCAACAGGAGCCTACTGGTCGGATCTGGACTGATGGAAAGGTCGGTTCATTACAAATAAGAGGGGTGGTTTATGTTATTTGTTATTATGATAAAAATCCATGTAAACACTTCATGCACATTTACGCTGCATGTGACGAGTTTTCAAGAGTTACTCATGTCACCAGGACTACTGTTCGTATTGTGACATCAAATGCGTCTTAGGGACAGCTTATGGGTGATTCATAGTACAGCTGATCTATCGGTCAAGGTTCTGGCAACAATGGGCTCTGCTAAACGGAGTATAGTGGCCCTGACTGTAAGCATACAAGGTCACTGTCATAACAATCACACGGCGTGTGACGCAGAACCGTTGACAGAGTGTAATGTTTTGACATTTAGAAGCTTTATAAAAATGTAACACAAGGGGGTTGCCCTTTCAACAGACATCTTCCCCCTCTCGTCCTCTTCGTTGTAGCCTGAGGACTGCGGCTGTGAGGGGTCTATATTTTCTGAGCGTGATTATAATCATTTCTGAGTCACTTTCAAGCTCCCTCAAGGATACAGGAGCTTCTTATACAAAATGAATGGAAAAGAGAATTGCAATGCAAGCAGCTGTTTGAAAGGACATGAATTATGGAGATAATCATGGCGAATGACAGTGTGAGCCAGGCTGGGTGCTGTTTGTCTAACTGTTCACTGCTTTGACAGCAGGGTTTTGCATTTACAGTTGAGGGGCTGGCAGCAGCTCCTTCACAGCTATGATGAAGTCCAGCTCCATTAGGAGGACCTAGTATCTCTAAGGCTCTCCAGGCGCACACACATAAACATCCTTTCTTTCCTACGCTCTTATGTAACCTAACCTTTCATCTCCTTGCTGTGAGAGACAGACCCAGACTACACAGAAGTCTACATGCACGCTTTGATGTGCCAAAACAAAAAACCCACACAAAATCAAAGCTGGGTAGAAAACCCGAGTGGCGCTGATAGCCACTCGCACAGAGTGACTTTACAGGCCACAGCGGAATTCATTTCCTCTGAGGCTGGCTCAGAAATGTAATCAACAAATACATGTGGATTGGTGCTACTCGCTTACTTAACCAAACAGTGGACGCAGCCTGGTGCCACTGTGATCAAATGTTTTAACCAGCGCTGGAAAATCTGTCAACAAAATGTTGATGTTGGTGAAGTGCTTTCAAACTCCAGACCACCAGTGTTAGGATGAATTACTGTAACACAAATATCATCTATTTTTCCAAGACAAAAAGCAACAATCAGTCATGAAGTATACGAACAACAGAGCAAGAACTAGATAAAATATGAATCACTAATGATGGTTATGATAACAAGAAAAACAAAACAAAAAAGTCTCCTTTGACTTTTATTACCCTGTTTGGCCTCAGGAGGATGAGCAAACGATACTCAAAACATCTCACCGTTTATTGCCAATATTATGTCTGGAAAGGTAAAACCACACATGAATGATTTCTTCGATATCTTCTGGTTTTTCATGGACGCCCTCCAGGCAGCACAACACACAAACCGAAGCAGTGAAATTTCCAAATGGATTTGTTTTCATCTTAAAGCTTCCACTGCACCTACTGGGAAAAATAACAACTTTGTAGAAGTTTTGGCCTTTGTTTCACCCTCTGTAAGATACATTATGGAGAGCCAGGACTCAGAATAAGCCAGGTCTAGCTCTGGCTTTCCATTACATATAGCAATACTCATGATTTATATGAGACTGGAACGAGTCCTCTAGAGAAAAAATGCTTTGTGTCTTTCAAAGTGGAAGTATGTCTTTCAGTCTCAGCTACCAGAGAAACACGACACACTCGATATAAGCGAAGGCAGTTTTATGGGACTCCTGCTCCACTGGGAACAGAGTGATTTAGTGTACCTTCATGATCCAGAGTGATACTCTCAAGAAACAAACATTATTCAACAAATACACAGATTTCAAACCAGATGTTATTCAAGTGCACGGGTTCATATAGGTGGTTTTTACTAATAGAGACTGTTTTGGTTCAAGTTGCATGGTTTTGAAACATCCCGTTTTCCTGCTCATACCGTGGACACCAATAAAATTTATGATTTTGTTTTTTTGATCCCAGCAGCAAAGAATTATGTATGAAAACACCGTCTTTAGCATTTAAAAACTCGAACAGCGACATTTCTTTCCAGGAACAATGTGCTGGTTACTGTGGATAACCCACAAACCTCACTGTCAACAGTTTACTTTGGATTCAAGTTTGAACATTTAAAGTCTGTATCCAGTGAGCTCTGTGGAACATGCAGGGTCACCGTGACATTGTTCCTGGAAAGAGATGCTGCTCTCAGAAACATCATTTTTCAAAGCTTCGAGCTCCAAAGCAAATTCCTAATTTCCTTCAGTGAATCGGGATGAAAGCAAATGTGTCTCAAAATATGATCTGTTAGAAATGAATGTTTTGCATCGCTAGAGTAGATACAATGAGAAGAAATCACCTTACTTGAGGTCAGCTAAAGCAAGTTTAGAAGAAAGAGCAGTTATTTTTTTTAGTGATGGACGCTGACTGTTCCCACACAAACACCTATAAAACAAAGTATTAGGTCACTGTCATTCAGCAGTTATCACTGTAAATATGGAGTAAACTGACCTAGTTCCAATATTAGGATAGGATATCAGCTCCGATATTGACAAATTAACTGGATCAGATATTTGATGAATGACTCCGATCCACTCTTTTTTTTCTTTGAATTACTATCATACACAGCAACACAGAGGTTCTGTTCGCTCCAAAATTCCATGTCTGTCTATCCTTTTGCACTAAATGTTTTCATGGAAGTCTTATTCCTTTTTGCTGTTTTGTTAATAAATAATATTAAGTAAATTTGTATCTGTGTTTATTTGTTACCTTTTTTTAACAAGGCTAATGTCAAGCCTGATGCCTTCACTCACAGGATAAGATATACAGTTCATTCATTCAACATTAGTATTGGATCGGTATCGGATATCGGCCGATACACTCAGCCCAGGTATCGGTATCTGACTGGATCAGAAGAAAATGGATCGGTGCATCTCTAGTTTTAATGGTGTATATTCTGAGGTTGTGTGTCAGTTCAGTGATGGTGAAATTAGAAGCATTCATTGGCTAAAGATAAAATAAAAGCATGAACATTGTAAGCAGATGACAAAAAAAAGAGGTGTCACAAATACAAAGACAGCAGCCAGCCATAATACTGTACGCCTGCCACCTTGTGTAAATGAGCTGCCGCTCTCAGGACGCAGAACTGTGCCAGCCATGTAAAGTCCCAGCCTGCCTCTCACCCAGAGTGTTAAGAGGGCAGCAGTCTGGATGCCAGCGTGCAGCCGTGTCCTGTCCACCGCCATGGCATCAGGCCACAGCCCACAGCAGGCTGCCGTGCCTCTGAGGTGCTGAGTAAACACCACTGTGTCAAAGCACAAACAAACTACTGGAACATGTTCGTTGTTTGACTTATTCTCGCCAGTAACCAGTCAAGAACCACTTCCCTGCGTGTGGGTGTGAATTAGTCGGAGCCACAGCAGCAACATCTACAGTGAGGCTTAGCTTTCACACTGACCTGAAGCCTCTCAGTGGGCACTGACCCACCGTCATCCACTTGCTATTGAGTACTACTCTGACTGGTCAGGGAGCACAAAACTGCCTTGTGTTAATAGTTTTTAAATCATCCATTCATAACCTGGGTCTTCTTCTTCTCTCTCTTCCTCCTGTGTCCTTTTTCACCCCTTATTACCGGCTTCATACCATCGGATTAGATGTGCGTCAGCTCATATCTCCACTGAAGTTATCTTGTTGGTAACTGGAGGAACGGGGACTCATAATCAGAGCCATAGAGGACATGGATACAAGAAATCAAAGATGTTCGAGTCGTAGAGAGAGGAAAAGGAGGAAAGAGGGAGTGCTGACTGTACAGTATGGTTGGGTTAATTAAGGGAGAGTCTTGAAGAGCTGGGAGATCAGTCTGCAGGATTTCAATTTCTCCAATCAGCTTGACCCTAGGGTTTCTATGCACCACCTCTCAGTCCAATTAAACTCACCATGCTCTCTCTCTTACAGTGAGGTCTGCAAAGTCATGGATTCACGCGTAGGCTTGCTGACGTAAGTGCGCACACACACACACATAGACACACACACTCATGCACTCTGTCTCACACCCACAGCCTCCAGGTCTCCTAACATTTTCTTACTTATCCCCCCCCACTCCCTTTGTTCTTTTATCACTGCTTTCTGTCAGATATTCTGACGTTCGCAGCGTTCAACTCAGAGAGCCCTGAACTCTCTTTCATTTCAGGCAACTAAAGGAAAGTAGGTCAGGTTCTAATAAGACTCGCTATAAGGACGCTTCAGAGGCTTAACTGTAAGGCACCATCAAGGCAACAATTAGAGATTGTTACACTCGCTTTAATGGGTGTTAGAGTAACAGTAATCTCGATATTGCTCTTCAAGGCTTTGGAAATGAGGTGTAATCTGGTTTTGCACCCCCAGGTGGAGGCATTCTCATGATTTGTGCCATATGGCAGCTCATTCTTTGGGTCCCAGAGAGGTTTGGGTTTACAGCCGTTTGTGAAGAATCATGACAATGCACATATGCAGGATTTTTTTCTGGGACAAAGGAAGGATGTCGATGCACCTTGGAGAACCCTGTATTCTATTTCCAGATCTTCAGTCAATGCTACATTTGACATTTGATGATTCAGAGCTTCTGGTCCATCTATTTCTAACTCTGCTAAGACAATATTTCTCTGCAATTTCAGCATGAAATATCTGTAAAAATAGCAATGGAACATCTGTACCAGCCTAAGTCTGAGACAAAATGACAAGCAAATGAACCTCAAGTTCAAGTTTTTAGGTGATTAAGATATCTATCTGTAATAGATGGAAATAAGAAGTGGAACAGTGGCAGTCTTAACCCTCTACCCATATATTATACACTTACTTCTTCTTTGTATTTTCCTCCCTCCTCATTTTAATTAAATAAACTCTCATCCTCCTTGGAAAAGCTCTTCATAAAATGTCCTTAATTGAATTGGCCGCAAAGAAACTGTAATGCAAAACGGCAAAGGAAAATGGATAATAAAGTGCTAAGAATTAATAGGGGTGTGTACAATGTACAGTAAAACTGCAGGCAGGGAGTGTGGAAAGGCTCTGGTCCAGGCCAATTTTCTGACCTAAACTGTCTGGCCCTTTGTCCCTGTGACTCCGAAAAACCTCCCCCTCTGCCACATCCACCCGCAGCACGGCAGCCACTGGTCAGGAGGGCACTTATAAATCCTTCCCTGCCCGCCTGCTCTGCGAGGGGAGGGGATGGAGAGTCCTTCTTATTCACGCTGGCTAATGTTTTACAGGTTTTACCATGGGGGTCAGTCACTGTGGGTCATTTGCGTCATCGCTGGAGGGAAGGGAACTATTGAGGTGGGCCTGCCAGAGTGGATGGGGCTGTGTGCAGCAGGGAATGAGGAACACACTTTTGTTTGGGTGAAGATTAGCGCACACACGCACGCACGCACGCACGCACGCACGCACGCACACACACACACACACCTAAAAGCTGTTTGGCTCACACACCCTGCAACACTCTCTCACTCTCATGCAGCAGCTTTTATAGCAAACTCACACACAATTGCATGTGCTTCCAAACACTCACATGCACAATTTTCATCCCTTTATACATTTCACACGCTGGCACTGTGTCTGCACTCTGGCTTCTGTTTACCCCTCCCCTGTTCTTCACACTTTCTTACTCTTCTTATTTCTCAAGTGTGACTAATGGGATTTCTCGTCTTTACGTTTCCTGGGAGGGACTTAGTCTGATCCTAAAAGAAACCAAGTCTCAACCATAGATAGATATGTCTGTCTCTCAGGGTGAACGCATGAGCCACACGGAGGATGCAGCCCGGTGAAAACCTCACAGGGAGTACTCCATATTCTGACCTCAAAAGCTCTACAATGAGATGGCATGAAGTGTGTCACTGACACTGACACACTTCATCTCTCTAATAGGTGGGATTGTTCGAGCTGATTTCATGAGGTTTAGGAGTTAAAGCTTCTTGTTTTGTTTTCTGTTATATTGAGTAGCAGTGGCCTGTGGTGATGAGATTTATGACTTTTGATGCAACAAAAAATAACAATCACTGATTTTAATAAACTACACAGACTGGAAACAGCTTTAACTTAATGACCCAACAAAATCAATTTTGTGTGTTACAATTAAGACTATTGTAAAACAACCAATCAGATGCATACTAATAGTAAATATCAATAGTAAATATCGAAACCATCACCATGGTTAAAGCCTATCTGTTACTCTAGCTTTGGACATAAAAAACAAAGCAAATTCAGCTCAAGATACTATGGAGATAGAATTGTGTATGTCTTACAAGCGAACAGCTGCCTGATAGTTGTAACTAATGTTAGTCTCATTGATGAAAGAGACTGAAATCCATATTGATGTTTTTATGGAATAAAGAAGCAGACAAGATCGTTAGCGATAAGATTGATAAGTTTAAAAGGGAAAAAAAAAACAGTGTGAGGGGGCAGATTTGAGCAGAGCCAGTGAATGAAGTTCTGTTTTTCCATTTTCAACATGTTAACATACATTTGACAGTTAAAACAGTTAAAAGTCGGCAGGGTGAGACGTTTCATCAAAAAATACCTCTAAAGCACAAAATGGACCATATAAGCAAAGACTGCTTTGTCCACAGGGGGGCACAAAAACTGAGACAAATTGTTACGTCCTCTGAGGAGCTTTAAAATGTTCAGTTGACTGTCAGCTACCATGTTAGTGCTCACTCACAGCTGGAAACACAAGTCAATCAGTCACTAATTGGTGACTGACTCTTCCTCTTCACACTATTATTAGTAATTAAGCACAAACTTACTGTAATTTAACTGAACCCACACTCACCCAATCACCCTTGCAATGATTAAAACACAACTGTAAAATCCTTTAGAGCTTTACAGTTCAACAGACAACAGGCTCCATATATTCAATGTGAATCACATTTGATCTACATTTAGAGCATTGTGGCCTTTCTAAACAACACAAATCTTTATTGATTTATTTACAATTGACTATTTGACTAGTTGACTGTTGCCCTAATGTGCCAATGTGGTAGTTAAAGGCGTTATCTTGTCAATTATTTTAATATAAACTGTATTTCTATTAGTTCAAAACTACTAGTGGGAGTCAGGGCGGGGGCTGTTAACCTCTGTCCTTCTGCCACTGTTGGTCTTATTACTGGTTTTTCTGTACTCGTGAGCTCTGGCCGACTCCTTCACAAGCAGTTCGGTTCCCATCTCAGCACATTCAGCTGGGTGAAAGACGAGGGTTTTGGCCAGGGTAGACCTGGCAGCCCACCTCCTAACAGCATGCCAGCACCATTAGTGTATAATGGACCAGTCAGGATTACTGCTGGGGCCTAGGGAGAGCTGAGAAGCAAACACTGCTCTCACTTGTTTGTTTGTTTTACAAGCTTGTGCTCTGTTCAGTCTGCAAGGTGCCAGTGAGCTTTGTGTGGTTTAAGTCACAGTTGATTCAACAATAGTGGCCACTCTGCGGCCACTGCACACTTGATTCAGAGAGTTATGGGGGGACACAAAGGTTATGACACTGCAATCTATCTAATAAAGCTCTGCTTAATCTGAACTAAAGACATTTAACTTACCCTGTCACTAACTAAGTGGCTGATACGCCCCCACCCTCACCTGTCTGATCAACTTATAAGAAACACATCAAGAAAACAACAAACTGTCTATTGCCTGCTTTTCATGGTAGACAGCTTTGAGACAAAGAGATCATTTCCCTGTCATCCATCAACTTCATGCTTCAGCCCTTCAGTCTGTTTCTATTTTCCGTCAGCGTATGGTTATACTGATTTATTTGTCTCCTTACAGGCTCTATGTAGCGTCTATGAATTACGTTATGAAAGTCTGGACCACTGAGAGCGCGAGCTGATAAAAAGAGTTAGGCCACATTCTCGGCTGTTTAGCTGCTGACAGCAGGTCTCATTTCAGCGATGAAAAATGAACACATTTGTGCAAGTTGAGTTCTCAGTGAAGGTTTCAGACAGCAGGGCTGGGTGCTATAGTTCCACTGTAAAATGTTTTTATGAAGCCATAAGTCTGAGTGGGACAAGGGGCCATATTCCAGTGAAAGGAGGCGGTCTACGTCAAACGGGGGGTTCAAAAATGATGAACAGTTAAAAAACAAAACAATGTGGACATGAGAACTGATAGAAACACACTGAACTTTATATGACATTTAAATTAATGAATGCTGAATCTTCATTTCATCTGAAAACAAAGTTTAGTTAGAGGCTATATGGGAATATGTGCATGCATGCTTCCCCCCATGCATACATTATTTCATGTTTTATTCACAGGTCTTACTCAGCAAGGTCTGTGCCCCATGTTTTGTCTGTGCTCATCAGAGAAAGGACCACACACACACACACACACACACATACACAGATATACACACAACCACTTCGGCAGCACATAGGGCATTTACAATCCCATCAAGATTCCCACAGGACTCCAGTAAACAAACAGACAGCGACTGCCCGCTCAAGCATATGCCTTTAAATCACATCTCTACAGGCTTTATAAATCACTGAGGTAGAAATATGAGCGTTCAGTCACGACAGCACCTATGTTCTGACTGATGGACACAAACATGTGTGTGAGTGTGTGAATGCAAGCGCCCAGTAAACAGAATGTGTACCTGTGTGGGGGCATAAATCTCTGCTTCCTCTTTTTGCAGGTGGATGGATTTGCTTTACAGAGACGGTCCCCCAGGAGAGGCTCAGGCCGGCCTCAGGGGCGGGCAGGTTTTCCTCTATTAGGTAGTAAAATGCTAGCATTGTCGGTGGAATTCACAGGGGGGTTCGGGTTCTCCCTCATAGAAGTAATGTAGGGGTCTACAGAGAACATGCAAATATGGGAATACAAGAAATGGCCTCCCTGACACACCCTTAAGAATGAGCCATCATTCTGATAGCTTTAGAGACCTGGCTGGGAGCAAACAGGGGGATCAGATGGAGAAGGTTCTGGTGGTCCTCAAGGGAAATACACCACAGGCCCTATGAGTGACAGAAAGCCATCTACTCCGATAACACCCTAGCTGGAGTTCACGAAGGCCTAGGAAGCGATACACAACACGACCTGTCTCATGGCTTTGTGTCTCACTCGCCTGTGATGATAACAGAAGATACTGTAGCAGCAGCTCTGGCTCTACAAAGATATATCATGATGTATGGGTCTAGCTGAGATCTGCTAAAATGACAACAGCTCTGTGACTGGACCACCCAGAGGGACCGTTCACAGGTCTTCAGCAGGAGCTTGTTTATCTTAAACTGTGAACCTGTGAGTGGATGCATGTGTTGTATGTTTTTATAAGTGATTGTTGCATGCTCTGTTCGTGTTTATTGTAAACCAGTATTGGAGAAGAACTGAGATCCTTTACTTCAGCACACAAATAAAACAATTCACATGATTCACTTATGCTTTATGCATTCAATGTTTAATTGAAAGCAACAACTTTGTTTTCAGGGGCTCAGGAGACAGGACATAATGTTAGAAGAGAGGCTTCGTTTGGTATCGTACTCCTTTATTGGTTTTCTAAAGGAGTGAGGAAGGAGAGAGTTACGTTCATGCTACGGTTTCCCCAAGACCAACTCTAACAGTGGCAACATTTTGCAAGATATCCAAGATAGAGGGAGTGTCTAACACAAGGACTGCTCCAAATAAATGCTACGGACAATGCAAACACAGCTCTGTACTTACATGCAAAATAAGAGTGTTTGTTCTATTACTGTGCTAGCTACAGATAGTTTAAATATTTGTGTTTTTTAAATGTTTGTGTTTTTATTAGGGGTGTCCCCATACGATACTAATACCTGATATCTGTCCGATATCAGCAAAAGAAGGAATACCGGATTATATTGGCCTGCATCTAAAATCTTCAATATCAGCACTCCAATACAAGCAGTCCATTCCAGACTCCGCTTCGGCACCTCTATCTAGCAGCGCCCTGATCCAGCAAGCTGAGCCCACAAAATCACAGCTACAGTGTGGACTAAGGTACTAACAAAGTAGCAATGCGCAGGCGTGATGTTGGCCTTGTGGCAGTATTTTTTGTTAAGTCTGAAAAAGACGTTGCAGCTGAATGAAAAACTCTTCATGCTAATTTTTTTTGCCAATATCAGATCAATATTGGTATCAGTCAATATTGAAGGCTACAATAATGGTATTGTATCAGAAGTTAAAAAGTTGTATCGGGAAACCCCTAGTTTTTATCCAAAAATCTGCTGATCAGTGTCAGCGCCTCATAAATACAGAGGAGTAAGTCGGTAAGTAAGTACAATCAAACTGGAAGAAGAATTATGAAATCAAATTACTCTGTGTATTTACATAGATATAATGCATGCTACAAATACATTCATAGAAAGCTGATCCTTTGAGCGTTAAGAACCACATGTCTGTGATTTGATCCCTGTTCATCCATGTATAAGTGAACAGTAAACATAGTTGATCCCTCTGCCTATGAACGGCGGTGTTTTCACGTCTTTGTGAGCATGCAGATGTGCAATAGCCTTCATCTATGAACGTGTGCTCAGGATCACGAGCAGCATGACACCCGACAGCAAGTTAAAAAAACACTGTTAAAAACGGTGTTCGTTTGCTGTTTAAACATGAGACGTATCCTAGTGAAAATACACACAGAATTTGTTTCTTTTTTTTACACTCAGCGACACACTTCACTCCTCAATCCCCCTGATCAGAGCGAGTGGTGAAACCCACCACACACACACACACACACACACACACACACACACACACACACACACACACACACACACACACACACACACACACACACACACACACACACACACAAGACCAAACAGCTACTTGTGTTTACCTTGCCATGTGACTCAGGCTACAGTGCGCCCAATGACGTCAGCTCACATTCCTCACATTCATCAGTCTCAGTTCTCACTGATAGTGTCTCAGATGGGGAACAGAGGGAGTAGAGATCATACATAATAAAAGCAGCAATCATTCACTGGTCCTGTGTTTGCTATTTTTATCTCTTCCTGATAAAATAAATAGGCTCTACTCTGTTTTGCCATCTGTTTTCATAGGCAGTGTGTACGCTCATGAAGAGCTTTAGCCTTAAATATACTCCTGCTCGACTTACAGTATATAGAGTTACTGTATATATTCAAATCTGTTACCCAAAGATGTACTCTTGTAAAAAACAAAAACAGCCAACTGCATAAAATGGCAACACTTTGTGTAAAGTATTTCTTTAGCATGTTGGTTCTTAAGCTTTATGTCAAACACGTGTATTTTCCATTTGTTTTATTGCAGGGAACAACAGTGTAAACGTGGTTCCCACAGTTTCAGGTATGTGCAATAGTCTACAGTGAATGAATCATTGTGTGTTGAAGGCACTGTCAAGGCTGCCAAAGCTAGTGGGAGATTAAACTTTTTTTTGTGAAACAAGGCAGCTCACCTCCTACTAGAAAGCACACACGAGAGTCTGGAGTGAATAATTTATCAGGCACAGATGGGTAAGCACTAATCAATACATTCTGACAGAACGACACCAGACCATGAAGGACATGAACTATATCCTGAAGTTTAGATGTGGCTAATTCAACCCAGCAATTCAACCCAGACACAAACTATTATAACAAACTGTTAACTTAGTGAGGTGAATTGAAAATGATTGATTTTCGATGTATTAGCAAAGTCATTAGGAAGTCGTCACCCAAAGCATGGGTTAACTGTTAATGCATTGACAGCAGTTCTTTCAGTTCAAGCTGCAGTGCGTTTATTTTATTCCAGTCAAGCACAATAACTTGGTTTTCCAATCTACCATAGTTATACCTGTGCTGCGTTAATCTCTTAAGAGCACAGAAACACCTGTGTTGGTCATGAAACTACCTAAAAAAACAAAAGTTCTGCTAAAAAAAAAACTGCGTTCAGTGGTCTATCCTGGGCTGCTGTAACAACATAAAAATTTAACATCCTCAACAAACCTTGAAGAGGATCCATTTTTCTACTTTGTTAGGCTCAGACAATGATAGAAACTGCCCTTGTCAATTCCCTCAAAGAAATGTTCCCCTTGTTTGTCAGTGCGTTTCTTTAAGTGCATACACAACAGTGGGTAGAAATTGGAATATTTAGCGCTATCTAGTGGTCAGATGAGACTCTAGACTGAAACGCTCCCTTGCTCTCCCCTCCGCAAGCAACTGTGATCATTGAAGAAAATAAATGCTTTTAATGCATGATCGTTATGATCCTCCATTTGCCAAGTTTTCCCCACCAAAACCATCTACCAATATAAATTATTGGTTTGTCTGTGCTGCAGTAGTAACATAGCAGTGCAAGATGGCAGGCTCAGCAGAAACACAACTATTTTTTAGTTAGGTAATGAAATGCCAATTTAAATTTACTTATGAATATCGTATCTTATTTCTTCCCAGTTTTTCTACCCGTAAATACTACAAACTGCACCTTTAATACTCTAAAAACAAAAAGTGAATTGAAGCACCAACTGTTTATACTGCTCAAACCAAAGGCTTTCTTTCAGTCCTACAGTTTGTACCACATCCACCCAGAACTGAGGGATAAGCATTTAAAAACAATCCAAGCAGCAACCTTATTAGTTAAGCACAAATATCCTTGTTTTTGTTTATATGTGTACATCCACAGCAAAAATGGCCGCTTCGCACGGCAGCTTCGCACTTGCACTCTGTTTCCAAAAGCCGAAAACGAACTCTCAGGACACTGAAAGTTTAAAACAACAAAACAACTGCACAAGAGCTTCTTTTTCTTAGCCTTTTCTAAACAGTTCACTCTGCTGCACAGCTGAGGAAACAATTAGCTAAAACCTTTGCCTTTTACATTCTGCTCCCCACGCCATGGTCAGAGGACACAACAAAACAGCAGGGTCATCTCGCTACTGGAGCACAGAAAACATGATGGAGGCTATGTTTAACCTCATCTACTCTCTACACTGTCCAATTCCTCTTTTGTTTTTCTCTTAATTGGCCAATCAGTAAGAGTGGCAGGATAATTCATCAAACAATGAAAAGAAAAATGAATCCTGATTTGAAGATCGTGTTCAGCAGAGGTTCACATCCCATAGTTGTGGGTCTGTAGCCTGAAGCCTGAAGCCAGTGTGACTTCTCAACTGTAATTGCTGTAATTGCACTTTCTGCAGAGCATGTAAAAGCAGCAACAAATAACTCTACTGCAACTCTGGATAAATGACGCTCATTGGGATTGTTGTTTTCACAATCCTGGCTCGCAATAGCAAGGCGTAATCCAGTAAAATGCAGAGTAGTTTGATTAATAAAGGAGGCAGACTAGAAGAGAGGTATCATAAAACCAAGCTATAAACAGTTTCAACTGCATGGCTGATAAGGCTTTACTGTGAGGGACCACTCTGCCTACAGTTTAAGTAGAAACGGCATAACTTTGAGCAGATGCTCATTTTTGACTTGATTAGAAAAATCTGCATGTTTATGATTAGTATGCGCACATTAATCTAATAGAAAACAGACTCCAGAGAAAATAAGTTCTCCCATATAACCTGATTAGTACAGCTGCATCAGCCCGGACCAAATGGCTCTGGTGCAGACACTCGCGAGGATAATAGGGGGGTTGAGCAGAGCTCACAGATCTGGCCGACACTCACAAACTGGAAAAAACCCAGAAAACAAGAGGGGAGAAAGAAAACTGCACACAGACCTCACCCAACCTGCATCCACATCCAAAACATTCACTGTCAGTGATTGCAACATTACAGAAAATAATCAGCGCAGCAATTACCAGCTGTCAGAGGTTGGACGCCAATCGTTAAATGACGCCTGTCAGGGTGATGGGAATTTGTTTCAGAAGAACTCACCATTTTCCATGTGTCACATTTCATTCATATCTTTATACACTGAGATACAAACCGGTGGATTAACAGTGATGGGCTGGAACACAACAGCATGGCAGATGAGAGGGGTTCACTTAAAGGAATAGTTCCGTATTTCTGGGTTACTTTTTACTTTCTCTTGCTTAAGAGCTGGAGGAATTAAAGCTCATCTTAAATGTTTATTTGAGGAGGTGAGCTCAGTCTGGTGTAAACGGTACAGATTTGATGACTGCTGTTTTCATTGATTAAAAAAAAAAGATATTCATATAAATTTGTGAGATTAGACATAAACTGCCTGTATTTATTCAACCCCAGGTCTTCAGTGTTTAGACTAAGCTCAGCTAAGATAACTGTCTTTTTGCTGTAGCTTCAAAATAAAGGCCTGGTTTCACAGATCACAGATTGTTTGTTTTTTGCCGTAGCATCCATGAACCTAACAGTACTTTTCGCTGGTGTTTAGTTTTGCAATGTTGCAAGAGTTGTCTAATATCATTTCCACCCTTCCCTGATTTGTTTTGTTTTAAATTGTCCGCAAAGACCAACATTTGCATTAATCAAGGAAATTTAAAAAGAACATCATTAGTTATGGAGGATGAGCTCTAAGGGCCTGATCTACAAAAGGTGTAAAAAAACAGGCACAAAACCAGGTACACCGAGGATCACGTCTGTTAAAGAGATATTAAGGTGTAAAATTAAGTTAGGGTCAAACACACAATGACACTGAGTTAGACACCCCCTCAAGAGATGAATGTTGCAGTCGCTTGCTTCTCTAGTTATACCAACTTTAGTAACGACTGCAGGATATCAATACACAATAGCCTACGTCTCAAAGCGCAAACCTCAACCAAAAAGCCACAAAAAATGCTCAGAACAGCACCTAACTTCATCAAGCACTCACCATCAAACATCATTTTGGCTTTGCCTGATTTCTTTAGCAAAGAGACCAAACACAACTCACCCACTCTCCTCCAGCAGCCGCTTGTTTGTGGGGAAGCCCTGACGAGTCGATCACCGAGTGATATTTTATGGCCGCGAGAATCTGATATTATGACAGCCCTGCATAGAATCCTGTCCTGGCGTTAACAGCAGCTCAGACCTCTTAAAAACAAATGTGCAGTTATTTTCTCTACTGTCCTTCCTGTTGACAACAATGGCAGAGGAAAAAACGGAAATGGTGTGATCCCAATTGATTTTGATTGGAGGTTAAGGCCGGAGGGGCATGGACAGCAGGTACTGTTAGCGGACACAGGCCCTAAAAAGATGACAGATAGAGGTTTGTATTTACCTCTTGGCAAGGACACAGACAAACACATTTTCTTATCTGTCAAAGTCTCTGAAAATGAGTTTTAAAGTCAGCTTGTCCTCTCTCCATTCTGTATACAATCCCTCTGCCGAGCTGGCAGTGCCATTCTTAACAGTGGGCAACCAGGGGACCCATTCTGTCAGAAAAGGCCTTGCTTCAGGCGATAGCACCCTCAGCTGTGGCTCACTGGGTTATAGTTTGATAGTGCTCTGAGAGTGTGGGTCACAACTGCAGTCACGTGCATCAATGGGCTCAGCTCAGCCTGTCCCCAGGCTTCAAAGACAAAGTCAAGGCCAAGTCAGACAGAAGCCAGTTGTGACTCCAGGCCGAGCTGTGGGGCAGAACTTATTCAATAGTCATCATCTGGTATGAGTGCTTTTCTGGTAAATATGAAACACCCTTTTCATTTCTTTTTCTCCAGAGTGAGCTTTCATACACACACACCTGTACCTGTGTCACAGCCTATTCTCACTGCTGGGTCCTACCTGATTGAAAAATGAAGATGGATGGTGCTATGAAGCAAGCTCTGATGATTAGTAAGTGACACTGAGCCTATCATGGCGATCGTTTGCCCAACCCAAACGCATCAGCCAGACAAGCAGTCAGCCACCAATCACACTCTTGACTGGATGACTGACAGGGTCCAGTGTGCACATGACAAAGAGGCGGGCGGTCTGACAGTTATCCCTCTTTTTCTCAGCAGCTATACGGCACTTTCAATAGGGGGAGGAAATGGGTTGGAAATGGGCAGTGTGATGCTTTCAACCCCGGCCCTTCTAAGCAGTAACTATAGACACAACACACAGTCAGTAATGGACACACTCTGTTTTTGGTGAGCCAGATAGACCCGCCTGTGCGAGGAAGAGATTTATAAAGGCCTGTTTTTGACAATTTAATGTCTCCAGGCTTGAAAGAATTACCCTATGGACAGATTCTGGCTATCATGCGAGTGGAGTCCAAATGTGCCTGATTTATTTTGAAACTCTATTAAAAAAATTAAGAGATTATTTTAGCACTCAAGCGAACATAAAACTTGACAAGTGATCATTTTTCATGATACTCCTTTTTCAGTGCAGAGATAAACCAAACCTGACTCTATAGAACACTGTAAGCACTCCAGGGATTCCTGGAGCTGTACAAGCCGCACTGTATGGAGGCATGAATACACATGGGAGTATGTTTCCTTTTCATTAGAGCGAGGAAAGTGAAAGGAAAAGGCGAAAACTATACAGAGGAAGAGCCTGTAGAAACGAGAGGGGTCGGCCGTTCATTGGAATTCAGCAGTGCATGAAAGGCAGGGAGAAAAATGAATACATCTGGCGTGGAAATAGGAGAGGTGGTTTGTCGGGCGTCACAGAGTTTAGACTAGAGAGAGAGGGAGAGGGAGAGGACAGAGAGTAAAATGGGGCTAATCATGAAAGAGACAGAGCTGGGAGGCAGGAGGAGACAGAGGATGACTAAAATAGGGACGGCAAAGTATAGAGAGGAGAGGCTCGGAGTGACACAGAGAGATGAAGATGAAATGAGAAAAAAAAAATCGAGGAGGTGGATAGTAAAAGTGTGCGGCTCTGATCATATGAGCACATTTTCGAAACTTCAGATTAGGGGGAGGTGATTTTAGCTCCAGGGGTAATGTCTCCATCCAGAAAAGGAGCTTTGAGCGCACACAGGACGAGATGTGGGGGAAAGAAAGAAAGAAAAAAAATGAAGCGCACCTCCCCAGAGTGGGGAGCACTGTGTTACCATGGAAACAGCTCTGACGTCAGAGCAGGCATTATGTGATTACTCATAGAGTCTGTTGAGGAGAGGGCCAATAAAACAGGGACCATTACTCACACACAGGGAGATGGCCGGAGCTCATGTTACACACGTGCACACACACACACACACATACACGCACACAGCAGACACATTAGCAAAAGCATATGTGCACATACTGTGGTAGTACAAACTCATTCTAACAGCTCCACCTTAAATAAAAAGCAGACTGGTGATAAAGTGTGTGAATATTTTTACAATCCAGACGCAGGAAAATCGTCACTTTTTTTACAAGGGCTCCTGGTTTGGAATGCAAAATGTGCAAATTCAAGGTTTACTCAATAACCTTGGTGCTAAAAGCAGAAGTAATAACCTGAACAGTCATTTCTCAGTGCTTAAAACCTCAACACGAGCGTCCCTTCAGTGACAGCAGACCACAAGCCTGAGTGAGCGTCCCAAAAGCGAGGGGGGCAAACATCACCTCATCAGCACAACCACAAGCAGCAATATCACCGGCAGAATCTGCGTGTTCTGCATTCCACACACTCTGACCCATGTCTGACAAAGAACATCAAACATGCACGCTGATATGTACGCCGTTGTGCGTCACGACATACACACACACACATACGTGCACACTTCCTCTCGCCATCTCCCACACATTATCCTCTGGGAGTTAAAACACTGTTAAGGCCGATAAGGATCCAGGCAAACAGTGTGGATAAACAGTCGCTCTGGTAATTAAGAACAACGGGCCTATCAGAGGAGAGTATGTCGAGACAAACGTGACCCAGACTCCATTACTGGGGCCGTGCACATTCCCAACACAAAGACCATTAGGTGAGTCCAGACAGGCTGGGCCAGTCTCTCAACAACTTAAAAAAAAAAGTGTGATTAGTTTTGGTAAACTTAAAGTTGTAATCATGTTAACCATGACTCATCCAAACTGGCCACTGTGGACCTGTGGGGTCACAGAAAAATACCTGTTATTTTAATTCAAGGAGAACACAAATGTTCAAACTTACAATACTCATTAGATTCATAAAACAAATGCTGCTGGAACACAACATAGAAAATAGACCAACTTTACGTTTTTACAAAGGGCTTCCCAAGTGCAGAGCGTGTTCTTACCAAACGATCAATGGATCAAATCACAGAATCCAAATTTACAATCTCAAATTTGAGGAAGGGAGTTTACATCCACAGTGGTTTCAAATACATTTACCTCTTTATGGACTGGTTCAATTGGTTCTCCCACTGTGTTGCCACCAGTAAACTGTTTTAATGTTTTTTCACTTGTAAAATATAACACTTTTAACCAAGTCTGTAATTCGAAATGCCACAAGATACTTTACACTGCACCTGAACAGATAAAGATATTGATGTAAGTGTTTCCTACAGGATGATACTAAACTTGTGGTGGGATACGGTTGTTGAGTAAACTGTGAATAGGGTGGTTAATTTGTTTACTCTGCTTTGTTCTCAAGTTTATTTAGTTTGTGTCTACGAACAATTTTAACTTTCTTCTAGCTCTGTAACCTCACACACACATACACACAGTCTCTCTCTCTCTAGTCTCTTTGCCGTGCTCTGTTTTTGACTTTTTGATGATCTTCATCAGCCCTTTTTTATCAAGACGCTCCAATAACACAGTTTGTGTTTGAAAATGTTTCCTTCACCGTTCCATTATTACAACACAACAGCTGGTTAATGATGTAAGGGTTTTTGCAGGATGACATCTGTACAACCAGCTGTACTTAAGTTTTAAAACAGAGTCATTTCTAATAGGAGATATTTAATTATTGCAATAACAGGAGTGTTGTGGGACCTGCCTTTCTCTCTGAACACCTGCAGATTATCAGAGGATGTAAAGGGGGTCAGCAAATATGACTGTGAGACTGAAACTGGACCTTTAATATACTTGCTGACATGTAAATCTGACTGAAACTGCATCAAGTTGAATTTTCTCACAGTTGGACTGGCATACCTAGATGGTGCAATGGGGTTCAATATTCTCTTGCACGTATACACTTTTATCAGACCCACAGCGGCCTTGGTGTTCTTTGCATGCTCCACCGTTTGCCCGGCAGGCTTTGACCCTGAAGTCAAACAGTATAAATGACAGAAGGGAAAGAAGAGAGGTCAAAACAGAGAGGTACAGAGCTGTGAAGGTGTTCATTTTCTCATCGTTCGACACGCACCTACTTAGCCTTGGCTAACTTGCTTGTCAATTGTTTCGTTCAAACAAAGTTATTGGTTTTTGTAATGTAATTGGTCAACTGGAAGAAACAATAGAAACTGGTTCAAAGAGCATATCACCACTTAGTATAACAGAGGTGAACATGATTTTTACTGGGAGATCATGCTTAATCACGCATGTAAACATACAGACCAAACATGTTGGCATTACATTTTTAGACAAGATGCATCTAAAGATGGCATCAGGCGAACTCTCTGCAGTTTCATATTTTTACTAACAAACACTTAATGTCTCTTAGAGAAGTATAAAGACTGAAGAATCTTTCTGGAGAAAAGAAGAACTGTAAGCCATAGTTGTTGTTGTTTTTTTTTTGTTTTGTTTTGCATTAAACACAGTTTGAAATACTTTCCATGTATTAAAGGTTCACAAATAAGCTGCTAATTAATTAATACACAAGGGAATACTTGTAATTTCATCCTTATGCTTCACAGTGAGTTCTGTAAACATAAAACATGTGGTTCTAATTAAAGCTCCCATGAAGACTTTTTGATTGGTTTGAAAGCGGACAGAAATGACAGTGATGCATCTCTAAAACGTACAAAAGCAAATGAGACTGACAATTTTCATACTGTAATTCTAAGTGCCTGTAACGTCACAAGGGATAAGTACACAGGAAAAAAACAGCCTGTGTTACTTTTCCTACTGCAATGTTGGGCTGTTATCAACCAAAGAAAGTCTTGGTCGACTAAAACCCTCAAATTTTCGACCAAAAATCAACTAATCTGGGGGGTGGGTGGGGGGTTCTAACTTTAAGGACAAACCCTTCTTTGGCGGGGGGTGGCGCCACAGAAGGGCTGTCGAGTGATCCGTCGGGTTGGGCGAATCCAAGGGGAATGTTCTGAGAGAGGCTGTTACCTGTGAAACGGGGGTGCTCTGAAAACACCCCCATACATATTTGGTACATTCCTTCTGATAAAATTTACCATAGACTGTAAAATGACGCAAAAAAATTTGAGTCGACCATCAGAATTTGGGTCGACCCTGCACATATCGACCAAAAAGTCAACCAGTCGACTAGGACTTTACAGCCTTACTACAATTATCAACAGTCAGTGATAAAGCCGACTGTAAAAAGAACACAACTGGACATTTTTGTCAGTTACCACTGGTTAAACAATTACAAGACACATTCAGCAACAATATAAGGGTTACCACACGAGGCAGCAAAATCAACACAGACAGAAAATTCCTCACTGGAGCTCTGATAACGTAAATGATAAATAACTGTGATTGCCATGCATTACCTGCCATGACTTTTGTTCACAATAACAGATCTGGGTCTAATCTCATAAACATATCTCTTCACTACTGCAGACTGGAATCTCTGCTTGAAATAAGTGCTGCTCCAGTCAGAAGTATCTCTGTATCTCTCCGGTCACACATGGAGCTACAAAAGTGAGCCCCATCCAGTGACAATCCATCCTCCTCTGCAGTAGTTTCATTTCTATCCTTAATGTGCATGACGCAAGCTCTGTTATTACATTTGGAACAAGTGCTCCATGTCACTTGTCTGCCACAAATGTGACTGAGCTTTTACAAAAACCTGATATACTTCGCTCTGCACCATCGCTAATGTGGTTACAATGAAACCAAATCGGAGTTGATCAGATTAGAGGTTAACAAACCCTTCAGCCCCCCCTCCTTCTGCCAGTCCCTGCAAAGGGTGTGATTGGACTTATTTGATCACCTATTGGAAAACACACATGTGCACATCCATCCATCACAGTGTGGCTGTGTGTGTGTGTGTGAATCATGTTTGTGTGCTGAAACAAGCTGCAGTCCACCTGGCAGGCCATGAACTTAATGAGTCTCATATTCACGCAGTATGCACAGCTACATCCGCTGCCTGAGGCTCCCACCAGGTGTTACGACACACAACATATTCTGAGAGCGTAAGCATCGTCCCGTCAGAGGGCTGAACTTCTCGTAACAACACCGCCACCGACAGCATACCACCCAGAAGGAACAGCTCTCTTTAAAACTTGACTCTAATTACATCAGCCGACTCTAACAAACCTTTCTGGGAGCTCCAAACAGGATGACTGAGTTACTTCCCAACAGTCATTTATTTTTAACCAACTTCAGTTACATATTATCGCACTTTGTATGATCATGTGCTCAGCTGCACTTGTAATTGTAGCACATTCAGTTTAATAGACACACAACTCTATGTTTATACAAAGATAATAAACTGCAGGTGGAGAGATTATAACGGTTTGTCTTAAATCTTTTTGGTTAGTGCCTCTTCAAATCATTACTATTTCAAACAACAAAGTAAATTAAAAATACATATGTAATTAAAGATAAAAGACAAATTAAATGGGACTGTAATGTTCAATAGATGACAAAATCAGGATAGACCTACTCAAGATTTTTCAGCAGGACATTTTCAGAATAGCAGTCAAAAATTTGGAGGTAATGTTATTTATGTAGGACACAGGAGCCAAAAACCAACCAAGAGATTTATATACAATTAACAACACCCTAATACTGTTCTTAAAAACTGATTTTTTTTTTCAAGAATGCAATTCAGTGTTTTTGTTTTGTTTTGTTTTTCACTGTAAAGGCCATTTTTTACAGAGGTGTATGATGAACTTTAAAAAAAAAAAAAAAAGGCCCAAAAAATCTGAAGTTCAACCAGGGCCACTAAAAGTATGTGATATATCAATATGTCAATATTCTCTACCAAAAAGTGCCAAGTCATCATTTAAAAAAAAACACATTGCTTTAAACCTTTTACTGTCTAAATGAAAAAAGTGCATGCATTTTAGCTGTAAAAGCAATTCTTTGCTCCATTTAATCAAACAAGTTAGCAAATTTTAAACACCCAATTAAAGCTGTGATCAACATAAGAAGCAGTTGTTGCATGGTTGTGTGTCAGAGTCAATAGTCCACCTTTAGTACTCCATTTCTACAACAATCATTTCAGAGCAACTAGTGTTTCTGTTTTCAAGAGTGACGTATTAACTGGTGACTTTCCGCTTCATGTGTCTGTGGTTGTAATTGCTGTTGTAAGACAAAAAACAGTGTCCCCATGAATGCACACCGTTTTAATGTCAAAATTCACTCATTGGACACATTTTTAGTAAAAAGCAAAATAAAAACTAAGGGCATTTATGAGAGACACATTTGGCTGAAAGTCACCAATTAACAGGGTAACAGCTTTCATGGAAACGCTGATGTCTGTTGCTGTGGGCTATTAAATGTGCTTTCTGTGTCCAACCTCATTTTAATCTGGTTCTGACTACAAATGAATATTAACCCAGTTTTGACTGTGTTTGTCATGAGAGAGTCGGTTTTCAGAACAAATCACTGCAGGTAAAAATATTAGGAGGTATGGAAAAAGATGACTTTTACCCCGATAAGCAGTTGTGGTTTCCTGTCCGCCTATAGTTTTCTTGTTTATTATGACCCAGGTCTCACACAAAGTATTCTTAAGTGCTTGTCTTATGCTTGGGAGGATTCCCCATTTCAATAGACAAACTGAGCGTCCATGTCTTGATATCTGACCATCTGTAAAAGTCCACAGATAAAGCAGACGTAAGTAATGACTATCTTGTGCCCTTAATTTGTCTCAGGTGCACACTTGAAACGTCTGCCAACTGAATATTTGTCCACTTACTGATGTTTTGTAAACTTACTGATATCACACAGATGTGGAAAGAATTCACCGATTGTCTGTATTCTAAGAGCTGTGATATTTGGTTGTAAACCCCCTTGCACAACCATTTTACTCAACTGTCCTTAAAATGCGCACACACCCCTCTATAGGGATATAAATGGATTTCAGGGTAGTTTACTCCGTGTTTTTTGCAGCATTTGTTTTTTGCTACTTAATGTTGTTAATTGGATAAAAATCAGAGCCATAAAAAACATATAAAACACTCCTGTTTGTCTCCAACACTCTCAGTACAAATGCTTCCCTGGTTTTTAAAAAACAGCGAGAAATGTCAGTGAGAAACAGTTGGCCTTGCAAGGAAGTATCCTGGCCTGGCCTGGCCCGGCTCCATACATGGCCCAGTCAACTCAGTCCCAGCAACACAAATATACTAATGAATCACAGCTGCGGGGTCTGAAAAGCAGACTTTACTTCTTTAAGAGCTCTGTAAAATATCCCTCACTCTCCCCTTTATTCCCGCTCCTCTTAGTAACGTCAAACAGGTAGACCTGCACTCCTGAGAGCAATCCCAGCGATCATTATAGTAGCTCTCTTTCAGTGGTAAGTGTGTCACAACTGATGAGAGCTCAATTTCATCCGCGTCTCTTTACTCATGATCCCAGACTTCCTTAGACCAAATGTCAAATTTCTCACGGTTTATGATCCAAAAAGCAACCCAGGAGGATATGAGTGTTATATTTTTGTTGTGGCTCATTCTGTGTGAGAGTGAGGGTTTATTTTGCAGTGCGGTGTCACTGTCTGTGCAAACCTGCAGTCAGGAAGCCCTGTGGATATAAACAGCTTGGCCAGAGCAACACCACCAGGTTAGCGGTGAAGGGCACGAGCAGACTTTAAAGAGCGTGTGTGTGTCCACCATGCATCATCTCCCCTAATGTTTTCTCTCAAATGTGACCCTTGGTTCCAGTTCCTCTCCAGCAGCTGACCACCATATGTAAAGGGCCCGCACAGGTCCACTGAATCCCCTGTCTAATGGCCTGCACAGATGCCACTTTCCTGGAACAATCCCTCCTGTGTGTGTATGTGTGTCTCTTTCTCCTCCCGTGCAAACAGACGTTATAACGTTCCCCACATTTTCCTCAATGTGTTTCACCACTGTCTGGAAACAATGCAAGGTGCTGGGTGAGAAGAAGGAAGGGGAGAGGAGGAGAAGTCGAAGAAGTGTGGAAAATGGCACAGCGGGCGAGAGGGAAACACATGAGGGGGAAGTTATGCGGGTGTTTGGACAAGCGTTGTTGAGGGTAAGTAAAAAGGGAAGTACGCAAACTAACAGCAGGTCGGACTGGATGGGAGGAGGAGGAGAAGGAGGAGGAGGTGGTGGAGAGGGTGAGGGCAGATTATTGACTTAATGGCAGGATTGAGGCTGTCAAGGGCCTCAGAGACGCTGTTTGTGTAGTTTGGACCAGGCCTGGCTGAGCGTGCGGCGTGATGATGGAAATCTTACACTCACTCAAAACAAGCCCGCTGACCTTTTCATCTGCCGGCCCCCTGAATCAATCTTAACATTCTGCCAACATGGAAATGAATGAGTGCTTATTACATCTGCGGCAATATCACAAACTCTGTCCCGCTCTCTGCAGGTGTGTGCGTGTGCTGAGTGCATGTGTGCAAGTGCGTCTCATGAATGTTGTCTGTTAGTCGAGTAAATTACTGCCATCGAGCAACAACATAGGCACGAGTGAAAAGAAGCAGGATTCATCTTTATAAGCATGAAAAGTTGTTGGGTCTGGTCTCGGCTTGATGTCTCTCAGCAACACAGTCAACAATCGAGGATCTGGGCGTGACGGGAAACGTAAAGACCTCACTCACAGTAAATGGAGCTGTTATTTGTAGGTGACCAATCTTCATTACCAGTGACATTCCAGAAATACTAAGTAGATCATTGACTGTGAAGGTAGTGATTCGCCAGGAGAGCATCCATTTTATTCACTGGACTTTGTCTAAATTCTCGACACGAAGAAAAAAGGCCAGACTAAACATCTGCCTGGGGTGATATATCCTCCGACATGTCCTTGGAGTAAACATGACAAATGAAGTAGACATGCCCTCCAAAAGAGGAGCGGGATTGAAAACCAAACTGGGTTTTCATATAATGGTACACATTCATGATTTATTTCATTAGTCATCCATGTTTTTCCATTTCCATAGATCTGTAATTGTAAGGACTTAAGAGTGACTGCCAGATTGTGTATAGCAGGCAGTGCAGCACTGAACGCACTGTATATATAACCCCTGTTAACTTGCAGTATGTGCAACATGGCTGAATTTCTAACATATCTAACTAAGTGATCCCAATTATTGCAAAGAAACATTCAAGAGAAAATGACCTTGAAATTAGATGTTTCTATTGAGAAAAAGTCAAACCAGTGCTATTCCTTTACGCATCACATGGCGTCTCAGATTGCAGTCTGGACAGTTCTACCCACTAATTCCCAACGAAGGAATGCTGCAAGCAATGTGAAAATACAGCCTTTCATGATTTGATTTCATCGACTCGACTCTGTGAAGTGCATGAGTTTTTCCCCTAATTACAACAAGCTATGACGAGGATCGGTTGCACCACAAATCATGATGTGTGTATCAGGTTTAGGGGGTGAAATCAGTTTTGATGGAACATTGTAATCTCCCACAGGGAGCTGCGTTCAGATTCACATAACGACACATGAAAACTTTCAACTCAAGAGAAACCTGATAGGCGAGCAATAAACTTGGAAAAGATTTGTTTTTAGCCACTTGGGGCAGCAGAGAAAATCAGTAAACCGCACTAACACGTCATTTAAAGGTGAGTATGAAGACATATGTAGAACCTGTGGACAGAGGAGATGACTGCTGGTATCTGATGCTTTCTAGTTTGTGCTAGATTCACAAGTAATGTTTGATCTGACTTTGTCAGCGTGCATCCATAGTGGAAAGACGTAGAAAGCTTTGGCTGGTTCTCAGTCCTTATCTAGAGCCTAATACCTATTCATGAATCACTTTTACCATTTTTCTGTCTTTATAATCAACTATCTTGACATGAGTGAAGATAACACTCATTTCCCTAGAGCCTCTCAACTCTCATTCCACACTTGCATCTAAAGTATCTTGACTGTAATGTCCAGTGACCAAATGGGGAAGTTTTAGCCAGGCTTTCAGATATCAGTTGTCGTTTATCAGACAAACTTAAAGTGCCAAAGTATGAGGCTGTAGCCCCCAGAGGCTCAACTGTTGTGTAATGTTAGCAAATGGACTCTGAGATAGGGAGGTGCAATATTTTACAAACTCAATCAACTCCAAGTTAAATTCACAAATATCCCTTGTGTTCAGCTACCTGTCTATACTGTTTACACAGTATCCTACTAAAATATGTTATGTTTGTACTTAAACCTCCTGGGTCAAGCCAATTATAGCAACTGCACTCAATCTTCTACTTTCTCCAGCTACTTTTCCTCTACAACACACAGGGACACAAACATGGACGCAGTAATTTAAAATCAAAAATCTTATGAGACAATTCTGTTTACTGCTTTAAAAACTGGAATTCAATAAAGACTTATTAGAGTGCATGTCACCATACAGACTTAGTGGAGACAAACACTGATGTCTCCTCTCAGCTGAACGCTCCAGTTCCTGCTGCCCACAGGCATAGGGTCAGGACTGGCACAGACGGCCATATTTCTGATGATCAGACTGATTTGAAGCGGGGAAACAAGTGCTTCTGAAATTTACAGGATGAAGCCAGCAGTGACTTGCTGACAAGTCAGTTGTCATTCATTTAACAGGCGCTGTTAACTTCTTTAGTGTTGTTGCATTCATGGATCTGTGGATGTACACTCGAAAGCTTTTATGATAAAGGTATTTATGATACAGCATAGTATCAGGATATTTTGTCTGGTGATATATCATATCATCTCATTTATCAAGTATCGATTTTTCAAATTAATTGTGAATATGAAGTCAAATCTATGATAATGGAAAAATAAAATCAACTTTTTGTCCAGTGAGGTTGGTAGAGGTGACATCCTAGAGCAGGAGAAAGTTAGTACAACAAATATAAGGTTTGCAAGATGTACAACATGAAAATAAAAAACTGCATAAATGAGACAAAAATAAAGGAAAGCCAAAAGCTAAATTCGCTAAACAGTTTTAAAAATTGTATAAATCGCAATATATTGTATCGAGATACTCACTGTATTGCAAAATGTTAAAAATCACAATAGTATCATATCCCGGGGCCACTGGTGATTCCTAACTCTAGTACTCCACTGACATCAGTCTGATTATCTATGCCCGTATGCTCAGCAAAGTCGTAGCTTAAAGAGGGCGTACTGTGCCTATGAAACAAGATGGCGCCGGTGTGTGTGGCTGGCCGTCTGCTACTCCTGCAATGTTTGTTTTTTCTGTTGTTTTCAAACATTGGCACTAAACCAGTTGAGTCTCTGTTGGTGTATGATCGCCAGTCTCTTTTATCCCTAAGTTTTGGCTTCATGTTGCCCCTCTAATAGCTTCTTAGCAGCTTTACATGATTTACAATTCAAGAAGCTCTTCACATATTTCAGGCTGCTGTCTTTGAAAACCCTTATTTCAGCCTCTGTCTGAGAGGATTCATTTTAGGCACTGTCCCTTTAAGGATCCCCCTGCATTTAACAAGATTACTTTACTGTTGCCATGTAATAAAGTTGTGTTTTTTCTTTTAATAAAATGGCAAATTTGCCCTTTTAAGGAGATGAAGGTGATATCACAATATGAGCAAATTTCCTATTGATCTCGTTGAACTCTAGTGTGACTCTTGTATGACTATTTCATTTGTTGGTGTGCAGGAAATGTACAGTCATTTTTGAGATACCAAAAAAGGGAAGGGAAGTTAAATGGTGGTTTGTAAAAACCAGCATTAATCAAGAGAAAGATAAAACCCCGGGTCTTACTAACAAGTAAAATCTATCAAAAATATATGGCCCTTTTTTGGAAAAGTATGGATCATAGCAGATGTGTTAGTAGTGATAGAGAAACTAGAAAGCTTTGTTTTGCAGTGTGTGATTTTCAGTGAGAATTTGTGTCTGTACAGTCTTTCTTTCCCAATCCCTTGGAACAAGCACCAGGACAGGCTCCTCACAGTTTCAATAAAAAGTGCAAATAGCAGAGAGATGGAAAAGAGAGAAGAGAGCCTATTGCACCGAAACATATCTAACTAACTGACAGACCAGAAAAAAGGCTTTACGTAACATCTGAGAGAGCCGGAGTGATGACAGAAAGGAGGAGGAGGAGGAGGAGGAGGAGGAAGAGGGGGAGATTGCCTCTGGCTGATGTGCAGAATGGACACACTAGAGAACTAAGACAGTGGCTTGTTTAGACCCAATATCGTCTTCTCTTCCCTACATCTACCTTACATAACAGGGGCAATAAAACTCACAGACCATCAGAAAAAAGATCCCTTAGGTTCGTTTCCAGCCTCCTTTTTTGCGAGCACATAAGCTGTCAATCACTTCACACCTGTGCACAACCTCAAACTCCACCAAGACCTGGCTTAAGTTCCTGCTCCATTGATCGCTTTTCTGTTGCTACTTTGATGGAAAATAAGGGCAGAGTAGAAAGTGTGCATTCCGGGTAGGTGCACATGCATGCGTGTCTGTGTAAGTGTGTGTGTGTGTGTGTGTGTGCAGGCTCATCTGTGCAACATCTGCTCAACCAGCCCAAGGCTTCTTTTCTCTTGAGAAGTGGGTCACGTTTCCCGATGACGTCAAAAGTCCTTCTGCCTCTCCAGTTTGTGGGGCTTTGCCAAAACCACCACATGCCATTCCCCGTCCTTATAATGGAAACCCTCTCTCCAAAGCCTTTATGGATCACCTGCCAAACCTCCCACAGTTCTTACACCACATTGATGAAGTCTGTCTGACAATGACAGCAAGATGCAAAGTGAAGGGCTTGTTATTTACAAAGAGAATGAGTTGTTAATAAATGTTACACAGAGACATAAAGAAAGATGCAATTTTATGTAAAGTAAAAATATCAACAAGATCTGGTCTACTCTATGGTTGTGGAGTCATCATCTACATCCAGGGTCTAAGGGTAACTGCCTTGGGTCTAAAGGCCTGACACTTCGGTGTTTTCCACATGGAGAGGACAAACCAGAGAAAAAAAGAGGGAATAGAAGAGGTTAGGTGTCTGCTACAGTAGTATCGAGATTTCATTTAAGCTGTCTTGTCCCCGAGGAGACAACGCAGGGATCAGCAAGAGTATGAATGGAACAGCGGCTAATGGAAAACATTATTGAAAGAGCGAGTGTGGAGAGGAGAGCCCGAGGCAGCCTAAGGCACAAACCCATTCAAATAAAGCCTCAGAATTCCTGCTCCAACCTCAGTCACACCGTTGTGACTCCTTTCTCTACATTTCCACCATGTCTCGACACAGAACATGAAGCCGTGTGTTATCTGCGTGGACAGAGCGTCTGTTTGGAGTTTTCTTAAACACTGCCACACACGTCTTATCAACAAGGCTCACATGCTGTCATGGCATTTCTTTTTCACTCGTTGTTTTTTGCATCTAAGGACTTGACATGAACCAGCTTATGTGGATCAGGGTTAGCCTGTGTTCTGTAGAGCTGGGATGTAACATCCCCACTATCTCACCTACACACAACTTTTCTCCTGGACCAGCACTCTAACCGAACAAATGAAGACATCTGTTTTTGTTTTTCAAAACAAACAAAAACTGAATAAAGATATTTAAATACCTTTCCCTCGATATTAAAAAGTGTGTTTTGATATAACCCCTAAAAAGGAGACTCACAGTTTTGACCTCTTGAGTTGAGTTTTCTTACTGCAGATAGAAGCTGCATTTTGTGTTGTAAAACTGACTGTGATAATTTTTCATCTAAAACTGTTCGATAACCTCAAAGGCTCAGAGTTCTCTAGGGCTGTTACCGTTTATTGCAATGAGATTAAGTCTTTTTTAATCACATGCTATTTTGTTAAGCCGCAGCCTCTAGTGCTGCTGAAAAGTAACACCAGTGGCACAAAGTGGGTGGCATATTTTACCTAATAAAAATAATAATAATAATTTGCACTTTGTGTGATTTAGTTATTAAAATATCACTGAACTATACTTTAAGTTGTAGTTGCAACCCAGCAACTGAGTTTACAGGAGCAGCTAATCAAAGAGGTTTGAGCAGGCAACCAATTCAAAAAGCAGGCAGAGCTCCTTTTTGGAGTATGAAATAAAAAGTTGTAGGAGTAATAAAATATAAAGAGTTCATAGCCAGGTAACAATATAAAAGTCTGGTCTACAGTCCATCCACAGGTTGGTATGTTTTTGACCTGTCAAATACTTTCACTGTAAACACAGTAGCAATTTAATAAAGAGCAATTTCATCAAAAACCATTATAAAAATAAAAAGTCAATTAAACTGCAGCAGGACACAAGAAAGTAATCATAATCATCCAGACTGGTAAGAATAACTTTATATTGTAAATACGTTCTTAAAAAGTGTTCTGAAATGTAAAGTTATGGAATTTTAACCATGTGATGTAAAATACAAACACATTAAAATTTAGCAATAGAAAATATTAACAATTGACAGCTACGAAAGCCTCTGCCTCTTTAATTCGACTTATTTTTTAGCAATTTTTATAATCTAGTCTAAAATTTCATTTTCATTTTTGTCAAGCATACCATCACTTTATCTAAGATGAACTCATTTCAAATATACAAAAACAAATGTTTTCTATAGACCTGTTGGTCACGTTACGGTGTGTGTGCATTTTTATCTTATTAATTATATCATCTTTGGTGTTTTACTTAATAATTAAGATGGAGATAAATATTCCCCACATTTGAGAGGTTTTACACTCTGAGTCATTCATACTCTGCGGTGCCTTAAGGGCATCCATAAAGAGTGGGCAGTCTCTGGTGTGTTTGTCGTCAACACAGCCAAGAATAACTGGATGTCACCTGCATCGTGACATGTCAGCCGGGACATCATTAAGTGTCTCTAAGCAAAGCAGATGATCACAGTTAGAAATCAATGAGACCTCGCTAGTCAGCTTGTGTGTGTACACAGTTAGAGAACAAGTACCAAAGGGGGTCACCATGTTGTCATTTACTCAATAAGAACAAATTACTAACAGTTTTTTATCTGCTGTTAACCTCTTTCATACAAATTCTTTGACAAATACTCACATTTTTATGATAAATAAAACAGAGTAAAGTTGTACTTATGTGCTATAATATATCAGGCCTTCTGGATGCCTTGTCCTCACCCAGAATTACCTCTATAAGAATGGTTGGCACTTTTCAAAAAACACAAGGTTATGCAAAACTTTTACTCACACTTTCAATCTCCTCACCTCTTTCCTTTAATATTGCTGCTTATGCATGCCTGAAAAACAGTCCATTTCCAGAGTGAAGACTTCCCTAAAACCAGCTCACTGCTTTTAATATTCACTTCTTTCCTCATGTTCTGCTCTTTTTTAATAATAAAAATAGGTTGCTTCCTTTGGCTGACTAATAACGTTGTTTGTTTGCAGAGTGGATTCAAAAATGCGCCCAAACTGGCATAAACACGATTCAACCGAGCAAGCATCATAATTATCATTCCAGCATTGGTACTTTATGTAAATATGCTCCGTATTTGTATATAGAACGCACATTAAATTCTATATAAACACTGCATACCATCATGCCAATTCAGCTATACATTCACTTCTAATATCCGACTAATTGAAAGTGACTCAGTGAAAAACAGCCCTTAACCCAAAGACCCTCGCTCCAGAAAGGGGTGAAGTATTCTGACTGACAGACAAATGTTCAGACAGATTTTTTTTCCCTCTAACATATTTCGAGAGTAAAACTCGGCACTGAGCGAGGAACAGCAGAAGCCTTGTTGGCTGCAGGGACAGACGGGCTCATGGCGAGCCAGTGAGGCAGAGGGACTGGGAGGGCTCACCAGGCAGAGGTTACAATAATACACTTCCTTCTAGCACACCAGCGGCCAGACAGACACACAGACCCCAGAAAGAGGGAAACACTGGAGGTTTAGCTACCCTCTACTCATACTTTTATTCACAGATGTTTGTAGATGAAATATTTTAAAGTTGATGTATTATACTGCGGTAGATTACACCGCCTGATATTTTACACAAAACCATAAAAGCCTGACCTTTACATTTTGTCTGGTGTAAATCTGCTACATGAAACTTCAAGTGCATGAGCCACTTGTGATTTTTTTTTTGTATGTATGACCTACATTTATGTTGCCGTCGTTGTTATGATCCTACTTTCCCCAAAGTCAAAAAGCTGAATATTTCTCCTACTAGTACTGAGACAATAATGAGCAGCAGTCCTGTGGTGAAATGAAGAGGTTGCAGCGTCTCAGAGGAAAGTGTGCACTGCATAAATGATTTGATCAAGATAAACAATTGCAACAGTCTGCCCTTTGTAGCTTGACAGAGGATTACTAAATACCACCATCCATCAGCCAAAACAGCCCTTTGTCATGCTCCCGAAATATATAATCAATTAATAGCTGGCCATGTTTAGATTTATAGTACAGTTCCAGTCAGAGGAGTTCAAAATGTTCCTGCTTGTTAAATAAATCATGGCAGCGGCAGCAGAAACTGTGGCCTGGTTTGTTTCTGGAGGAGACACAATGGCCAGACTTGACCTGACGCATTCGCTACACTTCCTCACTGGACTCTGAGCTCCAGTCAGAAATCATGAAATCAGTTGGTGTCACACCGCTGTCCCAGAAATGAACAGTTGTCACTCTCATTATTCTCACATATTATACTGGTTGCAGATATTTACATCCTAGATGCTGTTCCCTCCCCTTTCTGCTTCCACCTCCCTCTCCAAAACATTCACACACACACACACACACATATACACACACACATACACACACTCACAACTTGAGCACACTTCCTGGGGCAGTGTGAGAGTGTCTATTCATTCTGCAAAGGCCAGCTGCGCACCTGGTGACAGCTCAGGATGGTGGTGTTGGCTCAGGTCAGAGCGTGTAGGGGGAGAAAGGAAGGGCTGGGTGAATGAGCCCACAGGCCTGTCCTTCAGGGGTCTGCTTTACCTGCACATTCCTCTTCATTTAGCACTGGGGCAAACACAGGAATGTCCTCCTATGTAAGGAATCACTGTCTGAAAGGTAAGTTCCTCGGATGATTGAAATGGTCCTTCATGGGGATATACAGAGATGAAAGCTGGATGTGTTGCATTCATAAGCTGCTTAAACATGGGCATAGTCTCAGTGATGTCACCTATTGGTATCTGAGGTGGACTTTAGAAGCCTCTCAACTGCAGACACTGTATTGGAATCGCTGACTCAAGAGACAAAGAGATGGAGTTGAGGCTGTCAATCAAATCTGCTATGCTAAATTATGCCAAACCTTAATCTCACTATCTCCAAAAATAATGAGTTAAAAAACTGTTTAGTGTGTCTGGATAAAGAAATGAGATGATCAGACAAAAATCACTTTTAGAACCATGTTGTAAATATAGGGCTGGGCAATATGGCCTCAAATCAAAATCATGGTATATTGAGAAGTTCTCCTTCAAACGATAAATGGACGATAACTACTCCACAAGCTGCTCAGCCCCTCCCACATTAACTTCGTCTACATCAGCCGCCGCTCCAGCCGCTACAACTTCTGAACCGTCCTCCATCTCCTCACCGGTCTCTCCCTCTTTGTTAAGGACTGGATGGGGTGGAGTCACAGCATCTCAAAGGGACATGAGACCATAGTCTACCTACACACATCCAAACCAACTTTTATTTATTTTTTTGACACCGAATATACTGACACGGGCAAAATGACGTCGGTTATTGTTGTAAATTTCGGTATTAGTAAATTCTCGGTTTATCGCCCAGCCCTATGTAAACATGTATGTGGCTGTTGGAGCTAACCTTAAGAAGACACTCTGCAGTTTCTCCACATTCGATCCATCCCTCAAGATTGGAGGTTGCACCTTGGTTGCATCCAATTACCCTCAAAGTGATGTCCTGAACTAAACTTTCACAAAAAATCTGTTCCTACAACCTTACCTGACCAGAAGGTACTGGACCCTTTATCTGGATTTTTGTCACATCATAATGAAGTCAGGGTTTGCTGGTGTATGAACATAGTGGGTCATATCTAGAACATTACCCCAAAGTAGGCAGGTCGAGGACGTTTCTAGCCAATCGCTTGATTCACGCTCTCTCCTTCTCGCCTCAGTTACCAGTGTCTTCTTTTCTACTGTTGTGTGTTTGCATTACAGGAATCTCCTCATACAGTCCTCTGGTGATATAACATGTAAGCCCTTCTGCTCCTGCACATGCTACCAAGCCTCCTCCTCCTCACCATAAACCAAACTACATCTTTTTATGACGGCGCATCCAGCACAGATAGCTTTCCGCTTTGAAGCGCATGTGTTAAAAGGCACGTTCCAGAAAATACCAGGGACCCGCGTGTCCTGGTGAAAATGTCAGGAGTTCATGAGTGAAAAGGGCTAAAGAGGGAGAGCTTGCTGCTGCTGCTGCTGCTGCTGCTGCTCACTCCTGGCAGTGATGTTAGTAATGTTGCCCAGGGGGACAGCCATTGGCAGGAACCATCATTTGACACCAGACTTTTCTCTTTCCTGAAAGACTTAAGTGAGCATCATTTCATTTCCTGTTTGAGTTGCTTTCTCTTATTTTTCCTTCATTCATTTTTGCATTAATTTCTGCATTTACCTTCTATCTTCAATAGCACAACACTCCTATCAGAGTCCTTGACCTTTGTTGCATATCATACCTCGCCCAACACACACACACACTGCAGCTTTCAAAGAATACCCAACCACTATTATTCATACAAATAAAACATATCCACATCACATCATTTTTACACACACCTAAAGTCCCTCCTTTCTCTCTGCTTTACACACACAAACACACAATCACACACACACACACACACATATTGTAAGTGTACACACTTGTGTGCCAGGAACATTCTGTTCACCTCTATCAGTGAAATACTCGGTCTCTTATGGTAACACAGAAAACTTGAGTGACATAATTTCTTTAGTCTCGAGCAGAAAGCAGAAGAGGTAAAGCATGTAATCTACCCTTCAACGCACACAAAATCAACAATTTGCTTCAGATCCTGCAATTCCATTCAATTGGGAGGCATGTTTTTAGGAGACTGAGGTGTTAATATGCATGCTGTGTGTCAGGACTGGAGGCCCGGGCCTGTCTAGCAGTTCCAGCTGCGTTGGGTTGTGTCTGTGGTTTGAGGCCCTCCGTGTTTCTCCGAGCGGATTCAACCTCTCAGCCTTCAGCAGCTGGCAGCCATCAAGCTGCTGGCAACACACACATACACACACTCGCTTACATGCACACATGCTCACACAGACGTCCTTCCATAATTTCCATGGTAGTCAGTAGGGAGCCACATTGTGGTCGTGCCAAGGCTTTTGGAAGAGAAGGAAGAGGGGTGCTCAGCTAAGTCCTGGACCTCTGAGTTGGTTGGCTTAGGTGATCATAAGATTCAGGGCAAGAGGCAGAATATGAGCTGCTTTTGCTGCTGTCAATGAAGGTAATGAAAGAACTGGACACAGATGGATGTCGAGTTTAAAGGATGATTCAGCTTTGTTACAACTCGAATATATTTGTGAATTTTACAGTTCTTGCTTTAAGTAACAACGCAGGACCAAGCCGAAATTTTGGAGCTTGAGTGGTGCAGTTTGGAGGTACCCAGATGATGATATAGATGTGCTGCAACTTGGAGGCCATATAAGACCAAATGCATCATAGCGGTGTGTGTCAAAGGCTGTCCCACTTTAAAGGCTACCGTAAATGTGGCAGACAAACGTAATTATCCCACTTTTCCAGGGGTGCACCCTTTGCAGCTCAACATTTCTCGTGATTGATCGCGTTCCAGTACAAATGAGACGGCAGATTCTCAAACCGCAGCGTAACACACTGTTAAATAAGAGTATTTGGTTTTAACTCAGCTGCAAGTGATGAAAGAAAGATGTGATGAAACTTGTAATGATCTTCAAACATTTTATAATGTTTCAGTTACATGACGTTAACTGCGCTTGCTAGTTAGCCTCGTAACCACCTATTGCCAAGTATTCACAGTCCATGAATTCTGGCTCTTTCTGGCTGCTTGGAAAAGTCTTTGGATTGGGGCACAGCTTATGAAATATTTTTAGTTTGCAATAAAAATCTTAAACTAGACTACAAGAAGCTTCTGCAGTTTTTTTTTCTATTTGCCATCTAGACCTGAAAGTGCAAAAATATGACAATTCCTTAAGTGTCCACTTGAAGCTTGCTGCAAAAGCTGAGGAATCCCCATAGAGACCCTCACGCCCATTATACAGGATATTCACCCCTGTGAACGCCTCACACAAAATACAGTTTTGGTCTCTTTAAGCTCCTGTGAGAAATGACTGTGGTGCTCCCTGTGGACAAAGCTTTGCCTCTTATCTCTGCGCCAATTTCGTTCTGTCAGTAGTATCTTTAAGAAAAATCTCACCCTGCTCCTTCAACACCCAAATGACTCACTCAGTAAGAATCTTTACTGTGCAGTATACTGAATATGAATGTTTCTGCAATTTATTTACACCTTTCCTGCAACAGTGCTCTCAGACACCACTGACCACCACACAGAGATATTAGATCTTGTTCATCATGATCTTGCTGTTCATCATATAGAAGTATCAGGATTACTTTCAGTCTGTTTCAGATCTGACTAAAAACATCCCATAGTTAATTTTTTCAGTGGAGACTGTACAGAAAGCCTCATTTTATAACTCATTTATTTTGTTTATATTAAGGTGAAGGGTCACATTTATGGGCGGGGTTGATGTGACTGACAGTTGAGCATGCTGTGGTTCTTTGCTGCCAGTTCATGATTCAGCATTTTCAACATGATTAATGCAATCTTTGGGCTGTATAACACCTCTTCAGAAATGAATAGGTGACAATGCTGAATCCAGTGCTGTAGTTAAGCTACCAAACCTTTACTCTGAGTCCAGTCTCAATTGTCAGTGTTTAAATCTGAGTCCAGCACAAGTCACAACAAAGTCGTCAGGGTCAAATCTCCATTAACTGACTCCAACAAGTCCTAATTATTAATATAATGAGGTTCTTCTGAGTGGTTCTCCTCAACTTAGCAGCAGCGAGTGGCTGTCTAACATGAGTCTGGTCCTGCTCAAGGTTTCTGCCTGTTAAAAGGAAGTTTTTCCTTTTCACTGTCACTCATGTTAGATGAGATGGGTCAAATCTGTCCTATCTTAAGGTTTGGTAATTCATCAAACAATGAGCGTGGTCTAGACCTGCTTTTTTTTTTTTTTTAAATAACGACATTTTGGGACAACGGTTGTTGTGATTTGGCACTATATATAAAATTTGATTGATTGAATTTGATTGATTGATATAATTATTCATCATAAGAAAAGTTTGACTCTCAACTGAATACATTTTAACTGACTGTGGTGGGTTTTTTTGGGAAGTGTACACAACACATTTTATTCATTGACATAAGATTTTGACTTGTCCTGTCTGGAGATTTACATTATCAATGACATTACAGTGCTATAGTGTGTTGTGTTTCAGTGCAGACCTTGGCTCTCTAATCAGGGCATCACAATCATCAGTTCCTCTGCAGCGGGATCACTGCAGGTGTCTAATACATTCATAATACCTGCAACTTAACTGCTGTTATTTCTGTCTGATCAGATATCCGCGATCCGGTGGTTGAGTCAATTTAGTTGCATCTCCTTAATGGTTCTTTGGAAGATCAAACATGTTGCATTTCTTTTGTCCACATTTCCCCTTCAGCTCTTTGAAATCAAAATTTGTGATTTGTGGCACCTTTTTGAGCATCCTAAGACAGCATGTGAATGTTCATGTAGGTGAATGTGTGCTGGTTTATTACGAGTTGAATAATTTATTAAAAACATAAAAGGTTAAATAAGTCGTTGCCCTGCTGCAGATGGTGCTTGAGTCCAAGTCCAAGTCTTTAATCATCAGCGGTCAAGTCTAAGACTTCCAGTTTGAGTGGCCTCAAGTACTGAGAAATGACTGAGGCAACGTCCATTTTTATACAGTGTATCAGAGAATCTCTCAACTCACTCTTTTCAAGACAAGAACATTTTTTTTAACGTTTATTATAGTTCATATAAATTTTGGTTCAGTGTCCGTCTAAACTGCAGGATTTCATTCTTATGAGCAAAGGTGGATTAAAAGCAACATTTTTTGTTGGTTTTTAACTCATGTGGTCTGAATTATCTGATTGGTTTGTTTAATATTTCTCTAATTGTCCTCACTGCACATTTTTTGCCCAAACACACTCTGTTGTAGTGACGTTGCTGCGTTACCAGATTGTTACAGTTACTTCTGCGCTTACCAGGATACCACAACAGATTTAAATGATTACCGAAGCTTAAAATGAGACCTCGATTTGTAATGAACCTGAACTACAATCGGCCGCCGGCCATCTCAACAACCTGTCTAGATCCCATCTGCTTGGTGGGACAATGTGGGTTAAGAAGGTCTTGTTTTACCGGCACAGATGCCGGTGTGATGTGGCTTTGCACCAGGTAGCCAACATGGCAGAGGTAACACACACAAATCTGGAGCACAAGCACACTTTAAGTTTCTTCACTGCATCAGTCAAACACAAGACTCTTCCACCATTCTGGGGGGTTTGACTAAGCCTGCTGTTTTGCCTGGCTACTAAACAAAACCTCGGATGACCTACTTTCATTCCTACACCAATTCCTCCAGCCTTTGCCTCCTTGCACTTGCACAGTGCAGCTAATACAGTGGGACGAAACGGGGATTGAAAGTGTGAAGTGGATCATCAAAACCCAAGACATACAAAGCCACGCTGATATCAGCTTCTTCTCTCCAAATGCAAGAGAAGCTTTCAGTGAAACAGTTTCTAACCAGAAGATGGTCTATTGGGTGAAAAAAAGTAAAAATATCACATCCCAAATATGCACTTGGAATACAAACATACTGCTTGGGATGAGAGTGAGTTGTAAATCACTGGCCTACAGGCTATCAACAACCTCCTCCATCCAAAACATAATTGAATTATGGATGGTGCAGCAAATATAGAGAAACAGGAAACATTTACAACAGCTACAGTAATTATGTTCGGATCCCATTCCACAGGAAGTCATTACCATAGATTTCATGAATATCTTTATCATCCGAGTTAAGAAAGAATTTCCTCCTCTGGTTGGGATAATATTTGTGTTGGTGTCAGTCAGAGGACAGGAGGAGGGGGTTGGTGTTGCTGACAGAATAAGGAGGGGCCGTCAATGCCTTAAGAAAATCATCTAAAAAGCAGACGCTTCTGACAAACATCCCCACCCTCGTGTCCTGGCTGAGACACGAGGATCCAGACTTTGCAGCTCAGGTAGATTTGGTCGGAAACTTTAAATGTGCACGAGTAGCAGCATGGCAGTCTGATTTTTCTGCTTGAGGAGAGAGAAAGTTCTGTGACAGTGCTGATGTCTGCAGCAGTGGAGCCTTGGACTCAAATTTCCTTATACACTGTGAAAAGCGATACACACCTCTTCCCCCGATTCAATACTCCCAGCTGAAATACGGAGAGCTGGCCTGTCATTGTGTATTAACCCAAGATGAAGAACTGTCCCGCAGAGGCCCCGCTAACCGCTATCAGATCAGCTGATAATGACTTTCTTTTATTACGCCTCTGATGAGGAGGATGACCCCAGCGTTGCAACATGCACCCCCTTAGCAAGCTGACGGGCACTTGTCGATGCCAATTTGTAATCACAAGGAGGGAAAATGATTGTTTATTAAATCTACGGTTGTGTAGACTTGAGCATAGCACAACAGTGGAGGTCATCATGGCAGCGTCCAGGCCTGTGAGGAGGACAAGGCTGAGGGATTCCTCTTTGCTCTATTTATTTTCTGCATAAACTGTTTTTACACAGTGACTATTAATCTGAAGGGCCTTTATATAAGACTCTAAAGGCTGTGGGAGAAGCTCCCTGAGAAAAAAACAAAGTCAAGTATCAACTGCAATCCTTCATGCAAACTAGAGCTATTCTTCAAACACTTCAGGCACAGCGCTAATGCAAACATCTTCATGTAAGCAAAGCGCAGATCTACTCCTTGTCTGCTCCTTTTTAAACATCATAACTCTATTGATCACAACAAAAGGGCAGAGCTGTTAAAACATCAGTCACCCACTTAAGGTCTTTAAAATAAGAGGCAGTAGCTTGGAAACATCGCTCCACTGCTGCCATGCTCTCAGCTTAAATTTTTCCTACAGGCGGTCAGTTAGACATTTCATGGTGTCTGGCATCTTCTCTGTTCCCGTCACCATGTGGGGATTGCATTGTGGCCTTCAAAAGTGTGTCCGACCCCCACGACACCACCCCCACCACCACCACCACCAGTCCCGTGTGAGCTAGGTGATGACTAGAGTGGGTCAGCATAGGCTTGTTTACACATTACAGACCACACAGACAAGACACGGTTAGGACAGCATATGTACACCATGTGTGTCTCAATTACAGGCAGCCCATGACTGGTCAACTACTCAGCACCGCAGCCAGAGATGATTCGGAGCAATAAAACACTCAGATAATCACAATCTGTTATATTATCGAGTAAACTTTTATATCCCCTCACAACAGCTGGAGCGCTTCTATCTTTATGTCCCACAACAACATGTAATAGAGATCTTCTCTCAGCAGAGGGCTCCATCCAATGCAGCACAGATGTTGTTAATGTTAGCATCAGTGTATCATGCTGCAGACTTTACTCTGTCCCTCTCAGCTTGTATTTGGATATGGAGGAGAAAAATAACAAGAGACAGACAAAAAGGTGTTAATCTCTGAAGTTGATACAGCTATTTGGAAGTAATGTCTTTTATTTTTACCTAGCATATTCTTATATATCTTTGAACGCTGCACCTTATGTTCACATATCAGCAGGGGCACATCCAGAGGTGTGGTAAAGGGTGGCATGGGCCCCTTTCAAAATCTACAAAATCCCAGACTATAATTGGCTATTTGTCTTGTCAGAGGTGAGACTTTGAGGATTGCTTGTGGCTTTATTAGATTTTTTTTTTTTTTTATTGGCACTTGAAATTAATCAATAAATAAAAACTGCTTCTGATCAGTAAGCAGGAGAGCGATCAGGCTATCAAAAATAACTCAGGCAGATAAACAGGCAGAAATATTCAGACTGGTTTTAATTAAAATTGAGAGTAAATCCACTTTGGACAGTAAGTGTGAGATATTTTATTTGCAATTTAAGCATCTAAAAATGTGACTTTCAACCATCATCTTTGAATTAAGTCCTCCAAGAATGAAGCTAGAAGACTAACTGTTGCCTCTTTGTTGTGTTTATGTGGAATAAAACATTTGTATGATACTGGGCCACCCCCTCATAAATCAGATTACAACTGGGCCACCCCACACCAAAAAGTCTGGACACACCCCTGTGTGTAAGTAATCCAGCTGTATAGCAATGTTATGTTGATTAATTCATCACGTGTGCCTCCTATCACTGCACAATTGCCTTCATGTGTTTTTGTATCTGAGTCTTATCATATTTTACAGAATATTACAGATATTTTCTTACAGCTTTGTGGTCTACTCCCTGTTTAACCACCAAATTATAATCATATCAGAATGAGCTTTTTGGACGTTCATCTTCATACATATTGTCTAAAACACAAACTGATAACCTTCATGGAAAGGTGCACCAAGTCTTCCTTTTTTATACGACCAAAACAATTGAAAATAAAAGTATGTTTTTCTTTAGATATGTAAAGGATACCACTCATAAGTGTATTTTTCTGTTGCTGCACTGCACTTCAAAACACAGCTGAGGTAAAATAATCTGCCAGTGGTATGCACACGCTTGTTTACAGCCATGCAGTTACAATTCAAAGTAAACTTCTGAGCCAGCCATTTTCCAGCTCATCACTTATTCCAAAACAAAGATTCACCCTCTCTCTCCAGCGCTGCAGCAAAACAACCGCTGCGTATGAGAGTAAAACTGAGTGACAGTTGAACACGGTTCAGCTGAGACATCACTCCTTCATCAGAGTCGAGCATAAGCTGGAAAAAATTTCTGCAAGTCTTTTCATATCTGTGCACAAGTGTGTGTGACCACCAAGTAAAAACAAACAAGCAGACTACAACGCTAACAAGCCCTGAGAGCTGAGGGCACCTTTCAAGTGGCTAGGCTGACACTGCAGCCTCTCATCCCCTCGCCTCACCCCACTCACAGGTCACAACGAGAGCTTTGATCACTGCCCAAGTCTGTTTCCCATTCACACGCTCAGCATGCTCATTGATTTTCCATAAGGAGGGCCGAGGAGCTGATAGTGACCCCCCCGCCCCCTCCTGCTCCGTCTTAAACACAGGTAGGCATGTGTATCAGTTGCTGAGGAGGTCTAAAAGCCAGCACTGCTGCATTCTTGCAGGTTGCGATAAGTGACGACAGCAAGTGGTGCACAAGTGCAGGACAAAAAGATTAAAAAATGCATTAGTCAGATTGTGGCCGTGATTCAGAGATCATCTGGGGGAAAATGTTTGACATAAAAAAATCAGGATTGAGATGAATCACTGATATTGCATCCTCAGCCTCCCTTTCTAATCAGCACTCCAGAGCTTCTTCAAAAATAGCACCCCTTTGGCAGCAAAATACCTCATTTGGTGATTTATTTTTAGAGAACAAAAGAGACCTGCTCTTGAAACTATCCTGCTCGTGCCTGCCTATCTTTAAACTGTCGCCTTAGGGGGAAAAAATGTGGGAAATTTTGATAAATTCTGATTAAACATGATTGATTCAAGTTTTGGTACATGAAATCTTAAGATCTTTCTGGACGGGGGCAGAAAAATTCTAATTTTATTATAATCCAATGTTTGCCTGCCATTGGCTGCTTCAATATGCAAGTCCAAAGATGATCAGAGCATCATAGAATAATAAAATATAACAGCACATCTCCTGGCAAAACTGCTTTGGTCCAGTGAAAACACACAGTAATAATAATAATAATAATAATAATAATAATAATAATAATGATAATAATAATATTTATTTAAAATTATTATCATTATTATTTTGTTGTTGTCTAAAAATTCAAATCCTCACATTTCAGATACTGCTTCATATTCATACAAATAGAAAGATGTTAAAAAACTAAATTGGATCTCACTCTTAAAAAGTCAATAATCTTATTTTCACCACATTTTTCTCAGTTTCCTTCTTTCCTCCCTCGCCTCACACAGAAATCTCATCATTAGGACAGGGAAAAAAACAAGGCAGAAATAGAAAGTTGAACGGGACAGCGACTCCTTACCTGGTCCCTCTGGATGCATGGCAGAGAGGTCCGGCGATGTGACTTACTGTTGGACTGACTGTTTGCCATGTCTGAGGCTATCACAGAACTGGACCTCCTGCGCCTTTTAAATACAGGGACCTCTTCCCTGCCTCCAGTCACGGGGGTGCAGCCCTCCTTGTGTCTCCCTTGGTTGGGAAGGAGCTTGTCAGCATACCTCGCCAGCAGGATGCCCAGCACTCCAACCAGGTACGCCACGTACGGTCTCCAAGTGGCCCGGACTTTGTGTAGCGAGAAGAGTGAGATAGTCCTAACGAGGCTGATGAAAACGATCACAGATATGCCCTGGTTTAGCCGTGCTACCATGAGTGCGCCGGTGGCCACGCAGACGAGCACGACCACGGCCGCTGTGGAGAAGGAAAGCAGCTGCTCATCTGTCCCGTCCAGCAGAGACCACGCCGCCGCTTCGCCCAGGTGGCACAAGGTTAAAAGAGAGAGGGCGGTCTGGATTAGAACCCCGCAGCGGATCAAGTAGACCCCGACCCAAAAGAAGGCACATACGAGGGTGAACAATGGCGAGAGCACACTCCAGCAAGTTTGCAACAGCTCCGCCGCGCAGCCTGAGACGAAGTGAAGGGGAGACGATGAATGCAGGACTGTGTTGTCAGCGCTCCAGTCTGCACATTTGGCTAACAGAGCGAGAAAAACCGAGAGCGACCCCGCACACACCGCACTTCGGAGTCTTTGGGAACTCCATGTTTTTGTGAACATTAGCCTCACCCACGACTCGTAATCTCGGTCACGGCACAGTGGGACGACACATGTTTTCACATAACCATTGCGATCCGGTGGCTTGAAGCTTTTTTCATGAACACTGTCCTGCGCACTGGTACTGTCAGATTCTGCTGGCATCGCCATCACTCATGACAGATATGAAGTATTGGGAAGTCTATTATGCATATATAGCAGTAAGTTCATGAATCAGGGTATGAGTTAGTGAGAAAACAAACATGATTATTGCACGCATATTGAAAAAGTATGGCGAATACGCACCAATGCGTCTCCATTTACGCATGGAGGTTTTGTGCCTCTGAACGCATTCTCTTTGTTTTTCCAGGTGCGGGAGGAGAAATTGCTTCCTGGAAGAGCATGAGGGGAGCTGAATGACAGAGAAACTCAGATGTTGTACAAATCTAGGGCACTGCTTCCCTGCACACACGCGTCCTGCTTTGCACTCCTTTGTGCAGCGCCGTCTCTGTCACTCCTACTCTCCTCTTCCCTTTGTGGCTCCTCCACGGCCCGGTCCGTGCAGCAGCAGCAGCAGCAGCAGCAGCAGTCTTCGCAAAACATCAGTCCCTTTCTATGGGCGTTCAGCAATAAAACATGCTCCCTAAGTCCATTGTTTGGTCACTTCCCAGTCTCTCCTGTAACGGTAGATGCTCCACTGTTACTTTCGAGGACAAACGCCGCCGAGGAATTTCGACATTTTAGAGTGGGTGTCCGGTAGGTTAATGCACCGCGTTTTGAGGGTAAATCCGGTGTGTTTGTCACCAGCTCTCCAGTCTGCTCATTCACACCCCCGAGTTCCGACTCCACACATGTAGCAAGATATTGCAGCAGGAGTGAACCCCCCCAAATCTTTCCTCATCCAGCCCAGCAGGCGTTGTCTGTATGATTAGTCATTTGTCTAGAATTTCCCCCTTTAATTTTCTAATCATCCAATTTTATACAACCACATTACCGTATAACAATATCAGCCTTTTCAAACGTTGTTTATTCAAACTTCAGCAAATCTCTCCTCATAAAAAATGTTGACCTATATTTTCCTACAGAGCTCCTTTCTGGATAGAAGAAAATGTGGTACAAGTTCTCCAGGGAGTGCTTTCTCCCTGTGGTGGCCCTTTTGGGTTACAGTTTTGGTGAAGCCTGACTTCTTTTTTTTGGCAAGGTTACCAAACCCAGCTGGAGCTTTAAACCACCTTTCCCAGTAGATGTCTGTAAAGGCAGAGGAGAGAAATGGAAGCTGTGCATGTGAACTGTTTTGCAGTGAGATCCCGGGACTATGCTCCTGTGGCTTCCCCCATGCTTGACTCCTAATGTCCCCACTCAACCAGGTCATTGAAATATTCATCCCACTTTGTGTCACTGATGATGTGTGGCGTCACAGTGGAAGGTCTCCCATCAATGTTTCAGCGTGTGGGGGTCTTCCGTGTGCAGGAGTACATGTGTTTGCAGCTCAGCAGGTGCACTTGTAATGCTCTCATGGGATCACACCCTCTCACACACTGTCTATAAGACATCCAGCACCTGTAATATCACTCAAGCCCGCTGATGCACGTGCGAAGATGATGACGTACTCATTGTGCGTGCTGTCACTGTTGTGCATTAAAACCCTGAAGCCTTTCAAACATCTGCACTTCTCACAGAATCCAAATGAAGACGGAGAATTTCATGTACAAAGCTGTCATGCCACGGTTGTGTGTTTGCAGCCGCATGTCCTTGATTAATTCATGGGCATCTTGCAGCCTTCAAAAGCATCTCGAGCAGGTCTCATTACAGTGATTACCTGCAAAATTGTTTGCCGTTTCTACCTGTCAATCCTCTGTAAATCTGCGCTCAGGTGCAGAGAGATTGAAGGCTGGAAAAAGCAGGTGACTATGATTGTCTTTATCCACCTGTGAGGACAATCTTGTGCATCCCTTGTCTGTTTCGATTAGAGGGAAGCCAGGAAGGAGGAGAAGAAGGAGGAGGAGTGTTAACAGCAAGTGATAGGAGCAGGGGGAGGCCAGGTCCCGTCACTCACCTCCAACATATGCTCACTGAGTGCCAGACAGACCTTTCAGTGCTGAGCATCACACAGGACAGCCAGTGGCTCCAAGTGTGAGGACATTTTCTGCTACATGTTTCTTGAGCTCATAGGTAACTCTTTGTTGGAGGAGTTGAAACAATCCTGCTTATAAGACTGTTTTATTTCACATGTGACAGAAACAGAAACATTTTATCCTCGCAAATAGAAGATAATAGCAAGACAAAGGAGAGCGGTGAAGAAGCCTGCCAGAAAAAATGGATTCATTTACTTGCAGGATAACATAGAGCACTCCTGTTATGACAATTTTGTTCCTCTTTCACAGGGAAATCCATTAACAGGAGGGGGGAAAGGTTAGCCAAAATCACTATAGCTCTGTTTGGTGATGGGCTAATAATAATAAAATGTGACAAAGGTTGTGTTAAAAGCTGAAAACCAAGACGGGGAATATCTGGTGTGTTTACCAATGAAAACCAAGAAGTAATCAGTGTTTTCCTGCAAACTGTCAAAGGCCGATAGAGTAAAATAAAGTCATCATAACCTGCATGTTCCTCCTCTAAAAAGCACCATTTTAGTGTTTCAAGAATCTTTAGTCAGATGAAGATGCGTCATTGCACTTTTAGCATCTTCTACAGTGAGCGCAGCGGAGAAAAACCATTCTGAAATTTTCTCTCGCTCGTCTCGACAAAAATGTCTGCAGGCTATTCTGAATTACCCGTAAGAATTTTAATGACTCACGTAACCGTCTTTCCCTATTTGGCAATGCCACGGTCCATTGTAAAACAGGAATCTTTTTATGAGGAACAATCCATCAGACATCTGGTTTGGATGTAGCACAGGGGGGGCAGTCTTCTGATGTGACCTAGGTCAGACCTGCATGGCCCTCCGGGGCTGCGGGTGGCTGACAGATCTGATGTATACTCAGGAAGTGTCAAAGGCTGCTTTCTTATGGAGTTGTTTACCATCAAACCACTTCATCCTGCAGCTCCAGATCTGCTCTTCCTATATCCCAAGGGAAAATAATAAGATTTAAATCCTACTTGATGCACACATGAGGTTATTAAAATGTGAGTGTGCATTGAGGACAACTTTAGAGGGGAATCTAAAACACAAACACACAACAAGATTGAGCCAAACGAGCAAGATGGCAATGTAGAATAGGTACGAATATTACATGTATCATTCATAACATTAAACTTAAAATAAACAGAGATCAGTGATGAAAGACTCGAGAAAGAAAGACTAAAGAGGAGCGAGTGTGGACGGAGTGTTAGAGAAGAGTTTACATTGTGTTTGACACTTGTGTGCTGAGTGAGATCCATCGCAGTGTGTTTACCAGCCCTCATGGGCAGCAGTCGGCTTCTGGCCAAGTTTCCACTGAGGTGCTATGGACACCAATCTCCCCTACACACACCAACACACTGGCCCTCACACAAACACACACAGGCGTACACACAAATGCCACCGCCATCATATTCACAGTCATGCATGTACACACACTTCCGGACACAGTCATTTATCTGCCTCGTGTGTTTGTGTGTGTGTGAACAGAAGCCTTTGGGCTGCACACAGCAGCAGGCGACAAGCCTCCTCCCTCTTCAGGAACATGAATCTGACCTGAAGTTGCTACATGAACCATAAGTAGTCCATGCTATCTTGTAGGCCTATTACACAATCAGGGCTCAAATGGATCAGGGACATACTGCATACTGCATTATGTATGAGCCCGGGTCAATGACTTCAACATCTGCCAAACTGTTTCAATCAATATTTCAATTTAAACCATGAACGATCCAGGGATTCACAGGCACAGGAGAGCTTTATTATTTAGATATCTGGACACGATCTGAGAAATCCTATACCCAGAGCCATAGATGATGAGACAAAGCCAGTACAATCAATCGAAACTGTAATTCCCTTGACGTGATAAGAAAAAAAAAGGGAGAACAGTGTTTCCAAGAACAGTGATAGGATGCCAAATCGATCAACAGAAGAATAATCTACAGGATCTAAATAGTCAACCATTCAATTTTGGTCCAGGCTCTGTATTTGATGTTTGATAATAATTTGCACTAAGCGTCAATGATTACCTTTTTACAGTTTTCAGTGCTTACAGTTGGAGTGAGAGAGAAGATCATCAGCTGATGAATCCATACAGAAAATATGACAGATCTCCTCCCTCCACTGTTGAAAAAGAGACACTCTCTCAGTCACCTTTCTCTGGTGTTTGTTGGTACATAAAGCTGCTGACCGTCCATACATGGCTGATTGTTGCTGTGTTTAGAGGACAGGTTGTAAAATGTCAAACACAAAGCAGGTGTCTATATACAGTACATGCAAGAGCAAGCCAACTCACACAAACACTAAAACAGGATTGTTAAATCAAACTCACAAAGCTGACGTGAGTAAAAGGACAATTTTACAATGGCTGCTAAGTTTCAGAAGCTGACATGGCCAGACGAACCAAAGTCAATAAACTCTACATAAAAAGCTCATGGCTCACTGTAAACACACCAGGTTGGGTTGGTATAGGTAAGCTAGCAGTGCAAAATTTAAGATGTAAGATGTGCAATTTACATCTTAAAATGTACAATGCAAACCACTGATCAAGTAGATGAATCAAATAGGGCTGAGCGATACACCGAAAATTTACCGATACCAAAATTTACAACAATAACCAACGTCATTTTGGCAATATCGGTATATTCAGTGGCAAAAAATAGATAAATAAAAGTTGGTTTTGGATGTGTGAAGGGAGGCTATGGTCTCATGTCCCTTTGAGACGCTGGAGACAGAATTCCACCCCATCCAGTCCGTAACAAAGAGGGAAAGACAGGTGAGGAGATGGAGGACGGTTCAAAAGTTGTAGCGGCTGAAGTAGACGAAGTTAATGTGGGAGGAGGGGAGCAGCTTGTGGAGTAGTTATCGTCCATTTATCGTTATCAAGATGAACTGGTCAATATACAGTGATATCGATTTCAGGCCATATCGCCAAGCCCTAGAATCAAGTCATTGAATTGTTTGGTGTTTTAAGTCTTGGAGAAAGGCTGAAAGGTTTTCATATTTGTTAGAATAAATGATAGTTGTGAATTTTCTCGAATGTGGATAGAAATGGAAATTTGATAACTGATAAAGCACACGGTGGTCAAACAAGGTTGAATGTAGAATGCCCTGTCTCCGACTTGTATATAAGTCTGCTTATTCACAAGTCAAGTCTAGAATAATATATATCTACCTTAAAGGGTTGTGAATCATTGTGGACCCATCTGAGCCATAAATCTCAGGATGAAAATGAGCTCTACTTAGCTCTCACAGACCCTGTCTCCTGAGAGTAAGTTATCAGGAAGACGAAAATACAGCTGGTTTTAAAGAGTAACTCATGAGATTAAAGGTGTAGTATTTCAACAGTGTTGCACCTTTACTTCCAGACCACAGCACTACATTCACCCTCTACTACACAACTTTTTAAGGACAAACTCTTCATGTTCTCTAAATTAGACAAAACTTTCTCACTTCAAGGGTTAAAACAGTCTTTGTGTTTCTTCATCAGGCTCACACAGATGTAAAACGTGCACAGCAGTGAGGCTCAGATTTTTAGAGAATGATGGGGAGGAAGATTGGGATAGAATTAGAAGAAGGTACTCCATTCACTGGTGTGGGTGGGAGCTCTGCAGGCAGAGGAAAAGAGAAAGTTGAAACACTGCCTCAGATGAATAATGTAATTCCAAGGTTTAAGTGGGAAAGGAGCCGCACATTTGATTGCATATGTATTCAGGGAAAGAAAAGTTTCATGTATGAGTTTTGAATATTTCAGATCAAAGTTTTCAAGCTGA